GTCTGAAGTTGAGTCGCTCGTGTTCAACCACACTCTTGGGGTATTTGCTGTATAGTTTGCGGAAGGAAAGCAATCAGTATAAATCATACACCCCGCATCTGTGTCGAGGAATAAAAGCTGATTCAGAACATTTGCCGAAGAGAGTTTGTTGGTCATATCGCGAATACCCTCGATGTCGAGCCAAACACCCTCTGGCCTGTTAGCATTTGTTGAGGTGACGTTAAACGCTTCATAGTCTTCCCCCAAGAGCTCTATCTGGATGGTCCTCAATACAACAATGAAGTAAGCCAGGAGGTAGGCAGTCCTCTTGTCCAACCATTTAAGCAGTGGCAAGAAAAGTGGTCCGCGACTCCATTTCTGCGCTTACCAGCGTAGGCCAAGATCTGCAACTCTGGCGCGCAGTATGGAGTGCCGACAGCAAAAGACACCATTCACATCAAAGCGACGGTGGCTCGGTCGATAGCGGCGAGCACGCACCCTCTATGGTGCCGCTATTGTTATTTCGAATGTCTCACCTTTACGTAAGGAGCTGCTTACAGCACTGACTCACGCCTCGAAAACGGATGTGAAGTATGTTTGGTGTGTGCGAGCGATAGTGATGATTCTCAGAAGAGCTTGGAGAATTTCCCGTGTGTCACTCTTCTCCCAGAGATTCATGATGTGGTTTTCGGGCGCCTCTGGCCCAGCAGTGTGAATTCAAACACATGCAAACCACTGCATACACATATGCACACTCCCGCACACTCATGCACCTTAATGCACATAAACGTGACACGACTCACGTGCACGGCATATCTTCCGAGTTTTTGTTTTTTTCCAATAGCCCCTATTTGAGACAAAGAGGTTAGTACAATCAATATCAGGGACAGCAATTGATGGATGCATAGGGAAACTGCCGTGGCTACACAGCATAAGGGTGCAGCATTCGCTCTGGCAAATAAATCTGGGCTTCAAGCACACGAAGTGCATGAATCTTTTTGACTTCTTTGGTCTTTGGTAAGGTAAATTAGTTCGGCTGCTTCGGACGAACATCTTGCATGCTACTCGCCTAGTCTTTATGCTCCCTTTGAATATTTATCGCATATGTCTTCTTTCCGGGTATCGAACTCGACCCATATTTCGTGATCCTTTCTACCGAGAATCCATCTCTCTGAAGCTGTTTGGGATGATAGCGTCAAAATCCGCCTTTGCATCGAAATGGTGAACTGCACAGGTCGCCAAGAAAAGAATGAGAAACGGAAGTCACCGTTATTCTAACGATATGAATACCCACCGGAACTCAAAACGCAGCGCAAGTACAGGTCATAGTTGAGCTTCACATGCTGTGTGGAGTGCATTCACGGACACGGGAAAAAGAAAAGAAGATAATAGCGCTCTAGACAGTACATTTGGCATCCAAGATGAGATAGGGTCGTAGAGCAATCAAATTAGCTACAGATCGAGTAGTTCGCTTTTTCCGCCTACAGTTGATCAAATGAACGTAAAAGGCAATCGAAAATAGAAAGACCTATTTTTTTTTTTGACAAACAATCATCTCATCTCATTGTATCAAGAGGGCCAAACAATCGCACGGCTTAACAAGCTGCTGCGTACTCATCGAAGACCACTATCAAAAGCGCAATCCATTCTCACCCGCATCGGACCTGGCCGTGATATCGTCACGAACTGACCACAGGGGAGCATATATAATAAGCGAGGTTTCCAATGTTTGAACCATTGCCCCATTGACCTCCCAGCCCAAACAACAATGGTTTCTCTTGCAACAAGTTTGCTGAGCTTGCTGGGTTTAGCAAGCACAGCATTGTGCAGTGTTCTCGCCCGGGATGTGACAACAACAACCGTCATTGTACCTTCGACCTCTAGCTCGTCACCGTACACCGCTGCCACTCCCGGAACTCCTGTGTCACCAAAAATCCTATTCATTGCAAATACTTTCGAATTTGGATATCTCGACGCCTACAACTTTACTACACAATACACGGGTAATTTATTCGATAAGGTTTTTGCTTGCACTGAGGATGGTGTTATCTGCAAACTTGAGTGCGGCGAAGAGCTAGTATCTGCGTCCCAGATCACAGCACTCATGCTCATCCCAGGAGTCGACCTCAGAAAAAGCTACGTTATTATCACCGGTACTGGCGGCGTCAATCCAAAATACGGAACAGCTGGTGGTGTCGCAATAAGTACGTTCGGAGTTCAATGGGAGTGGGGAAGCATGTTCCTGGGAGACGATCTACCTGCCAACTTTTCAGGACAATACTTTTCTGCTTACGCTCAGCTATCCCCCGACAAATACCCTGTCACGGTGGGGTCTGAGGTGTACAAATTGAACGAGGCACTTGTAGACCGTTTCTATGCTGTGGGTAGCAATGTCACGTATGAAGAGGTCTCAGAAACTGTGCAAAATCTGAGAGCGACCTACGAATTTGAAGCAGCAAGGCGAGAGCCTTTCCTAGCGCGGTGCGATACCGTTTCGTCCCAGGTATACTGGTCAGGCAATGTTGCAGGAGAGAATGTTGAGTACTACACTGACTTGATCACCAATGGTCAGGCACGTTACTGCAACACTAATGAAGATGATCAGGGGAGATTGCTCGCTCTGTTCTTGGGAGCAGTTCATCATTTGATTGACTTTGGACGGGTTTCGGTAATCAAAGCATTCAGTGACTATGATCGTCCACCTCCACAGCTGACAGCTTATCAATCGCGTTTTTTTGTGGGAGAAGCTGCCACTGAGCCTGGCCTAAGAAATGCGTGGAAGACGATTGAAGCAGTTGTGGATGATGTTCTTGGAAACTGGGACACCATCTATGAAGCTGGTATCAAGCCAAACACATATATGGGTGACATTAAGGGCACTTTGGGAGGCGTATGTGACTTCAACTCGACTGCAAGTGCCGCCAAGGGGTCTGTACAGGGAAGTTGAATTATTTGTGGATAAACTGGTGCTTACTCCCTGGTTATAGAAGCATTCTGGAAGCTCGTGAATGCCTCACTAGTTTACTTTGCGTCGGAAAAACAATTGTGTTGCCTCTCGAGTACTAATGTGCTAAGCATCTGTCACTGGGGAAGAGACCTTCTAAGAGTGAAAATGCACATTGCTTCAGACCAAAGTAATAATCACCCTGTACAATCAATATCTATTAAAGCCTGCACAGAGCTTCTCTTCAAATAGAGCTACTTCTTACTACTTTATTAATTAGGCTCAGAGAGAAAAAGAGTCGCATTATACTCTTTGTTCATGTAATCCCAGTAGAAGGTCAACTCAGTCTGATTGTTTGACTGCTTCACCTTACAATCGTCAAGAAAATTGGTTTTCTTCAACTGTTTTTCAGCATAATTTAGGAAATTAGACAGCTCGCAAGATAACCATAACCCAGGCCCACTAGAGCATTTTTCCAGAGGAACCACGGCATTGTTAACAGCATACCTAACATAGGACTCGTTTCCACATTAGTACAGCTGTGTGTAAACTCTCGCCCCCAGAGGGACCATCCATGATCGCCCGGTGATTTTTCTCCATCGTCAAAAATCTCAATTGCCGTGAGGTAGTTGATAATGTTTGTGTCATGGGTAAAACTCAACCAGACTTTGCATCAGGAGCTCGATAGACGAATTAAATGGAACTGATCCGACATCTGCACTTAAGGAGTTTCCAGCACCTTCCCCGTAGTAGCTGTTGAGGTCCAGGTTATAGGAGTAATGCACAAGCTCTTCTCTGGTGAAAATCTCGCACATCTGACTTTAACCACGAACATCTATCTCATAAGCACACCAGTTGAACAGGTTAGTGATATCACTGGTGGTATAATTCAGTCCTGCATTTTCCAAAGCCAACCGTTTACTGATTTCAACTAGGTAGTCTTTAGGAAATTTTGAATATATCGCAGCGTGTTCCGATTCGTTGCAGCTTTTACATAAGTTGTAAGGAGTCAAGGTATTGGCACCAGAACTTGCATCTTCGGAGATGATCTGTAAACTGACGATCAGCTTCTTTCATAGGGCTTGGCCATAGTACATGGCAGTGTCGTGGACCCTCTTGGAGTTTGAAGTGGAGATTGGAAGAGTAGTTGTAGTCTCCAGCAGCTCTCCGTAATGATACAAGAAGTCACGAGCATGTTTTTGAGCATCTTGTTGACCCGAGTACGGATTGATGGGGTCAATGATATTTTTGAAAGTAGTCAGTTCCTCATATTAGGTTGGATCGTTCAAAAAGAATTCGTACTTGTCATTTATGAAATACAGAGAGCCTGTGAAGTTAAGGTTAGCACTCTTTACTTTTTGATAGGTGCTCTTAATTTGCTGCCCCCTGTTCTTTGTCGGATATCTCTCTCCGTGTCTTGCAAACAATTGGATGTGCTTCATAGTGCATTTGTCTGGGACTTCTACCGAGATTTCTGTGTCCATAGAAAAGGTATTATAAGGAGCAGAACCACCAAAAAAAGGGAATATGTCCGTCTGTGTCCCTACAATGGTGACGTCTGCTGATTTTTCATTCTTTGAGACTGGTATTCCGTTTGCACCGGAAGCGAGAAGTCCGAATATTAGTGTATGGTACATTACTATGGGTCTTTGAGCTTGGCTAAGAAAGATGTGATACGGCAAGAGAACAAAAGTCTCAGTGCTGTCTTAAATACATCTGTGCTTGCACTTCAGCCGGGCCAAAAGCCTAGCAAAGGAGGAGAATCTCGACACACATCACCTTATTTTGCAAAAGATTTCCCTGTGGAACACTCCCTTCTGTGCATTTTGTTCACGCATTGCATCGAGGTATCCATGTCGTCCGTGTAACTAAACGATCGAAAGAATAATCAAAATGCTCATTGTCGGACAAAAAGTTCTTTTGACTTTCATCAACCGTGGGCGCCATCTGAGCTCAATGTACCGGAAGGTAGTCTGCTTTGCCAAGTGTTTGAAAAATAGGTATCCAACAACAGAAAGAAGAGTCGTACTAGTAAGAGAAGATTATCATCGAAATCGACGAGATGAGATTAATTAACGAATAATAAGAGATTTACTTCCTCCCTTTCCTTGCTTTAGTCGTGTTCGGCAATTCTTACCTCCGTCAGATCTATTAACCTCGATCCTTCAATCTAACTTACAATCCTCAACGGTCGCACAATAAGTAGTATTCAACATACTTTTTCGGGCCAAGACTAAAGTCGTGCCGATCGATGCGAAAGATAAAACACAAGTCAGATCTAAGTCTACAAGATAGTTTTTCTAGAACATGTGCAGCGGCACCCATTGTTTTGCAGAAGTATCGAAAGATCCAAATTCTTGACGGAACCCTGCCAACATGATTATCTTAAGTGATACAAAACTTGGCAAAAGTACATCTCTGTTTAGCCAAGAGATTGTCAATAATTGCGTCGATTTCAATTTTTCTCAAAAGGTAGGAAGCATGCAAACAGACGATGAATGAGAATGCCCAATTCACGGCTCGATCTGTAGCGCATCAAGAAATATATCTTGGGATTTGGAAATGACCATATATTTTTATTTTCTCTTCATGTACTCGCTTATATTCGGGAACGCCTGTGTAACATGCTTGTTGTGTTTCTTCTTGCATTTCTCGGATTCCTGCAGATCTTAGTACTTGCATCGCCACTTATTGCTGGGACTGGGTCTATAACAGATTTTTTGGATCCACGAGCAGGTTTTACCGAAGAAAGTGTCATATCCGCATTGGTTAGAGAGCTTAAATCCCTATCCAACAAGAATTCTTCAAAATGTGATCAATGTTTTACTAGACTCGCAATAGGCAAGTCTTTATCATTGCTGAAGCCTGAGCTGGTGCCGCCAGTTTTCACGCGTTGGTGTAAAGAGACAGAATATTGGTCAAACTCAACTTGTACATCAACTTTTGGCCGTAATACTGCTGCAACAAGTTACACAGGTACTAATTTTGCTGGTATGTTATCGCTCATGGATCCTTTTGGTTATGACGGCCAACTTTATTGTTACTACAAAGAGTCCACTTGTCCCAAACCTTAAACCCCCAACGTGACACTCTCACACATGTGGCCTCCGAAACAACAAAAGCATAATGTCGCCCCCGAACCCTCTGTAAATGATACGTTCAACGTTTTGCACATATCCGACTTTCACATCGAATGGGACTATACTGTGGGCACTGAATCAAATTGCACGGCTAGCATGTGTTGCTCGCCCAACTCCAAAAATGCAAAGCCTGGTACTCTACAAAACATTTCTGCCGTTGAGTGGAACTCCTTCTATGACTCTTACTATACAAACGAATCATTTGTGGAGGGACATCGAGTTGACGCCCTCGGAAATACATCAATTTGGGCACCTGCTACGACTTTCGGTAGCTATACTTGCGATGTTCCCAAAATTTTGCGCAATTCGTCTTTGGGCTCAATCGCCAACTTCAGCCAAGAGCGCGATATCCAAATTGATTTTGCCATCTCCACAGGGGATCTGGTAGATCATGACGAACTGACTTTGACGAGTTTAAACCTGACCATCGAATCAGAAAAGTAGTGTTCAGAGATATCAAGAATAGATTTGGTAACGTTCCCGTATATTCCGTTATGGGAAATCACGATTCATATCCTTATAGAGAGCTGGCTCAAGAAAACCATGGATTCCTCAACTATTTCTCGTACAACGCAGAGCTCATGACTGATCTTTGGGAAGATTATGGCTGGCTTGGTCCTAAAGAGTCTCAATATGCGAGGAAGCACTACACTGTGTATTCTGTTGAAACGCTCAAGGGGTTGAAGATCATTTCTCTTAACTCTAACGTGTGGTACAAAAAAAACCATTACGCATATTGGAACGCTTCACAGCCCGACACTTTTGGCCAGATGCAGTTCTTGGTTGAGGAGCTGGTAGAAAGCAATGCCAAAGACCAAAGAGTATGGATAATTGCGCATATTCCGTACTTGCAAGAAGCCCTTCCTCTTCCTGCTAAGATGGTTTGTAGAGGTTGTTGAGCGGTTTTCTCCTTACACCATCGCCAATATCTTTTTCGGCCACATCCACAACGACCAATTCCAGATTTTGTGTTCGGCTCCGGGAGCTGATGCCAGACCGTGGAAAATGTTGTTGCTTCGGCACGGATCTCACAGGCAGTCACGCCATGGATCTACAACAATCCTTCGTGGAGGTATAACACCATCGACAACAAAACGTTCTCAGTTATGAACGCTTACAACTACTACACTAAGCTCAACGAGACCTTCACAAACAACGGCAAAGAGCCCTTGTGGGAATTCGAATACTCATCTCGGGATGGTTACAACATTACTTGGCCTGAGACGGCTCCCTTGAACGCCGATTATTGGCGCAATGTGGCCAAAAAAAGATTAACGAACCTGTGGAATACAATCAGTTATACGAAAACTTCGCTATGAGATTCTAGCCATTTGTTCCTGATTGTAGTAAATCATCTTCTTGTGATCTGGATTTCTGTTACCGGACGTCATTCACCGTTGATGATTATGATAGTTGCGTTGCACAAGTGGCTAAACCATCTTCGTAGATTCCTTTTTGGGGCTCTGCTTGATTACCAACGAAGCTTAAGTTGGGACATTTAAAGAGACATTTTGGTACCATGATCGCAATCCCTGTGTGATTTCCGTGTTTACCCACTTCAGCGTCAGTCCGCAGCATTATATATGATGAGCAATGAGATCTAATTGTTTTTGAAATTTTTTAGGTAATACGATACCAGCTGAATTGTTAAATCATTTAGAGTAGTTGCTGACGAAGAACAATGATCGCTTGCTGCTTACCCTAAGTGGAAGAGACTCAAGAGTGCTTCATGGTAGCGGTCTATAGTCACCTCATCGTCGGACACCCTGCTATTCTATAAAAGCCATAACATTTGTTTGTGAATTCCGTGAATCACTGAGAACCTGGCCCTTGAGACCAGGAAAGATACTCAAAATGCCTTCGCAAGAGCACTTTGCAATTGAACGGTTTATGGACGAATATGAGGAAAACGTCGATTTTAATGTTGCAGAAACGTGCTGCCACTCTTTGACTCTCAACGAGCTACATAAATTATGCGATGAGAAATTCGAGCTCAACTATGACAAACGGCTTACTTACGGCTCGATTTGTGGATCTCCCGAACTGCGTTCACTCATTGCCAAAATTCATTCGAGCCAAAATGTGCAACTGACCAAAGAAAACGTCTTGATCACAAACGGGGCCATCGCCGCAAACTTTTTAGTCAGCTATGCACTCGCAGGACCTGGCGATCATGTCATCTGTGTTGCCCCCACTTATCAGCAGCTCAGCAGTGTTCCACGCATGTTTGGCGCAGACGTCGACATTTTGTGTTTGAAGGAAGTAGATGGCTACCTACCACATATCGCGGAGTTGACAGCAATGATCAAACCGAACACGAAACTCATTGTGCTAAACAACCCAAATAATCCACTCGGCAGCGTGATTCCTACTGATCTTTTGGAAAAAATCGCGACTGTTGCTGATGACAGAAACATCACTGTGCTGTGCGACGAAGTTTATAGCCCTCTGTTCCACTCCTGCGGGCAGCCCAAATCCTTTGTTCAGCTGAGTGCCCGAGGCATCGTGACAGGCTCCATGTCCAAGGCATACTCGGCTGCTGGAGTTAGATTGGGCTGGATAGTTTCGCGGGATACCAAATTCTTGGAACAAGCCGCATCAAGGAGGGACTACAACACTATTTCTGTGTCAATGGTGGACGATGAAATTGCGCATTATATTCTCAGAAATCGTGACGCTGTTTTGAAGCGCAATTATACTCTGTGCACCGAAAATCTTGCTACTCTCAAAGATTTTGTCAAGTCGTCAAACGGAAAATTCTCCTTTGTGCATGAGCCGGAGGGAGGATCTGTGTGTTTGATACGAGTCTCTGGGATTGAAGACACAGAAGCATTTGCTCGCAGCTTGGCGACACACTACAAAGTACTGTTTGCACCGGTCGAGTGTTTTGGCATTCCAGGCACACTTCGGGTTGGATACGGGAACTCAAACCTCGAGCTTACAAAGGGTTTGGAGCTTTTGAATAAGGCGTACAATGGAGAGCTAGAAAAGTAGATTCTAACACAGATATGACTCAAGAGCAACCAGTGTGGTGCTTACGTGAACTTAGCGTACCAAAAATAGCAGATTTCGAACCAGCACAGAAGCTTTTGCAATCGTGCAACAATGCTATTCCACTCTCAGCCTCCAAAAGTGAAGAAAAGAAACTTACCGGCCATGATGTATTTTCATTCCTTGGAAGCATACTTATATATCTTGATTCGGTGGATATCATTTACTAATATTCCCAGCCAAGACTCCCAAAAAGCCAAAACATCATAGGAAATTATTGTGCAGTGACGTAGTCGGCTTCACGAATCAACTTCAAGGAAAAGAATCTGTCGCCGCTTTTTCATTAACGTTAACAATATATTCGTAGATGAAAGCCACTGTTGTGAGATGGGCAGACACTGGAATGTGTTCATCCACCGAATGGACAACTCCCACATTTGAGGGGCTGGATATTACCAAAGATCTGTAAATGTTTTCTGTTAGATTCCAGTAATACTTTGTGTCGCTGTTTGCAGATATTGTGTTCGTAGTGATATAAAGTTCATTTTCTGGAGTGTGCTTGAAAACACCATTTTCGTAAACATTTTGAATGGTACCGGTAAAAATATCCCAAACAGGAGAGCCCTCTGTTGGTGAATAAGGTGATGGGTTCAAACCTTTGAGGGCTTCAATTTTGATGTAGCCTAGTTCTGTCGGAGCTATTTCTTCCCTGTCGCCAGCGAAAAACCCATATCCATATTTCTCGGCAATTTGCTTGGCTATTTTAGCATCTCTTTCGAATGTCTCATCCACAGAGGATTTTAAATCTATTCTATGATTAACCAGAAACTTAGTCATTTCTGGAAGGGCGTTGGCTTTGATACCCCCATGGAATACATCTACTGCTTGAGAAGTTCTCATCAGCTCTCTCATTGAGGGAACCTGAGATGTAAACTCGATCATCTTCTTTCTTTGTTTGTCGTCGTAGGGAGCATCTAAGACAGCATCTCTGAACTCTGAAGGGAACTTGCTATCATGCTCAGCCACACAGGTCAAGTATCCATAGAACGCACTATCTAGACCCATGTCAAACAAGAAGGGGTTGTTCTCTAGTGTTAGAACAATATCTGATGCTACTCCAATTGTTGTGTGCTTTGGAGGAATCGAAGAATGTCCTCCAACACCACTCACTGTAAATTGGACATCGACGTATCCCTTCTCTTGTACTATTGGTGCAGCAATGAAGACGTTTTCGTCAATTTCTTGAACCATCGCGCCTTCATCGACTATGGAGTAGATTCCATTTTTACCGTAGCGTTCTTCAAAGAATGGAGCCAGAGTGCGAGCTCCTTGAAGACCTGCTGTTTCTTCATCGAATCCGAATGCAATAATGACTGTTCTCTCGGGAACAAAGCCGTCTTTCAATAGTTGTTCGACTGCCTCCAATTCTGCAATCAGCATTGTCTTACAGTCAAGCGCTCCTCTTCCCCAAACAGTGTCGGTCTCTTTATCGTAATGGCCTGAAAAGGGCGGGAACTTCCATTTTGAAATGGTTTCTCTCTCGACTGGGACTACGTCCTGATGCGCTGTAAAAAGCATAGGTTTCAACAACGAATTTTTGCCTTCCCATGTGTATACAAGGTTAACTAGGTTAACCTTTTCAACTTTTAGGTGCCGGTAGGTCAGAGGAAAAGTCTCAGAAAGATAATCATGGAGTTTGAAGAATTCCTCATAGTACTCCAGGTCGTCATGTGGGCTTGGATTATCGTCATAAACCTCTGTTGGTATCTGAAGAGCGCCACTGAGTTTTTTGATAGATTGTTCCTTGAACTGAGGGTCTTCAAAAATAGCTCTTACAGAGTTGCCGAATGCCGGTGTAATTGCATCGATTTTTCCACAGTAGTTTGTTTCGCGGCGTACATAATTGTTTTTGGCCAAATGCGACATACTAACAGCTGCTCCAAAGCACAATGCAAGGATTACGCTGATAATGGTCCTCTTTTTCTTAAAAAAGGGCTCTTTGCGTAAAGAGACACCGGTAGATTTGAAGTCGTACGACATACTTCGAGTCAGTGATGTGATGGCTGCATAATCAACACGTATCGAAACATACAGCACTGCGCAACGGCTTTTTTATATGATTTCTCCATGGCGTATAATCTATGTATCTTTCGCTGATGTTGTTCCAATTATGACTTAAAGCTGACTATCAGTTTTCAGCTCATCTGCTGGTGCGGACGAGAACAACTTTTTCGAAAATATAAAAATCAACTACTGCGGAGGAGAAAATATGAGTTACAACGCGAACTGCGGGCGAGAGATCATTGAAAGTCCTTTCAGTTTAAAAGAGACGGAGTGTCCAACTTCATTTGCCTATACATTTAGATAAGGCTTTGCTTGCACATAATGGACTTGATTCTATCTGTAAGAGATGGCCTGCGTGAGAGCGGACGTGAAAGCTTGATCAAAGGTGCAGTTGGGCGGGGGAAAATACCAAAGGAGAGGGAAGATTCGCACTTAAAAGTTTTATCTTCTTGTTAAAAGCATCCTGCCATCATCAATGGTAACAACCAAGGGGTATCTAATCTCATCTTCTTTATCGCGGGTTCGATCTTGTGGGAGCGATTCAAAGCTTATTTGAAGAGATGAGCATCGCTGTTCTTTCGGGTTTTGAGTTGATTTACTTACACTTTTCCAAAGCCAGATTTCTTCCAAGACATCAAGACACCCAAGCTTGAAAGACCATCATGGACAAGCAACCCAAAGAACCGGTGAAGACATCAATCGCAGACACTATAGACAATGAAGCCGGATCCCTCTCTGAACTGAACTGCGTTTTTTCGACCCAGCAACATGGCGAAAAAATTGTCGTTACAACTATCATGTCACCTAATGGCAAGGAAACAGAAATCACAGCCGATTTTGATGATGCGATGAAACTAGGCGTCCAAGCTATGGATATCGAACCAACACCCGAGGAATCCAGGAGGTTGGTTCGCAAAATTGATCTTTGTATGTTTCCTTTGATGTCACTCGTTTACGCCATTCAATTCATGGATAAGACAACAATTGGAACCGCAGCAATCATGGGACTTATTACAGATCTCAAAATGACCGGGGACGACTATTCATGGGCAGGCTCTGCTTTTTACTTCGGTTACCTTGGAGGGCTCTTCGTGCTTCCACCTTTGCTGCAAAAGACTCAATACTTCATGAAGTTTTTGTGTTCTATCATTATGTTGTGGGGCTTAATTCTAGCTTTACATTCTGCACCCAGCGTTAATTATGCTTCCTTTATTGTTCTTCGTTGTCTGCTAGGCTTTTTCGAAAGCTCAGTTACGCCTGCCTTTACTATCATCACTTCACAGTATTGGAAGAAGGAAGAGCAGTTTCTCAGAATCTGTATATGGTTTGGCTTCAATGGTTTAGGTGCAATGTGGGGCAGTTCGATGGCGTATGGCCTATATATCCGCGCCGGTACTTACTCTATCTCTGCATGGAAAATTGTTTTTCTTTCCACCGGATGCATTACAATTTTTGCCGGAGTCTTGATGATGCTTCACTTACCAGATTCTCCGCTAAAGGCGTGGTTTCTAACCAAGCACGAGAAACTTGTTTTGACTCAAAGAATTCGGGGCAATCAACAGGGTTTTGGTAATCACCATATCAAGAAACATCAAATTCGGGAAGCTTTAATAGATCCCAGAACATGGCTCTATTTTCTTTACTGCATAGCGGCTAATATTCCCAACGGGGCTTTGACAAACTTCCAATCTATACTTTTCAAGAGTGATTTTGGGTATACAACGAAAAAGACTTTGTTGGTTTCAACTGGAATAGCAGCTGTTGAATGGGGTGGCTTGCCTTTACTTGGTTTTGCGTCTTATTATTGCTCTAAGAAACAAGTGAAGTACTTGGAAAGTCGATTGATTTGGTCGATAATTTCGCTGCTTATCACGTTCATGGGAATGTGTATGTTGGCGTTTGCAAATGACAGCAAAAATGCAAGGCTTGCTGGACTTGCACTCAACTACATATCACCGTTAGCTTTTATTTGTGTTCTTGCCAATATCTCAGCTAACACCCTTGGTTATACAAAAAAATGGACTGTTTCTTCGACAACTTTGATCGGTTATGCAGCAGCCAATCTTGCTGGTCCTCACACCTTCATCAGCTCCCAAGCTCCTCATTACACAGGGGCTAAAGTAGCGCTTGTTGTTTGTTATGGCGCGTGCATCGTCATCATCGCTGCTCTATATGTCTTGAACGCAAATGAAAACAAGCGGAGAGACAAGCTGGCTTTGGAAAATCCTCCTCAGTCTGATATGAAAAACATTGAGTTTGCAGATCTTACTGATTTTGAGAATCCTTACTTTCGTTACACTTTATGATAAACTTGAACAAGTTTGTGACTTCCTTTAGGTATTTTATACTTTATTTTTGTCTCGAAAATCTCGCGGGCGGTGGTGCTGGGAACCTCTAGAACAAAAACGGCCTTCGAGTTACCGAATACAAGAGTTAGATTTTTTAACGTCGCTGACATACCAGATTTTGAAGTTATTTTTGATGTCGGCATGCTCAAAACTCGTTATGACGCTTCTAGAACAAGGTTTCAATGAAAGAAATCATTGTTTTGTGTTGACTTTGTTCGAACCTTTTGCGCAAGGCAGCACGTTCCTTGATTAATACTAAGCTTATATTCAGTGGTTCCTCGTTTAAAAAGAATGACATTCATAAACTGTAAATTCTATTACTTTTCGAAAAGAGCTAGCCTAATGCTATGCTCTTTATCTTGCTTTCTTTGTTATCAACTTTGATTTCAATGCGGATACCTCTTTGAATGTATTTTGTACCTTTGGAGGCCAAAGACACTCAATCTCATACAGAACCTGGAAACACTTTTCGACTAATACGACACGCAAGTCCCCAGAATAATAGTCGATTTTTGAGCTTTTAGTATAGTACACTGTCTCTTTTAATCCCATAAAGTTTACGCATGCGTTTGGATATCTTTTCAAATGGGATAAAACTATAACTATCGGCTCAAAAGGGTACGTGTTCCTCAAGAACCATAGACTCTTTGTGCCTTGCTGAAGTGCGCACGAAATCTTCAAGAACGACTCATTTACTAAAAGCAGTGATTGTATAATCAAATCCCTGTTGTTGAAAATGCTTTCTGAACTCATTTTTTTCCATTTGCCTTGTGCATTTGAGCTTAAGTAGGCAAGCATACGCCCCGCTCTTCTCAGGAAGAGCCAGCTCTCATTGTAAGACCAGGCCTGATCTGATTGGAAGGAAGCGGACAGCTTTGAAAGCCTCTCGTTGATTAAATAGATCTCTTGTTCAGCTTTCTCGAATGCCCTTCTTTTCTCTTCCACATCATCTTGGCTCAACAATTCGACACCGCTTAGTTTGGTCTTAATGTCTGCGCATAAGCGGGCTGCACGAAATCTAGCAATAGCGGCTAATGTAGAAGGATCGCTAGGAAGGTTTTCCGTTCCCTCGTAGATCTCATTTGAGGTTAGATCAGCTTGCGTAGGAAGTCCTGTATAACAGGTAACAATGGAGTCAAGAAAGACAACAAAAGCATACACAACCTCTTTCAAAGGAGTTTCTGATAGTTGCGATGCTTTTCGATGTAGCCCTGCCATTTGACTATAACGGAGCAAAGTGGAAACTTGTACAGCAAGCTCGTTACAATTTAATGATGCCACGTAATACATCATAGCAAGCGAAGATATTGCTGGTATGGATGGGTTGTAATTTGTCAAGAGGAGAACTTTGATATTCTCAACGCACTCAAAATACTCAGACGCAAGTTCCAAAAACCTCGAGTCGCTATTAGGTGCTTCATTATTTCTGCACTGATACAGCTCATCAAGGTGTAGAGAAAAAGAGCTGGAAAAGAAAACCGCAAAGAATGTTATCATTGCATTCAAATCTTCAAAGGACGAAGGTTCTCTTAAAAACAGCTTCCATTTTATTATTAAGTTCATTTCATCAATTATAGGAACAAGAGGAAATATTGAGTCCATGAAGTGAGTAATGAGATAATTTCCTAAATTCTCGTCGGGCATTTTTGACCTTAAGTCCTCAATGCCCAGTCGACTGGTAACCAGCTGTGAGAAGTCAAATATGCACGTTTCGCTGTCATCATCCGTCTTCTTTTTGATCAAATACGATACAATCGAGGCGAGATCATAGAATGGAAAAAGGCTCTTGGGCACAAGAACAGATAATTCACCACTGCGGCTTGTGATTATCCTGAAATTGTTGTTTTCTTCATTTCTCCTGTTTTCATCTAGGAAATGTAACGTTGAGTCTTTTAACTCTTCTGAATCTGCTGAAGAGAAGGAGTTTCTGGGGCTAGTTTTAAGCTTTGCCAGATATACACATTTGAAGCCAAGCCTATCACACCGCGAGCAAACAGGTTTCTCTCTAGTGCACTTTCGTTTACCGTTGAAGCAGATTACACAGGCCTTAACGGGCCGATTTCTGGTTATTTGTCTTTTGTCCATCTTAAAAGTGTTGTAAGTCGATGTTGAGGAGAGTCAAAAAGGCTCCAAACCAGTTCGAAATTATATCAGAAAGACGGCAGTGATGACTACTCTTGGCACATCTCTTTTTTCCAAAATTGCAGATTTAGGTTACAATCAAGATAAGATAGTTGCAATGGGTGAAGATAATAACCGATAAGAATTCTGATTACTGAGAATGAATGATTCTGCTTAGCATAAATGGCAACGAGTACTTTTATAATCGTATTCATGGCATGACAAGTAATTATTGAAAGATTCTGAAGTGGGACCAGTGCGGGGAACTAGAAGTTTTGGATCGCAACTGCGCTCAGAGATATTCAATCTTTTTTGGTGCTAAGAAGCACCAGTCAATGAGTATGGTGCCTTGAATTGGTACCAGCTACTTGCGATTTGTTTAGATATGGTATTTGGCGAGATAAGCAGCCTTTGCAATTGGTCATGGTATTCAAATGCTCGCTCGAGTCGTTTGATGTAAGTTTCATGATATGTCAAGGCTACGATTTTGACCTTGCTGCATAATCCGAGCGTCATAGTCAGATATAGATAAGGTCCTTTAGACATTGTAAATTCGCATACAATTTCGAATAGAAAGGTACTGCTGCCAGAAACAGATTCAACGTCCCTTCAAAAACACATATGGACTTGCGATTCTGTTATTTCTTAGGTTCGTGACTTTCAATGAAGGAGCCTTGTTTTTCATTAAACGAATTTTACGAGTCTTTTCCTATTTGCTGCCCCAAGGCCGTTTCTCCTGTGAAGTACTTTCAATTGAAAATGGACATATTCAAGCAGCAAACTAGGCGTTCGACATAATCAAAGAAGTAGAAAGTACTGCTACTGATGACAGTGGCTTCCTAGCCAAGCGCTGTAGATAAGCTATGCTCTTTGACTATTGAGCATGCGAAAGTTGTCAGCGCAAAACAAAGAAGGCAAAATTTAAATGTCTTGTCGCATGCATACTGGTAACAGTCTAGCAAGGTTTGGCGTACAAAATCAGGACAACCGTTGTTCACCCAATCAGACGAATGCAAAGCCTTTTCAATAATAGAGGCAAGTTCCTGTTTGGAATGTCCACTACCATGAAAGCTCATCACAGATTTCGTGACAATGCTTCTTAAAGAGTTTTGGAATATCGCTGCACCCAGCGAGATACCAATGGTGCAGCCGGTTGTTCTAAAAGCATACGAGATTGACGTAGTAGCCGCATGATGTTTTTGAGGAACAGCAGCCATCATGGCCAATAACGTAATAGTAATCAACATTGCGCCGCCCAATCCTGGGACAGCTAAAAGAATAGACTGTCTCCACTGAGACATTTGTGGAGTGATAGAGATAATTTGGAGCTGTCCAATTATCAAAATGAGGCACGCTACCATCATAAGGTTGTAGTATTTTCCAAAACACTTCACATAATAGCCCGGCCCAAATGAACCTATGGACATGCTAAAGAAGCTGGCTACTGATTTTTGACCTATTTCAACTGGCCCTTGATTCAATACGCAAGACCAGTAGATTGGTAGATAGTAGTTCACTGTCATAAAACCCATCATACAAAACCAATTTGCGAGACTGGGGCCTAAAACGCTTCTGTTTTTGAGAAAGGTAACTGGAAGAATGGGGTCGTTTGTCCAGTATATCTCGGCATAGACAAATACAACACCAGAAACACATACTGCAATGAAAAGCAGAAGGAACTTCATGGAACGATATGGTATGTACTGGCCGCCTACCGTTATTGTCACCATGAACATTAATAGAAACAATATCAAAGTTACGACACCATACCAGTCTACCTGCTTGAGCTTGTGAGATACAGAAGATCCTTTCGCGAGGTTTTTGTCACCAGCTAAGTGCAAGAAAGCGATAATCATGGTGCAGCTCAGAAAACAGAAGGGCAACTGAATAAGAAAAGCCATTCTCCAGCCACCCCCATATTCGCTGAAGAGCCCACCAATCAATCCCCCACAAGCAGTCCCTAAAGCGTAGAAAAAGTTCCCAGCGCCTTGATATACCGCTCTATTCCGAAGAGGAATAATGTCACTTAAAGTAATTGTGCACATAGACGTGAGACCACCACCTCCAATTCCAGTGATGAGTCTTCCCAATATCAACCACCATATGTTGTAGCTCAAACCGCATATCAAGCAACCAAAGAAAAACACTATGTTGCTGAAAACAAGCAGTGGCTTCCTTCCAAATATATCTGAAATCTTTCCAAACAGTGGCTGGAAAACAGCGCAGGCAAAGATATACGACGTGGCTACCAGAGATATTCTGGGCATCTCATTGAACTCGGATCCTATATGGGGCAATAGCGTAGATACAACTGTGTTATCAAGGGCAGCAAGAAATATTCCTATGAACATTGATGCAGCTATAGTGAAAATGCGTTGCTGTGGTAGTTCTGAGGTGGTTCGGTCATTGACGATATTGCTTCGGGAACTAGCGGAATCAGAACTAGAATGATACCACTCATTGTTTTGCGCTAAACTGACTTTAATTGACTCAAAAGAAGGTGTACTAGTTTCTGAATCCTCAACTATATCTCTCAATGCTGGCTCAAAGAGATGGGTTGTCTCACTAGGTGCATTTCCAGCTCTGCCTGATTTCTTCATAGTTGGTGAGTGAGAGTGCTAAATTTCAAGAGTCTAACCACCTTTGAGATTGATGGAAAACATGATAAATATATCTAAAGATTCAGATACTCTAATTAGTTTAGCCATTGCCTCTTCGGCTTTCTAAATCGTTAGAATCGAAGCTTTTGTGAGCGGTGTGTGTTATCTTTCGTGGTGTGTGTGCAATTGGTATGATCATTATTTTTCGCCCGCAGAGGCTAAAAGTTATTACATTGTGCGAATAGGTACTGGCCTTTCTCGCCCGCAGACAATGGTATATATCTCTTTGTTAGCATGAGATCTGATTCTTCTCGCCCGACTTATCAAGTTTCAACCCCGCCTTGCTGTGCTCAGAGATGTCTACCATTTTAGACTCTTGGAAGACAAGGCTGAAGATAAGGTAACTTTTAGTTGACGAAGCGGAGTCTGAAGTAAAGAGCCTATGATTTGGTGATATCATGCGGGGATAAATTCAAAAGCTTATTCACGTTCCGATTCCTTAAATCATGTCTCTCAATCTACATCTCAAAACCTGTTGCACTACGGAACTCTCGCTTTAGTAAATGGGATAACGAAATGAGAAAGACACTCTTAGCAGCAGGCGATGTGTTTTTTTGCATATCAATGAATATGATGTCAGTCCCAGTGATGCACTGCATCTAATGCTAACGTCTAAAGAACATCACATCTGCTACTGCTTGATGTTTTTTTCATATCATTGGTCTTTTTACCCGTGAACAAAACATATGTAGAAAAACTATGTGTTGACTTCTGCGTAGACGATGAATATCTAGACGAGAGAGCATCAAGTTCCTTTTCGAGATCTGGTATAATGGCAAGGTGAGTATTTCTTGTAAAACGGCACTCAATGTTTGTCTGCCGTTTCTCTTCGACAATATTCAGATCATCTGGCTTGGCCAAGTCTTCTAGTTTTGTTCACAGCTTCAAAGTTCCTTTTTTTCGACTGTAAACCGACAATTGTAAGTGTGAAGCCATACATGACCGTCTCCAGACTACTGTGGGTTGTCCAGCGCCAGATCATCTTATACTAACGTGTCACTTGGACCTTGACGCTGTCATATATCAATGATATGATCACAATTTGACAACTAGACACCCAAGAAGCTCTATCTTGTACAGAAAGTACGCTTGCTTTGACTACACGATTTTGTCGTAGAGATCCAGACTGCCGAGTCAAACTCATGACAGTTCTGCACCCTGAAAGGGCTGCATAACAGGATCATCATAATGTTATACAAAACAATGGGTGTATATATGATAAATGGGTGCAGATGTGATGTTAAGTTTCCTGTGTCTTTCAACAAAGGTGAATATTCTCTGATTCTATAAAATAGATGGTTTCAACGGTTGAGATCAGGTATTTGAGTTCAGGACTCTGAAAGCCAGGGCGTATTATTCGGAACAATGAACAATCACAACGCAAGACCGAGCCATGCGGATTCAAAAGACGACTTCCGTGTCGACACTGAGAAAGTAACACCTGAACTCCCTTTGAAAATTACGAAATCATTGGTGATTCGTAAAACAGAAATAATGGCGGCACAGTATCATCGCTGGTATCACCATGCCATCATACTTCTTTCCGCGTTTATATGTGGATACGGCTACGGACTCGATGGTAGCGTTCGATATGTCTACACGAGCTATGCGGTTTCTTCGTATTCCGACCATCCTTTGATATCAACAATCACAGTGGTAACCGCAATTATAAGTGCAGCTTCTCAAATTGTATTCGCGAGACTATCTGATGTGTTTGGCAGATTATCACTGTTTATTACAGCTCTTATATTTTACGCGGTCGGCACCATCATCCAAAGTCAAGCTACAGACGTTCAGAAGTACGCTGCAGGAGCTGTCTTTTGGAGCACGGGATACGTGGGTCTTCTGCTCATATTGATTCTGATTCTGTCAGACTTTTCATCTTTGAGATGGCGATTAGTCTACCAATTTGCTCCTTCGTGGCCTTATATTATCAACACTTGGATTGCTGGCACTGTGACAGCTCGTGCAAACCCACAAAAGCACTGGTCATGGGATATTGCCATGTGGACTTTCATTGTCCCACTATCCGCAGTTCCAATGATACTCTGTATGCTGCACATGAGACTGAAAGCCAGAAAGACTGAGCAGTGGGCGGCCCTTAAAGATGAAAAGAGTTTTTATCAAAGCCACGGTCTTCTTCGGACATTATACGAACTATTCTGGAAGCTAGACATCGTTGGTGTTGTGTTGATGACAATTTCTGTGGGGTGTATACTTGCACCTCTAACCTTAGCAGGTGGAGTCAAATCCAAATGGTCTAATCCTCATTTAATTGGCCCTTTGGTTCTGGGATTTGTCCTTCTACCTCTTTTCATGGTTTGGGAGAGCAAAGCTGCTAGACATCCAACTGTGCCCTACGGTCTAGTTAAAGACCGCGCAGTTTGGGGTGCGCTGGGGTGTCAATTTCTAATTGGATTTATCTACAACGCTGTCGCTGGATACATTTACACCATTCTTATTGTTGCAGTAAACGAATCTGTGAAGTCGGCTACAGTTATATCGTCACTGTCAAGCTTTGTGTCCACGGTTGCATCCACGTTCTTTTCGCTATACATCACAAGGTGTACCAAGCTCAAGGGCTACATAGTTGGAGGATGTGGCATCTGGATGCTTGCGATGGGACTTTTTTACCACTACAGAGGTGGCGAGTTTGCGCATTCTGGAATCATTGGAGCGATGGTTATATGGGGTCTGGGCGACACTCTACTAATCTACCCAACTACAATATCTGTTCAGTCAGCTACTTCACACGATAACATGGCGACTGTGACAGCTTTGAATTACACACTTTATCGTATTGGTTTGGCCACAGGTGCTGCCGTTTCGGGTGCCATTTGGTCCCAGACTTTATACAAGGCCCTGCTTTCAAGGCTTCAAAGCGTTGAGCAAGCATCAGCAGCCTATAGTACACCTTTTGAATTTATTTTGACCTATACCTGGGGAACTCCTCAAAGAAATGCTATGGTAGAAGCTTACAGGCATGTCCAGAGGTATGAGTCAATTGTGGCCTTGGTTTTCACGGTGCCGCTGTTATTTTTTGGCCTTTGCCTGAGGGATCCTCCATTGACTGATAAAGTTGCCCAGGAAGATATAAGTGATGGGGAGTTCTTGGACAAAACTCATGATGATCCAATCGCTGAATGGCTAGCAGGAAAATACAGGCGGTTAATTGGCAAAGTTTTGTAGCCCAAATATACGGATATACATGTTTTACATCTTTATTTTGTCCCATGAACAAACAGTAAGCCTTTAAAATCTGGTAAATCCAACTACTGAGTAGTAGTGAAATACAAGCAGTTGGCAAGCACAACTCAGTAGCTAAAATGTTCAGATATAGATACTTGAGATTGCCACGTCACGTTCAGAGCAGGCTATCTTGGTGTATAACAAGTGTTGACAACCAGTGACTCATGCTAAATTTGATCTCTCGACCGCAGGTACAGTATCCGTCGGTCGGCTATGTTCACGAAGTACATAGATATGAATTACTCCAGCGGTCGAGTAGTAATGTATACAGCAAAACGAGCAATAGACCTTACTGGCTTTCACAAGTGCATTTGAGTTCATAGGCCATATAAAGCGTACTATGTTGAGAGACTCAAGTTGGAAGCTAGCAAGCGGATTTTGTTGACAATTGACCGCAAAGATGACTGTGACAGGTTTAGATGCTAGCAAAGTGAAAATCTCCCTTGTGGATACCCCGTCCAAGCCACGACTCAACGACGAGTTAGTCTTCGGGAGGACATTCACAGACCACATGTTGACCGTGGAATGGACTAAGGAAAAAGGTTGGGACGTGCCAGAGATCAAGCCATATGGCAACCTCATCCTAGATCCTTCTTGTGCTGTGTTCCACTACGGATTCGAGCTGTTTGAGGGTTTAAAGGCCTACAAGACTTCGGACAATCAGGTTACGATGTTCCGCCCAGATATGAACATGAAGCGTCTCAACAAGTCTGCAGCAAGAATCTGCTTGCCCATTGTGGACCCAGAGGAGCTTATCAAGCTGATGGGCAAGCTCATCGAGCAAGACAAACATCTGGTGCCTGAGGGCCGCGGTTACTCTCTATATCTTAGACCAACCATGATAGGGACCACTGCTGCGCTCGGCGTGAGTGCACCAGACAAAGCCCTCCTGTTCGTTATTGCATCTCCTGTGGGACCTTACTACAAAACTGGTTTCAAAGCTGTGAGACTGGAGGCTACGGACTACGCTACCAGAGCATGGCCCGGTGGTGTGGGCGACAAGAAACTGGGTGCAAACTATGCACCATGCGCTCTGCCTCACCAACAAGCTGCTGCAAGAGGCTACCATCAGAATCTTTGGCTATTTGGGCATGAAAAGAACATTACCGAAGTGGGTACCATGAACGTGTTTTTCGTTTTCAAAGACGCTGTCACTGGCAAGAACGAGCTGGTGACAGCGCCCTTGGACGGTACTATTTTGGAAGGTGTTACGAGAGACTCAATTCTAACTTTAGCCAAGGAAAACTTGAGCTCCGAAGAATGGACTATCTCTGAGCGCTACTTCAGCATCAGAGAAGTTGAGGAGAGAGCTGCTAAAGGTGAATTAGTCGAAGCCTTTGGTTCTGGTACCGCTGCAGTTGTCTCCCCCATCAAGGAGATCGACTGGAAGGGAAGTGCCATTCACGTTCCTCTTCAGCCTGACAAGCAGACTGGAGCTCTGGCCGAGCGAGTGGCTAGATGGATCGCTGACATCCAGTAGGGTGAGGCGAAGTACGAAAACTGGTCTCGCATTGTTGCTTGAGCTTCAGTTTCCTAGTTTGACAAAAATTGGCTTTGGATCTCGTAGAATCGCTACTATTTAGATCTCTATCGACTCTTTCAGAATTTCTGGTGCTAGTCCTCTAGTGTGTTTACGGCTCTGAACAATCACACTATATACAATATGCACATATATGCTAGATGCTGCGAGATACTGCGGGATACTGCAAGATGCTGCAAGATACACTTCCTATGTGGTCAAATTCATTGTATGTATCTGTACATCTCTGAGCATATGCCTCGAGAATTACACGATTTGAGTATGAACTCGCAATATGAATTTACAAGGTATGACTTGTATAGGCTAAACAAAATGATAAACCGATGTTTACTATGAAAAACCATGTTTCACCAGCAGTTTGACCTGCCTCTTATTTGATAAATGAGAGATAAGTGCTACACAGACTTGATTTAATGAAAAACATCTAATGGAAGTAGATTATTATGAGTTTCTATTCTATCTACAAGTTCGTAGTATATCTTTGCAGGGTATCTTGGTGAATGCAATCACAACAGAACTAGCGGGAAAACCAAAAGAAGACCAGCCTTTAGCTGGTTGGCCGTGCCTTCGTAAAATGAAACACCTGCCGTGGTAGAGACAGCAGAAAGAGAGGACGAATATTGGACCTCAAGAGTGGAAGAAGGAGATTGAGTTGTGTAAGATCCCTGGGCGCCTGTCACGGCGCTAGCGCCACTGTAGACTTTAGAAGGCCCGGCAGAGTTTGACCGAGATTCTGGAGCAGTTTCGGTGTTTGCTGTAGAACTTTCCAAAACAGCACTACTGGCATATGTGGTTTTAATGCTAGCTTCGGTGCTAGTGATGACAGCTTCGGAGTTGCCTGAAGCAGTAGTGACGGTCTGGTTAACAGGTCTTACGGAGCAGGTTGTCGTGTAAATGGTGGTTGTTCCAGACACAGTCTCAGTCACGGTGGACTTTGTGTAGGCAAGTGTGCTAGAAGACAAGTGGGACTCACTTATTAGTCCTGACGTGGTCAAACAAGGTGCGAAACTAGCAGCAGAGGGGGCACTGGACTTGAAGCTGTTTGAGCCGGTGGAAGCTGGCTTCGAATCGCTAGTTGGCATTGTGCCAGAATGGGAAGTCACCAAGTCCGTGCCGGTAGAAACGAGAGCTGTTTCGAAACTTTCAGAGCCAGATAAACTTGCAGTGACTTCTGATATAGGGCAAGTTGTGGTGAATGAGATTAAAGTACCAGACTCTGTAATTGTAACAACTTGATCGGTTAGCGCTGGGCCTGATGTCACCGGAGTAGATTTCTGGGTTACTGAACTTGGGATGGATGTTGATGTAGTCTCGAATACCACTCCAGTATTGGAGCTAGTCTCGACATTAATTAAAGTGCTGGCGTGAGCAGTTTTGAAACTTTCAGAGCCAGATGTACTTGCAGTAACTTCTGTAACAGGGCAAGTCGTGGTGTCTGAAGTTATAGTACCAGATTCTGTGATGGTGACAACTTGCTCCGTTAGCGCTGGGCCTGACGTCACCGGTGTAGATTCCTGAGTTAGTGACCTTTGGACGGTTTTTGGCGTAGTCTCGGATACCACTCCAGTGTTGGAGCTAGTCTCGAGAAAATTACAGGTGAATGAATTACTGGACCTGGCTGATGTGGTCTCAAAGGACACCGACGAACCAATTGTGGCATGGGCCGATCCAGATGTGATAGGAGTGGTCTCGGAGGTCACAGAATATCCAGAGGTGACTGTAGAAACAATGGTGACCGAATCACCAGGGGAAGCTGGAGTGCCCGAGATGATTGAAGTATTGAAGGTTGCCGGGGAACCAGAGGTGACTGAAGAGATGTCGGAGGACGCTGCTGTACCCGAGGGTGCTGCTGTACCCGAGGACGCTGGACTATCAGAGGTGCTAGAGGTACTGAAGGTAACGGGAGAGCTAGAGGTCACTGAAAAGATCTCGGAGGTCGTTGGATTACCAGAGGACGCTGGATTGCCAGAGGTCACTGGAGTACTGGAGGTCTCTGGAGTACTGGAGGTCTCTGGAGTACTGGAGGTCTCTGGAGTACTGGAGGTCTCTGATGCAGTTTCTGAGAGACTTGGGGTGCCTGAGAGTGTAGGAACACCAGACGTAACCAAACTGTCAGAAGGTACAAGAGAGCTCTCAGAGCTCAATGGAGTACTAGATGTAGGTGTAACAGAGATTGAAGACACTAGGCCGGAAGTAAACCCATTATCAGCTCTGCTGGTAGTGTTCTGGTAGTATGGAGTACTTGGCAAAGACGATGCAAAGGTAGCACTGGTTGATAGACTACTCCCCAGAGCCGAAGACCGCGAGAGTGTGACTTTCGAGCTTGAATCAGAAGACACAGAGCTCAAGGAGAGCTCAGGCATTGAAGTTGGGCAATTGGTGGTGAAGATGGAAATTGACCCAGAAATTGTGCTGGTCACAACATTATGACAGGTGGACAAAGATTCAGAAGCCATTGAAGAGCTTAAGCTTAATTGGAAATCAGTCTTTGAGTTTGAAATGCTGCCAATACCAGTGCTAACACTGGTAGAGGTATGTTCGGCACTCGAGATACCATTAGGCGTAGAGCTCTGAGATTGTGAGCTTGGAGATGTATTCGTAGAGTCGGTAATAGCAGTTGGAGTCTCAACGTAGTAAATGGTCTCGGTAGTAGGGATACCGTCTGAGCCAGTGAAGGTGGTCAATTCGGTGGAGTATGTCGATGTAACAGATCCAGTCCACCCGGTAGTGGTGGTGGACTCGATTCCGACCACTGGGGTCTCGACATAGTAAATGGTCTCGGTAGTAGGGATACCGTCTGAGCCAGTGAAGGTGGTCACGTCGGTTGAGTAAGTCGATGTAACAGATCCAGTCCACCCGGTAGTGGTGGTGGATTCGATACCGACCACTGGGGTCTCGACATAGTAAATGGTCTCAGTCGTTGCAATTCCGTCAGATCCAGTGAAGGTGGTTAGTTCAGTAGTATAGGTCGAAGTGACAGTCCCAGTCCAACCGAGAGTCGTGGTGGAGCTGATTTCAACAACTGGAGTCTCTACGTAGTAGATGGTCTCGGTAGTTGGGATACCGTCTGAGCCGGTGAAGGTGGTCAATTCGGTGGAGTATGTCGAAGTGACAGATCCAGTCCAGCCGGTAGTGGTGGTCGACTCGATTCCAACAACGGGAGTCTCGACATAGTAAATGGTCTCGGTAGTGGGGATACCGTCTGAGCCAGTGAAGGTGGTCAATTCGGTGGAGTATGTCGAAGTGACAGATGCAGTCCAGCCGGTAGTGGTGGTGGATTCGATACCGACCACTGGGGTCTCGACATAGTAAATGGTCTCGGTTGTTGCAATACCATCAGATCCAGTGAAGGTGGTCAATTCGGTGGAGTATGTCGAAGTGACAGATGCAGTCCAGCCGGTAGTGGTGGTGGATTCGATACCGACCACTGGGGTCTCGACCNTAGTAATGGTNCGGTTGTTGCAANACCATCAGATCCAAGGTGAAGNGGTTAGGTTTCAGTAAGTATAGGTCGAAAGNGACAGTCCCAGTCCAACCGAGNGTGTGGTGGACTCATTCCAACACGGGAGTCCTCGACCTATAGTTAAGTCGGTTCTTCGGTAGACGGGATAACCCTCTCAGGCCACGTGAAGGTAGGGTCGTACGTCGGTTGAGTAAGTCGATGTAACAGATCCCAGTCCCAGCCGGTAGTGGTGGTGGATTCGATACCGACCACTGGGGTCTCGACATAGTAAATGGTCTCGGTAGTAGGGATACCGTCTGAGCCAGTGAAGGTGGTCACGTCGGTTGAGTAAGTCGATGTAACAGATCCAGTCCACCCGGTAGTGGTGGTGGACTCGATTCCAACAACGGGAGTCTCGACATAGTAAATGGTCTCGATTGTTGCAATACCATCAGATCCAGTGAAGGTGGTCAACTCGGTAGAGTAAGTCGATGTAACAGATCCAGTCCAGCCGGTAGTGGTGGTGGATTCGATACCGACCACTGGGGTCTCGACATAGTAGATGGTCTCGGTTGTAGGAATACCATCAGATCCAGTGAAGGTGGTCAATTCGGTGGAGTATGTCGAAGTGACAGATCCAGTCCAGCCGGTAGTGGTGGTGGATTCGATACCGACCACTGGGGTCTCGACATAGTAAATGGTCTCGGTTGTTGCAATTCCATCAGATCCGGTAAATGTGGTCACGTCGGTTGAGTAAGTCGATGTAACAGATCCAGTCCAGCCGGTAATGGTCGTGGAACTGATTCCAACAACTGGGGTCTCGACATAGTAGATGGTCTCAGTGGTTGGGATACCGTCTGAGCCGGTGAAGGTGGTCAATTCGGTGGAGTATGTCGAAGTGACAGATCCAGTCCAGCCGGTAGTGGTGGTGGATTCACGTCTACATCTGGGGTCTCGACATAGTAGATGGTCTCAGTCGTTGCAATTCCGTCAGATCCAGTGAAGGTGGTTAGTTCAGTAGTATAGGTCGAAGTGACAGTCCCAGTCCAACCGAGAGTCGTGGTGGACTCGATTTCAACAACTGGAGTCTCTACGTAGTAGATGGTCTCGGTAGTTGGGATACCGTCTGAGCCGGTGAAGGTGGTCAATTCGGTGGAGTAAGTCGATGTAACAGATCCAGTCCAGCCGGTAGTGGTGGTGGATTCGATACCGACCACTGGGGTCTCGACATAGTAAATGGTCTCGGTAGTAGGGATACCGTCTGAGCCAGTGAAGGTGGTCACGTCGGTTGAGTAAGTCGATGTAACAGATCCAGTCCACCCGGTAGTGGTGGTGGACTCGATTCCAACAACGGGAGTCTCGACATAGTAGATGGTCTCGGTTGTTGCAATACCATCAGATCCAGTGAAGGTGGTGAGTGCGGTGGAGTAGGTAGAGGTGATAGATCCACTCCATCCAGTGATGGTAGTTGAACTTATTCCAACAAATGGCGTCTCCACATAGTAGATCGTCTCAGTGGTTGGAACACCATCAGAGCCGGTGAATGTGGTCACATCAGTCGAGTAGGTCAAGGTGACAGATCCACTCCAGCCAGTGGTAGAAGTAGATTGAATTCCGACAGTAGGAGTTTCCACGTAATAAATAGTCTCCGTCGTTGAAATACCGTCGGTACCGGTGAAAGTGGTCATACCCGTGGACCAGGTAGAGGTCTCGGAACCACTCCATGGAGTGTGCAGGGTAGTCGTTACCACGGCAGTTGGAGTCAGTACATATATAGTCTTAGCATCATCTGCCGTAGATGTCGATGAGACATTGCCAGTATAAGTCTCAGTAGCTACTACCGCATCACACTGTCCATCTGTGCCGTCATCAAATGGAAAGGACACCATTTCGTCAAATGTTGTTTTGACCGTTCCATCTGGTAAGGTGAGAGAAATGTCCATAATTGCGCTTTTCTCGGCATTTGCGTACACCATCCGAATAGGGTAGTACATGCCTTGGTTAACCTTTACCTGAACGCTAGCCGGACCTTTGTTATAGAACGCACTTAACATGGCTGTAGAATCGCCACTATCACGCTTTGACAATTCTTCGACACTTTCGGAGTCGCCACCGTTTGAAATGGGGTTACTCACGCAGCATTCAAAGGCGCTTTCTCCCATCATCAGCGCAAAGCCATCATCGATCTCGTTGGTCGTTATGGTGTAAGTTCCACTCTGAGACGGGTAGAAGTATCCCGCCAGCTCTAGAGCAAAGTTGGTGATTGAAATATCTTCATCGTAAAGAGTCCCAACGGCTTCACCGTCTTCTGCATGAACTTTTCGAAAAGAAATGTCGGTTATCCCGAATATTTGGTTGATCAATGTTGATTGTGTCTTGTACCCAGATTCCAAATAGTCTAAACTGTAGGCAGAATCAAGATCCCCGTACGTGTAGGAGTATATCTTAGCACCGAGCCCAGGAGTGTTGTCTCCTGTGGGCAAACAAACGCGGTCGCGAAGGTCAACATCTTGACTCGATGAAGCAAGAGCTCTTGCAGCAAAGCTGATGAGCTGGATTGCGACGTACCACATTGTTTTTGGCCTAATTTCTATCAGAATACTTGACTCATCGCAAGTCGTAAGCTCAAAATGAAACTCTGTGTACTTATATCTCTAGCCACACCCACGTATCACTGAAACTGGTGGAATTTGGAAAGCTGCCTGCGGTTGTATTCAGATTACGTGACGCTTGCTCACCATGGTACTGGGACGCTAGGTCGCAGCAAGGCGATGCTGGATGGGATACAGGCGGTGCTCTTTGGCAGATACACGCATGTCTCGCAGCGCTGACATTTAGACGGTCGGAATGTTGTAATCACCGTTCGGAGATGCGAACCTTCGTCACTGCTGGAGACAGGTGTGCATATGCACAGAAATTTCCGTTGAGAACAAAATCATCACATGTAAGAACAAAATGTGCATCGGTTTGGAAAAAGCTGACTGTTCGCCGCATGAAAAGAAAGTAGCTGGCATGGAACTCTCAAAACATCCATATCAGGTCTCGAGCCTTCGGAGTTCACAGATGCGGAAATGCACTCACGCTTACGAAGCATGCGCGAAAACAGATTTGTTCATCGTTTACTGCACCGTTGGATTGTGAAATAAAATGCCGGCACTACCCATGCCAGCGCCCTCCTCAATGCACTACGCGATGTGGTCGTGAGAAAAAGGTATTTTTTCAAGTTTTGCTGGTCTGTCTTGATAATTCGTGCACCGGTGAGCAGGTTACATCGTCCGTAATTGAAATCTGCGTTATCCCGCGTACTGCTGTCAACACGTAAAACTATGAGAGACCGGTCAATGTCCGTCAGCATCTGCCCGTATCGAGCTGAAACTTTGGCTTGGCACAGCTGTGCACAGCTGTGTGAACGTGAATAGACAGACCAAATTCGTTATTTTGCTCAATGGCAAACTAAGTGCAGTCCATTAGGGTAGCGGCAAAGATGGGTCGCTAGCGTGCATGACAGCTGATCTCAGGAGTTCAAACTGCTGGGTGATTTTTTCTTGCCTTCGCTTATTGAACGCGTAAAAGTGGTCGTTGGAGGCGAAAAACGAAAGTGTGCTTTGGTTCAGCTTCGGCACCGTAAAAAGGACTTGTGAGTATCGTAGCTCGTCGCCGCTCGGCTACCATTTGTTGAAAGAGCTCGAAAGATGCTCTGTCAGCGGAAAAGTCGCTGCAGAGAGCGTTTTCTATGCTCGTTGCTCTTGGACTTACTACACGGCTAAAGCTTTGGCTGTTGAAAAACCGGCTTGCGAGCTATCCGGTCTATGTTCAAAGAAATGCTAAGAAAATGGTCTCCATTACAGCTAGGCTTTTTTCGGCGTTCCAGGGCTCGTTAAAAACAGAGGTCCTCTTCATGTTTTTCAGATTTGTGAAGATCAAGAAAGGACCTTAACTTTCTAATTTACGCATCAGTAAAATTGATAAAGAGTGATAAAATACTGTAGAACAAAAGATTAGCCTCACTCAATTCTTGTGCGGCTTATGGCTATACCAGATCACCCGAGCGCCAAAACAGCGTTGACTTTTTGTAGCGTTCTATCTTTCAAGCCTTGCCGTCAGTAAGCTGAGAGGTGTTTCTCTTATCCTCTTGGAAGACACCCGCGACAAGCTTATCTTTCAGTCCCCAAGCGTCTTCAACAAAGTTGGAGTTCTGTTTGACGAGTGAGTTGAGTCGTGGAGGCTCGAAGAGGCTCGCACCTCAGCATGTGCCGTTGGCAGATTGCGATGCTGCTCGATGTCATTCGAGCTCGAGCTTACATTGGGTTGTCTACCAACTTAAATTGACTAATTGCAACTAGTTTGATGTGGCTAATGCAAATTTACGCTACAAGGACATTGAACCACATGCTTGACGTTCTATCATCTTCACTTTTTGTCCGTCACTATTACGCTCGCGAGTGTAACAGTGGCAGAAGGTTTAAGGCGCAAAACTTTGATACAAGATAACGAGCGATGTTCAAATTGACTCTTTGACGCAATGTAGCTCTCTTCTAGTCTCTAGAGGTGTGAAAATTGAAAGCTTCAGAATTCGCTCTGGGAACACTCCAATAATGGGTCACTGCACCACGGAATTTGAAAAGGAGACCACACACAAAGAGCAAGGAATCGACACCGAAGCTCGATCCCAAAAGTTTATTAGCGACAGAACACATCGCATTATCTCTCATTGAGGAGGCTATCACTTCAATACTTACATTTGCAAAGCGACAGACCCAAAGACACGCAATGAAAATATACATGGTGCAACATATGGTGTAATATCTGTATGAGCGAAAAGCGGAGCTGCAAGTTCAACTGGCAATCGGAAACGTCTTCTCAAAACTGACTTTTCCTCGTTTCACGAGCATTTCATAGACCTCAGGCCGCCCCAACCGCTGAAAGCTCCGTCAGTTCAAGCAATCATCAGGCACAGATAGACGGAGCAACATCCGTGCCGATCTTTTGACCTCTCGTCAATGAGAAGGTTGACACCAATGGAAGTGTTGTCAGGTATAGAATCTCGGAACTACCAATCAGCCAATTGGGGAGCCAAACCCCCGAAAGAAGCATGGCAAGCGGTCTAAAAAAAATGAAGCTACCACATACTTCTAGAAATCGGTTTTCCACACTTTGTGCTCTGTGTGATGCCCTGACTACTTGAAATTTCTAGCTCTGTGTGTCAAAGCTTTCTGGTGAATGATTCGAAAATTTTCAACGCGACAGCTGCTGTGATAGTGCAGAGTTACCAGGACTTGACCGCCCTTTATTGAAGTCGCTTTGTACCTTTGATGAAGCTGACATATCAAGTGGCATAGTAATCATACACACAACGATCACTGTACCAATATGTTCACTGCAATTGCACGTAAAGTGATGAATCTCATGTCCGAGGGCTGCACCAGAGTATGAAATTGAATTGCAGTCAAGGAATGTAATTCAAATCCTTTCAGCTGAGAAGCTTGAAACTTGTGAATTTCAATAATTCTCGCTCTGCAATTACGAAAGGAACCTTGATGTTAAATTCCTAAGGCTTACACAGAAAAGTGAAGATTCATGTCCACAAGATGTCTTTGTGAGAGGTAGCCCATCTAGTACAAAAATAAAGTCCTTCAAAATACCGAGCTGAAAATTTGCTGCGATTTCGGTGAGTTTTGGGGGTGATTTTGATTAGTTTTGAAAACCGCGGATTTTTTTTGTTGATAGTTTGAAGATTATTCCAAAAATCTTAGCGGTTAGATATGGGCGCCATACAGAGCGGCTATGAATCTCGCTATCCATTCACGATCTGGAGATCTGATGCTGGCAAATAAGAACAGATCACAGAATATTATGCTCTAAATAATTTGCCTGCAATGCATGGCAGCGACAATAGTATCCCCCTTCTTGTGCTAATTGTCCTTACAAAATAAGCTTGCATTACGTCTGTCTTTATTGCGCCCACAAGGTTATGCTCGCGGACTCGCTATTAAATAATGCTCATTCTATCAATACGCTTGCTTGACCAGATTATTAAGCAGTTTATAAAGTATATTTCCAAATCAAACAAAGCTGAGCAGGCCAAATTGCTTCTCATCAAGTGCGAGCTGGTCGAAGTATGTTGTAACTCTGAACAGAACCAGTTGACGCTGAGAGTGCGCTATCAGTCATTTCATCACATGATTTCTCATTGCGTGTCTGTTGAAGCTCTGTTTTAATGACAGTAGATGAGATAAATACTTAAAAACGCTGGGCCGGACGTCAGTTACCTTAGATCAGTGTCACAATGGGCGATCAATGCTATCTGATCCCATACACACGCTTGGTGTCGATAAAGAAATACTCGACGTAGATACTTTGAAAGAAACCTTAATTTCGATGACATTTTCACCAATAAGAGGGTCCGAGTGACAGTGTGCCAAAAATTTGGCACGATGTGACGCCAGAGCTTTGGCTTTCGACAATAGGCAGCACTTTTGCATTACGAAAGCTTTAAGTTACACTGAGCTTCTATTAGTCGCTATTAATTAGCCCTTGACATACTACCTTCCGATGTAGCAATTTGTGCAGGAACACTACTGACTAACAAAATCATACGCCAAGCAGCCTATGAGGTGTAAGTTACACCGTGCGGGGCCTCATTAACGGTCAATTTGAAAACGTCTCCTCTGGAATAGTGGCCTGTTAGATCGAGCTCGTAACGAGCTTCGATGATCATACTAGTGTCAATTTCCGCGCACAATAGACCCTCTTTTCCGATTAGTGGACCGGCAATAATCTGGCCAAAGGGGTTCACAATCACGCTACCACCGTTGATGCAGTTATCCTCGTTTGCCTCGAAACCAGGCAGCCTTCTTTGTCCCGTGGCTTCGTCTGCAATTTCACCGAGACCCATTTCAGTAGCACTGCGCATGAACTGGACGGCACTAACAACGAAAAGTCGGCCTTCATAAGCGATGTTCTGGACCACAACACGCCACAAGTCTCTTTGGTCTACTGTTGGAGCACACCAAACTTCAACACCCTTATTGTACATGGCCTGTCTCATCAAAGGCATCATATTTTCCCAGCAAATGGCCCCGCCTACTTTGCCCACTTTCGTGTCAACCACTGTCAACGTAGAACCGTCGCCTTGACCCCAGACTAAGCGCTCTGTGGCCGTGGGTGTGAGCTTGCGATGTTTGCCCACGTAACCAAGTTCTGGATCAATGTACACCATTGTGCAGTACAACGTGGTTCCATCACGCTCAATGCATCCACAGCAGATAAAAGCACCGGTGTTTTTGGCAAGCTTGCAGAGTTTGTTGATCTCATGGTATCTTTCGCCAGCACCTACTTCGATGGCCTGAGAGAAGTACGCTGCGAACTCCTTTTTACCGGAATCCAAACGATACCCTAAGTATGTTCCAAAATTAGATCCCTTTGGATAACCACCAAGAGTAGCTTCTGGGATGACTACCAGCGACACATTGTTTTTCTTGATTTCCTCCTCATACGAAAGGATATTTTCCAGAGTTTCCTGGGTTCCGCCGGGCAAAGTGCCCACTTGCAAAGCTGCAACTACTTGTTTCGTCATTTGTCTACTGATGGATTAGGTTGGCTTCTAAGTTTTTCTCACTGCGACCTAAGTTGGGCCTTCAAGATATCTTATTTTATAGTGTTGTGAGGGAAGAGAACTTACTTAAAGGTGAGTCAGCGAGAGAGTGACCACAGGCTCCGAACGATATACCCTTACATCAATTTTCGGACAAAGCGCTTAGAGCTGGGCAAAAATTTTCCAGCCTAATTCCTTATCTGTCGTCCATGCTCGAGAAGTATAGCCAATGAATTGGGCTTACTACAGTCTGAATTGGATGGTTTGATATTGAGAAAGTCATCACACCTCACGAAATTCACGCTCTGTGACTAAGTCAGTTCTTTATGGACCACGATCGCTAAGAGACTCAGACCACTCAACCGGAGTGCCGATGAATGGTTCACATGCTTAGCGTGTCCGTGAATCAATCTCAGGGTCCGATACTGGAATGACGGTCCAAAAAAAGGCCGAAAAAAAACTGGTTCGTAAGTCAATGATCCATTGGGACACCTCCCAACGCACTCTAACTGCTCAGATCTCTAGCCAAGAACTCGAGAGAAACCGATGAAGATGGTCTTGCTCGTTTATTTGGGAAGATACAAAGGGTGTGCGTGAGATAGTTGTCAAGTTGCGAAGCAGGAAGCACCACTTTTCAAGAGCCGGGCGCGAGCGCGCGAAAGAAACACGGAATGTCGGGTCAAGAACCGACGTAGGCGTTTTGGGGTTTAGGTAAGGAAAATGATGGTTTTACAAGGACTGGTTTTGGTTCAAGTTTTGTTCACGTTTTGTTCTAGTTATGTTAATAGGAACGAAACGTTCAAGACTCTGGATTCCTAATAGACTTATTTTCCTTTAGGAGCATGTTTCACAGAAATTTATTATGACAGCGGTATATACATCGTGCTGGCCGACCTTTAGAAATAGAGTTCTGTTGTTTTTTTGAGTTTTTCTTTCGTGGACATTCTTCATTAAAATAACTTTTCACTCTAATACAGATTATTCATAGAAAATACTCATCTTAAGAGCTTCTAACGTAACAACGACCCCTAAATTGTGTTGCAAGACCTCTGTAAACGTCATTTTCTTCATATAAGATTTCTTGAAATTACCATACTGCGCTTCACAATAATTCACAGCTCTCGAACAATTTCTTGAAAAACCATTGTCATAAAACTACAGTTGATTTACTCACAATTTTCCAACTCTGCAAATCATGAATTGGCAACACTACATTACCTTGAAGCAGTCCCAGCGCTCAACCTTCAGCATATTCCTGAGTATGACAATTTAAAGTTCTTACTAGAAATCATACAACTTTAAACGAGTGAAAAAACGAGTAAGAAAAATGTGTATGTCACCCGATATTAAGAAATATGAAAAGTTGAACGACCTCATCTCCTGCGTATAAATGCCCATGTAGATCCAAAGCTTTCAGGGATCTAATGCGGGTTTTCGAACCAAACTAAAAATATTACCAAAATGGTAGCATCTCTTGAGACTAAATTCTTAAATCAATGCTATGAAAACCCGTTTATGAATGCTTCCGGGGTACACTGCCTGACGGTGGAAGAATTGAACGATTTGAAAGATTCGCAAGCTGGAGGTTTCATCACCAAAAGTGCAACTACTTTGGAAAGAGCGGGAAATCCAGAACCTCGCTATTTCGCTACATCTCTAGGAAGTATCAACTCGATGGGGCTGCCGAACAAAGGCTTCGAATACTATCTTGAGTATGTGACCAATTACCAGGAAAAACATCCAAATGGGAATGTGCCCTTCTTCTCCGTGGCAGGCATGAGCTTGAAGGAAAATATCAAGCTTTTGAGTGCTATCCAAGCCAGTGCTTTCGAGGGCGTCACAGAATTAAACCTGTCATGTCCTAACGTTCCAGGTAAACCTCAGGTCGGCTACGATTTCGAGATGACCGAGGAAACTCTAAACAGGGTTTTCCAATTTTTCAAAAAGCCTCTGGGCGTCAAACTACCTCCTTACTTCGATTTCGCCCATTTCGACATCATGGCTAATATTCTGAACAAATTTCCCTTGGCCTATGTCAACTGCGTAAACAGCATCGGAAACGGTCTTTACGTCGATGTGGAAACGCAAAGCGTCGTTATCAAACCTAAAAACGGGTTTGGTGGTATCGGTGGTGATTACATCAAGCCTACCGCGTTGGCCAACGTCCGTGCATTCTACACCCGTTTGAACCCCAGTATCAAGGTGATAGGAACTGGCGGAATAAAATCTGGTCAAGACGCTTTTGAGCATTTACTATGTGGCGCCACGATGTTGCAAGTTGGGACAGCTTTATATGAAGAAGGAATTTCCGTGTTCGAGCGCTTGGAAATGGAGTTGAAAGAAATAATGGACAAGAAGGGCTACAAGTCTATCGACGAGTTCCGCGGCAAGTTACAGAGTTTGTAGAATTTGCATTGTTATAATAGAAGATCAAGGCCAAAGTATAAAGAACGGTCCCGAGTCACTCTAATACGTCGATGTCCGCATATTCATATTCAGAATCCTTTCGCGCCCGCAAATAAAGGCTACTTGGGGGAATTGGCCGAATTGCAAACCAACAGTGACGCACAAACTAAATATCAGATCGGAAACTGAGCGCTCCAATCGTGACCTTTTCCTGTACAAGTCTCCTCATTGATCGTTAGTGGCAGAACTGATCGCTTTGGTTGTTATCTTATCTATTGTCTATCTATGCCTTTGCTGCAAGCTCATGTCGGCTAAAATGTACCTTTTATCGCCGTCGCGTCCAAGTTCGGGCTTTCTGGATCTCAAAGCGCCGCCATGCCATCGCAGTGATACCAGACTTTATATACACGATACTATGGTCAATCTCGGGATTGGCGATGAGCAAACCAAAACTGCCAATGACCAGTCCAAGCTCATTTCGAGCACTGTGTAGGCAGGAATTACACACCGGCCCAACTTCCGGCATACTTCCAGGCCATGTGCAAGCGAACCTTTTGATTCTGCCACAACAGGCTGCCGAGAGCTTTGAAAAGCTTTGCAGAAGAAATCCAGTGGCTTGTCCAATTATTTCGAAAACTGTGGGGCATCCCGGAAAACTAGAACACCATTCTAGGCTTATCAATGATGAGTCGTTTGACATCCGTACTGATTTCCCAAAATATAATATCTACAACCGCGGCAAGCTCATCGAGCAAAAGAATAACTGCGTCAACGAATGGACCGCGGACCACGTTGGGTTTCTGATTGGGTGTTCCTTTTCATTCGAAGATGCTTTGATTCAGGCTGGCTTGGCCCCAAAGAATGTCATTCGTGGCACAAATGTGTCAATGTTTGTCACAACCAAGTACCTCGACTCAGCAGGAATATTTCACCAATGTCCTTACGTTGTTAGTATGAGACCTTACAAGGTGGCGGTCGTCGAGACCGTGCGAGAAATAACGAGTCCCTTCGAAAAAATGCACGGAGAGCCGCTCGATTGGGGATTTGACGCTGTGGGGCGACTCGGAATCCGCGATTTACGGAAACCAGAGTATGGTGACCCCATCGATATAGCCGAAGACGAGATTCCAGTATTTTGGGCGTGTGGTGTGACACCTCAATTGGCAATTTCTACCGTTGGACACCTTATACCTGGAGTGGTTATTGGACACACGCCTGGGCATATGCTGGTGCTTGATGCGACCCAAGTTGTCTGAATATTCAATGGCTAAGCTTCAATTTTTCGTTTTGTTAATTTGTAGAAGAGCGCATTGTTCTGTTGGAGGCATCGCCCATCTCCTAACTCAGTTTGATGGTAGCACAGAAAAAGCTCATTGTGTGCATTTCGAGCGTAATGTCTGTGTTGGGATTTTCCCACAATATTGGCACAGCATGGAACCATCTTCACTGCAGCCCGAAACTACCTATTGTAACACGACAGTCCAAGGTCAATTCTACTGGCATACCTCATTCAGAGATTTTCGTCCAGATACATGTTTAGAGCAATCCCTGACTCAAGATCTTTGTCTATGTTGCTTACCAGATTGGATAAATCAACAAAGCCTAGATCGCTCACATCGCAACCTTGATCAAGGTTGTTATTTGCTGCGTCGGGAAAATTTGGATTTGGGCTCTTGAGCCGCTGAAGGAAGGACGCTGGATCGGCTTCGGGTTTTGGTTCCTCTTTCAAAACAGCAACAACTTCATCCGAACTCATCATATCGATAAACTCAGTGAGCTGCCGGTTAAAATCGCTTGCTACAACGTTATACTCCGAGAGGCCCTGTAATATCCTCAAATTGTGTTCTATGGCACCAAACAGATTCATAACATCGCCAGAGTACAATGCTGAGTTATCGGAAAGCGTTTGACAGTATCCTGCTAGGATAAGAATGATTGTGGCACTGAAAATGTAATGACAATCTAGATAGGAGCAGTTCGCCATTTTTCCGTCGTAGTATAATTTGGCCAGAATGCGACTCTGAACTTCAGCTGCCTGAATACAAGAATCCAACAGGACTTGAATGAGTTCGAATTGGCGCTGCTCGAAAACGGGGCCTCCGGCCCCAATATTTGACATCATCCTGTTGAAAACATATAATAACACCGGCCGAGTCGATATTATAATGGAGTAGTTATAATTAATATGCAGGTTGAATGTTGACCGTACAGTTCCCGTTTTGATATCATTATAATCAAACTTTAACTCACTGGGGAGTGCGTCGAACCACTCTTTGAGCTGCTTCAAGACGGAGTGGCAGTTGTGTAGAAAGGAAAAGGCATTTTGTGTGTATATCTTGGCGAGAACCTGCGTTGTGATTTTGGCAAGATTTACCTGAGCAACGAAGTGGTATATGTCCAACGAAGCAGCCTTGTGTGTTCTTTCTGCTTCGTTGAAGACTGGAATATTGATGTCGCGCTCATCGATCATCAACGGGAAACCAAACCTCACTGCCAGAAGCCGATCGTAGATAAAGCAAAGCCAAAATACGCGGTTTTCCCTTTTAGATTTTACCTTCCTGTGGTAACCAAGAGCCAGCATGGTTCGAATCGCGGCCCCGACAGTTGTGAACACAAAGGTAGTTTTATTTTGAGACAGGGCAAAGTAAGCCATGCACAGTAACGACTGGATCAAGGTGGCACCGGCAGCTTGATCGTAGCTCTTCAAAATCTGGCCGTACAGTGAAATTGACGTTTGGTGCAGTTCTTTGCCAAGAGAGCTTGCGGTAGGATTCTCCCTATCAAACAGCGAACCAAGGGCCAAGTGGGACACAAATCGTAGAAGCTCATTCGCGTACTGGACCTTTTCGGACGCTGTCACAGGAAGTACTTTTTCGTACAGTTCTTCTACAATTTTGAAGTAGTCAGCTTCGATGAACATGTAGTCTGCGCCAATCATTCGGCAGGCTATATCCAAAAGCCTGTTAGCCTCGGCTTTTGATGGTAGTAATTCTTTTACCACAATTTGAAGGTATGAATCATCAGTGGAATCCTGTGTGAGTATTTTACTGGGCCCCGAAGCTGAACTTCGCGAGTGAGAGGTCTCACTTAACACTCCACCATTGGGATCGCCAGACATGGTCAACGACTCTTTCAGCTTTCTCAAAAACTGCGCGCACGCTGACATTCCTAAATACCGACTATCGCAACTTGTGCTGGACTCACCATTGCCAACCGTTTGACGTTGCAATCTGTATTCTGGCTCGATAAGTGGATTCATAAGTGCATTACTGCTCGGTGCCGAAACTGCCACTGTCTCAGTAGCGCCTGAATTGATTTTGGCCAATTCTCCCTCCAGTTCCATAATCCTGCTCTTCAAAGAACTTATGTATCTCTCAGAGACAGTAGCGAACTTGGACCTGACTTTTTCCTTATACTCGCACTCGTGTGGTAGATTGATCTTGATACAATAATCGCATGGAAGCCCGCCAGAACACTTTTTCTTACGCTGCTTGCACTTAGTGCAAGCTTTCATCATTTTCTTACCTCCCATCACTGCTTGTTCGATTCAAGTAGATGGTTTTGGACCTTGCACATCGCTAGTTCGAGCTAAAGCTGAACTGCTCAACCCTGGACGTTGAAGTTTGAAAGGTAAATTGACGATCGGGATAAGCTAAACTAACCGCTCGAAGTCATAAGACGATTGAATGAGATTTTTACTGAGAGTAGAGTCATGTGTGTAAGTTGTGACGCTATCTCGTTGAGCTTAAAATGACTGAAGTTGGCTATCGAGCTCTTTAATAATGAGATCGCTGGCGGCGGCCTTTTCGCAACCTTATTTGCCGACATGAAGGTATAAGGTTAAAGGTTGTTGATAATGCGACTTTCGAGCTTGGGAGAGCTAGCCAGATATAAAGTATCGAGGATACGAGTAAAATGGATCTTTGAGTAGTCTTGAATCGTAGAACACCAGTAGCATCAGTTATAGAAGGCAACATTAGCGATGGATACCAAAAAGTCCGACGTCAAAGTCACTGTTCGTGATCAAGAGGAATACTCCTTGGAAGCACAGGGTGGTGTGGTCGTGAAGGACATCTACGTGGACCCCCACGAGGAAGCTGCACTCGTGCGAAAACTGGACAGACGGCTTTTACCCATGCTGGCATTTATGTATTTCTTGTCGTCGCTGGACCGGTCCAACATCGGGAACGCATACACTTCGGGCATGAAAGAGGATCTGCATCTCACCTCACGCCAGTATTCCAATGCAGTTTCTGTCTTCTATTCGACATATTTGGCAGCAGAACTGCCAGCCGTGTGGCTGCTAAAAATCGCCAGACCTCGGTACTACATGTCTGGCTTGGTCCTGGCGTGGTCGCTGATAACCTTGTTTAGCGGGTTTGTGCAGAAATACGAGTCATTGTTGGCAACAAGAGTCCTTCTTGGGGCCTTCGAAGGCGGCTTTTTCCCAGCAATGACTTTGCTCATCACCATGACATACAAGCCGCAAGAGCAGGCCAAGAGAATCGCATTTTTCTTCGGTTCATCTGCATTGTCTGGCGCATTTGGTGGGTTGATTGCGACGGGACTTGCTTCTGTCAATAACGCCGGTGGATTGGAAGGCTGGCGGTGGCTCTACATTATCGAGGGTCTCATCTCAGTCTTCGCCTCGGTTTGGCTGTTCTTTGGGCTCCCAGACAGCCTTGACAACTTGAAGTTTCTGAACAGCAAGGAACACGCCCTTATGAACGCAAGAGCCAAGCAGCGGGTCCAGTACATGGGTGAAAATCCTGCATTCTCATGGAAAGAGGTCCTTTTGGCTATCAAGGACTTCAAGACCTATTTCGCCTTCATCATTCAGTTCTGTCAAGATACAATTCTGTATGGATTCAGCACCTTTTTGACTGCCATTTTGAAACTGGGACTGGGTTACGATTCAAGAAAAGCTCAGTATATGAGCGTCCCGGTCTATTTGCTAGCCGCTATTGTCTTCATGATTTCTGCCTACGTCAGTGATCGCTTCAAAGTCCGGGGACCGGTATTCTTTGCTTACAATCTACTCGGTGCAACTGGCTATATTATTCTACTGACGGTTAAGCATGATGCAGTCAAGTATTTTGCCTGCTACTTGATAACGTTCTCACTTTACACAGGTACTGGGTTGAATATCACTTGGCTAACAAACAATGTCGCGCCTCATTACAAAAGAGCTACAGCTTTGGGTCTAAATCAAACGCTAGGTAATTTATCTGGTGCAATAGTGGGTCAGGTATACACCAAATCTCCCTACGTCCTTGGCAACTCCTTCTCTCTGGGATGCATTGTCCTATCCAACATCTTGACACTCGTCCAAATCGCTTGGCTAACAAAGCTGAACAGAGACAAGGCTGCGATTCTGGCTGGTACCAAGAAAGATTTCAAGAAAGAAAGAATTGGAGACGAAGAGCTGGACTTTAAATACTGTTTGTAAATGAGGATTTTAGCGTCTCTATCGAGACTTTACGTATGGATATATATATATATATATATTAATCTGGCAGCTATGAGGCATGAGGCGAACTTGAGAAAGTAGAGTCAATAATACTGTGATGACGAGTTGCTCTCATGGCTGCTCTCATGAGGATTTCCTGTACTTGAAAGATCCTGATGAATACGCCAGTGACGAAGAAAAGCTAGAAGACACTGCTGATAACGAATGAATTATTACACCACTTACGTAGATTCAATCAATTACAGATGTGTGGCGGAGATGCTCCGAGTGCACCAATTCTTTTCAACCAGCTTTGCCCCATCCGCCACCACCTGGTGTCTTAATAATAACTCTGTCGCCAGGTTGTACCGTGATTGTGCTCTTGGCGCCAATATTAGTAACACTTCCTGAATCCTTACGGATCCATAAATTCATACCTCTTGCACCGTCCTGGCCACCATTCAATCCATGTGGAGCGATAACTCGTCTCTCTGACAAAATTGACGCCTGGACGGTTTTACGGAATATGATGTCACGAACAACCCCGTTGCCTCCATCGTACTTTCCTCTACCACCTGAGCCGTATCTCACGGAAAACTCATGCAGAATCACAGGGTATCTTCTTTCGAGAATTTCGACGTCTGTCATTCTCGTATTTGTCATGTTGGTGTGAACAGCATGTGCTCCGTTCCAGCCGGGACCTCTCCAAGAATCAGCCCCAGCTCCATGGCCTCCACAAATCGTTTCATAATAACCAAATCCCTTGGATACATCGCCGTTAGAGTTTTTACCGCCTGTTCCAAATGTGAAGTTGTTGCAGTCACCTTGGGAGTCCGCCATGATGTTGAAGGTCTTCAGAACCACATCAGTGACCCTCTGAGATGTCAAAACATTGCCTCCGACGACTGCCACGCCTTTTGTGGGGCTCAAGATAGAGCCTTTTGGTATTTTCACTGTCACTGGCTTGAGACATCCTTGATTTAAAGGTATGTCTTTGTTTACCAAGCAGCGTAAGCAGTAAAGAATTGCGGAGTTCGTTATGGCTTCTGGTGCATTCAGATTACCATATACCTGAGGTGAAGTCCCAGCAAAATCAAAAATATACTCTTCTTTCTCCACATCGAGAGTGACTTTCAATTTAATCAAAGTACCGTCGTCCATATAGTCTTCTCCTTGGAATTCAGTTGCTTTGAAATGCTCACTTAGCCGCTTAAGAGCGTATTTGACTGTTGCAGACGCATTTTCTTGAATTGCATGCATGTATCTGACTATAACGTCAATTCCAAAATCATTCATTAGTTTGGCAATCAACTGAATGCCTTTAGTGTTGGCAGCTACCTGAGCTTTTAAATCGCTGATATTGTCGCTTATTTTCCGAGAGCCGGAACAGCCAGGGTATTTGGAGGGTTCCTCTACCAATAATTTCAGTACCAACTGCTCGTCAAAGTGTCCTTCTTTCACAAGAAGTTCTGAATAGATGGCAGCACCTTCTTCGAACAACTCTCTAGAGCTTGGAGGGACTGAGCCCGGCAAAATTCCACCAATGTCCGCATGATGCGCTCTAGAAGCGACATAAAATATTATTCTGTCTTCAGTTTCAGAAAAGGCAGGAGTGATTACAGTGATGTCCGGAAGGTGCGTACCTCCCATTTCAGGATGGTTGGTTACGAGCACATCACCTCGCTTTAGCTTGTGTTTCCACAATTTTGCTTGTGCAGAAATGCAGGTAGACATTGAACCGAGGTGCACAGGCACATGGGGCGCATTTGCAACAAGATTCCCATCCGGATCGAACAGCGCACACGAAAAATCAAGTCGCTCTTTGACATTAGTTGACACAGATGTCTTTCTCAATTGCGTACCCATTTGTTCAGCAATATCCATGAATCTGTGACTGAATATAGATAGCAACACCGGGTCGATCCTCGCCTCGGTCGGTTTGTCGTCGGCCTTCGTCTTTGAAGTTATACTTATCACAATATGGGAACCGAGAATAACTGCAGATGCATTACTGGGAATAATATTGGTTTGGGTTCCATCTGCCAAAATACACGGGCCTTCAATTAATGTGCCGCTTGACATATTATCGATGCGGTATACAGGAGTTTTCACCCTTTTGACATCAAAAAACACGTCTTTATAGAATGAGACTTCTTTTTCAGTGTCTATAGCGGCAACCTTAGAAGATTCCAGCTCCTTCGTGATCGATTTTGTTGCCCGCACTGGCGACTTTGCCACAGCTCTTATGCGAATGTCATCGATGATGACAGATCTGTCATGAAAAACAAACCCGAACTCCCGTTTGTGTAAAGTAGCGAAATCCTCACGGAAATTCCAGTTTTGCTCGTTTTGCATAACCATTAAGCTTGTTTCCGTACCATTGTACCTTAAGTTCAGATACTTTTCGAATACCAAGTCACTTTTAGAAAATCCTTGCCTTTTCAAATTATGAGTAACTTCACTTATCAGGCGGTCTAGTTTGGTTGCGACTTGCGCTTGAGTATTCGGATATTCCAAGATATATGAGCAGGGTTCCTGTTTCTCCTCAACAACGTCAGCAAGGAACATTCCGTAAGCTGACAAAATCGAAGAATAACGATGTGCGATGACAGTATCAATGCCTAAGGATTCTGCCACAGCAACAGCGTGCTGGCCTCCAGCTCCCCCAAAGGTGACAAGCTGATGTTCGGAGATAACATGGCCCTTGGCCTCAGTTAAAGCTCTGATTGGTCGAGCCATAGACTCATTAGCAACTTTGATAAATCCATAAGCAACCTCATCGACTGAATAACTGGTGTTAAGATCACTGTTGATGGTTCTTGTTAATTCTTCGAATTTCTTCTTCGTAATTTCCAGGTCTAAAGACTCGTCTTCATTGGGTCCAAAAATCTTTGGGAACATTTCTGGAACCAGACGGCCCAGTATTAGGTTGGCATCTGTTACCGTCAAAGGTCCACCCTTACGGTACGCCGCTGGTCCAGGCTCTGCGGTGGCAGACTCTGGCCCAACTCGGAATAGGCCATTTTCCCAAAACAACATGGAACTTCCACCAGCAGCAACAGTATTGATATCCAGTTGCGGACTCTGGATGACTATCCCTGCAGTTGTCGTTTCGAAAACATGATCTAATTTACCGTCTCCAAATCTACTAACATCTGTTGAGGTACCACCCATGTCGAAACCAATTAGCGGCGTATTCGTCTCTTGGTCATAGCAGGTCGTGGAATAGCCTACAACACCACCTGCAGGGCCTGAAAGGATTGATTTCAGACCTGAAAATTTCGTTCCTTCTACTAGACCTCCATCGGACTGCATGAATTGGATACTGGAATTTTGGGTGTTAGAAAGACCGGCTTGTAAGCTATTCAGATACTTTCTTATGACGGGAGTAAGGTAAGCGTCAGCGATCGCGCTGTTGGCCCTGGGTAAGTACTTGATCATGGGGGATACCTGTGAAGACAACGAAATATGTGTGAAACCAATTTCCGAGGCCACGGCTGCCACCATCTCCTCATGTTCAGGATATGTATAAGAGTGTAGAAGTGCAATTCCAATGGAACGAATGCCTTCATTATAGGCAGCCTGGAGGGAAACTCGTAGAGAGCAAAGATCAGGTTTTTGTAGAACTCTAACAATTTCGCCACTTTTCCCGACGTAGACTGCATTTTCAGGATTTGCCTGAGACTTAATTTCCTCTGGATCCTCTGAAAAGTCTTCAAGAGTGACTCTTTCGTCAACTTCAATGACTCGGTCGTACAGTGGATCTGGACGTTTGATGCTTAGGTCAAAGATCTTGGGTCTTGTTTGGTCTCCAATCAAGAGGCAGTCCTTGAACCCTTTAGTAGTGATAAATGCACATCTCTCGCCATTCCGTTCGAGTGCGCAGTTGGTCGCCAGTGTGGTACCCATTCTAAGACTTTCAACTTCGGATAAGTCTAAGGGAACACCCCTTGGTATGGATTTCTTCTGAAAAATCTCAAGTAGCCTTCTGATACCTTCCAATGGAGCATCTGGATAGTTTTTGGTGTCCACAGATAATAGTTTTATCACAACATCGTCTTCTGAATTTCCTGAACCTGGGTTACCAATGCAATCTGTGAAGGTTCCACCTCTGTCAATAGCGATTCTGATTCTGCCCATTTTTTGTAGCATAAGGTTAAGACAGTGTTTAGAGCATTTAGATCGAACGCTAGGTCTTCATAGCCATGCTCCTGGGCCTGTTCTTATACTTTTACTGTTGATCTATGCTGATCTTTTTCGTCGGAGAAATCAAGCCCTTCAGCGCCGACAGATATAGTTTTTGATATTGATTTTATACAAGCTTCAACTTTGAAGTGAGATTCAGAACTTCTTAAGGCGGTAAAATTGTCCTCCCGAAACCCGAATCAATGAGTTAATAAAACGTCTGTTTTAAGGCGGTGCACTGAATTTTTCGGACGTTTTTTGGACAACATTGGTTCAGACAGCGAGATAGAGCCCAGTAATAATTGCAGATCTTTGAATTCTCGCTTGCAGAAGAGAAATTATTGATGTTATTTACTACAAAAATTTATGGCATTTTTCGAGGTGCTTACAGTTGGCTCTTTGCTATCCTTTAAGTCATTGCTTCGTTGTTCCACGATTAATTGCAAGACAATTGTATTTAGTGTCTTTAGTGACAGGGCCTGTTGGAACGAAAATGTGAGAACGACTGTAAAAAAATGGTTATGACGCCAAATTACCCATCTGTGGCTCCGTATTTTCAAAAGAACAATTTTTTAGAAGATGATTCTCTCTTAACTCCAAGATTGACCCATATTATTATGTATAACGACTTCTCGGTTGCTAGCCTCAGATCCTGACCTGGGTCGCATAAAAGCTCTGACACTTCGACTAACAATTTTCTGAGATCACTTTAGCCAAGTTGTAGCGCGCTTGCAACAGTGATCGCGTCTCGTACCCTAAATTCTCTAGCCACAACAATTGTCTTAAATGCGGCCTAATGATTAAGTTCTTGGTCACCTCTCTTCTTCCTGAGTAACCCAGTTTCCCGGATTCCATCAGGTAGCGTGGGTCTAGGCTCTAAGCCCGAGTAAAACCAATCAATGATGGTTATAACGTCGTAAACTGGAAGCCCTGTTTCCTGAAAAATTGCATTTGCAAATGGCGGCATTTGGGTGCACTCTAGAACAAAAGCTGCTATTTGAGGGTTCTTTACCATCAATTCTTGAGCATATTCAATTAGTTCGGCCTCTATTTGCTCGTGAATATACGGATCTCCATTTTGTATCATTCCTCTCAAAACCCCATTCTCTGGGCAACCAATGACAGATATTCTCTTCCTCATGTCCATTGTAATCCCTACGCCTTGGAAGTGTACATCTCCTAGCGAACTGCTGTCAAATGCTATAACTTTAACGTGCTCCTTCAAGGGTCGCATCGTAAGCTGCAGTGGAATCTGCAAAAGGCTACTGGTGGCAATTGGAATAGGTATTTTTGCCGCAATCCGTTGCTGAACTTGAGCAAGAAATCCACAAGAAGTTATAACTCCAATCGCACCTCTGTCAACCAACCTAACACACGCGTCCACGAAGTTCTGCAGAAGCTCTTCGGAGTACTCTTTAGAAATTACTACATTCCACAACGATGCACTCTCAACTTCTTGGTGAATAATAGGAAAGTGAAACGATGAAGCATTGAGTGGGTCTCAAGGTGGTCTGTGAATATCCTCGGTGTACTTTAGACATAAAACGCCTAAAGGAGGCAGTTCTCTCGAAGTTGCGTAAAACGACATGCCCCATTTGGTACCAGTGTGCCTGAACGGCTATTGTTCAAGTACTGCCCATCAAGCGATCTTTCGGGTGTCCTTATCGATTGTAGCGGAGTTTTCCGACAAGAGTTTTTTCTAAGCAATGAGGTACATACTCATATGAGCACCGCCCAGCGGTAAGACCCGCAAGCCTGGATTGCAATCTAGCTTTTATTTGGTGCTGTAAATACGCCCTGGATAGGAAATCAAAGACGTTTTTTTTTGGAATTGTCTTGCAAGATAACGTTCTTGCAAATTCTTTGGCAGTTTATCCTTCGAAAGTTTCCGAACGAGTAATTCTTGACTTAAGGGATGCATATTATGTTTTTAGATTTATTACGGCGGAGTATTTGTCTTCGGCCTGTAGACTACTAGAACGTTAGTTCTTAGTGAGCGTCAAACTACCAGGAAAACCTGTTCTTGATCCTGGGAATTGCCAATATTTCAAACTCAGTTGAGAAAAATGACCCTGCGAGGCAGGCTACAAGTATATGTATGTCCCTTGCACATGAATCAGGGCAGCGTTTGCTCAAAATGATCTTGTTCCACTCTACCTATGTACATATGCTGACACTATGCAATTCCGAAACATGTTTTCTCTGTAAAGCCCAACGTGGTGTTGGTTGTTTCTGAAGCTGATAATTGAATCCGACCTTCGGCATTCAGAAAAGCTGTGTTGAGAAATCCATGGTTCATAAGATACTTCATGAAAAGCTATTTATTGTCGAGAAACATTCTGCTAACGATAAAAGATCAACTCTGAAGGAAATAGCTGGGGGAGTAGTGTGATACACAGAATGTATGCCCCGAAGTAATCAGAATAAACCTCAGTTTCGAGAGATGATTACCATCCTCTTAAATTAAGTGTATCAGTTTAATTCAACGGGCAAAAACAGTTGAGACGCTGTCAGAGGTTATCTCAAATAAAAAATACACTATAAATTCAAGCTCACGATATTGAAATTCGGCTTTAAAATAGAAGCTCGCCTCGCGATCCAAAGAATTGTTTTGATCACCAGCCCTTTGCCCTTGCTCGGAGCTCTACTGAGCAAAAAATGTACCTGATGGCTCTAAAACCGGTCAGAGCAACGACCTTCGGAGCGTATCTTTCATTTTATGATTACTGAGTTGCTAGTCATGTCATCAAGCTACAGATGACAGACTGGTTCACAGTGATCATATCATCACACAATGGTGATTTCGCATCATTACGAGGCCCTGACATGGTGCTGGATGATGATGTGGTGTTGTCAACGACCGCTTATGAATCCTGCCCAGGGAACCTTTTGATTGATATATTCATTTCTCATGACACCAGAAAGCATTCTCTAAAATTTGAAGATCCCGTTCCTCCCAAGATAGACGCAAGCAACTATCCTGGACAACTCCTGAAGCGACACATGTACTTAGATAAACAATAGTCACACGGAATTCACAAACAAATGGAAAGCTCCTATTACGCCATTCGAGGAGCAATCAATCGAAGACGCAGTCTCGCATCAAGAATGTAACTTCCAGCGAGCAGTCAGCCAATGATAAGAGATTCTTTAGATCCTTTTGAGCCATTCAGCATCTGCTAGAAACATGAACAAGGTATTTGGACAATCACAGTCACACGCGAAGCTGCTGTATCAAATTTTGACTGAAGGATCTAAAGGTGCTTGCAAGCAAAATAGCAAGTTGAATTAAACCAACCGCTTTCTAACGTCCTGAAGTTCAGCACTTGTCTGTTGACAAAATAAAAATAAACGAAACCATCTTACTGCTACAGCATTTAGCTCTTTCTAATGAACAGGTGCCATTATGGAGGCTGTGTTTTTTTGCTTTAACGATCAGGAAACAAGCACTTATGGCACTGAAATTTGAAACGTTGAACAGAAACACCATTCTCCTTTAACCCAGTTTACACTTGAAAACGATCTGATTCGGTAGTGATTATTCCTCTGGAAGACTCCTCGAGACAGAGATATAAATTAAAATTTAAAAAGTCCATCAGTAACAAACAGCGATGTTTTTTGGCGGTGCTATTAGGACTACTGAAGTGCAACTAACATAAGTCCAACCAGATCTCAATTCGCTAAAGGGATTCTTAATGCTGTCGATGCATCTTTCAAAGAACCATGCTTTTTTAAGCTGTCGATCTTTCTTGAAGCCAAAAAAGAATGTAATGAAAAGACCAGACAGAATTCCTCATCAAGGAGAGCACACTCATGTAGTATTTGCAGCATTAATCCTGTTTTGAATATTTCTTTGTCACTGATAAGATCTGGCCACAACTACAGCTCTTAGCCTGCTCAGGGAACTTCAGATATGTCATTGATCACTTTTTTATTCATTGTCGCATTTTGCTGATAATTGCACACTGTATACAAACGATACATCAAAACAATGTCAAGCTCGAGGACTTAAATGCGAAAAGATATTTTTAATGACTGCCAGTAAAATAACCGTTAATGAACCACGAGAACCTCTAGGTTTATTCCTATTCAATCAATGTTCAGGCACAAAATCTTGAGAATTAACCCGTTAAGTTTACTGTCTATCAAGGTACAAAGTTACTATATTAAGAAAGCGTTCTGTATATACTCAACGATTGTACGGGGTTCAACGGGAAGGGTATCTTAGTTTTTAGCCTTTTTAGAAGCGGCACACGGATTATGGTAGCAATTACAACAAGGCCAATGGAACGGCCAATAGGAGACCAGCTCTCACATAATTGGCAGAGCCCTCGTACGTGGAAATGGCAGCGGTTGTAGCAGCAGCTTTAGTAGAGGAGCTCGAAGAAGCGACTGAAGAACCGGTAGCTGGGGTAGCTGGGGTAGCAGCTGAGGAACCGGTAGCTGGGGTAGCTGGAGTAGCAGCTGAAGAGCCAGTGGCTGGGGTAGCTGGAGTAGCAGCTGAAGAGCCAGTGGCTGGGGTAGCTGGAGTAGCAGCTGAAGAGCCAGTGGCTGGGGTAGCTGGAGTAGCAGCTGAAGAGCCAGTGGCTGGGGTAGCTGGAGTAGCAGCTGAAGAGCCAGTGGCTGGGGTAGCTGGGGTAGCAGTTGTAGACTTGACGATCTCAGATAGAGGGCAAGTGGTGGTGTAAGAAGTCACAACACCAGACTCAGTGACGGTAACAACCTTTTCGGTGTAGCCGGTGGTACCAGCGGCAGCAGAGGTGGTAGTTGGTTTGGCGACCTCAGATAGAGGGCAAGTGGTGGTGTAAGAAGTCACAACACCAGACTCAGTGACGGTAACAACCTTTTCGGTGTAGCCGGTGGTACCAGCGGCAGCAGAGGTGGTAGTTGGTTTGGCGACCTCAGATAGAGGGCAAGTGGTGGTGTAAGAAGTCACAACACCAGACTCAGTGACGGTAACAACCTTCTCAGTGTAAGCGGTAGAAGCTTGGGAAGTAGCTTGGCTGATTGGGCAGGTAGTGGTGTAGACGGTCTTGACGCCATTGGAAGTGACGGTGACAACACTTTCAGTGTAGGAGTTAGCACCGGAGGCAGCAGAGCTAATGGCACCAGAAGCAGCGGCGCTAGAACCAGCAGCACCGGAAGTAACAGCACCAGAGGCAGCACCAGATGCAGTAGAGGCAGCAGAACCAGAGGCAGTAGAGGCAGCAGAGCTAATGGCACCAGAGCTGGCAGAACCAGAACCAGAACCAGAGACAGTGGAACCAGCAGCACCAGAGGCAGTAGAGGCAGCAGAACCAGAACCAGAGACAGTGGAACCAGCAGCACCAGAGGCAGTAGAGGCAGCAGAACCAGAACCAGAGACAGTGGAACCAGCAGCAGCACCAGAGCTGGCAGCACCAGATGCAGTAGAGCTAATGGCACCAGAGGCAGTAGAACCAGAACCAGCAGCACTGGAGCCAGCAGCACCAGAGCTGGCAGCACCAGATGCAGTAGAGCTAATGGCACCAGAGCTGGCAGCACCAGAACCAGAACCAGAGACAGTGGAACCAGCAGCAGCACCAGAGCTGGCAGCACCAGAACCAGATCCAGATCCAGCACCAGCCGTGATGGTAGCACTTACACTAGACCCAGTTTGCACGGTAGAGCTGTTTGGGAATAGAACAGAGCCGGTGGAAAGAATGGAACCGGAGCTAGTCTGGTTGGAATACAAAACGCTCCCACCGCTGGACGAGACAGCTCTCTTTTGGATGGCGAAAGGAGTGGCATTTGCAGAACTGCAAGAAGCGGCAAGAGCCGAAAGAACCCAAACGTAGTGCATTACTGAGGCAAGTTTATGCTTGAAGCTGGAGTTACTACTATGAATTAATTATAATCTACTGAGGGACCAAAAGGCCCGAATGGATAGAATGCCAACCTTTTATAAACTTGACACAGAGACAAAAGACTCATCATCTAGGTGCAGATTAGTATGGCCGCGACCCACAGGTTTGTGTTGATTTTTTGGTGAACTGAGAATGAATGCGAGTGTGTTGAGCTCAAAGCGAACACTGGATAGATTTGGTAGGAATGCGCGCCATATGCGGTTATATTTCGCGGTGCATATTATATGTCCGAATGCGGAATGTATCCTTCCCAATACGGAGCTTCCTTTTTGGGCCATGTCTATTTTGGGCAGTCGTCATTTTGGCAAAATGTATGACATAAGCGATCTGTGCATATGGCCTTGCATGGATTTTCTTCGAGAATTCTAAAGTCACGAAAAACTAAGGACCATGAGAGCTCCCACTGGGGCAGCGCCGAGCACGAAACGAGACAAACTCAGTGAGCGTTGCTGGTCTAGGCCAGCAGTACTCGAAGCTTGGCTTAGACGGAGTTTTTGTTTAGCTGACCATTGGCTTCATATGATTTTGTTAAATTATGGCAACGCTGCCAGCGCAACCGAAGTATTTGCCTTAAGTCCACGATCAAAAGCTATTCCTTCGTCGTGGAACGTTATTATTTCTATCTTCGCCTCAGTTAGCAACGGCCAGCATCCGTTAAAGCACCCCTGTGCTTCAGTGTGCGTGTGCATGTGCACACCACCACATTGCGTTTGAGAACTCTGCCGCTTTACGAAACCAAGGACCAAATGAAGGCTTGAGGCGGATCTGCTACTGGAGAAACAGTCCGTCCATCGGCTTTTAGAATCGTATTTCGATTTCAATCAGTCTATGTCCCCAGCGCTCGATTGATCGATGACTTCTCAGATCAACCACGGGTATGGGCTCTAACGAATTGATTAGGCGGAGAAGAGGCCGAAAAAAGTTTTACTACTGGTACACCGCGAAATTTCGCACCTGCCAAAGTTGAGTTCTTTGCGATCTCTAATTTACGAGCCGAAGCGTTACTCCGGCAATCACATGCAAGACATTGCAGAGCTCTGAAGTGGATACAGTGCGGCGATCAAAAACGGTGAAGATGACTTCGCATGTCGATTCTGGACTCTTGGATTGAGAGGCACCAAACTAGCAAAAGATGCATGTCAGCTGGGCCCTGCGCTTGCCGAAAATGTGTGTTTTCGCTCGATCACCGTGTCCTGGATTTTCCACTTTCGTTCTTATCCATGGGAAATGAACGAGAAAATTCAATTTCATGAATACAGTACTCGAGCGGGACTAAGCGAAAAATCAGAACTTCATTTTTAATCTGTTTTTCACCACTGACTGAGAAATTACGCGAGGTTGCCACGATGGTGAGGATCTTGTTTGGTAGGCATCTAACGAGCCAGTCTTGACAAGGACTGGATTCACACGTTGGCCTCATGTGCTCCTCGTACAAAGCGATTCTAAGATGTGTATTCGCCAGCACAGCCATTAGTCTATTGTTTGTTACCACACCTTGCAATCGATTGCGGTGCCTGTAGAATCTTCTCTCGTAGCAGCGTCTTTATCTCGAACTGTTTCACTCACTCAGAAATGGCCTGAACTTCAACTAAGCTTGTCTCTTCCCCTGACGATTGTTCTTGTAGTTAGATTGAATTTTTGGAAGGTAAAGAGCTGAAATGTTCGTCGCTTATGGGGTTGTCCTGTTTCTAGTCCTCCCAGTAATCGGACTTTCATGTTCTACTCAGATGCTTGAACGTAAGATTATCGGTCTGCTTCACCACCGCAATTGTAGCTTTGTCTATCAAGAGACTTTCTCGACAAGGAAATACGGCCGGAGACTACAGTTGAATGTGGTGCTACGGTACTCGGCACGAATGTCTTAAAGAACACTGAGAGCTACCACTCTTGACACTGCAACATGTGGTTCATGAGCTTAAGATGTTACTTTCTCGTAAACCGGTAGTGCTGGTCAAAAAAGAACAGAATAATGTTCCCAGCGCATCGGTTGCATCATAAGTAACACGATTGTCTTTGAGATGGTCAAACGTACTGAGCTTTTACTTTCAGCATGCTTTCCAAAAATGTAACATTCAATCAAAATCATTAAATTTCTGACTGATCAATCTCCAGGTAAAAGGGTAAATATAAGTCATAAAGTATCATATAGACAAAGAACTGCGTACCCAATCAATATTTACAGTTTCAGGATCTCCCAAAACTATGCCGAGAGACAGCTTTCCACAACAGAAGTTATCGCCAGCGCTTTTTCCTCCTCTAGACGTTTGCACACGATTTGAAGACACACCGGCATCTTTTCGAACTTTTGCGCATTATAGTAATCTTGCATTTTCTTGTCAGCAGGATTTACTGGAATATGTCCTTCTTCAGTTTTGTCCTTCTTATTATCGGTTTGAGCAACTGGAAACACAACACAGGCATAATCCAGAACATTGAAGGGCACAGTGTAATTTTCGCAACCGAATTCAACCTCTCCATCACAAAAGCTAGCCGAGGGCCAAACAGGACAAATTATTGCATCAATAGGCTTTCCATCTGAGGTTAGGCTTCTTGTGCTTTGCCATTTCTCAAGATACTGTTGTTTCAATTTCCTTATTTTCAGGGACACTTCCCACCATTCATTAACGGTGAGTGGCTTCCCCAAGTGGCCTTTGGTCAGAATGGCTCTTCTGGCAATATCCATGTAATCAGATACAGGCTCTCCTGTCTTATTCAGTAGTTCTTGCACTTCCTCATAAAAATCCGCGGCGTAAACTTGTTCCCCCACGTCGACGAGTTCTTCACTGTTGGAAAAGGTCCAATCTACAACCTCATGGCCACTGCGTATTAAGTCATTGCGAGTTTCTTTCAAAGCCCGCAAAATAGGAGGGTGTGGCATTACAAGTCCATCCCATGTCATCAGACCAAATCTCAGCTTTTGTGACTTCAACTCGCTAGCATCTCTCCATGGAACAGGGACAACTTGAGGATCGCGGTTCCACAACTCATTGTCAATTATCATTTTGGTGAAGAGCTCTAAATCTCGAAGGGAGGAACTGATTGGTCCAAGAACGGAAGGTATTAATTCTTGCCCTTCGTAAGAGTTCGTTACATCCATGTAAGGGATCCTGCCATGTGAAGGTCGAAGTCCATACAAACCTTGAAAAGCTGCCGGGATTCTGATACTTCCACCAATATCAGTGCCAACTCCCAGAGGTGATCCCTTTGCAGCAATCAAGGATCCCTCTCCACCAGAGCTGCCACCGCTGGAGAAAGAAATGTTCAGAGCATTCAGAGTTCGCCCATGCAAACTCGAAACCGTCTCGGATGCCAGCATGGCGGTTGGAACAGCAGTTTTTACGAAGAAAACTGCACCGTGCTCTTGCAAGACTTCTGCTAGCAAAGACATTTTGTTGGCCTTGTTCCCAATTTTAGATATGTAGCCGATAGTGGTTTCGATGCCCGGCAAGTTCACTTGGTCCTTGAGCGAGAACGGAACTCCGTGCAAGGGCCCCTTCAATTTCCCAGTTGTCGCGTAGTAAGAATCTAAGCGTCGTGCAGTTTCGAGAGCCTCATCGAAGAACACTTCAATGCAGCAATTGAGTATTTGGTGCGCAAGAGCTGCTCTGTGACAGAATGCGTAACAGACTTGGTAGCTTGTCAAGTTCTTGGATGCTATCTTTTCAGCCAGTGCAGTCGCATCAAGACAAGTAATCATCACCTCATCATTGGGAAGAATTCTATCAAGATATTCGCACGTATTTTTATATCCTCTATTTGCCATATCTTGACTCAAGTTGGGTTTGATCCAGTCATTTGGGATACATGAAAGCGTCTTAGTCCGCTTTTCCGTGGCATTTATCTCCCACTGCTTCATGAAGGTCTAGAAAGTTGGGAATAGCGAGTAGTCAAACTATCGAATTTTTATGAAGTCCGCTAAAGGATTCGGCAACGGTGGAAACAATCGCTTCTCATGTCTGCTAAACTTCTCAATTGTATTTCAGTTATAAGACGATCGGACTGAGAGAGCTACCGATTTGAACGATAAAGAAGACGGTAGACCATAGATAAGAGATACCCGCCATATCACATGCCAAGATTTCGATCAAGTGAAAGTGGAAGTTTGACAGCATTGACTCACGGTTTAGTTTTATAGCGACAAGGAGATGAATGTTGCTCAATTGCACACACGTACTTGCTCTACAAAGCACTCTGTTGTTCCCGCATTTGCAACACAGGGGGGGTGGGAAGGGGAAATTATCTGGATTTTTTAATATCTTTAAAGCTCGAGCAAGAGCACAGCCCATTGTCGTGAAAACGTTGAAATTGTGCAACGGGTTCTGGAATTCTGTTTATAGATCCTGTAACTTTACTTCAAATTTGAGGGAGATGGTCGATCATCAAAGTACGTGCTGAAGAAAAACCGAGCTGCTTGATACCTAGTTTATAGGCGAATTGCAGTTGTCAGAGACGGTCTCTACAGGGTTAGGGAGCTGCTCGAACAGGAGGAATTTCTCGTCAGTGCGTCGAGTGGTAATTTCTCAATGCACTTTTAGAAATTCTCTACTATGCTTAAATGATGTCAAAAAGCCATGTTAGAAGCCTTAAGTGTTCGTTTTTCGCTATTTGGAAACCACTACCCGAACTCAATCGTCGTAAAGCCAGCATGTGTAGATTTATAGGGCTATATTTTATTCTGGCAGAGAGCTAGCAACTTCGTGTCGGGATCAGTCACACTACCCGCTGAAGTGTCTCTGGGCGGACACGAATGCAGAGACTGTGTTGTGTTTCGTGCAGTACACTCTGGTGACTACCGTGCCAACCAAGCATTCCAATAAGCCAACAGGTCTTCAGAAGATCACTTGCCCGGTAGATCAAGACTCGTTCGTCATGGCCCTACTGGATTTAACTGTCAGAAAGCTGTTGCTTTGGCGTGGGCTGTCATCAGTCATCACACCACGTGACATACAAACGACATCATTCTACAACAACAGCTATCGGCCAACCCGGAGGGCTGTTCTGGCAGTGGGGCCTATTGTCTCACCTTCTTAACCGGAAGTCTGTTGTAATAATGCATACATGAAAACCGCCTAATGATGATTTTCTGTCAAAGCAAAAGATTATTCTGACACCAACGGTACACACCGCCGTTGGCTTGCAGGCCGTGTGGTGCGGGTCGACACTAGATTCATCCTAACAGGGAAGCTAAATGGAGAGAATAAATTTACCTATGTGGATTGCGACTCCAGTCCCGCCAAAAAGTCGATTTTCAGAATACTCGTCAACAAGACATAAATTATTATTAGCCAATTGGCATCCCAAGCGTCAACTGAAAAACACGCAAATAGCTTCCTGCAAATAGCTACAAGACGTTGTATAACTCGCTCTGAGCGCATTTAGTATCGCACTAGTATGACCTTACAAAAACGAAATAACTTCCAGGAAGCACGAACAATCTGTAAAATAATACCTTGCCATTTCATCGCATCTCATCAACTACTCCAGGATAGCAAACATCTCTCACTTCTCAACGTCGCTGGTCGATCATCACATCTTAATCATCATCTAGTCGCTATCGAGTCATGTGATAGTCGTGAAGTCCTCTTCTGAGCTTATTCAGCATATCTTCTTATAGCACCCATCTCATATTCAAGGGCCCATGTCTTTTTTGCTAAAGACCCTTTCTATATATAAAAAAAGCCTCAAGACAAGAACTTGGTTTCAACATTTATCAAAAGTCAACGACAAGAAAGTGAGATCATGACACTACCAATCATAAGAGTTCACTGGCTGGACGAATCGAGAGCTTTCAGAGTTCTTTGGCTTTTGGAGCATCTAAAACTAGACTACGAGATTATTCCTTACAAGAGAAATGAAGGATACCGTGCTCCTGATGAATTGAAAAAAGTCCATCCACTTGGAAGATCTCCTCTGATTGAACTGGAAGACAGGGAAACGGGTAAGAAGAAAATTCTGGCTGAATCAGGATACATTTTCCAGTATGTTTTGCAACACTTCGACAAGTCCAACATATTGAGCTTTTCCAGTACGGACTCTGAAGAGAAGGTCGACTATTTCTTGCACTATGTCGAGGGTTCATTGCAGCCTCCTCTGATGATCGAATTCCTTCTGTCCATGGTCAAGAAGGCGCCCATTCCGTTCCCTCTATCGTATCTGACGGGCAAAATCACCGGGAAGATCAGCGAAAAGTACTCGCAAGGCGAGGTCAAGAACCAGTTCGACTTTCTGGAGGGCGAAATTGCCAAGAATGGCGGTTACATCGTCGATGGCAAGCTCAGCGGAGCGGATATTCTTCTGTCATTCCCACTGCAAATGGCTTTTGAACGTGGTTTCGCGAAACCGGTAGAATACCCGGGCATGGACAAATGGTTGAAAACTATCACTTCTGTGGATTCTTACTCTGCTGCCAAGCAGAAAGCAAACGCTCATGGCGGAAAATTTTAGTGCTTGTTGTCGATTTGACGCGGCTATTATATATGTCTACTTCCTTATATTGTTATTTTCTTACGGCCTAGCCGACTACCGTAGGATGTAGCACTGTCTGGACTAATTCGGGGTGTTGATCCTACTTTAAGTAAAGAAACTCATTGCTATACATTTGTAAAAGTCTCAAGTCAAAAGATTCTCACCGTGCTCATTCCAAACAATGCAAGAAAAATCGTGAAATCCTAAACATAATCAATATCCTCAGCAACAATCAATTGCACAACGAACACATGATAAATTCAATTTCGCTTGGTCTCTTTTAACATATTGAAGCCCCATCAAACGCAGTTCCTTACTAATTCTTTCGGACCCATCGCTACATATGTTACATTTATAGAAATGGGTGCAAAGTTGACTATATGAAGTCAGTTTACCAACGCCACCACAACCGGACTAATAAATGGCTGGTTTAGCACCTATTTCCAGTGCGCTTATGATGAACGTTACTTGAGATTTTAGTGCATATAATGCTGTGTTATGTATTTTATTCCCTCTAGTTATTAGCGCCTTTCAAATGTGAGCGAAGCAGACATCTGCGAGCGTAAAGCGTGGAAACGTCAATCCGTCTTCTTTTGTCTGCCCAGTTGTGTGCTTGAATCAAAACGATCAAAAAGAACTCTTCAATGATCATGGTAGGTGTGTTGCAAATAAGTTGACCGGTGGTACTCCAGCGAAGGGCCGAAGCAACAATGATTAAACCTATAATGGTGGAAATAGAAGCTAAGACGCAGAGCTGCGAGGAACAAGCTCTGTTGATGGCATTTGATATTTTTAGCGAAAAAGATGACTTCGCTTTCTTGTGGTCGACGAACAATTCGTCTGGGCAATGCAAACCCAATGCTTCAAACAAATCTGCGTCTTCCTGTGCCATCAACGCATAGTTCTCTTCTTCCTGATTAACAATTCTGAAATAAACCTGTCTGAGGACAGATCCGTCCAAGAAACCGATTAGACCAGTGTAGGTACCAATGATTAACCACCAATTGGAACTCCAAGACATCACGTTTCCAATGGCTAACCAAGCTGCAATTGCTCCAATGGCTATCACTAATCCAACACCGGTTCCAATGATGTCTGCGTACACATCAATCACCTTTTCGAAAACCGATCTGTCGCGAGCAGGAATGGTGACAATCTCGTTTGGTGTGGTAAAGTCTCCGTTCACCGTTCTTAGATGTTCTTCGATCTCAGTGTCTATGTCAAAAACGGCAGCAAGAAGCTTGGTGATGTACTTTTCGTGCCTCGCCCTGATGTTCTGAAGAAACATGGTACAGATTAGCAACGGAACCGCTGTGGCAGTGTTGATACAAAGTTGCCAAAGGTCACTAAACTTTTTGTATTCCGGGTTGGAGCTCGAGAATGGAGGGTTGTTGCCCGTCGCCAGCGGCAAAGCACCACAGCCAACCCAGGCAAAGATACCGCCCCAGAAAATGAGAATGGCTGGCAAAGATCCGATGAGTTTGCTTGCCAAGGTCGATAGTCTGTCGTACCAACTCTCAACGACCAACTCGCCCTTACCATCTTTGAGTGCGCCCTGAACCTCGTAAGACGTTGCTTGGACATCTTCCTGTGATTTTTCGCGCGCCAATTGGGCCGCAGGCGACAGCCCGAACTTTTTGAAAGTCCGGATACGAGATCTTAAGACCGCGCAGACGTTGGTGTGGTCGTGTGCGCTGGTCAGTTGCTGTCTCATGAGCAGAGTGTCCCAGAAGTAACTCTGCAGCGATTGACCGTCCTGCATAACCACCTGCCAGTTATCTGGAGCCTTGTAGACGATCCCCAGTACGATCCAAACGATGATGATGGCCCACATAATGAAGAAGATGAATTGCGTGCCGGCGAACATCACAAGTTTGTCCAAGACACGGTCGCCGAAATCCTTTTGGAGGCCTGTGAAACCATGCGTTGTCAAAATTGCGCCCTCCTCTCTCACGTCCACATGTCCCATTTCACTCTCCGAGATCTCATCGCTGCTATTGTCCAGAATCGTTAGTCCCCCATCTTCGGCCTTCTTGGTGGGTATTTCAACTTCGGTCAAGCTGCCTGCGATAGGCGCCCGTTGCGAAACACTTGGTCTGGACCCCGGGTTTCCCAAGAATCTGATTATGCTGCCCATCTTTAGTCTTTTCTGAGGATCTGGTTTTTCTCTAGCAGAAATGCCAACATAGAAGAGTGGTTGACGGTCTGATGCTTGCCATCATATACTAAATGATGTCGTTTGAGCCGTCACAGTGGGTTTCGTCCGGGTCGAATACGTTGATTCAAAACAGGGTGCAATTGGCACCTATTCGACTACAGCTATTCGCTAGCTCTTATTAGATGGCCATTAGCCGTGTGTTAATCGCTCGCTATTACGCTGCACCTTCGTTTGGCGCTTCCATTTTTTTTCCCACTGCCGCTTTGAGCATATTTGTTTTTGTGGAAGCTCGGAAGATTCTCGAGCGCACATATGCCCATTGATATGGTTACGGATTTCCGAGCGCCACGACGTTTTCTTAGCCAAGACTTTTTTATCGCCGCTGGAGAAACAGATTTTCCGGTGCCTACAACCCTTCATATTGTTCCGGCGGGCGAGAGCGCTGGCGCCTCAGGTTCTTCCGGAAAGACATCTTGGCGGTCAGCCAAGAAGAATAGCGAAAGCCAGGGCAGATCAGATCGTCTCTGGTTTTTGCCAAGACTTGGGAACTAATTGGTCATTCAATTTTGAGTGCCCACGCTCGGGCAGGACTAACCATACCCAAAACACATTTTACATGGCGAACAGGAAGGATAGAAAGACGAGTTCACACGGTTATTACGAAAAGGGACTACATGCACTTGAGAATTGTGCTCACGGTTGGTGTGTGAATGTGTGAGTCCACCAGCATAATATTTTTTTCCTCTTCTCGTTTACCTGGACGCTAGTAAACGAGACGGATTTAGAGTGCCATATATGTGCCAAAGCCGTGCAGTGCGATCACTATTTCAGAAGACCGCGTCTTAATCAGTGACGGTTCAAAAGGCTCTGAGTATTCAGAACGAGGCATTTAGTGTGTGTGTGTGTGTGTGTGTGTGCATACGAGTGGGTGAGGATGTCTGACATTCTGCAGTTTCTTGCGCGTCGGCGTTGGACTGAAAACTTTGGTGCCGCAGCACCGCGGGAAGCCAGGGCTGAGATCGCGCGCTGCAGATCGCATAAAAAGGGTGCAAGTGTTGCGAGTTGCGAGAGGCACTACAACTTGTGGTCGGGGGAGGGGGGCTTTAAAACGGCAGAATCGAAGTAGGTATCAGCCATGTGTTTGGGCTCACACCTGTCACGTGATACACGAATAACCCCGTCCGCCTTCCGAATTAATATCACTACGCACGAATACCCGTAGCGGGTCTTGCTCATTATCACCTCTAACGGGACCCATTTCCTCCTCTACTCTTTTTCGACTCTCTCACCATACACGAGCAAATGGGTCGTCACTTCCAACGGACAGTTTCGGAGAGGCTCCGTCGCCCGTCACTACAAACGTCACTCTGTCTCCAGTGGCGCTCCCCAGGGACTCACTACTAACTACTTTGAATTATGTAACACGCCACACCAGTATTGAAATAAAGAAAGGGCAAGCAACAAGTGAAAAGTTTCCATCCTTCTGAAAGGCGTTGAACAGCAATATGGACACGATAACTTGAGCCGATTTGAATTATATTTAAGAGCATACTTGGCATTTTACTATTTCGCGATTTGGAATCTCGAACTGACCGTTTTACCAGTTGTCGAACCCTGCGCTTGAGCTGATTCCACTATCCTGAAAAAATGAGCTTTCAGGACATCGAAAGAGTGTCCGAATCCAAGAAAACCCATGGTACCAACAACCGAAGAGATTCAACTACGTCGTCGGAACATATTATTTTGCCACAGGCAGTCAAAACCGCGTCTGCAGATTCGTCCGACTCCCTACTGGGCGCGCTGGGCAACGAAGAGGAACATGACATTCAATATCGAACCTGTTCATGGCACCACACCACGGGACTGATGCTCTCAGAGTACATTGTTTTGGCCATTATGTCGTTTCCGTGGTCTTACTCTGTGTTGGGCATCGTACCTGGTATCATTCTGACTTTATTTGTTGCGTCCACCGTGCTATATACGGGGCTCACCATCATTGAATACTGCGAAAAATACCCACATCTTAAAAGCGTGTGCGACATCGGCCAACACCTTTTCTGGGACAAACGGTGGGCGTGGTATGCCACTTTGGCATGTTTCTTGGCCAACAATACGCTTATCCAGGGTTTGCACGTGCTTGTGGGCGCCAAATACCTGAACACCATCACCAACCACTCCTTGTGTACCGTAGATTTCGGTGTGATCGTCGCATGCATAGCTTTTGTCTTTTCTGTGCCCAGAACCTTTTCTTCGTTGTCGAAAGTCGCATATTTCTCTGCCATTACCATGTTCATCGCAGTTGTCTTAGCGATGATCTTTGCTGGCGTGCAAGACCATCCTGCTGGGTATGACGGCACACCGTTAACGTTCCGGGCGTTTCCTAAAAAGGGTACTACGTTTGTGGAGGGAATGAGCGCGTTTTTGAACATTGTATACTCGTTTGTGGGCCAGATCACTTATCCGCAATTTATTTCCGAGATGAAAAGACCAGCTGAGTTCAGAAAGGTTTTGTACATTGTAACGCTGTGCGAGGTTATCATTTTCACTTTGGCGGGTGTGATAATGTACGTCTACGTGGGAAACGAATACATGACTGCGCCAGCATTTGGATCTCTCACTAGAACATTCAAGATTATCTCCTTCTCGTTTGCTGTACCCACGCTGATCTTCGCAGGGTCTTTGTATTCGAACGTTTCTGGTCGTCTGATATTTTTCACGCTGTTCAAACGTTCTAAACACCTGTACTCTCACACCACTGTGGGCTGGGTTGCATGGGTAGGTATACTTCTCGTGACCTGGGTTGTAGCCTTCATCATTGCAGAGGTTGTGCCATTTTTCTCCGACTTGTTGTCCTTGATGTCCTCGTTGTTCGACTGCTGGTTTGGATTTGTTTTCTGGGGTATGGCGTATTTCAAGCTAAAGGAGAAAAAGTACCACACTCCAAAATTCTACAGCGCTCTTAGCGTTACTGAGAAAATCCATTTTTATGTGGCCATCTTCTTAATTGCGACTGGTATTTACATCTTAGGGCCGGGTCTTTACGCAGCCGTACAGAGCATCATATTGAATTATCAAGCCGACGCCTATGGAACTGTTTTTAGTTGCGCTTCGAATGGTAGTTGATGCCTTGTTTGGTCAAATGGTCTCGAACCGTCGAATATTTAATAGAGTTCGAAAGATTAAGCAGTGTCTTAATCCAGGGGACTAGTGTCGACAACTTTTCCTTGAGTTTCTTAAACTGCATTTTACAACATAGAATATTGTGAGAATAACAAAACGACATTAATAGCTAATAGGCTTGACGCTTACATAATGATAAATCGGCTGATGAGAGGAGATCATGGGCGACTGAGCAAAGCGAGTTTCGCTTCCTGTTTTGCATTATAGAAGTCGGTACAACGCGGTACAATAAATATGAGCTTCGATCTGAACGGGAGAAGTACCAGAGACGACAAAGTAAACCTTAGATCTTGTTCAAATATCTGCGTTTTACGTGACAGCGCTATCGTTCGGCTACAGGGACAAGCACGTAAATAATTTCTACTATAGCCAAGCACGCGATGCACACCAAGATCTACGGGACTAAGCAAAGCGCATACTGGTCTAAAGTTATTTCAAACAACTATAGAGAATTAAGGGCCATTTGGTTATTAAATGTGCGATCCGCAAACAAACTCTTGGCCGTACCATGACGTGTTTCCCATGCCGATGCCATGTTTCCACATTCACATAGCAGATCACAGTATTTGTTGACAGACAGTAAAAAGATGGGAAACTCCAATCACTTGTGAAATTTGTCATGATAATGGTCGAAGATTGATCCATGAGTTGATACCGTCGCGAACCTACGCCTATAGCAGAAGAACATCGTTTCTGGTGTGAAGCTTCGAAATTAAGTAAACTTTGTTGCAAATACCGTTGGTTTTCGTACAGGAACTCACCAAAAACTCAACGGCATGACTAAGGCTCTGGCGACGACGTCAAGACCATTTTGTAGCACAGGGTCGAGTGTATACATTGGTTCCGCGAGCTCGCTCATCACTTTATACCGGCCTGTCATCTGTCTTTATATCACGTGACGTGACATTAAGTGATCGTGATGTTTACGAAACTGACCAAAAGCCAGGGACTCGACGCCCAGCAGTCTCACATACACTCATAATGGTCTTTGAACTAATAAGTCTTCTCACGATTGCAAGTAAGAATGCAATCACGAGCGTATGGATACATCACTTTGTACTAAGCTGTCACACTGAAGTTCCAACTTCACCCGTAAGAAACAAGTGCCCTGCAGTAAAAACATCAAGCAGTCAGGGAAGAAGGAGCCTGTCAAATAATCGCTACATGACTGACTGGCGCTTTCTAAAGACTTCGAATGAGAGAACTACGTACATAGTGACACAATGTTTTATATTTAAAAATGAGCACCAAACCAGCTTTTCTGCAACCACAATATCTTTCCTTACCTGACAACACTGAGCTACACTCCCCCTTATTCCTACTCACTCGCTTCAGCCTGGCTCTTCACCAACTCAACAACCCCCGGCTCAGCCAATCAGAATCGAGAATTACCCAATAAGCTTAGTACAAAGCGATCTCGCAACGAAAAAATCTTTCCAGTAACTATATACGGCCTCATTTCCCTTCTTTCGTCGACCCGATAAATTGATGTCGACTTCGACAACCGTCAGTATATAAACTCTTCAAAAACTGGATCGCGAACTTAGAACTTTCATCAACCGTTCTTCATTCTGCCAGGGCTGATATAAAAAGCGAACTACACGCTATACACAAGTGAGATGTCTGCAGTGATTCCTCAATACTCTATTTCCGATTACGCCAAGTTTGCGTTGGCCGGTGCCATCGGTTGCGGTGTTACCCACTCCGCCATGGTGCCCATCGATGTGGTCAAGACCAGAATCCAACTGGAACCAACTGTTTACAACAAGGGTATGATCAGCTCTTTCAAGCAGATTGTGTCTGCCGAAGGCGCTGGCGCTCTTTTGACCGGTTTCGGACCTACTTTGTTGGGTTACTCTCTGCAAGGTTCTTTCAAGTTCGGTGGTTACGAAGTGTTCAAGAAGCTTTTCATCGACACCTTGGGCTACGATCAGGCCGTCAACTACAAGAACTCCATCTACATCGGTTCTGCCGCCATTGCTGAGTTTTTCGCCGACATTGCGTTGTGTCCTTTGGAAGCCACCAGAATCAGATTGGTGTCCCAGCCAACCTTCTCCAACGGTCTAGTTGGCGGTTTCTCCAGAATCATGAAGGAAGAAGGTCTAGGCTCCTTTTACAACGGTTTCACCCCAATCTTGTTCAAGCAAATCCCATACAACATTGCCAAGTTCTTGGTCTTTGAACGTGCTGCCGAGGTCTACTTCGGCATGGCCGGTCCTAAGGACTCTTTGAGCACTTCCACCACCACCGGTTTGAACTTGCTCTCTGGTTTGACCGCCGGTTTGGCCGCTGCTGTCGTGTCTCAACCTGCCGACACTTTGTTGTCCAAGGTCAACAAGACCAAGAAGGCTCCAGGTCAATCCACCATCGGTTTGTTGGGCCAACTAGCCAAAGAACTAGGTTTCGTTGGTTCTTTCGCCGGTCTACCAACCCGTTTGGTCATGGTTGGTACCTTGACTTCTTTGCAATTCGGTATCTACGGCTCTTTGAAGAAGTCGCTAGGTTGCGCCCCAGCTATTGAAATCGCTAGCGCCAAATAATTGTACTGAAAAAATGGTTGCCTTTTGAGACGGCTCTCCGTCTCCGGATGAAAAATCGTGTACTCTAAATTATGTGATGAACCCCTGTACACCAACTAAGTATAGATAAGATGAATATATTCGAATAATGTCATGAACATACAACTCTTGTTAAATTTTTGAAATTCCTGCCTATAAATTATGTAGTTAGTCTTTCATGTAGGCCTCCAGTTCCTGGTCTAGTTGATCGGCACTTGGCTTGACGGGAGATTCCTTACGGCCCCCACGCTGTCCACGCCTTGCCCCATGATGGCCTTTTTTCTGCGTGCGCCGGTTTTGGCGACTCTTGAGCTCATAAATATCCGCTGAAAGTTTCGAGCCGTTCACTTCCCTGTCCGTGAAGGCTGCAGCCACTTGTTCCAACTGGGTTGGTTTTTCGAACTCAAAAACCCCTGTCCTGCTATCAGCATGGTCGTAAAAGTTGGCATATACAGGTGTGGCTATTTCTTTTACCATGTCTTCAATGACAAAGTCGGAGACATCCAGTGGAATTTTAATGATACGAACTCTCTTTTTGGGCGCTGCTGTAGGGTTTCTTATTCCCTCGTCGTTGTACAAACGATCAGACCTTGGATAAGATTCCGGATCAAAGTCTCGTCTTGAAAATTCCCTGGAATCATTAGACCCACCTCCGATCCGGGAAGCCAGTCCATTTCTCAAATCACGACGACGATATTTCTCATCTCGTTGTTAATATATACTTATTGGTAGCTGTCGATTCGACTTAACGACATACTGTAACACCTTTGGAGGGCTTCTGTGCAGAGAAGAAGATGAATAAACGTTAGTATTGAAACAGGATGTGTCACATTCAAAGAGTTCGACTTCAGCTAGTTCTGAGAATGAAATGTATATAATTCCTATCTTTGAGACAAACCATAAGCTATTGCCCCATCTTCTCAATGACAACTAAATATATGCTAAAACGTACGCTTTCGCCAATTATACTGTCCAAGTCGTCATCAATTGACATGGTAGATATCTTGATTCTTGGTCTTGCCGTTGTTTAAGTTAAGTCAACTTTGATGGAATTTTTACACAGTATATATATAAATCAATATTCAAGAACTTTCAAATTATAAAGGGAAAGGCTTCAACAAAAAATTGACGGATGACTTCTTGTATTCAAGAGAAGTTTAGATCTTTGAACACTTGATCAAACCTAGCCAGATGTCCGTAGTTGTTTTTAACTGATTTAACCCATGTAACCGATGGAGCGAATTGCAAGAGTGTGGACTCAATTGTTGCCAAGTTCCCATATGCGACGAGTGCCCTGTACGCGGCTTCCTCCGAATTCTGGATTATGGTAGAGGGCCCGTATTTATTGTTTAATGCATCGGCTATGGTGGGTAAAAGATCCAGGTTTTGGTCTCGAAGTATCATGACAGTGTAATTGAAAATCAATGTAGCAATGGCAATGGCCAAATTGCCGGTTTTCGCGGTTTGTTGACGGTCTGCATCTATTGTTTGGAAAATAGAGTCGTACACGGCGCTTTTAGACATTAGCTCCTTGCCCCATTTTTTGTTCTGGAAGCAGTTGGCCAAGCCTCTGATGGTAAGCAATTCCAGCTGTAAGTTAGAACAGCCCAGACCTTCCTCCACGAATTCGCTTATCGCGTCAGCCTCAGGTAGGTGTGTTACTATCAAACGCATAATGTCATAAGCTGGAATTTTGTTTTGCCACGAAAAGCGTATCATCGAGGCATGTGCGAATAGTAGGTCCGAATTCTCTGCTATGTTGTGCAGACCGGCACCAAGAGCGGCCAGATCCTCGTCATCAAAAGTCTTCTCTTTTTCGTTCAGCTTCGCGATGGCACTGAAAATGGCATCCGGATCGCAGGTGCTTATTTCTAGGTAAGTCGTCACTGGAAGCATCGCCATGTTAGTCTCGACTGGCGCAAATTCCTTTTCAGGTATGTCGGTGGATTGTGGGGCAGTAGCAACGTCGCCCCGTTGAAGCTCAGTGCCGCCGGTGTTGGTGATCAAAAATCGCACAACGTCTTCTCTGTAGCTAGCAGGTAGCTCATATTTTGCCAGAAAATCGTCTGCGGCCTGGTAAGGATTGTCATTTGCGTTGAAGGGCAGTTTCAAGGGAGGGGCGCCTTCCTGGACATCGACGTCGAACACGTAGTCGTACATCTTCCCATCGTATTCTTTTTTCTGGTCATTTCCAGTCGAGCCCACCACGTCCCCGACTTTTGTCCATTTGCCCTGAGAGAACTGGTGCGCCTCTTTTACGCCCGAGGGGCTCTTGACTACGACTATTTGCCCTTCCTTGCCAGCAGTTTTCAAAATATCAGCGGACGACAAGTTTGATTCATCAAATCCCGAAGTCTGAGAATTGATCGCAGTTTTCTCTACTTCTTCAGCGAATTGCTCCAGCTCTTTCTGGCATGCCACTCGACTGGGGTCGCGGGTGAAAATGCGAATAATGCTGTCACTGCTCCCTACCACGATGTCACCATTTTCCATGATATCCAGCGTCCAGACAGAAACGGCTGGGATGCGTATGACTTGCTTGACAGTTCCATCTGGGCCCCAGACCCGCACAGATCGGTCCTCACCGCAGCTCACTATATCACCGTTTGCCATGTATTTGACGCAATACACAAAACTCTCGTGTCCCGTCAGAGTTTGAAGTGTGCGACCTTCCATATCATTTATCTTCACGGTCCCGTCGTTAGAACAACTGACAAATTGATCGCCGGTGGAGTTGATATCTAGGTACCTAACCACATCACTGTGAATATTGTCGAAGCTTTTGACCACTTTCTCGCCGCTCCACAGCTTAATTGACCTATCTGCTGACGCAGTCAGATATGTGCCCACTTGCGGCAGCATTTTAACGTCCCAAACAGAGGCTTGATGCCCTATCAGCCCGTGCTTGATGGCACCTTCAAACCATACGCGAGCTGTGGAGTCCCAACTACCGCTCAAGACGTAGCCCTGTGAGCTATTCAGAACGCACACATTACTCTGGTGGCCCACAAGCACGTATTTGGATTCGGCGCTCAGACCGTCAAATCTGGTTTCAACGCTGTTGATCAGCGTGTCTTGACCTCCGCAGAACAAAAGTTGGCTATAGATATCAAAACAAAGACTGTTGACGAATTTTTCCGATTGGTACGCAATGTTGCCTTGCCAAATGCCCTCGAATCCTTTTTTCCAGACCCTAACGGTACCGTCTCGAGAACAACTTGAAATGTTCTCGGTGTCGATGGCCACTACGGCCTTGACATCTTGTTCGTGGCCGGAAAGAACAGCACTAAGTTTAAACCCACTAGTACTCATGGAATTGATGCTGGGAAATGGATGATTGGTGAGGGTGTTTGGATTGGTGAGGGTGTTTGGATTGGTAGGTTTGGGAGTAGAAAGTTTGAAATGTGTCTTCGATCATTGCAATTGGGAACGACGACATTATAGTACAGAGTGATATTGATTGTCTCTGCGTGCGATAGATTGATGAGCTGAACTGCTCGAATGGCGCACGCACAAGGATTTACTACGACTGCTAGTGCCATTTTACAATGTGGAAGGACTTTGAGTGCCAAGCGGAGAAGAATATGATGTTTTCTGACATTTCGTGTCAAAGTAATTTCTGAAAGTGCCTACTGAAAGTACTTATTATATCTCTATATTGCATCTTCTGATTGTAAAGTCACCGCGCGCTGGAATTGAGATAATCGGCTGTCGTTTTTGCAGCTATTTAAGGTCTCTGGATTCTGTGATTTACTAACATGTATTCCAGCGGTGTGGTAAATAAACATCTCTGCGTTAACAATTTAATTAGAAAGATATGTGATATTCCTGTATGTTGGCTAAGATTCAAGCTCCGACTACGTCCTCGCTGTTCGTTTGAACCTGCTTGAAATATCTTGTTTGCTTGAGTACGTAGTTGCGTAGCGAGCGCAGCTGCTTTGTCAAGCAAGTGTTCACTTTTCAATTCTGGAAACTCAGCAGACTGGAAACAACCGGGAAACAAGTGGAAAAGATTTTGAAATACACACGAGTCACTCGTGTTTGCAGCGTGAATCAAAGGATCAGCCTGCCCGACTCTTGCCAGCTGTTGCCGCACTAATACAGATGCGGTTTTTAATGTCGTGTGGGGCGATATGAGTTCTCAAGACGTTTCTTGCGTTATTTCGGGCTTCCGTTAGTTCAATTGTGCAACCATCTTCTAGTGCCGATGACACACCCCGTCTCAGCTAGCTGGCCAAATGTTTTTAGTGAGAGCTTATACTGGCTTTCATATATGAGTACGAGTGACATCCCAAACGATCCGTTGTTAGTGACGAGTACCATGGCGAGTACATTTTCGAACTATCGTCACAAGACTTAGACGTGTGGTACAAGGCAAGTATCCAGCGGAACACGACTTTATTGGCGTTAACTTGATTTCTAGGCCCGGTATTATTTATGAGATGTCAGTAAACGGGTTCTGGAGTGGACTCTAGTCATTCGGACTCGACTCAAGTGAGAAAAAGATATATAATTGAAAAAGAATATCTTGCCTCAATTATGCAAGTATCAGCTCGCACCACTAGATTTTGCTGAATTTACTGAAGCATAGAACTGTAGCCATGAGCCAATTGGCCAAGGGCACTCGTACTCAGGTCCTGATTTATAGATTAGATGAGCAAGCAAGCAAGCAAGCATAAAGGCACGAAACAGATCACGTGAAACAAAATGAGATTAACTAAACACGGAAATCACGTGCTTTTATTTAGTTATATAATCAGTACGCTGTGCACGTGCTACTTCACTTACATAAGCGTACTACTTCTGTCACGCGATAATCACGCGATCTGTTCGAGAAAAAGAAGCTACACCCACGTGATAAGATTTCATCATTTTTCTCTGCTCAAAAAGATAGGGAAAATGGACCTTTAAACCACTGTCCATGTATAGATATATATACTCTAAGTAAGTAAACTTCGAACAACTTTCCGCACATCAAGCCATCTTCTACATCATGTCTGGGCCCCTGTTGTACGCTCAAGTCAACAATCGACTAGTATTAAAACTAGCGTCCTCTTCCGGTGAAAAAGACCCGGTTCTTGCACTTGGTCCCACCGACCAGGACGTCAGCATCGAATCGCTAGACTCGTTTCCTTCTTCAGGCCAAATTTCCAAAATAGCAGGCCTGATCGGGTGCATTAAGCTTAAGAATAACGCTTATGCCATCCTTGCTCGCAGGGTTGAAGAATACGGCTCGTTGGCCGGCCACAGAGTGTTCAAAGTCGTGGAACACGCAGTCGTAGCACTCAACAATTTGAGCAAAAAAGATAAAGATGAACAGCAGTATTTGGCACTTTTGGAGCTGCAATTGTCGAACTCGACCCTTTTCTTCTCTTACACGTACGATTTGACGAACTCCGCGCAACGGAACGAAAAACTGGGCACCTACTCGTGGAATAAGGCAGACACTCGTTTCTTCTGGAACCATTTTGCCACACAATCGCTGCAAAAACTGGCCGGTACAGACCAAAGAGCCGCTCGCTTTATACAGCCCATGATTTACGGGTATGCCCATTTCATCGATTCGAACATTCACAACACTCCAATCACGATCGGTCTTGTGACTAGAAGAAGCAGATTTCGGGCTGGAACCCGGTACTTCCGCCGTGGAGTTGACGCAGATGGCAATGTTGCAAATTTCAACGAGACAGAACAATTTCTGGTGGTCAAATCCGGCGGCCAGTCGGACCGTTGGGACTTTTTCGCGTTTCTGCAAACGCGAGGCTCTGTTCCGGTTTACTGGGGCGAGATCAACAACCTCAAATACAAGCCCAACCTTGTCTTGGGCCAAACCACCTCTCTGGACGCCACTGCCCGGCATTTCGAGCAGCAGAAACATCTTTACGGTGAGAACTACCTTGTAAATTTGGTCAATCAACAGGGACACGAGCTGCCGGTCAAAAATGCTTACGAATCTGCTGTTAGTGGTCTAAACGACCCCAAGATCCACTATGTGTATTTTGATTTCCACCATGAGTGTCGGAAAATGAAATGGCATAGAGTCAAGCTGTTGATTGATCACTTACAAAAATTGGGCCTTGACCCAAGGGACGTGTTCCGAAAGACGGTTTCAATGAATGGTAGTACAATTGAGGTTTTGAGAGAACAGAAATCGGTTGTCCGCACCAACTGCATGGACTGTCTAGATAGAACAAATGTTGTCCAATCTGTGCTCGCTCATTGGGTTTTGCAGCAAGAGTTTGTTACTGCGAACGTTCTTTCTCCTGAACAGCTATGGGAACAAGACCTGAAACTTCTAGTACAGTTTCAGAGCTTTTGGGCCGATAACGCGGATATGGTCAGTTTTGCGTATTCCGGGACTGGCGCGTTAAAGACAGACTTCACAAGAACTGGTAAGCGTACCCGCTCTGGTGCTTTCAATGACTTTTTGAACTCAGTGTCTCGCTATTACCAAAATAATCTCACCGATGGTCCTCGACAGGATAGCTTTGACTTATTTTTGGGCAATTTTTCGCCTTCAGATCTTGGATACCAGTCCCCATTTGCCGATAGAAGACCATTCCCAATTCAAATAATACCCACCGTTATCTGCGCCGCATTGACTGTAATTGCAGCCACCATTTTTTTCCCCAAAAATCATTTTACTAGCTTCAAAAACCTGTCCTTCCTGTTTTTGTCTGGTGCTATTGTGGGACTTTCTTTGAGATTCATTTTCAGAAATGGTGAGCAATTTGTCAACTGGCCTAGGTTCAGTGACCTAGGATTCCTGGTCGCGGTTCAAACCCACAATAAGGAGCGAGCTTTTAAAGGGATCAAGTACGTTCAAAGCTCCGAGTTTTCAAGACCTGAAACTTCTAAAAAGGACTGATCTAGGATTAGTTTCTAAACTTTTAAGTACTACGTACAAACTCATCAAGCTAAAAGCTCTTTCATCAAAGTCTCGACATTGGACGCTCTCATGAGGGCCTCACCAACCAGAAGTCCACGAACACCTTCACTTTTATAATTTTTCGCGTCAGCTCCACATGTTATGCCCGAGAGGGCAAGCAATACTGTTCCAGTGGGTACGGAAGCGGCCAATGAACTTGTTGTGTTAAGATCCACGTTGAAAGAATGGAGGTCTCTGTTATTGACACCAATGATTTTTGCACCAAGATCTAGAGCACGTTCCATTTCGTCTTTTGAGCTAACTTCGACTAGTGGCTCCATCCCCATTTCGTTCCTGGAGTAATCGTACAGTTCGCGGAGTAGAGACTGTGACAGCATTTTAACAATAAGTAAGACCGTGTCTGCACCCGCCAAACGAGCCTCTAGAATTTGATATTTGCTGAAAATGAACTCTTTTCTGAGCACACAAGGCCTGTTAGCCGAATTGTCTTTATACTCGTTGTCCAAAGCCTTTCTTACATTCATCAGGTCTTGAATGCTTCCTTTGAACCAATGAGGCTCTGTGAGAACGGAAATTGCAGCAGCGCCAGCCCTTGCATATTTGACACCTTGCTCTGCAGCAATGGCGCCAACATCGATATCTCCCTTTGAAGGAGAGGCTCTTTTTATTTCAGCTATTACCGCAGCGTTGTGGGATCCGGAAAGAAGTCTGTCGTGAAAGTTGGAAACGGATGGAGCGAGACCAAGGTCAAAATTATGCTGTAAGTCACGGAGTGTGAAGCCTGGAGTGGAAGACAATTCAGAAACGTCTTCTTGCCTTTGTGCGTAGATTTTGTCCAAAATAGAAGTGCCCTTGTCCACTTTTGCTTTTGATAGCTTATCGTGCTCTTCCCAAGTCCCACCTTGGATGCTGAGGATGTTTCTGAACATAGTGCGACCGGATTCCGAGAGAATGGATTCTGGATGGAATTGCACACCTTCGACAGTGTATTTCTTGTGTCTGACACCCATAATGACACCGGACTCGGTTCTTGCGGTAACTTCCAAAACGTCTGGAAGGGTAGACTGTTCACCAGCCAAGGAATGGTACCGGGTCAAGGAAACGCCCTGAGGCACGTTTTTGAAAATTCCTTTATTGTCGTGCTCGATTTGAGACGTCTTACCGTGCACAATTTCACCTGCGTAGGCAACGTTGCCGCCAAAAACTTCGAACATGCATTGCTGGCCCATGCACACGCCGGTGACTGGGATTTTGCCGGCAAAGTGTCGTATACATTCTCTGGAAACACCGGAATCAGTTTTTGGATGTCCTGGTCCTGGGGAAATAAGTAAAATCTCGGGCTCCAAAGCTATAACTTCCTCCAAGGTAATTTTGTCATTACGGAATACCTGAACATCTGCTCCCTCTCGACACAGATACTCATAAATGTTCCAAGTGAACGAATCGTAGTTGTCGATTAAAACCACCTTTCTCTTCGTAGACACACGCATATTTGACAATTTAAAATGTTTTTGAAGACGACAAATTTGGCTAATCAGTTACCAAATTACGAGATCGAGAAAAAAGCGCTGGGATCGATTGTCAATGGCTTTTATCTTCCGGTTCTTGATGAGTCAGTTCATGGCGATGCCAAAATTTTTCAGCTATTATTGATCACCATGGCTCGCCAACCTGGAAAAAAGTGATTTGAATCAGTATAACGTTGAATAAAGTGATGTAACTGCTACTGGTAAGGACAAGTGGGGCATCAATTGGCGTGGGAGCTACTCGTTTGAATTATCGGGATTTTAGAAGCGTAATTCGATCTTGCATCGTCAAAAATCTCAGTATTTTCATTGAAATTTGTATCAGGTTGACTTGTGTCATTGGCACCGAGGGCTGCAGGGCAGGTGCGAATAATGATACGATAGGGCAGCTTAAACAGCTTGAATTTGGGCATTCAAAAGATTTAAAACATGAGCAGTGCATTACTGACACTCAGCGTTACATGCTTAGGTTCATAAAGTTACACTCAAATGCTGAATTGAATTCGTCATGATACAAGCGTTTCCCGCCAACTAAAATGCCCATAACTCTTAATAAAAGCCATCAATGGGCCTCGAACCTTTATCAGTAGACACTTACACACAGAATGGTATGCTTCAATTAAATACGACATATCATGATCAGTTTTGATCCAAATCTCGTCAAAATTTCACCAAAATAGAGGAAATTAAGCCAATACGTTAATCAAATTCTCCACCATAATTTATAACTGCCATCAACCTCATTCTCCTCTCTTAACAATCGCCGCTTCCCAATTTCTCGAGACGTTCCTCTGTTATAGCTAAGAATTTAAAAAAATTTCGAGACTGAGTTGAAAACAACACACTTCAACTACGATTCGACCAGTATAACAAGCCAGATTTAAGCCCAATTGACCATGGCTAGCATCATAGAAGCATCTGCTGCTTTGAGAAAGCGGAAAAACCTGAAAAGAGGTATCAATTTCACGTTGATGGTCGTGGGAGAATCCGGATGTGGCAGATCAACATTTGTGAACACGTTGTGCGGCCAGCAAGTTGTGGACGTCTCCACGACGGTGATGTTACCCACAGACGTATCTACACAGGTGGAAGTGCAGCTAAGGGAAGAAACCGTGGAACTTGAGGACGACGAAGGCGTCAAAATTCAGTTGAACATCATAGACACACCAGGGTTTGGAGGGTCGTTGGACAATTCCCAGAGCTTCAATGTGATCTCAGACTATATAAGACACCAGTATGACGAGATCTTGCTGGAAGAAAGCCGGGTGCGGAGAAATCCACGCTTCAAGGATGGCAGAGTGCACTGCTGTCTGTATTTGATTAATCCGACAGGCCATGGGTTGAAAGAAACGGATGTGGAGTTCATGAGGACGCTGGCTCCTCTGGTAAACGTGATCCCGGTGATCAGCAAAGCGGATTCTTTGAACCCAGCAGAACTCAAACTCAATAAGAAACTAGTCATGGAGGACATCGACTACTACCATCTACCAATCTACAACTTCCCCTTTGAAGAATCAGACATTTCTGACGAAGATTACGAAACCAACATGCATTTGCGCTCTCTCATGCCCTTCTCGATCGTCGGGTCCAACGAGGTGTACGATCTGGGCGATGGCACTCTCATTCGCGGCCGTCAGTACCCATGGGGCACGCTGGATGTGGAGGACTCTACTATTTCCGACTTTGTACAACTCAGAAACACGCTCCTGATCTCGCACTTGCATGACTTGAAGGATTACACTCACGAAATCCTGTACGAGCGTTACAGAACCGAAGCACTCTCGGGCGAGACCTCGGCTCCCAGCTCACAAGGCGCCCACTTCGCGTCAAGCGGGACCGGTCCTACGTCTCCTGTCGCCTCGGGAAAGTCTTCGTTCCAGGCTGCGGAGCACGACTCTCTCAACTCGTCTTTGAAGCAACCTGTTGGGGGCCAAGACACGTATCTCGCGCGTGAGGAGCAAATAAGACTGGAAGAAGAAAGATTGAAAGCGTTCGAAGAGCGTGTTCAACAAGAACTGCTCATGAAGAGACAAGAGCTGTTACAAAGGGAACAAGAACTTAGGGACATAGAAGAGAGAATTGAACGAGAAGCCAAACAAAGAGCGGAATCGGAGGGGCTCGAGTAAAGCGAACGAACAGCATTGAGACAAAATTCATAATTTTTATGTACTAAGTGGACAAACTTCAATTGGAGAGTAAGGCAACATTTGAGCATTCTTTATTCACCTTAGCATTTGCTCAAGCCCTAGCTTTCTTCGATGGGATGAGTCGTAGGATTGTCAATGTATCATTGTACGGACCAAAATTTAGCGACTATAAAAAAAAGACTACAGTTGTCAAAATTAACCTTCTCATCGACATTCGACTTGGCATCACCAACTACAGTAAATCTTGACTATTGAATAGATCCAGGTGGATTTAGCATACCTTACAATTGTAAAGGACTGCCAATAAGCGTAGACGACTTGAAGCTTTAAAGCTTTGACCAAAATGATGAGTAACCAGATAGGGACAACAGACTTCGTTTGAATGACGAGGAAAGTCTTTTAACAGCCCAGTTTTTAGTAGAGCTTGGGCGCCTTTGCTGATTGGTCTTTAGTAAAAATTATCGAATTAAAACAGTTACACTCGTATACATCTTTCAAGCTTGACCTGCAACGGAAGTTTTCAGCGTATTAGCCATCTATTTTTCGTCGGCAATATTAGGAGCTCCTTTCCAGCTCTTAAGTCCCGAATGCGTGGCGAAGTGCAAAGCTTTATTGCTCTCCATATCTTTATCTTGATCCTTGGAGTCCTTTCCTGGGGCGTTGAAAGAGCTTTGAGGGAAAACGAGCACGTCGCCAACAAGTTTGGGGACTTCTAGCTTGTGAAACTCTTTCCATGTTATTTTGCTCAGAATCCCACTCTGCACGTAATCGTTCATGTAGGTGAAAACGACATCGGTCCAGATCCCAGATCCGGTCCAGCTCATTATGTTGAGGTCATTTCTGAGGTTCATACGCAACTCTCCCTCTGAGCGACGTTGCAGAGTAGCCTCTGTAATACGAGCCACGACTTCACGCACCACAGGGTGGCCCGGTTTGGCCTGAATGATCCAATTGCAAAACTGCAACCTTCTGACGTAATTACTTCTCCAATCGGGATTAAAAGCATCGTTCTCTATACCAATAATAAGTCCAATCTCGCGAGGCGACACGTTCTCGGGGATCCAGTTTGGAACGGGCTGCAAAGCATCGGTATCGATGTCGGCGTAAACACCACCGCGAGCCAAGAGAATCAGATATTTGAAGAAATCTGCTTTCAAATTGGCAGTGGGCATAATATCATAGGCATCCACCACCTCTGGAATGGACGAATACATGAAGTGAATCAAGGCAGACGCAGTGTCGTCGTTAATGATCTCGTGCACGAAACCCGGGTTTTTATCGCCCCAATGCCGCTCATAGCTCTGTAACGTGGGGTCCATGCGGTTGTCCATGTCTGAGTATGGCCACGTCTGCCACACGTATGCTGGGAACCGGTGCGAGGGACGGTACTCAAACACGTGCGCGAGTTTCTCACGCAACGTGGTATGTGGTGATGGCTGTCTGAGATCTTGGATGCGTTTTTCCAGCAATCTGCGATCTTTCTCGAGCTTCCGAAGCTGCTCGTCTTGTTTCTTGAGCAGTTCTGCGGAAAGCTTTTCAAACATCTCCGCCATTGATGCGTCCTGTTTCTGCTGCGACGCGCTATCTATGCTCTGTGTGATCTCTTTGGGCAGATTCTGCAGTATCGCCTGCAAGTCTGTGGCCTCTGCAGTGTTCAGAAACCTCCATAGCCACAAACTGGCGATGCCCAATGGGATTATTATGTAGATATACCTTATCCAGGCGGGTCTGCGAGCTTTCACCATCCTGATAACTAACCCAATTAAATTGCCTAGACCGATCAAAAAAGTCGCAGGCTTTTTGGTGACAGCAAGTTTTGAATCCCTGAGTAACACTGGTACCCTTTTGTTGACTTCCCAACCCCACTAAAGCTGTACAATGGGCTCCCACTATGGTTCTTGTTAAACTAGCAAGGTTTCAGAACTTGACTTGGAATTCCAGAAAGATTAACTTGATCGACAGCCAAACCAAAATTTTGATGATTTTGAAGATCACCGGTCTCTTTACACGAAAAGACTTTGATCAAGAACCTTAAAGTTGGAAGCCATGGTCTGTAGTAGGGTATAGGCGGACTGGACCTGGTCTGGTGGTGGTTGAGACGGTTCCCGGGTCCAATTTTGTAGTTCCTTGAGCGTTGGTTCTTTCGAAATCGGCAAATTAACGCTCAAAATTACATCTGTTTGCACATCTTCGAGCCGCAACAGGGCCAAACACAGCACAAGTGTTTCCTTCTCGTCTTGTTTGCCCCATTTGTACGCAGTTTCGACGGCCACGCATGTTTGGTAATGGGCAGGCTGTTTTGCAACGTCCAGTTTTACCACGGTCCATTCGTTGCTGCCATTGAGGCCTGTAATTTCCTGCAAATGCAGTTCTAGCGCGTCCCGGTCGCTGTCAGCGTCCACGCGTTGCAAAAGGTCCACGATTATGCTTTCTTCGAGCCCTAAACCGTCGGTGTATTTGTGGAGTTCATTTGGGTCTCGAGAGTTGACGAAAACTTCCTGAGTATCGGGCACTTCCCGTAAAATTGAGGCATCTAAAAAGCCCTCTGGGATCACACACGAGATTGCACCGCCATATAGGGGCTGGACTTTGGACATCGGCTCGGTATTGGTCAATTGTGGTGCGCACTTCTTGTAAGAAAGGATGGCTATATTATATGTCAATGTTTGACGTGAGAAGTGATGTGAATTGTACATACACGCTTGATGATCATCAGGCTCAAGGTAAAGTTCACAGCCCCTCGGTGTGTCCTATCTAGTGCTTCCCGACACTTTCATAGCACAAGAACTATAATTGAGCTTCTTTTTGGGTGTTTTATCGAGGCTTCATTCCAATTATTATGCAACATCTGAATGACAATTTTATTGGGAGGTTTTTGCCCAGAAACCAGCCACTAATGGTGAGTTTTTGCTGGGATGCGCGAAACAAAACTCCAGTCTTCTACATGGTGAATAGTACACTCCGTCAAGCTTTGTGCTCACTAAGCTGAATCTGTCTTTCCACACATCTCTTGCACAGGCTTAGTGCACGCAGTATCCATCATTTGCAACGAGAATGAAGCGGTGGCTCAATGGTAGAGCTTTCGACTCCAGTTAAATCCTGGTTAATTAGGAATCAATTGCAATCGAAGGGTTGCAGGTTCAATTCCTGTCCGTTTCATTTTATTTTATTTTTTTGGTATAATTGAAGATTCGATATTTAGTGACAATGGAATAGAGATATGAGACACCGATTTGAGCTCTGCTACGACATTCTCTGCTACACTGAGGGTTTCTGAGAACTTAAGATCTAATCTGATTGACTGCGAATAGTTTAAACGAAAAACAAGCATTACTCAAATATTTTAATAACCCTCGACTCTGTCGTGGCGTTTTAGAATTCGCATTTACGACAATTTAACGGACAACACCTGTAACGAGGTCGAAGAGGGTACATCAAGAATTTGGAACACTACGATACTCCGTGAATTGACCACTTACTCGCAGTTCCGCAGTCTTATACCCAAAATAAAGTCAAAACCCAGTCGTAAGGACCCTTACATGTTACATCACTATATACGTACAGACCCATTAAAGGACCCACTTTCAAGGACCCACTTTCGTAATCTATGATCAGCTATGTTCATTTTCAAGGACCCTCTCGCGTGATAAGGACGGCGGCTAAATCCTAGGAACAAACATATACTACTACAAACCACCAGGACATCCAAACATCAACACAATGGAGCAGCGAATTGTTGAAGCAAAGACAGTATTATCTGAGAAGGAGCCCGCGTTTGAGCTTGCTGATCACGAAATTCTTCACTTAGGTGAATCAACCCTCGTGGAGCCGCCAGCAACAGGTTGGATGCATCGGTCTAGCCTGCGTAAGCATTTTCATGTGACATACTCTAGCGGCGTAAAACTTGCCACTTGTGTGCACTGTGGTAAAGGCTTCAAGGAGAGAAAGTCTACTGGGAATCTATCCAAGCATATCAAAAACATCCATCCCCACCTCTTTATTCCAGGACGAGACCGCAGCAGAAATGTCGACTCGTCAAATTGCAGATCTTTGGCAATCCAAAAACCGCGTTTACCGAGCTTCATCGTCGCTGCTTCTACAGAACGCCCTGAGGAATTTTTCGAAATCGATCTCTTGATCGAAAAACAGCTTCCTCTGTCGATAACGTCAACTAAAGCATGGAAAAGATTCACCAAAAACACAATTGGTACTTTAGCGAAGCCGAGGTCTTCCATTTCCTTAGAGAAGATCTCAATGTATCTTCAGAGCTTTGACAATGAGCTGATTGACAGAATGCAGTCAACTGATTACATCAATCTAGTGCCTTGCGTTCATCGAGCCAAGACTGGAGAAGCTTTCTTGACTGTAACAGCATCGTTTATTCCAGGTCTACTGAAAAATAAATTCCCCTTTTATCCTGTGGGAGATACGCGGAATTCGCGGGGCAGCAGCAGCACTGTTAAGGAAACACACTTACTGGATTTTATCTCATTAGACGCGATAGAAAAGGGCCACGCTAGTCTTGACAGTGAATTCACCAATATTCTGGGCCGTTTTGATATCTCACGCAAAGTCTTACTTCTCACAAATGATTTAGCGTGGCAGACATTAGCTGAGCGTTTCCCCGTCAACATTGGTCACAAATTGGGTGGGGAAGTCAATGATCTAGGCTCAATAAGATGTGCTAGTGAAATGTTGGAAACGCTTCTTGCGCTCATAACCAGCGAGCTTGTTAAGAATGGCAAAATGAAGAAAGCATTTGAGCGTCTCGGCAAATTGGGAGAGCTTATCAATGAGTCAGAGACGGTGAAAGAATCTTTGGTTAATCGAGGAATTTTTCCAGTACCCACTGGTTCCAACATGACTGCCATGTGCATATGGCAACAGGCCTTTGTCTATCTGACTTACCATGATCAGTTTATCAACTGGACCAAAAGCGCAAAATTTATTGAAGCTGCGGAAGAATTTAGGGAGATTGAAGAGTGCTCTCAAACGATTGATGAATCTTATCAGTGTCTGGAATATTTTGTTGCGTGTTGTTCTATATTTCAACATTTGGACAAGTTGATTCAAAAGGATGACTTTAATAGGCTTTCAAATGCCGCTACATTGTACTTTACGCTGAAACATTACTACGACGCATGTCACTCGGCCGTGTTCGGTAAAATAGTACAAACGCCCGGCGAGTCCTTTGACTTCTCTTTCATCAACGGAAACAAAGAACTTCCAGATACCATCAAGCTCGAAGTTCTGAATGCAGTTCATCAAAGTTTGAGCGAGTTTGCCAACTATTTCCAGCTTTTCAAAAACAACGATATGTATTTCGTGGCTGTGATGCTCAACCCCACAATGAGAATCGATAGTTTTCGGAACTTCATGACCAGCTTAGACGCCGAGCATTATTACGAACGGACGAAGGTCATTATTGAACAGTATATGAAATACCAGGAGTCTGTAGGCGTGCACCCAGATAAGACGTCAGTTGTCCGCACTGTTACAATATGTGGTGAGATTCCTAAGGTTCCAAACTTCAATTTCGAGCTCTCAGTTCAGTCAAATCGCGACCTGCCTGATCGTGGAAGTAGCCGAAAGGAATGGGACCTTTACTTGCACGAAGTTGAAGCGACACAGGGACAAGACTTCGATGCCTTGAACTGGTGGCATTCCCGACAGGAAAAGTTTCGTGGTCTTTTTCCTCTTGCTGTTTCCCTACTGACAACGAAGTTCAGTATTTCGAGCTCACCTGTGCCAGCTGTGGTAGAGAAGATGTTGGCGGGTAAGGGGTTGGGGGCTGCTAGCGACAATCACGCACGGCTGCAAGTTTTGCTTCAGGACCGCTTTCAGAAGTTCGGTCTCCATCGTTCTGAGAGTGACGATGGCTTTGAAACGTCTCGGCTGGTCTCTTCTGGCAGCACAACTGAGGACGATGATGTCAGCAATGATTTTGGAAATGAGGTATTTTGAAGAATGTTCTTTGAAATGAAATGCTAGCGCAGTTCTAGTGGAGAGCTGCTCACTTGCTAAATCGGAGTCTTCACGGTGAATCAGGCTTACTCTTCGAACAGCAAAGCTTACTTCCTTAGTGTGATGCTATGTTCCTTTAAGCGTTTATGGCAGAGCGGGATATAGCTTACTTCAATTCGAGATTCGACTAACCTATCACCGTGCAATCTTTCTCAGCGATGACGAAATTAACTAACACTGGGTTGGACCGAACTTTCAGTGTTTCTGCATCTTCGAAGAAAGAAAAAAATCTGTCTTTGCAGACTCTTTCGTGGCGGCTCGTGATATTATCGCCTCCAACCACCATAAAATCAATTTCCAATTTTCAGGACTCTCTTGCTAACATCGGATATACGCTGACAGTGACTCAGCTATTGCATCTGCTGCTTAGCCGCTAGAAACCTTCAAAAAAATATTCTAAAAACTGTCATGTCGTCCCTCATCAAAAGAAAAAAAAATCCCACCATTCCTCAACCACACACGCAATCTCTACAATCGTCCAACATCTACCAAAACCAAAACTTATTATTGAATGTCGACTCCTGTTTAATACACTAGCGCTTAAGCCAGTGTGACGTATTGACAACTCAATGTCTGTCGTGTGTCGTGACATCAACAAGCGACGAAATGCTAGTCCTAAGGTTTAATAAATTAAATATGTTGGTGGCAAACCCTCTTTCTCTCTCTTACTACACCTCTAACAAAGCCTTGAGAGTCAGTAAAGATAACGACTTCAAGATGACCAAACCGGGTGAAATTGATGAGAGTTTGTACTCTCGTCAACTGTACGTTTTGGGCAAAGAAGCGATGCTTAAAATGCAACATTCGACAGTTTTGATTATTGGATTAAAAGGGTTGGGTGTGGAAATAGCCAAGAACATCGCCCTTGCAGGTGTCAAATCGCTGGCTTTGCATGACCCAGAACCAGTGCAATTGCAGGACTTATCTACGCAGTTTTTCCTGTCTGAAAAAGACGTCGGTAAGCCCAGAGACGTTGTTTCGCGCGCAAAATTGGCGGAATTGAACTCGTACGTTCCAGTGGACGTTTTGGGCTCGTTACAAGACCAAGAGCAGCTTCTGAAATACCAAGTTGTGGTGGCTACCGATACGTTGTCGTTGGAACGCAAAATCGAACTTAACGACTTGTGCCATACAAACGGTATTATTTTTATAGCAACTGAAACTAGAGGTCTATTCGGCAGTGTTTTCAACGATTTTGGCGAAGACTTCACTGTTATCGACCCCACAGGCGAAGAGCCCGTCTCTGGGATTGTCTCGGATTTCGAGGCGGACGGAACCGTAACTATGCTCGATGACAACCGACACAACTTAGAGGACGGCAACTACGTCACTTTCTCCGAAATAGAGGGTCTAGAGCCACTGAACGATGGGAAGGCGTACAAGGTCGAAGTGCTCGGCCCCTTCGCATTCAAAATCGGGTCAGTCAAAGAGCTAGGCACTTATAAAAAGGGAGGTGTCTTTAAGCAGGTGAAAATGCCTTTGAAAATGTCATTCAAGACGCTTCGGGAGTCCCTGGCTGATCCTGAACATTTGTTTTGCGACTTTGCTAAATTTGACAGAGCTGCACAACTACATCTGGGATTCCAAGCTCTACAGCAATTCCAGCTCGGCCACCAGGGCCAGCTTCCCCGCAGCGTTAACGAGGAAGATGCTTCTGAGCTGATAAAGCTCGTCAAAAAATTGGCTGCCCAACAGCCTTTGGTGTTGGGGGAAGACGGCGAAGTCAATGAGGGTCTCATCAAAGAATTGTCTTTTCAATCCAGAGGGGACATCCCTGCCGTGGTTGCCTTCTTTGGTGGCCTTGTGGCACAGGAAGCCTTGAAAGCTTGCTCCGGCAAATTCACTCCCCTGAAGCAGTACATGTATTTCGACTCTCTCGAGTCCTTACCTGATCCCAGGACATTCCCTAGAACAGAGGAAACAACTCGTTCCATCAATTCTAGGTACGACGCACAAATTGCAGTCTTCGGCCTCGACTTTCAAAGACTCGTGGCCAACTCCAAAGTGTTCTTGGTGGGATCGGGCGCTATCGGATGTGAAATGCTGAAAAACTGGGCTTTGCTTGGCTTAGGGTCAGGCCCGGATGGAAAGATTATCATTACTGACAACGACTCTATCGAAAAGTCTAATTTGAACCGTCAATTTCTTTTCCGTCCTAAGGACGTTGGCAGAAATAAGTCCGAGGTTGCCTCAGAAGCTGCTTGTTTTATGAACCCTGACTTAACAGGGAAGATAGAATGGCTAACCGATAAAGTCGGGCCGGAGTCTGAGAACCTTTTCGATGACAAATTCTGGAGTAACCTGGATTTTGTCACCAACGCCTTGGATAACGTGGACGCCCGTACTTATGTCGACCGCCGCTGTGTTTTTTTCAAAAAACCTCTATTAGAATCGGGAACCTTAGGTACTAAAGGTAACACTCAAGTTGTTATTCCTAATGTCACCGAGTCTTACTCTTCGTCCAGGGATCCACCTGAGAAATCTATTCCACTCTGTACCTTGCGGTCCTTTCCCAACAAGATTGATCATACTATCGCATGGGCCAAGTCGTTGTTCCAAGGATACTTCACTGAGGTGCCAGAAAATGTCAATTTGTACTTGACTCAACCCAACTTTGTTGAGCAAACTTTAAAGCAAGCTGGTGATGTTAAAGGTATTCTTGAATCCATTTCTGACTCACTGACTAACAGACCTTACACCTTTGAAGACTGCATAAAGTGGGCTCGTCTGGAGTTTGAAAAGAAGTTCAACCATGAAATTCAACAGTTGCTGTACAACTTTCCTAAAGATGCCAAGACCTCAAATGGTGCTCCATTTTGGTCTGGTCCAAAGCGTGCACCAGAGCCCCTAAATTTCAGCCTAGAAAACCCCGACCATCTTCATTTTGTTGTTGCGGGGGCCAACCTCAGGGCCTTCAATTACGGCCTCACTGGTGACGAGGGAGAACCCGATCTTGCCTACTATAAGTCGGTCATCTCTAAAACGGAAGTGCCAAGTTTCTCTCCTAGATCGGATGTCAAAATACAAGCAAATGACGAAGACCCTGATCCAAATGCCAACAATTCCGTGGGAGGCGATGCTTTGGAAGCCCTTGCAGGTGCTCTTCCAGAGCCTTCTTCTCTTGCCGGCTTCAAGCTTGTTCCGGTGGAGTTTGAAAAAGATGATGATACCAACCATCACATAGAATTCATTGCAGCCGCATCGAACGACAGGGCGCTCAATTATTCTATTGAACCAGCTGACCGCCAAAAAACCAAGTTCATCGCTGGTCGTATCATTCCAGCCATCGCTACGACTACTGGTCTGGTAACAGGGTTGGTAAACTTGGAACTATACAAGGTTGTCGCAGGAAAGACAGACATCGAAGCTTACTGCAATGGGTTCATAAACTTGGCACTGCCCTTTTTCGGCTTCTCGGACCCTATCGCGTCTCCTCAAGGCAAATATAATGATAAATCCTATGATAAAATATGGGACAGGTTTGAAATCAACGGAAACGTCACGCTTAAAGAACTGATTGACTATTTCGATGAAAAAGAGGGCCTTGAAATAACCATGTTGTCCTATGGGGTATCACTTCTTTATGCGTCTTTCTTCCCACCTAAAAAGCTCAAGGATAGGCTACACCTGCCCATCACTGATGTTGTGATGCTCGTTACGAAGAATGCTGTGGCTCCACATGTGAAGACGATGATTTTAGAGATTTGTGCCGACGATAAATCTGGAGAGGACGTTGAGGTTCCATATATAACAATCCACTTGTAAGACATATATGAATCTTAATGAAAAACTAGAGTTCTTAAGATCGGATCAAGTCACAACCAACAGTTTCGAGAGTTGACTAAACTATGATTCATTTGCTGAAAGGATATGGAACAGCTCACCCTTTTGACGCTGCAATTGTTCAAAGGTTCCATCCTCGACAATTGCGCCCTTAGAGAAAGTCACAATTCGGCTACACGCCCGCATCATCTGCTCGCTATGTGTGATGACCAATGTTGTTATGCCCTGTAGTTTGTATTTGACGACGTCTGACATCATAGAGCTATGGTGCGCATCTAAAGCCGATGTGCACTCATCCAGTATTAAGATCATTGGCCTTCGTAATAGTGCCCTGACTATCGCTAATCGTTGGACCTGTCCTCCGGAAATTAGTTGAGTGTCAATTTCTGCATGCAATTGATCAGGTAACCCGCGCACGAAGTCCCTCATTCCTACTAGTTCCAACAAGTCCTCGATTTCCCGATCGGACACTTCTCGGTTAAGACCATAAGTCAAGTTTTGAATCAACGAGCCAGGAAACATTTGCGGCTGTTGCTCAACCACGGCGATTTGAGTTCTCAGGGCACCTGCATCCCAATTATTGATGTCAGTACCATCAACCCAAACACTGTCATTTGTGATAGGGTACAAACGTGCCATTAGCTGCCACAAGGTAGATTTCCCAGAGCCAGACCGTCCAACAAATGCGACCTTTTCTCCTTCGCTGATTTTTATGGATAAGTCTCGGTACACCGAGGTATTTGTAGTATGATAAGAGAACCGAAGGTGCTCAATTCTGATCAGAGGACTCGCACTGTCCAGCGACTGACTCGATGTACGTTTCGCAGCGTGGCGATGTGAACCAGTATCTTGTGCCTCCAGGATCTGGAAAATGTACGTAGCTGATCTTTGGCCCCTGCTTATTTCGGGAACCTGAGATATCAATGACATGCAGGTCATGATGGTAAAGAGTAAAAGTGTAATTGTCTGAAGCATCTTGCCAGAAGTATACTCTCCTGTGATTACCAGCTTCAGGCCATAATATAACAAAATGGCCTGTGTCATGAAAGTAAGTGCATTGGACGCAGCCACCCCAAAACCTGTCCCGATGGCCCTTTTGCGACCCAAATTCCTTGCTGATAAGTCTAATGTAGTGAACTCACGGATCACGGTGCTTTCGAATTGATAGCACCTCACAGTTTTAATGTTGGTGACAGCGTTGTAAAAGTGATCTTCTAGAGCAGCAATACTTGTCTTGTAGTCTGTCTCACGCTTTTGCAGCAATCCACCATAAAATCCGGAGAAAACTACGAAGATCGGGATCAGGGAGATGCACACCAAGCTCAATTTCCACCCCGAAACCAGAGCCCATACCAAACCACATATAGACACTATCAATAAGGTTGTCAATGCTGCTAGAAATTCTGATGCCAAAGCCCTCAGATCTCTAAGATCGTTCAATATCAATGACGAAACCTTGGATGTGCTATTGAGGTCACAGTTGAACCAGCTCATATCTTGTTTCTCGATGCTTCTGAACGCCGAAATTCGCAAATTCTTAATCCAAGTTTCGCTACTTCTCGAGAGGAGATAACACTTCAAGAAATTGAAGCTCGAATCCAGCAGTGCTATCAGAAGTACTATCAATGACCATTTTGTTGAGAAAGCATTTGCCTTCGACTTTGGAGCAGACGAAGCAATTCCACTCAATAGCCTGGAGAACGTGTACGAAAATACGGGATTGGCAAGACCAGCCAGAAGAGCAGCGAGAACTCCGGTGAAAAATAGCTTTCCATCATGCAGATGGCAAAAAAGCTTGCGCATAATTTGCTTCAGACTAAGAAGTGGCAGTTCAGTTTTACCCTTCTCAAGATCATCAGAAGCCTGAGTTTGATTCATCGAATCAATACACGTCAGATCTACCCTTGTGATCGCTTGAGATTTTTTCTTGCGAGGTGGAATCATGATGTTAGACTGCAGCAGATCAACGGAGTTTCTCAGGAAATTTCCTGTTTCGCTCAAATCTTCGGCTTCAAAAACGCTGCATGTTTTTTGAGTCGATGGTGAGCCCATTTCTGAGTATAGTTCCTCGACATCAACGCGGATGTCTTTGAACTTGAGCTTCTGCTCAGACATCTCGTATCCCTTTAAGGTTTCAACGTCACCTTCATCCTCCTCGCAGTCTTGAAATCTGCTCAATTGAGAAAACTTGGATGACGCACAATGTAGCAAGTCGCACTTGAAGCCTTTTTCCTTCACCTCACCATCGTCCATCAAAAAAACGTAATCTGACTTTGAGATGTCACCTAGTTCATGGGTCAAGATTATAGTCGTTTTGCCTTTTCTCCAGCGTCTTATAGCTTCCATAAGAAGACTTCTATGTACGCGATCTTGTGCGCTCAAAGCCTCGTCCAGTATTAGTATCGGTGCGTCTCTGAACCTAGCTCTTGCAATAGCGACACGCTGCCGTTCGCCGCCGCTTAGGTCAGTGCCCGAGTTACCAATAAGGGTATCCAAGCCTTTTGCGAGGTCTCTCACAACAGTATCAAGCATAGCCATTTGACAGGACTGTTTGACCAGCTTTTCGTCTCTTTCAGACACTGTAGCTCCCATCTGTATATTGTTCCTCAGTGTGTCGTTAAAAAGTGAAGTAGTTTGTTCCACTAAAGTGACATTTCGCAGTAGAGAGTGCTGCTCAATTTGTCTTGTGTCAACTCCATCTACTTTGATACTGCCACTTTCTAGCTCGTAAAGCTTGAGTATAATGTTTCCGATGGTTGATTTGCCTGATCCTGATTTCCCGACAATGAAGTTCAGCTGGCCAGCAGTAAACTTCAAGCTGACGTTTTTTAGCACTAGATCGTTCGGCCTGGTTGGATAAGAGAAAGTGACGTTCTCGAGCACAACAGAGCTCCCATACCAAGATACTGGGATAAAAGGTTGGTTCAAAATCAGCTTTTCTTTATTATGGGCATCAGGAGTCTCGATGAAATCTAACACCTTCCGTAAGGCGATCGCACCTTTTTGGAGTGTGATGATTTGATGAAGAGTGGTATTTAGGGTGCTCGCCATTAGAATACAGGACGAGAAGCAAGTGATCACATCTCCAGGCTTGAGGTGACCCGCTCTGATTTGTACGTTCCCGTACCAAAACCCTTGCACGAACATACAAAGTGTTAAGAAACGGAGAACAGAGTAATTGAGGGAGGAAAAGAGGGCAGTGTCATTGAAATGTTGGCGACTTTTTTGGACGCTGGTCTGAAACTTTCTGGCTTCGGTGTCTTGCGTACCCAGCAATCGTATCATTCTGGCTGCATTGACTGACCATGCTACGATGCCTGCCGCCTTTGATGTCTCGGTATTTTCGAGCTTCCCGTACTTTTCCACTTTACGCGAGCACAAGATAGCGAACCCAATGACAAGCGGAGAGTTCGCGATAATGACCAAAGTAAGTGACCAGGAATAGTAGAAGGCTGTTCCTAGAAGAGCAATGACTGTTACCAGGTTTTGAAAGATGATGGCAGAAGCTTCGGCAGAGCTTGATCGAAATTCTTCTGCACATCTATTTAGCTGAGTAAATTCTCCCGAGAGCTGCTCGTTTGAATCGTACCAACTCATGCTCTTTTCCAGATACGACTGTAGTAACTTGCGTCTGACTCTGAATGCCTGTCTTTCGCCCAGAGACATCCATGCTGAAATGGAAAGCCAGCAAACGGGAGCGCTGGCCACACCTGTTATCAAAATAGCCATACTTCTGAGCGTTAGGTGGTGCATGAGATCATTGACGTCGTTGAAGTGGTGACTTTCAGGTTTCCGTAGTAAATCGAATACCAAACCCATAAGAATCGATATTATAGCTGGAATGATGCCATAAACTGTTGTGCAGATGCATATCACAGCCAAAAGTCCATAATCCTGGGGTATGCTGACGTGCATATAGAGGTGAGAGACCTTGAAAGTGTTAAGCAGCTTCATAATTTAGTAGTGATATGATTGCTGGTGTCATTGTGGCAGAGACAAATCGAGAGAGTTCAGATGTAGAGCCATTTTTATATCGAGACCACCCTTTAAGGTGATCTTCACCGCATTGCTGAACCATATAAAAATGTGGAGCACAGAATGCGAGGTATCGACAGCCACTACTACCGCTAACTCCTATTTCTGCATTCAGGAGAGGACCAGCTTGCTTGTATCAACATTTGGCATCGCACTGGAATTACCCAATTGGTGCAATTCAATGGAGTGTTTTGGCCAGAAATTGTGAGGATCAGCCTCAGTGCCTCCCGAGGTTCTCAGAAGTGTTTTAATATATCCTCAAAATCGTAACATAGTTGAAAGCTCGATTGAAGCAGTCTAAGCAGTACCAGAGTTTCGGCTGTGATGGATTCGTTAGGTTTTTGACACTGGTACATGACACTGTTTGAATGCCAAAAAGGTCATTTTGAAAACTGGCAAAAAAACACCCTGTAAATATCGAAGCACTTAACTCTCAGACACACGGTCCTGGTGTGTCATAGTAGCCGTCTTGTGGTGTCTTGACGATTCTTCAAACGCCCATCTTTTATCTTGTCAGTTTAGATTTACTGATGAAGAGTTGAGCCAATTCAAAAAACGACACGAAAACCAATAGTGACATAATATAATTTTTGATTTTTATTTGTCACAGTTAACGAGTGTGACGTTGACCACGCTTCGGAAAAGTTAACGCGTCGCATACGCGTTAACCCTACCCTGTCTTCAACAATTTAACACATTAGACCCACGATGCGTATGCGTCAGCAGTGAAGCGAGACTTATTGGTATTAGAGTTTTAGCACCATCAGACCTTCTCAACCATCGGCATTATATGACCTCTCAACGAGCTATTGGATCATGCAATTCGACAACGAGCTGCGATGTGGACCTTGAAGGCGAAACAATACTTACCCAAATGACAGGTTCTGAGCAGCGTCACGAAAAAAACACAGGTATCTCTCGTCCGAAAAAGACAGGCTGGATGGAAAGATCAAGGCTGCGTAGTCATTTCAGCATTTCCCAGGTAGATGGCTCCAAAATAGCTAGTTGCGTACATTGGGGGAGGGGGTTTCAAGAAAGTAAATCCACCGGAAATCTCTCTAACACATATCAAAAACATACATCCTGTTGAGTTCAGATCCCACAAGAATGTTGAGTCTGACAGGTATTCTCTAATACTGCTGGAACCGAAATATCAATCCCTTCTTTGCCGGATTCTGTCATTCGTGAATCTAAACATAGTCCTGGAGCGTTTATGCAGATACTACTGCTGACAGAAAATATGTTGCCACTATCGCTGTTTGATGCAGCATCCTGGCGTTGGGCCGTCATGGCATGTCCGGATAGCTCTTTTTCCCAGCCTCCGACGAACCTCGGCAGCAGACTGGAAAAATACTCGAATTGGTTGGATAAAGCGCTGACTGCGGCTATCGAGAGAACGAATTTTATCAACCTCGAGGTGGTCGTCTGGTTTGGTGGCAGCAGCGATCCACATTTAGGCATAACAGCATCTTTTGCTCCTAACTTGGTGGACAAAAAGAGACTAAATGATCTCGGAGTGCAAGCACTTTTGAACAACTGTCAAGAACCATTCAATAGCCATCTTTTGGATTTTGTTCCGATTCCAGGGCTCAATTTTTCTGGGACTAGCTTACTCAAGTATGTTGAACAGGTTCTTCAAAAACTCAACGTAAAAGACAAAGTGAGCTCTATCGTTTTCGGAAATGTCACGAACAGTCAATCCCTTTATTCACCAGTTTTTTGCGATTTTTCGCAGCTTTTGAAGTCCGGGGCTTTACGAAAGACGAATTACTGTCATGATATTCCGTGTGCCAGTCGTGTACTGGATAATTTACTGCACAGCATTATAAAGAACTTAAGGGAAGACGAGAGATTTGAAAAGGGCGTTCTGAATATAGCAAACCTGGCTAGAACTATCAAAAAATTGGCACTGCTAAAAACTTTGCTAGCGGAAGCTAAGCTGCCTGTGATTCCATCAGCTCCCGAAAGCAGGTCGATATACCTCTGCAAACAGGTTGCGGCATATTTGGACCATCATGATGAATATTTGACATGGATAAGCACTTTGCAACAATCTCCAGAGTACAGCCATGTTCTCTCAGAACTAAAATTTAGCATTGAGCTTTCTACGCAAACAAGGCACTTACTGGAGTATTTTGTGGACTGTTGCTTCATATTCAATTACATGGCTGAAAACCTCAAAGATTGTGATTTTAACCGACTCTCTAATGCAGTTTCTTTCTATTATACATTGAGAGAGTATTTTGACTTGTGCTTTAACGACCAAGAGGATATCATTGCGTCACCTCGAGAAGGATACTTTGACTTCACATTTATCAATGGCAAGCCTGAGCTGCCCGCAGAGACTAAAAGTATTGTTCTCAGGGCTGCCTTCCTAACAGATTCTAAGTTCCAGGAGTCTTCGATCTGTTCAACAAAACTGAGATTTACGTCGTTGCAGCGTTCTTGGACCCATCATCAAACTTTGACTCTTTTGATGAGATAGTTGTTGGGAAGGATGCCCAAGTTCTATTCGAGAAGGTAAAAACGTATGTCAACGTTTACCTTGCGCTATTTCAAACCGAAAACGAACAATCCGTCCCATTTGTTTCTCTCAAATCCGGGCAGCTGAAAAGCCAGAAGAAATTCAAACTTTCTAAGCTTGACCGACGCCGGAAGCAATCTAGATTGACAGGGAATGAAGCAATGCAGGAACTGGAGCAGTATAAGGCCGATGACAAGTGCATATTAGACTCTGTCGCAGATACGTTAGAATGGTGGCATTCCAGGCGCTTGGTCTACCCCCACTTATTTCCGTTGGCCGTTTCCATGATGTATACCAAGTTCAGCACTTGTGGAATGGACAAATCTTTCTCCATCGTTGAAAAGCTATTGAAAAACCATGACCCTGAAGCTTTTCTAAACGCAGAAGCCCGAAGAAAAAAGCTACTAAGGGACTGCTTCAGTAGTTGGGGTCTTTTTGATAATAAAAGTGCGGAAACCGCATCGAATGATTCTGAGGACTTTTCAGCCACAGATTCTGATTCCAGCGAATTGTCATCGGACGAGATGTAGCCATTAAAAATCAGCATAACGTTGAAGAAGGGTATGGGACATTATTCATGATGGTTCTGAAATCAAATCGATCTCATAGACAGTGAATTTGGAATGAGCTGGCATGCAGCATCTAGAGAATTAATTTTGTTCACCAAAATTCACCACAAGTTACGTGCCTACCTCATACGTGCCAGGGAATTTACTTTTAATTTCTAGAAAACGGCCTAATCTCGAGTAAGACATAAATCAAAACGCGATTCTACGTAACCGCTGACAGACCCCAGATCAAGTCACCCGAAGTTCATTTTCAAAGATCGAAAGCCATTAAGACACCCAAAATAAAAACTTAACGCTTGGTCAAGAAATATAATAAAACAAGGAAAACAGAAGCTGCTGCGAACAACTATTTGCAGTAAAATAACCCAAAATTATAAGGTCAAGACTGCCGTAACATAAACCAAATTCAAACACCACAAGTCGCCGTCTCTTGAACCAAGTGCGCCAAACACGTACAGATTTATTCATTTTTTAGCTCACCACATGACTTATTCCTGCAAATCAATTTCACATGTTGACAACGGTGTCCTATAAAACTATATAAACTCCCAAATCATAACCAAATCAACCCCATCTCGCTCACATCGGTGATCGTGAATCCTTTACTGTTTGTAAGAGACTCATCAATAGTCAAGCTAAGTGTATATAAATGGACATCTTCAAGGAAGCTGGCAACTTGGCCCAACAGGCCCAAAATCTGTATATTGAACTGTTGTCGGACATCGATGGCTCAGAAAAGAACCTGCAACTTGCGCTCTTTTTCGTGGTTTTTAACCCTACTTTCTGGAATATCGCAGCTCGCTTGGAGTACAACACGCATTTCATAACCAAAATCGCGGGCTCTCCAAAACGGGGCTGCTATCTGCTAGCGTTTACGATCTTCTCGCTGGGAATTGTGCGCGACTACTTCTACCATCAGGCATTGGGTTTGCAGAAGACGTCTGCTGCTCTCGACAACGACACGGTCAAGACCGTCGGAATGGCTTTGACCGGTGTGGGCCAAATCCTAGTGGTAACCTCGATGTACCAACTCGGCGTCACGGGCACGTACCTGGGCGACTACTTCGGAATCCTGATGGAACGCATTGTGACCTCGTTCCCCTTCAACGTCAGCAACAACCCCATGTACCACGGCTCCACTTTGACATTTTTGGGAACTGCGTTGTACTACGGCAAAGCCGCAGGTGTTTTCGCCACTCTCCTGGTCAACTTGATGTACAACATCGCCCAGCAATTCGAGGAGCCCTTTACTGCCAAGATCTACGCCAAGAGGGACTCCGAAAGAGCGGAAAAGGCTTCCAAATCGCAGTAAGAAACAGGCTCAAAAATGAACAAAAATTGTTTTCCCATTAAGAACAGATCAAGCCCAAAGATTCGTGGTGGGTATTGATGTCCCACTACCGCTACTGCTATATATTCGTATGTGGTTTATGATTGCTATATGTCTACAAGTCAATTGTTGATGTTTTCGGCGTATGTAATGGTAAAAGGTGTAATCTTGCCAATTCGAACGCTGCAAACAAGCTGGAAGAGCCCGCTTGGCCCAGTTTTTTCGACAGGAATCAGACAATGGCTCTGCGAATCTTGAGATTCACTAACAAAGCGGATTTGTCCTGCTTAAATATCTTTTCTGGCGGTCGAGTTACTAGCTCATCTCAAATTTTTATAACATTGAAAGCTTTAAAACTTCGAACCTAGCAGAGTGGTTGAAAAGCCGCTATAAACATAGCTTTCAAAATGCCCAGAGACCCTCTAATCGGTATTGTTGGAAAACCCTCCTCGGGAAAATCCACTACCTTAAATTCCTTGACCGATGCCGCCGCACAAGTAGGAGCTTTTCCTTTCACAACTATTGAACCAAATAAAGCTACTGGATATTTGCAAGTCGACTGTGCTTGCAGTAGATACGGTCTGCAAAAGCTCTGTAAACCAAACTATGGGTGGTGTACCAACGGAAAGAGACACATTCCAATCATGCTTTTGGATGTAGCCGGTTTGGTTCCTGGAGCGCACTCCGGTAGAGGCCTTGGCAACAAGTTTTTGGACGACTTGAGACACGCAGATGCATTGATACATGTTGTGGACGTTAGCGGAACGACCGACTCTGAGGGTAAGAATACACGAGGCTACGATCCACTGTACGATATAGAATGGCTTCAAGACGAGATACGACTGTGGATCGAGGGAAATCTGGAAAAAAGATGGGGGTCGATTGTGCGTAGACATACCGCTACCAAGTCGAGCGCTGTCGACACTTTGCAGGCGCAATTTGGTGGTTACGGGTCGCACGCTTCGATGATTCAGCGCGCTTTGCACAGAATCGAGGGCTTGCCTCCCTTGGAACAGTGGAATAAAGAGTGGATCACCAAAGTCGTCAAGTCGTTCATGCTGGAAAAATTCCCCACTGTGCTGGGTCTCAACAAGATAGACCACCCGGACGCGGACAAAAACGTTTCGAAAATCATGCTTAAATACCCGCAAAGCAAAGCTGTGCTTTGCAGTGCCATTACCGAAGTGTTTTTGAGAAAGCTGCAAAAACAAGGCTTTATACGGTACGAAGAAGGGACCGAGTTTGTTGATACCTGCGAGGACGATCCGGAAAACTTGAAAATCCTGGACGATAAGCTACTGCAGCGGATCGAAAATATTCGTGATTTAGTTCTATATCGCTTTGGGTCCACTGGTGTGGTACAGGTTTTGCAAGCTGCTGCAGATGCCCTGGACCTGATACCGGTGTACACGGTGAGGAACATCACTACGTTCACCGGGAACCATGGAGAAGAGGTTTTCAGGGACTGCTTTTTGATCAAGAAAGGGTCTACTGTTGGCAAAGTGGCCCGCTACGTGATGGGTGAAGTCACGATTGCTGCAGTGGAGACGATCCATGGGATGCGTGTGAGCGAAGACGCTATTGTAGATAGAGGCCAGAACGATATTTTGACATTCAAACTGGCGCCCAAGAGTGTGAACTGAACAAAGACGAGGAGGAGGTGAGATGATGAGGTAAAGAAAAGGGATAGACAATCGTGGAGAGGGAGACATATCATGGCTTCCTAGTATTGGCTCGGAATGAGCACTGATTCCATCACTCCAAAAGGCTCGCAGTTATGTAGTGCATTTCCAAGGTGCCCTTAGTCTTGATAAATAAGAGAATTAAGCGCTACAAAGAAACTACAAGCAAGTGTTTGAGCATATTAAGAAGTGGAACATGGAAAGTGAACGAACTATGGCATGAAGTCCACGACAAAGAGTGAGACATTTACCAGTCAGTCTGTCCAATTTTTAATCTCCATGTCACGTGACTACAATTTCTCTCCCGCGACATCTACCCATTTCTCTACCTGATTATACAGTCACCACATATCCACCCACTCAGAAAAAAAAACATCCCGGTGGTGAAAAAAGCGAAAAAAGCCAGAAAGCTAGCTAACCCATAATTCTAAAGTCTCACTCATCTCATCTAATAGTTTCACCCACCGGAAAGAACAGTATTATAGAAACCATCTCTATCTATCTCTATCTATTTCTCAGCCTCTCTCATAAATCTATGCTCTTTTGAAGATTACCACAGTTTCCCCTGATTTAATTGCGTACACTCACCATCTGTAGCTCTCCCAGGCTTGAACTTTCTTTCTCTCTATCAAAGACAATAATGCCAATTCATAAAACATATCTGAAGCCAAATAACATCTTTCCTGCTCCCTCACTATCTTTTTCTCTTGGTGATTATCCACTAGAAGGATTTTTTTCTGAACTAGCTGGCGCCAGCGCGCCGGTTGCTGTTTTGGTTGTAGATAAAGAATAAGGCTCATGAAGGACCCTCGTATGCGGCACTTGTTCCATGAAAAATGCTTTTCACGGCTTCTTCGAAGGCCGTTAAGGTTCTTTTTGATGCCGTAAAATAGGCTTTAAACAGGCTGATCCTAGCTTCTGTTGTCAAATTAGTTACTTATCAAGTTATCAGTCATGTAATGGAATTTTTGTTGAAGCGCATCTCGGAGCGTACTCTGAGACCCTGAAGAGTGTCTTGCTGCTCATCTGTGATGGAGAGGGAAGCTACAGGCTGTATTTAGCGGCGTCAGTAAAAGAAAACCTGGGCTTGGGGACTTGGGACCATGATGCATAATGCAAATTTCTGGAAAGCGCAACGCAACTGAAGGTTATCCTATCAGCTTTCCTCTCGTATGTCTGTAATACCACCGACGGAACTTCAAGGATTGTGAACTGTGTGCGTGTAGGCTTCTTCTCTCAAGCGAGATAAGATGCTTGGGAAAAATGGTAGTGACTTGCTGGCGAAACTTGGTATAAGATGGCAGCCCAAAGCTGTCTGTCCAGTCAATCTTGATATTTAGTATGAATCTTCTATTGTAGAAGTCCATTGATCAACCAAGGAAGGATAGTAGTAGCTTCTCTTAATTGTACAGCTCTTAACAATGTCTACTACACTATCCAAGGATCTAGAGAAGAAACCTGCCACTGTCCTGTACACGGACGACTCGTACGCCGATGGACAGGTGTCAGTGTCATCTGTCGAAAAAGCCGTCATCGGTGAAGATGGCAAAGCTGAGGGCACAAGACTGAGGAAAGAATTGGACGCCCGTCATGTATCGATGATTGCCATCGGTGGTTCTCTGGGCACAGGTTTGCTAATAGGCACCGGTTCGTCTCTGGCCAAAGCCGGACCAGTGTCGATTTTGATTTCATATTCGTTCGTGGGTCTTCTGGTATATACAGTGATGAGCTGTCTTGGTGAAATGGCCGCTTTTATTCCGCTGGACGGATTCACGTCCTACGCTTCCCGTTACTGCGACCCTGCTCTTGGGTTCGCAGTCGGCTACTCATACTTGTTCAAATACTTTATCGTGACGCCCAACCAACTGACAGCAGGAGCTATGGTCATGCAGTACTGGGTGAGCAGAGATAAAGTCAACCCAGGTGTCTGGATCACCATCTTCCTCGTGCTCATCATCATCATCAACACCGTCGGTGTCAGATTCTTTGGTGAGTTTGAGTTCTGGCTCTCCAGTGTTAAAGTCTTGGTCATGCTTGGTCTCATCATCCTGCTGTTCGTCATTATGCTCGGTGGTGCCCCATCCCACGACCGTACTGGTTTCAGATACTGGAAGGACCCAGGTGCTTTCAAGCCTTACGACAATATTCCTGGCTCCAAGGGCAAGTTCGTGTCGTTTGCTTCGGTTTTCGCCCTGGCGCTATTCGCTTACACCGGTACTGAATTGTGTGGTATCGTTGCTGCTGAGGCAAGAAACCCAAGAAAGAGTGTTCCTCGTGCTATCAAACTTACTCTGTACCGTATCGTGGTCTTCTACATTGTCACAATCTTCCTTTTGGGAATGGTGGTGGCCTACAATGACCCACTATTGTTGAAAGCTAAGAAAATGAGCACCTCTGCTGCTGCATCTCCATTTGTCGTTGCCATCATTAACGCCCAGATTCCAGTCTTGCCTCACATCTTTAACGCATGCGTGTTGGTGTTTGTTTTCAGTGCCTGCAACTCGGACTTGTATGTCGCGTCCAGAACCCTATACGGTCTGGCCATCGACCGCAAGGCTCCACAGATCTTTGCCAAGACCAACAAGTGGGGTGTTCCATACAACGCGCTTCTGCTGTCCATTTTGTTCTGTTTGCTTGCTTACATGAACGTTGCATCCTCGTCTGGCCAAGTCTTCACCTACTTCGTTAACGTTGTGTCCATTTTCGGTCTGTTGAGTTGGATCTCGATTCTAATCACATACATCAGATTTGAGAAGGCTGTGCGTGTTCAATTTGGTGACAAGTCAAGCCTATCATACGTGGCACCCATGCAGCCTTGGTCTGCATACGTATGTCTAGGCTTCTGCATCTTGATCGGTTTGATCAAGAACTACACCGTTTTCCTCGGCCACAAATTCGACTACAAGACTTTCATCTCTGGTTACATTGGTATCCCAGTCTTCTTCGTTTGCTACGTTGGCTACAAGATCGTTATGAAGACCAAGCTCATCGCTCCTGAAGATGTCGATCTCTACACTTTCAAGGCAGCAATTGATGCTGAGGAGGAAGAAGGTAAGATTTACGATGCTGAGCGCGACGAGAGACTGAGAAACGCTAAATGGAGCGGCGAGTGGATCTACGACCGCTTCTTGGGTTGGCTATTCTAATTTTTGTTGTTGCAGAGAGCATATTTATGGGAGTAAACGGCATTGATAAGAAGAAGATTTAGTATTCAATAAATGGAGCAGCAGTAGAAAAGATGTTGTTAGATTGCATTAATTCATATACATTTAATTTGAATACAATTCAGGTCTTCTAAACTGAAGGATCTAACATTAGCTGCGAGGTGGAGTGTGAGTAAGACAACACTTGGAAATTGAAGACGACCACCGGTTTTACGAGAATTCCCCTTACATTTTCGAGCTCAGGATAGATATAGAGGGATACAAATAGATACTAGCTCAAATAAATGAAGCGAACATATTCAGACCTCTACAAGATATGAATTCCTAAGCATAAATATTAGCCTCGGGAAGAAGCCAGTTCTTGACAGTAGGCAAAAAAGGAAGGAATTAAACCAAGGCCTACTGTAAAGAAAACGTCGATCTCGGCGAACCTTGAACGGGACAGCGAACTGGATAACTCTCGGTGTCAGTCTTGGCCATTTAAGAAGCAATATCCAACTGTCTTATCACGTGACTAAATGTCATATAAGCTTCTAATGGTAGTTGCGAGATGACTTGACCGCTCCTGCTTTAGTGGTAGATCCCTTGAGGTTTGACCTCCAGTCTTGAGAAGCCTAGTAGAACCGCATGCTTGGCCCCTTTCATCATCGGTAGTTTTTTTTTATTCTCCATGAGTACTCATAGCCTGCCCGAGTCTTCGGTTAAGTCCATCTCTATTTCTTGGCGAACGTCAAAAAAGTCAATATCATCAAAAAGCGCCAGAATATCATATTTAGACACTTTTCAAACATTCTCGGGCCTTCGGTTATGATCGTAGCTTCGAAGTTTCATGCTCAAGGTTCGGGCCTTTCTCAACTACCTGCCGAACTTTTCGGCAGCGAAATATCGTAGAGTTTGCACGATTTAGTCAAAGCAAGATACTTCTACATATCGCTCTTCTCAACGGCCGTTTTTCATGTGCTACTGCATTCGTTGCGAGATTGACGGGTGCTTGGTTCTCGGACACCGCCAAGGTTTGTGTGTTTTTGAGTTTGGCGGGTCTTTTCGAGTCGCGAGGTCTATGGAAAGCGATGAAGTGCGTTCCTGAACTGAACTCATGGCCACTCCCGGAACTTGTGGAGCTGGAACCGATCTCCAACCCCAAAGACTGGGAATTGGTTGCGCGGCATGCAAATGAATATATGTTCCAAGAAGAATTGGGGCACTCGAAACTTTACTTTTACGATGGTGAAGAATGCTCCCGTCATTTCCGGGATGAGATTTATCTGCCAACCTTACGAACTCCGTCTGGGACGCAAGAACACTAACTCGCTGCGCAGATTTACGAGAAGAGCTTTGAGTATTATTGGAAGTCGTGGGAAACAGCTGAAGATACAATGGTGGAAGTTCCTCGACAATTTTTGCCCAAAGACATCTACCGTTTCTCGTTACTATATGATCTGGCCTATGCTGTGAAGCAAACGTTTAAGCCTTGAAATCTTATTGTTATGCTCGCCTCGCTCGGCGAAGGTTTAAAGGCGATGGTTGTTGTTTTCATCAAAAGGTCCTCTGTGCTACTTCTATATTCTTGCATCACTTCGCGAAGGCCCGATGTCCAGAGAATGCTCCTTACACCGATACAGGTGCTGAAGTTCTTGAAGCTGGTCACAAAATTGGAGCCTGGTGAAAGCAATATGAAGTGGGATCGGGTCGCGAGGAAAATAAATACCTTTCTTGATGACACGGGCGGTTTGCAAGCGATAGCACATTTTTTCGACGGGAACAAATGCCGCGCCAAATTCCAATTAGTATTGGCAGAAATACTTCCTCATGGCAGTGCGAAGAGGATGTTATACCCGGAACCTGTTAACTTTGCAAGCGAAATGAAAACCACGTAATGATCACGGAGGCGAGTATTTTGAAGTGAGCAGGAAAATCGGTAATTGAAACTTTTCCGTCGAGCTCTCAAAATGCTGGACCATCGCATCTTCACGAAACAAAACACATTGACACTCATGAGTGCACCGATCGGATAATCCAAATCTTATGCTATTGGGATCTCCGTCAAGCTTTTGAAAGGCCAAAAAAAAGGCTTAATAACAGCATTGATTTGAATAATTCAAATGATCAACCTACTGCTACGCTCTTGATTCTCCAGCTATAGGAGCAGCCATCGATACTGTTCACAATCGATAGCTGTCGCTCTCTAACGGTACATATACCATCACTTTTTGATTTCGTGGCACGGTTTACGTAACAAACGGCTCGAGATAGCTCCGAACTTATATCTTTTGGCATATGAATATAAAAATACATAGTAGATTTCTTGGCACCACACAAACGTCAAATCAGAAGAGCCTGGTCCCAACTGTTTCGAACATTTAGCCATGTCAAAACAGTCACACTCACAAGGACGAGAATCGGGCTCTTCTCAGCTCCCTGTACAGCTCTTCAGCAGCACATTATCGTGGAAATTGCACGATTTAGCTAAAGCGAAATACTTTTATGCATGGTTCTTGGCACTGGCAATTTATCCAGTTGTCGCTGCAATCATTGTGACTAGGACAAGTACGTGGTCGTCATTGATCACTCGGTTCGTTGTATTCTTTAGTGCTTTTCTTGTTTTCGGGACGTTACCTTTTGCATGTCAGGTCAAGAAAATGACCAAAATTCCTAAGCTGCGGTCACTGCTGGCAAAAGAGGTTGTCGAGCTGGGACCAAGATTCACCCTTAACGACTGGGATCTAATCGCACGACGTGCAAACGAGTATTTGCTCCAAGAAGGATTGTGGCACTCTCACTTTTGCATTTACGATGGGGAGGAATGTCGACGTTATTTCAAAGGCCAAGTATATCTCCCATATGTTAGCGAATCATCAGAAGATCAGAACGAGCAACTTGCCGCACGGATCTATGAGAAGAGCTATGAAGGTTACTGGAAGTCGCAGGAACTGGCTAAGACTACAACCTCCGGAGAATCATACCAAAATCTGCCCAAAGACATTTTCCATTTCTCGTTTGTATATGATTTGGCCTATGGTGCCAAGTTAGCATTGAAGGCTCTTCCTTTTTGCAGTCTACTTTTGATCGTCTCAGGCTTGAAGATAGACCCACAGGGAGTAGCTATGGCGTCGGTGCTTTCGTTTCTGCAGCTAATAACACCTTGCTATCTCGATGCAAGAAGGGAGAGAAAAATGACGATTTCTAGCCCAGTCCATGTATTGACACTATTCAAATTGGAGCTACAATTGGAGCCCGGTGAAAGTGCCAGTGAATGGGATAAAATTGCGAAGAAAATGAATTGTTATTTACGTGACAAGTGCCGTTTCCGCGGCAGAAAAGTGTTTTTTGACGGAAAGCAATGCCATGCCAATTTCGATTCATTGCTGGCCTTAACTCTTCCGGATGGTGGTATTAAGAAGAGCAGGTACCCGGAACTTGTTTGTTTCGCAAATGAATGTAGAAGCACACCTTTCCCATAGTCAAATGTTGAACATTTCAAGATTTAATATCGTCAAAGTCGATGCTGTTTGTCAATTGAAGTTGACTATGGAATTTGCCACAATTGCACATAAAATTGTTATCGAAGAGTGGCCATTGACCTTGACTGAGTGCATGTTTTTCATGAAAATTATCCACTGTGGTGACCAAAACTCATGTGGGACTTGCAATGGAGCTCAGCATCACCAGGCCATCCTGAGGTCCACTTGAGAGGACGTCAATTGTGAACTGAGAGTCACGTGATACGTGTCAGAATAGCCCAAAATGAACGTAATGACGGTGTGTGGCAGCTCTGATCTTTCAATATCACATTAAAAGCATGGATAACTGTCCCTTTTTCATTTCAAGGTCAAGTATAAGATGTTTTATGCCGGTTTTTTTCGCTGGCTTTCAATGGCTTTTCGATAATCCGCCGAATAACCAGTTTAGAGAATTCTTGTACAAAACATTGTCCATAGGCCAAAAAACTTCGACATTTTGAATAGAGGTGAAGTTTCGCATTCTCAATGAGAGAACGACCCTCATACTAATACCTGACCGAGCTGATCATAACTTCTTACACCGGCAAAAATTCTAAATTATAATATCTGCTGGGTCATAAATGGGTGAATAAAATTCAAACATCATAATGAAATCCGAGCTTATACTCAGCCATTTGCACACTGTACAGAGACGAAACCCGGACAAATTCGACTATTACGCTGGCGAAACCTTTTGGATAAAGTCCAAATATCATAGTCACGTGACTGGGCCCGAAATGTATAAAATGTGTCAAATTTCTTGGCACAATTCCATCCTACTCTTAATTTCCTGACATCCCAGAAAACTACGAAAAAGTGCAGCATCACAGCCGATGACTTTCTTGTTATCCGAGCCTTTAACTTCAAGTTCGACGTCTCGTTTCGTTTGCCAGCTAATATTTATGGGTACAAGATTTTATGGAGAATTCACGAGCCTGGCAGGGCAAGGAGCTTTTACTCATGGCTCGTAACCATGTTTGTAGCTGGTTGGATTATGTTTAGCCCCGATCAAAACGAAGAATTGAGGTCTCCACTATTCTGCACGTATTTGACAATTGGGTGGACCGCAGCTGGTATGGCGTTACGGCCTTTATGGCACTTGAACATGAAATGTAAATCCATCTACGAAAGACGCTCATTTTTAACTCAGGAAGTCGTTGATCTAAGACCGGGTCCTCACTTTCATGACTGGGATCTAGTGGCATACCCCGCAAATTTATTAGCATAAGAAAGGGTTATGGCATTCCGATATGTGTCTTTACGATGGAAAATATTGTCTCGATTGGTTCAGGCACGTATCATATCTGCCATTTATTGAAGGCGACTCTGGCGACAGAACAGAACAACTTGCAGTTCAAGCGTACGAAGAAAGCTTGAAACAATTTTGGGAATCGTAAGAAGCCGTTGCGATCACTTTAACCCGTGAACATGGGCTAAAATTACCCAAACAGCGTTGCTCGAATAAATTCAAGTGGATGTTAGTCAGTGCCATCAAACGAGCGGTTTCGTGCCCGTGTTCGAGACTGGTTTTGATATTTTTCATGTTTTGGCACGGTACAAATCTTGATGGTGCTATTTCTGGACTAGTTATAGGATTTTTTGCAGTCGTTTCTTATTTCTTGGTCCTTACAGAATGCGCGAGAATGAAGGTACCTGAGACGCCGCTACACATTTTGATGCTGTTGAAATTAAAATCTCGTCTCGGGCCTGGAGAAGATTTAGAGAGGTGGAACGACATCGCAAGAATCATGAGTAATCTTCTTTTTATGGATGGCGTCCGGAAATTGGAGAAGCCTTTTTCGACGGTAAACAATGTCGCATATAGTTTGAATCAAAAATTGCGGGAGTAATCGGAAATGGTAGCGTTCCCAATCGGTATCCGGAGATTATTCTCTTTGCCAAGAGGTGCAATGCATATTTTTCCGAGGAAGAAGCGCTGCGTGAACTATTCGCGGCTGATTTAGGTCAAATGTGAACCCAGTCAAGAGCTATTTCGGATCCAGTAATTGGACAGCTCGCGCAATGAACCACACTTGAAATTACAGAGTCACCACTGTCACTTAATGGTCACTGGAGTAAATGCTGGCATTTTAGAAATTCTGTTTTTGGCCTGCTGGTCTCAGTTGGATAGAATTATGGCATCTAAAACTACTTACGTTGTTGAGTGTTTTTGAGGCTTATGACTGGCAAATGCTTGGACATTTTGAACAGTTGCACTGATGGACGATGAAATATTTGTGCGTTTACGTGCAGCTGTTAACTATAACGCACGGTGGAACGTAAAAAATATGCTAGTGGTATTCAGGGCGTCTTATATATTCAAATACATACTATAATAACAGGGAATATCTTTAACGTCTATATGACAATATAGACAATATCAACGGGCAAAATCCAAACAGCACTAAAAGATTCATCCATAGTTTTGATACAGTTCGTCAATCATTTCTATAACAAACCTACTTACTAGACATAAAACACTATATGATAACAAAGAGAACACACGATTTCTATTCAAAAAATCGAAACGGTTAAATTGTTGGTATTTTTCGCCATTTAAGTAGACTTGGCGTTGGTGGCAGCAGTCAATTGAGCTTGCTTGACCAAAGATTCTGGAGCGTCCATAACTGGCAACATGATTTCGATCATTCTGATCTTGTCGTTCTTGTTGAACTTAGGGCACTCAGCCAACTTGTTCCATTCACCAGTGGTGGACACTCTGACGGTTTCATAGTCAGTGGCACCGAAGGTTGGCAACAATTCCAAGTGGTTCCATGGCTGAATGTCGTTGTATTGAGCCTTCTCACCGTGAATCAATCTCTCAATGGTGTAACCGTCGTTGTTCAAGACGAACAAGTATGGCTTTAGACCCCATCTGACCATGGTGGAGATTTCCTGGACGGTCAATTGCAAAGAACCTTCACCAGTGAACAAGATAACTCTCTTGGCCTTGTCCAATTCTTCGGCGGCCATAACGGCACCCAAACAGGCACCGGTGGCGTAACCGATAGAACCCCACAAGACTTGGGAGATACCGTAGGTGTTGTTTGGGAAGTGGGTCTGGTTGATACCGAAGGCAGAAGTACCGGTTTCGGTGATGACAATGTCACCTTCTTGCAAGAACTTGCCGACTTGGTTCCACAACCACTGTTGCTTCAATGGGGTGGCTGGGTCAACTTCGGCGTTAGCAGCTGGCAAAGCTGGAACTGCGACTGGCTTGTAGTCCTTGCAAACGTCACCAACCTTGGTCAAGAGCTTTTGCAAAACGAATTTCATCTGGACACCTGGGAAAGTGGCGTTTCTGACCTTGATGTGGTCGGAGTGGAATTCGACAACGTTCTTGGTCTTGTAGGAATAAGAGAAAGAACCGGTGTTGAAGTCGGACAACAAGGCACCGACGGACAAGACCAAGTCGGCGGATTCGACGGCTTCCTTGACGGCTGGGGAGGACAAAGTACCGACGTAGACACCACCGAAACGTGGGTGCTGTTCGTCGATGGAACCCTTACCCATTGGGGTGACGAAAGAGGGGAATTGAGTAACGTCAATGAGCTTCTTGGTCTCGGCCTTGACGTCGTGTCTGGAGGCACAGGCATCGGCCAAGATGACAGGGTTCTTGGCGTCCTTGATCATCTCTAGCAAAGTAGCAACGACTTCCTCCTCAGCGTTAGGGTCGTTTGGCTTCAAGGCCAAGTCGATTGGGGTCTCTAGCAACTTGGCTGGGACCATCTGGTCGACAACGTTGGCTGGCAAACCCAAGTACACTGGTCTTTGACGGATGTAAGTGGTGCGGATGCAACGGTCGATCTCGGCTGGGGCGGTGGCCACGTCGGTGATCATGGCGGTGGTCTCAGAGATGTTGGCGGACATTCTGTGGAAGACGGTGAAGTCACCGTTACCTAGAGTGTGGTGCAACAATAGCTGCTTGGCCTGGGCGGAGATCGATGGGACACCGACAACGTGCAAGACACCGACGTGCTCGGCGTAGGAACCGGCAATACCGTTGAGCGCGGACAACTCACCGACACCGAAGGTGGTGATCAAACACGACATACCCTTGATACGGGCGTAGGCGTCGGCGGCGTACGAGGCGTTCAACTCGTTGGCGTTACCGGCCCATCTCATACCGGAGACCTCGTAGATCTCGTCCAAGAGACGTAGGTTGAAGTCACCTGGCAAACCGAAGATGGTGGTCACATCGACCTGCTTTAATCTTTCGAAAAGGTAGCGACCTAGGGTAATTTCAGACATTGTAGAATTGGATAAAGTTATGAGTGTTGATGGAGATTCAAACAACTGCTGGGGAGGGGAAATAAAAAGATGAAATTAAGAGAGAAGAGGTGAGATGCCAATTGATGGGGAATTGAGTATTTTACCTGTGCTTTTATAGTCGATCTGAGCGATGAGCTGTTCGTGCGGGGTGATCATGAAGCTGCCCTTTAGTATGTGCGTGTGTTGTGCGGGCGTTTCTAGGCAAACCGGACGCTGGCACCATTTTTTTAATGGCGCCACGAGGTGGACATCACACCATGGCATAAACGCATAGAGTATGGTGCGCATAAGAAGATATATTATGCGCTTATGGGGCTTTAGGCAGTATTGAACAACGGGGAGCGTCAGCGAGGATGGCCATAAGCACTGATGAACAATTGGGAGCGTCAGCGCAGGCTGGCTCAAAGCATAATTGAATTGAGAGCTTCAGCGATCGATTGTGAATACGTATGGTGGTGATCGCTAACGCTCCCAATTGTTCAACGGTGCTACGGGATTCTCTTCCGTCCTCATGGGAATATACTCTCTTTTCGGTCTTGAAGTGACTCAGATAAGGGCTTGTAGTATTCTAAACAATCGAGAGTGTTAGCAATCATCAGCGATCAATGGAGAATTCGTAGTATTATCGTACAAATTCGATATCTAGAAGCAATACTGAATAATTGTTCGCTGACGCTCTCAATCGTGAATAAATGGAGAGCTCATGTAGAGCATCATCAAATGTGAATAGTCATAATAACTACCAGCAGTGTTGAGCAAAATGGCTACAAGCATAACCAGATGGGAAATAAATTACTTACTAACGATCACTGATGGGTGACCAAAAAACTCTTTTTGAGAACTTCCGGTGGTTCATTACAAAAATATGTTCCCTTCACAATCGAGAGCGTCAGTAAGCAAGTGTTTTATAAAAACGAGTCCCCTTCTTCACCATTGATCCCTGACTATTCTAATTGCTCCGAAACGCTACGAACTTTCGACTTTTGGTGTCGGTGAGCAGGTTCTCTACTAATTCACAATAAATGGCGCAAGTGAGCATCTCTTTAATATTAAGGTGATGTCTCTACTTATTTGCAAATGATTGCTGACATGCTCAATTCGGTGGTTTTAGGAGTTCTATTCATAATTTTCCGTTGACGCTCTCAATGTTAGGTAATGCTTCAGCTCTTGATTTCTGACGTTGGTCACAAGTAATCTTTATTATTCACGATTGAGAACGTCAGCGATCAATTCCTCAATAATATTAACAGCTCTATAATTATTGCTTGCAAACGCTCTCAGTGTTCAGAAATGCTTCAACTTCTCTACTTATTCACAATCGATCGCTGACGATCCTAATTGCCCAGGAATACCAAGAATTGTACAATTATTTACTATTAAGAGCGTCAGCGAGCAAAGGTTGATGAAAAGTAACGCTTCGAGTTCTCTACTAATTCATAATTGAGCACTGACGCTCTCGATCGTTCAATTGTGCTTGTAGCCCTCGTACCTATCTGCGATTGATAGTAAACGCTACCAATTATTCTAAAATACTATGAGTTATCTACTTATTCATAATCGCTCGCAGACGCTCTCAATTGTTCAATTGAGCTTATAGTCCTCTAAATTATTCACAATTGATTGCTATAGCTCTTAATTGTTCAACAGTTCTGCAATTTTTCTAACTATTCACAATCGCTCGCTGACGCTCTCAATTGTTCAACAATACTTGTAGCCATCTTCCTATTCCCAATGGATCGCTGACGCTCTCGATTGTTCAATAGTGCTTCGCTTCTGGCCGTTTTCCTATGCACTTATCCGATAAGCGCATATTCCCAGTCCTCTTCCCGCTAACTGCATAATGTTCATTATGCGTTTATGGGGAGATTGCATATCTGCCCACGTGATACCTTTGGAATTCCTCTTCCAAACACCGTGGCCATCACCAAACTTCGCCTTTAAGATAAACACCACCAGGGTCGACAATCAATTGTGAGTACTGAGCAGGAGTTCAGGCGTTGGGTGCGATAAGCCATTGAAAGGGTGTAATAACTATTAATCAGTGTGAAGTTCCTTAGCTAAAATTAATCATCGTGCGAGAAATTCGACGTAACAATTCGCAAGCGCGTAAGCTAGTAATTTATGGCTATTCGTAGCCGCTTATGAGCTCAGTAATTTCATCACTTGGAGTCCCAACCTTCGTAATCAGCCGAGTCTCAATATCCCCGTATCGCAACCTGGCGCCAGGTCACGTGACCACGTGACCGCGCGCCAGGAAGTGCAATTGCTACTGGCGAGTGGAATATATAGAGGATTTGGTTGAATTCGCTTTTAGCGACAGGCCTTGCATTCTCATAGCTATTAGTTTTGTTGAGAAAAGAATCAAATTCGTGTAACCTAACATCCGATTGACATTCAGTTGTCATCCAATTAATACCGCGAAACCGAGCTCTATGGAACGATGCAAACAAGCATCACTCTCGAGATAGTCTCCCACACCGAGATAAAACACTGTTGACCACCTGTGCTAGATCTTTGATCAGCTAACCACGCAGGACGAGTGTGTGACCATCGCTTTGTACGTCAACAACTTACAACCCAAATTAGCTCGTACCCTGGCTTTCACTGTATTGCATCACACGATCCATCTCGGCCAAGAAATTAGCAGCATTGAGCGACAGCAAGCGACAGCAAGCGAATGTTATGTCAAAATCATTGTCGAGCAATGTTTTAGTGAAAATGAAACCGAACTATGGAAATAGAGGTTCTACTCCATTTCTTCGCCCATCACGGTCTCTTCATAACGAATCCACATACACCCTGAACGTCAAACTACAATAACTTGTCTGGAGCTACGTGCTTTCTGACATTCTCCGAGCTACAACAAATCTTACTCAAAAAATGACAGAATAGTAAAAAGTGATAATGTCAAACAAAGCCGTTTCTCATTGTATAAACATGTCATTGAGCTTCTACCGCTAGTCCCATGTACCTCTTATAACCCCAATACGATTCACTGTTCTGTTTACTATTTTCATTTCTCGCACCCGAAACTCATTGTTTAGCCCCTCCCCGATTAACGTTTCTTACCCAAAACTTCACATTCAAAACCACTGTGATTTCTCACCCGAACTCATCTTTCCTTAGAATATACAAAAATTTGACATAGACTAATTATCTACCGAGATTTCTAAATCCTTTACGTATTCAACAAACCTCTCAGCCTTGGCCTTGGCGTCGTCGAATTTATCACTGACCTTGACGTCCAAGATTATCGAAAACTCGTTACTTGTAGGAATCTCAGAATCCGTTTTGACGGCATTTGCTCTACCAGAGGGCCCCGCTAGAAGGTCGAAAATATCTTCTTGCTGCTGAACGGCGACATCACCCGTGGTTAGTGGAACAAGATCGTAAGCAACTTGAAATCTTGGTTGGGTTGGCTCAGGTGTGATCAATTCTTCGAACAAGGCATCGTAGTGGTCCGAAAACATATTGGCCACAGGTTGCTCGTGAGACAAGTATTTGGCCTCGTTGATATAGGATCTCACGGAACGCGCGAGCTGCTCAGCAGTGACGTTTGGTGCCAATTTCAAATGAATTTGCTCCGATAGCACGACGGGCTGAGGCTTGGCAGGTGTAGTTTCGGCCAACTTTTTCTGCGGCTCTGGTACCTTTAATTCTATATTAGACAAGTCCAGTTTTTCGAACTTTTGGATGTAATTCGTAAGTTTTGTAACAGAGTCGTGGGAGATTTTGCCCAGATACGACAGTACGTCTCCCTTGAGGATTCTGCCCTTGGGACCCGAGGCCTTGATGCTGCTTAGAGCGTCCTCGGTAGATACTCCATTTTCGTGGAGCAGCATCTGCACGGAGGGAAGCAAAAGTTGAGAAGCGTTGGCTTTCCCAAACGATGATGTTCCACTCTTGGCGATGGGCTCGCTTGATTTCTTCTCAGGTGAGGATTTAGAAGTATCTTTCTGCGATGATTTGCTAGAATTTTTGGGATTTTCTTCCCCCGATGCGCTTTTTGTTGGGAGTTCCAGTGTGACTAGATCGTCATCGGGTTCTGCCAAGTACGCAATAGGTTCTCCCACGTTCACATCCTTGGCTCCGTTGTCAACCATAATTTTGGCAATTTTCCCATCATCCTGCGCCTCCACGTCGATCTGGGATTTGTCCGTCTCCACCTCTAGCAGAACGTCACCAGCTGAGAAGCTTTCGCCTACCTTGAACTTCCACTCTACAATTCCTCCTTTTTCCATTGTAGGGGACATGGCGGGCATCGCGAACACTTGCGCTTTGAATAGTGATTGCCCGCCGTGTAGACCTCTTGAAAGCACCGTTCTTGTTACATTACCACTCAAAGCGTTACGAACAAACATTTTGGAGTTAAAAGATTAGCCAGAAGCGCTTGGGTTGACTTCTTTCTGGCCAATTCTTATGGTCCCTGATCAAGCTTGATGTCTATTGTTGAATATACAATTTTTTTCCTTACCAATGAAATTCGTCAATACAAAGGATAAAACATCACCGTAGATCAGCGTCACGAAATAGTGAGATATGAGTGGATGATTGTCCGTTGTGGTACACTTTGAAAATGGCGAAATATGTACTGGGATCGTCAGCCAATTTTCGGTGATTGAAACGAGCCATTTCTTGCGAGATTACGACCACGGATGAGCACATAAGGTTTCGATCAAAGATAATTTTAGTAAGAGCAGGAGTGCTCGATAATTGTTAAGCATGATGGAAGTGCTTTGCAACTGGCGTGGCATAGCTCGAGAACTGCTTATATATTTTGTTAAAATTTCCTAATGGCCAGTTAGTTCGAATTTACAGATTGATCTTATAATCGCTGAGCTTGGCGATATGTGGTAGTGGTGATAAGTCTGGCACAGCTCTTGGGTGTCAATAAAAGCTCTGGAGTACGTTTTTTATAGTAGTCTTCGTAGTTGTACTTTTTGGCTTGCGGCCGCTATTTGCGAATTATATCAAGCGTTCACATATTCTTGTCGCAAGTAGTACTGTCAATGCTAAGCTTCCTCCTCTCGTCTGAAGCTCTACTCGCTTTCCCTAGTCATTCTAACATTCGGTAGAAGTCCTCCTGTAAGAAGTTTTATAAGCACCCCAACTTATCGATACACACTCTACAGATTGATAAAACATTCAATGCAAACATCACATTTCGTCACACGCGGAGAAACATTTTCATAAAGTCCTTTCCAGCTCGCTAAGCGCCTGGATCTTTTTATTGTAATGCAACCAATCCTTTTCATCAGTCAAACCTATAGATCTGACGTCAGTATCCCAATTGAAGGTCTCGTTGAGAAATTCATCAAATTTCAAGGATGTCATCTTCTCATGCGTCAAATGGGACCACAGGGCCCTGTAGCATCCTCCCAATGCGCATGAGTTGGGAGTCTCTAGTCGAAAATTGCCCTCAGTAGCACCCAAAACTTGGGCAAAACGGGTGACAATGGCGTCATTCTTGGACGCGCCCCCAACGAAAAAGGCTCTTCTTGGGCGTTTTGTGTACTCTGAAAGCGGGAAATTGTCACAATCGAAGTGAACCAACGACGAACCCATTTTACAACTTGTATCCTCGCAGTCGTTCGACAGCAAGGGACTGATTCTTACGCGGCAGCTCAAGGCTTGAGAGTCGACAATGTTTTTGGCATCGTGAGCGACACTTTCGAATGAATCGACAAGTTTCAATTCAACTCCGCTGTCGTCTGCAGCTTGTACAAAAGTCGCTCTGCGGTACAAACTAGGAACATTTGGAACGATTTCTCCCAGGGGAAAATAGCATGCAATTTCGTTGTCGTTGTTGAGCGATTGAGACGTGACAGCAGTGTTGAAAGGCTCCCAATCACGCGTTTCGCTTAGCTCGTCCCTGATTCTTTCTCTGGCCAAAGCACCATTGCAATAGCAGATCATGCCCATGTAATGTTTGGGGATGGTAGGGTGCAAGAACAAATGATAGTTAGGAGAAGGGTGATACTGGTCTGTTACCAGCAAAATAGTTGTGCTAGTACCCAACGAGACCAAAATGTCGTTTGGCTTCAGTGGCAGAGAGCATATGGTGGCCAGATTGTCTCCAGTGAAAGGGAATATCTGACAGTCCGGATTTAGCCCGTACTTTTCAACAAAATACGAGGAAATGATGCCCACGGGAGCAGGCTTCTCGGAAGGTATGGGCTTACCTCCGAGCTTTTCTCTCACACTTTTAGTGTCATTGTCAATCAGACCTAGGAGAGTTTCGTCATAATCGCGCTTTTCGATATCGTACAGGTTCATGCCACAGGCATCGGCCTCTTCCAACGTGGTAAACTCACCTGCCAAGATCGAGGCCAGAAAGGACGATACCAACGAGATTTTGTCCGTTTTATTGTACGTTTCGGGCTCCTTTTTGGCAATCTTCATGATCTGTGGTCCCGTGAAACGATAATGGGCTCGCGATCCAGTGATATGTGCCAGCTGGGTAGCTCCACCGCACGCTTCTTCGAACTTCTGCAGTTCGTTTCCGGTGCTGTGGTCCTGCCAATTGGGACACACGTTTCTGGAAAACGCACGAGACGCCAGTTGGTCCTTGAGACTTGCATCCACCGTGAGTTGCGGCAGCAGTTTCGGTCCCTCCTGGGTCCAATACACAGACCCGTGCTGCTGGCATGACCCACTCATGGCTTTCACCAGTGACAAATCAATGTGGTCGTGCTGGCTCATTCTCTCGAACACCAGATCCACGGCCTCGAGCCACATCGCCACCGGACACTCTGCAGTCCCGTCCTCATGGAAATATACCCCCTTTTCGGTCTTGTAGTGACTCAAATCTTGCTCAAAAACGATCGATTCCGAGTGAACGAGCTTTAAGTTCTGATCTATGACCAAACATTTCAGCTGTTGCGTGGAAAGGTCGAACCCCAAATAAAATGCACCCAAAGTATCGCTCATATCTCGCGTGTGTCCTTGCAATTGTCCAAACTTCACTGTTTAGTCTCTTAACTCTGATCTTCTGCCGCTTGTTCTTCTTGTTTCCTCTCCTCGACCTTTTATACCTATGAATTGCGACCCATTGTATACGTATTATCACGAGGTAGTTTGCGATGACACTGGCGAGAGTGACCAATTCGACCTGGCGAAGTTTAAGTATTTGGTGTACCGTATATACAATGTGGGTGGGTTAGTGTGTGTGCTTGTTCCTCAGTACCAATGCAATTGGTGGTTATTATCGATCCTAAACCGTTTTTCCCACTTGAAAAAAGCGAGCCGACTAGATCCGGATCTTGGGCTTGACCCACTCAGGACGTTTCTTGTTGTACGCAGGATAGCTGGGCAGAACGGCAACCATACACAGCGCAATTGTCGCCCCAAAACTCAGCATTAGGTTGAACAACGATTGTGTGAAAAAACCGATTAAACTGGCCACAATTGTGCCGAAAAGCAGCGTACGGTGCACGAGCCGGTCCGTCTGGCGCTGGCTAACAAAGTCAATCGGGAAGACCAGCTTCTTTTGAATCTCTTGTAGCACTTGTGACATGGTTTTGGGTCTGGCAAGAAGTGGTTGGTTTACTGGGATTGGGTTGGTAAATTCCTGGGCTTGATTTTGACGTGCCCATTTTGGTAAATTGAGTGAAAGGTCGAGGTCAGGTGAGTTATGGCTGTGGTGTGCGGGTGTTTGAGCCGACTGAAAGAGCACGAATATCGAGTCAAGGACGGGCGTGGTGGATGTGAGTTCGGCATTGGAAGCATGACATGCGGTAGAATCGACGGTTTTGTCGTGGTTTGTAGTGTTCTTTGCTGTTCTTTGAGTTGACAATGGTTTCTTTGGATTTCCCTGTGTATCAACCCATTCGCTCTGGTCCTTGAATAAACAGCTGGTGACTATTTGCTTTTATTCTCTTCAATTCAGTACTCCTTGCGCATTTCGTTGAGCAGCCACGAATCGAGAACGGACTCGTTTCCCCGGCATTCGTGGTGTTGCTTGAACTCGTCCAATTTATCCTGGAAATGCGCGTCCGACAGTAGACACCAGCCAATAGTGGTGTGCAAAAAATCAACTTGGCGAGCCCAGGGCTGTAATAGGTCGGTTCTCAGCTCTTTGTCGAGCACCTGCGTTTGCAGCGCAGATATCGAGTATTGTTGCTGGAACGGCAGTTTCCGCACAAAATGGTATATCTGGACGAAACCGAGAACACAGTTGCGCATCAGATTCGGTACTGTTTTTAAAGGTGCAGGCTCCTCGTAGTCGTCCTTGCCTCGCAGCTCGTGTGTCAGAATCTGGTGCAGCTCTCCCAGAACGCTGTGTGAACAGTAGCATAGCTGGCGCAAAAAATGACGACTCAGCAGAGCTTTCACCCCGGCAGGTCCCAGCTGCTCCCATGACTCGCGTCCCACTTTTTCAGTCTGCACTGCCAGCTCATACGTTGTATCTCGGATCTCGGCAAACATCTTGCTCTTTTCGTGCTCCTTGCTGGCATTTCTCTTGTGGAAATAAACGTAGTACGCCGCACTTAATAGCCCTTGCAGGTAACGTTCCACCAAAAGCGTGCATCTACGAAGCTCATCCTCGAGATTCATATTTTCAGAGTCATGTTCTGTGATCTTGGACATCAAACGCAGCCTGTCCTCGAAGGTAACCAAGATAGTATTGCAAGTGTCCTGGGGAAATAAATTGGAGCGCTAGATCAAAATAGTCTTGCGCGGAGAATGAGGCCGACGTCAAGAGATGTGAATGTTTTTGATTTTTGAACGTTTTTGGTGTGAATCCAAGCTAATATTACACATTTTATCGAGAACATATAGACTTCACTAAAAAAATGAAAATGTGAGGTTAAAAAGCACAGTCTTGAGCCCTGTGGCGATCAGAAAATCACCATGCTATGATCGGATAATATAGGTAATTGTTAATCACTTCAATCTGGGTTTTCTACCTGTCTGGGCGACGCGAGAAATTATTGAAAGATTATTGCGAATTTTATAGAAAAAAGGCAGGGAAAGCGAGAGTCTTGGTATCAAAGAAGTTCAGAACCTCTTTTTAGTCGCCTTTGAGAAGGTGAGGGCTCGTTTAACTCAATATCGCAAGCCATAGAATCTTTGAGGCCACCTAAATGTAAAACTCGATAATATATGTGAATTTCTACCCAAGGATAACTGCTTACCCAGAGTGAAAAAAACCTAGACGGACCTAACTTGGAAACAATGTCTTATGACGAAATCATCCGTCATGGTTCTTCTCTGCACTCTGCAGCCTGTTGACGCTTCCTATTGAGAAGCTCATCCGTTCGTGTCAGAACAGTACAAAGTGACATGACGGCGAAGTACAAAGTGATACCTCTTATAGCCTCTCTAGCCGTGGATAGACCGACAACAGCCTGGCGACAGGGTAGTTCCGTTGTGATCCATCGATGCAGAGATACCATACGGTCCTAAATTTACCGAGAGCGCCAGATATTTGATAATAGAATATCCTTAAATATTTCAGAAGTTAATTCAGTTGGAAATTCAATTCTCACCACTTTCGCTCATCTCTGAGATACGTCTGACATCGTTCGAGACTCCAACACAATTGAAACCCATTCAAACTGTTCTATTAAGCCCTTTGTCGATACTAAGTTCACTAGTTTGTAAAGATCACTATGCCTTCCAATAAATATTGACGAATAAAGAAAGACACTGCCAGTGGACGCCAAAATTTAGCCAATCAGCAAGTGAACTCCTTTTCACTCATCTAGCACCACTGCATACGTCCATGACAATGAGGAAACCATCCAATTGCCCATATAAAAGGTGTTTTACCCCTATGACACTGTTCACCGTTCTACAGTGATTGAAAAATTTCGGCGATGAGCTAGACAGGCTCACTCGAAAAATCATCGATTGACCCACAGATCCTCGCTCAAAGAACCTTTCCAGATGGCTACAACCGCCGACAAAAATGTGGTAATTCCAAATGAGACTTACTCTCGATTAATGGGGTTTGTCTCCGGGATGTTCTCAGGATTTGCCAAAAATGCAGTGGGTCATCCATTTGATACCATCAAAGTGAGATTGCAGACGTCTCAGGACACTGGTCGGTTCAAGGGTCCCTTGGACTGCGTCTACCAGACGATGAAGCAGCAGGGTGTGCGTGGTTTTTATCTGGGGTTCACTCCTCCGCTGGTTGGATGGGTTTTGATGGATTCCGTCATGCTGGGATGTCTTCATAACTATAGAATGCTGCTGCAAAAATACGTTTACACTCATGAAGATAAACTACCACTCTCTGGATGCATATTGAGTGGGGTCATGGCAGGATGGTCGGTCAGTTTTATCGCTGCGCCAGTGGAATTAGCCAAGGCCAAATTGCAGGTGCAGTACGATGCGTCAACTGCAAAATACAAGGGACCCATCGACGTTATCCGCAAAGTGTACAGTTTTGACGGCATACGAGGTCTGTACAAGGGCCTTGTCAGCACATTAATTTTCAGAACCCATTTCGTGTACTGGTGGGGGTCCTATGAGCTGCTCACTCGGTGGTTCAAGAAAAATACCAATATGAGTGACACTGCTATAAACTTTTGGGCCGGAGGGTTCAGTGCATCTTTCGGATTCTGGACCACAGCATATCCCAGTGACGTTATCAAGCAGGTGATTCTGTGCAACGATAAATACGACGGAAGCTTCAAATCTTGGAAAATAGCAGCATCGGACATTTGGCGCACCCGGGGTCTACCAGGTTTCTTCAAGGGCTTCGTCCCCAGTTTCCTGAGAAGTTTCCCTGCCAATGCTGCCGCACTTGCCTGTTTTGAATTCGTTCTGCGGACAAGTGGCGCGACATAGACGGAGATGCGAACCCACCATTGATACACAAAGTAAAGAGCTTAAATTCGCGATCCTTCAATGGGTCCGTTTTGCAATGCCAGAATCTTTAACTGTAGAATATATACGCATAAGCGAAAGAAACTCATCCCATTTAGTGGTGTATGTTTGCCATCAAAACGAAGCCAGATACTACTGGGACTCACTAGTCGAAATTTGCTCGTCACCACCGCCGAGGAAATTCTGTAATTGCTGCTCGAATTCGGTTTCAATCGAATAGTATTTTGAGAGGCTTTTGGAGCTCTGGGATCGTGGAAACTCCTCTTTGCTCGAAAGTATTGCTGGGGATGCCTCTTTAGGGACATTAACGCTGGGAACTGGGTTGGTGGCCGTGGTTTCCCACGGCTTTAGGCGGGGACGCATGCTGGAATCTTTACTAAGAGACGGATCAAGCGTTACATTAGGTACATGCAAAATGTTGGGAACCTGCTTGTCGTGGACTATACAATCTACCAACTCTTCATAACTCAGTTGGTGCTCGCCCATGGCCTACAAATCGACCAAAAACAGGCTCTAAACAGGGCTCTGCTACCCTTCACAGCTCAAAGTGCTGTTTTAATGAATACAAAGGTCTTTAATTTTGTCATTTCCACTGTTTAAATCAAAAGTCAAAACAACTTTAAACAGGTTTCCTGCGTCACACAGTTTTGGGACCGGCTCAATTATTGCACCATTGAGTTCAGCGCGCTTTGTTTCACCGAAATGCTAATCTTGAGCCCAGGAACGCTTTTCTGCGCAGCTCTTTTTCTAAGAATTGGATTCTTCCTCTATGGCATGTACCAGGACGAGCATTTCGACGTTAAATACACCGATATCGACTATTTTGTGTTCCATGATGCAGCAAAGTACGTCTTCGATGGATTGTCGCCCTTTTTGCGGGATACTTACCGCTACACACCACTTTTGAGCTGGCTTCTGGTACCCAACCATTACTTACAATGGGTTCATTTTGGTAAGATGCTATTCGTCTTGTCCGATTTGCTGACGGGAGCACTGATTTTGAAACTACTAGACTCCCAGACGCAACGTAAACGGCTAACGCTGAGCTCGCTGTGGCTTTTGAATTTCATGGTTATTACGATCAGCACGCGCGGGAACGCCGAGAGTGTGTTGTGCTTCTTGATCCTGCTCTCGTTGTACTGCTTGCGCTGCGAACAGTACGTGCTCTCGGGTCTCGTTTACGGTTTGGCCATACATTTCAAGATCTACCCAATCATCTACAGCGTCCCGATCGCCGTGTTCATATATTTCAACCGCAAGGCTGGGTTCGGAGCGCTGATGAAAATTGGGCTGTCCACGCTTGTCTCGCTGGGGGGATGCTGCTACTGGATGTACCATCTTTACGGGTACGAATTTATCGACCAGGCGTACTTGTACCACATGTATCGCACAGACCATAGACACAACTTTTCCGTGTTCCACATGCTGCTGTACTTCGAATCTGCATTGCCCTACACATCTTATGGCCCTCAAGTGGCCTTTTTGCCCCAAGCTGTCGTAACTTTGGCGCTTTCTGCATTAGTGCTGCGCAACCGCAGCTTCCTCAATCTGCTTTCAGTGCTATTCGTACAGACCTACGCCTTTGTCACCTTCAACAAAGTGTGCACGTCCCAGTATTTCATTTGGTATCTGATCTTTTTGCCCTTTTTCCTAGCGAGAACTCACATTTCCAAAAGCAAGGGCCTTTGCATGACTACGTCGTGGGTCGGAACACAAGCTTTCTGGCTATTACAAGGCTATTTACTCGAGTTCAAGGGCCAAAATGTGTTCTTTCCCGGTCTGTTTTTGGCCAGTGTGTTGTTTTTCCTGGCAAACGTCTGGATCTTGGACCAATTCGTTCAAGACCTGGCTCACACGAATGCTCGCGTTCAGGAGAAGAAGATCAAGTAGCTATGATGGTCAGAAAGGCCGCGAACTCATCCCATATATCGATTTTAAGTTTTATGCTCTAAGCAGTGAACTGAAATTTTGAAAAATTCCAACTTGGTCAAGAGCTTAGAACATGTTCTTAAACAAAAGTGTTCGACAGACAGCTATAAGTATCCATTATAGCGATGTCCAGACTAGAAATCTACTCACCAGAGGGGCTACGTGTCGATGGACGTCGTTGGAACGAGCTACGTCGACTAGAGTGCTCAATAAATACGCACGCCAATGCGTCCGATGGTTCTTCATATTTAGAACAGGGCAATAACAAGATCATTACGCTCGTGAACGGGCCTCAAGAGCCTAAACTGCGTTCGCAAACCAACGTGACAAAGGCAGTGCTCTCGATTGCTGTCAACATCACCAGATTTTCCAAGACTGAAAGAAGCAAGTCATCTCATAGAAACGAAAGGAGAGTGCTAGAGATGCAAACTGCTCTAGCACGCACTTTCGAGAAAAACATACTGCTGCACTTGTATCCTCGGACTCAGATCGACATTCAGATTCATGTTTTGCAACAAGACGGCGGGCTCATGGGCTCCTTAATCAATGGAATAACACTAGCTTTAATCGACGCAGGTATTGCCATATACGACTACATCAGTGGGGTTTCCATCGGACTTTACGACACAACACCACTCCTGGATCTGAACACGGTCGAGGAAAGTGCCATGAGCAGCGTGACATTGGGTGTTATGGGCAGATCAGAGAAATTATCACTTCTGCTAGTGGAGGATAAACTACCACTGGATACGATGGAAAGCGTTTTAGCCATTGGGATCGCTGGCTCGCATCGCATAAGAGAACTCATGGACAAGGAACTGAGAAAACACGGCGAAAAGAGACTCGCAAACATATCGTCCAACCAATAACCTCAGTGTCTTCTTTTCTATATACAGTTACACAGCACTTTGCGCCCCTAGCATCAAAAACAAAAGCCTTGCGCGTTGATCCTAATTGATAAAGTCAGGCAATTCTTGCGTTTATCTAAACCTTCTTTTTGCCGATAGATGAAAATAGTCCCTTGGACTTCTCCTTCATTGAGTGAGAAAACACTTTACGTTTCAAGTGCGAGACGTTTTGGTTAACGTTTGCAACTGTGTTGCTTACAGTCATTTTCTTACCCAGCTCGTCAGCTTGCGCGTACGCGTCTTTGACATGTTTGTTTACCTTGTAGTCGTGGAAAATATAATCTCGATCAGACGTGGATGACTTGAGTGCGTAGTTAATCCATGTCTGCAGCCCACTTTCATAGCTGTCTAAATCACTTGAATAGGTCTCAAGTTCTTTAATTTTGGCTGAATGCGTTCTAGCTTTTGCTTGAAGAAGTGCGTCCATGTCCAACCCAGGAATAGTCTTCTTATCTAGTTGTGCAATTTCCTTTGAGTCCGGAGCGTGTACCGAGAAGTTCTCCTTCAAGTATGACGAGTGCTGCCTCTTTTCACCATTCAAATCCTTCAGAATGGAATCAGAGTCAGTGATTGTATTTGTTGGCGCAAAATCAATGACAGAGATATCTTGAGGCAAAGGCGGCAGTGAAGTCTGGTTTGTTGCCACCCCCGGAACGTTGTAGATTGTTTGATTGTCGTAAATCGTCTTGGTATCGTAAATGGTGTCAACATCTCCGTTTCCTGCGCCTGCTGATGATGGAAAAGCATTCCATGCACTTTCCGCTTCGGTATACATCGAGACTGCCCGAGCATTTCTCATGCTCGAAGGATTAAGGTCGACCACTTGACCATCTCTATCGATAACATACCCGTCCGGAACTTTCGACGCTGCGCCTCCTAAGAAATCCGCCCTCGTTGCATCAGTATCCGGCTGCCACTTGCCCAAATTGATTGACTGCCTCGATTGTAGATTTCGAGAGTCCTTATTGCTTCCTAATGAGTTGTTATCATCAACAGGCCCTTCTTCGGTATTACCAGCTTCGTTGAAAGTTTCTTGAGAGTTGCGAGAGCCACGAGCAGATCCGTCCCGTGAGGCTTGAATGCTTTTAGTTATTGACCCTGTTTCTGTGCTCACTGCATCGCTTTCGGTATCATCGTCATCATCGTCATCATCACCATTACCGCCGACCGAATCGGTCTCCTTGGAGTTGGTATCATTTACCAAGTACTCATTCATTATTTGAGTATAGTATCCGCTCTTTGGCATTTTCATCACACTTTCGCCATCAGTTTCATCGTCGCTACCACCATCATCTTTACCATCGTCCTTTTCATCATCGTCATTATCATAATCAACACCAAATTCGTCACTGGAACTGTCAAGTATTGATTCTCGATTGCGATTTTTGAACTTGAAGCTTTTGTCCCCGTCTGTCAAGTTGCTTTCATCGTCTGTGTGATGGAGCTCCGTCTTCGAAGTGTACCTTAGTTTCAAAGGAGATGAGTTTTGAGCTGTTATTGGAGACCTGTCGAGTCCATCGGCAGGTGAAGACTGAATGCTGTTGTTTCCGTACTGATTAAAAAACGAGGCATTGTCCTCGTATTCGTCAGACGAAATAATGCTGGATTTTGTGCCTTTTCGTTTTTCTGGGGTAGCCTCAGTTGCTGCGGTTGATGCACTAGTAATAATTGGTTTGACCGGCCTCTGTTTTTGTGAAGAGGCTTTCCCATGCTCGCTCGACGAACTCGATGATTCGTCCAGGGATTTAGTTGACTGATTAAAAAGAGAAGACGATCTCTGAGCCTGATGGGCAGCTGTTGAGTTATGAGCCGCTTCTGACACTTCAGGGAAGACTTCGGATACAGCTTTTACTAGAACTGATTCCTGCAGTTTGTCATCATCGGATGTTTCGTTATTCACGCTGGGACTAGGTGACGACACATCCTTCAATTCCTCGATTTCCGGGATATGTTGGGATACCGTTGGATGTTCGCCATCGTCGGGTGAAAGCTTGATTGGCGCCTCAGGTTCCGATTTGAGATCAGATTTACTCGTTGAAGACCTTTCGGAGGAGCCACTCGCTGCCACCGGTGTCGAAACTTGCGCATCCTGTGACTGTTGATGTTGATCGCCAATTTTCTCCTCTTTGCCCGGTTCACTCGTGGGTATAGGTTCAGGTTGAAGATTCATGCTTGCAAAATACCCAGTCTTCGGTACTCGACATTCTTCTTCCGAATCCGAGTATTCAAATCCTGAAGCGACCGATCTAGTGCCTAACCAAAAGTTACTCTCCGGTTCCGATGTATTGTTCGCGGTATAATCTTCCGAAACACGACCGCTAGAAGGCGATTGGATTTGAATTTGATCTTCTTGATCCTCAGTTATTTGAGTATCCAGTGAATTTTCTGTAATTTTCTCGGTTGATTTGTTCTTACCCAGTTTTGGCAACGGTGGAAGTTTCTGTATTATTTCGTTACGCTCAGAATGCGCACTGTGGTCCCCAAATGAATCCATATCGTCATCACTGCTGTCCCATTCTTGTCCGTCATAATTTCCCTTGGAAACACTGACCCAGCGTTGAGATTTTCTTCTGTTAACATTATCGCTCATGAGAAATTCAAATATGGCCTTAAATCAGGTCTAAAACCGTTGTTTACCAGTCAATTGGCGGTTATTGCCCAGTCTCATCGATGATGAGTTGGTGGATGAAGTTCTGTTAAGTAGACCTACAAACCTGTATAAAATACCCGTACCAAGTGATCAATAATTGTAGAAACTAATCATCGTCAATCTTTGTAGAACTTTAAGATGACTGGTGCGTCAAGTGGTCAGTCTGGAGTAGACAGTTGCTAATGTGATACTTTCCGGGTGTCTGTAGAGTATAAGAACGTTGGGTTTTGAGCATTCAGAAACATGAAAAATCTAGTAATATAAAAAGTCACATAAGGACAAAGTGATATGGCTGAGCCAACTGACGTAAAAACAGTGAGTAAAGTAATATATATAATTTCTCCGCGCTGTTTCCCGTGCAGTGGTCGCTTTATATATGCACTCAAACGCTCACAATAATTGCTGTTTGCTGCTTGTTACTTACGATTTTCGGACCTGTGCAAATAGCGACAGAATAGTACAAAGTGATCTGATTTAATTAATGTCTCGAAATCGATAGTAACTCCATCACGACATTCCAGCAGTCTCCAGAGTGCCAACCATTGCCACTTTAGGACCTTTGCTTGGTATATACATATCAGCAGAGGGATAATTTAATTTTCCGAATGCAAAGAAATATTTGTCACACAGGCGAGACCGCCTGAAGCACTGTTTTTTGTCTTAAAAAAGCGTCAAAGAGGGAATACGACAAGACTGGTAAGGACACATTGTCTATTTCGTTCCTGCTAGATGACTATATTCAAATCATGCCGTTGTTCTTAGAAAACACATCGTATCAAGCGACAAAACTCTCAAATTGCCAGGTTTATATCAATGGATGAGCTTCACGCTGCGAAGAAACATTCTCACTTGTTCATCGAACACACATACAGAGCCCAAGACTATTCTCCCATCTACAATGTCTCTCAGATCGATTGTATACTGTAAAGTGTGCTCGTATCCGCTCGACTATTGCGAGTTTTCCGGGAAGTTAAAGCGTTGCAAGGTCTGGGTGACGGAAAATCATCCAGAGCTGTATTCCCAGTACTATGGTGATACAGAGACCGAAGAAGCTACAAACAAGCTGGCCGCCAGCTCGATAGGTGACGAGCGTGAAGAAAAACTCGAGAAAGATCTCAAAAGACTGCAGTCCAAGCAGGAGAACCGCGAACAGCGAGAATTGGCCAAAAAACTGTCGTCAAAAGTGATCATCAAAAGAGAAGCGCGTACTAAACGTAAATGTATGATCGCTATAAGCGGGCTGGAAGTGTTTGAGATCGACATGAAGAAGCTTGCCAAGACTTTTGCATCCAAGTTTGCAACAGGATGTTCGGTCTCGAAAAATGCCGAAAAAAAAGAGGAAATTGTCATCCAGGGCGATCTGGCAGACGAGGCCGAGGCCTACATCCACAAACTGCTCGAAGAAAAGGGAATGAAAGACGTCAAAGTAGAGAAAATCGAGACGAAGAAGAAGAAGAAGCCAATCACGACGCCCGGCGCTGCCCCAGCGGAAGAATAAGGCCAATTCGTCCAATGATCCCGTACATAGTGACTACAATATCCTAAAATCACCACTATAATATGGTGCACCATCAAGAGGAACTACTGATCAACAGTTGTTCACCCAAGTTCAGCCAAAGATTCAGGGACTGTGCTGGCTCTGGAACTATCCGAGATGACTCAGAAGCTTGAAGATAACTCAAATGCTTTACAGGATCGTTTGCTGGGCTGTGGAGTGTTCAATTGTCCGGACAAACAGCTGAACGCACTCCTGAGCTTGCAATACAGAACTCACTACCATGTTTTCGGGGGCAATACCGCGAACAAAAGCGTTTTCGAGGTTCTGCAAGGGGAATTGAGCAAATGTGATTATTCTGGCTCGTCCAATGCTATAAAAAAAAGAATTGGGCTCAATTTGCAGGGAATTTTGAGCTATCATTTGTCCGCTACGGAATCTGCACAGAACCATCTGGTTCTTGCAGATCAGGTCAAGCTTGGACCAGGACCTTTCGAGACCTTTCTCCAGCTTGAAACGCTATACTTTACTGGTCTGTTGAAAGGAAACGGCAGTGTAGAGCACTATTTACAGAACTTACTCGAGGTGGTCACCGAGCTACCACGCGAATCGCATGCATTGACCTTCCACTACCTAGATTTGATCGTAGCAAGACTTCAGATGAATTGGGACCAGCTGCTTGAGCGCTTGAAGCCTTGCAACGTAACCTACTACGTTGCTGTCCAGTCCAATACGGGAAACCATGATCAGGAACTACTGAAAATTGGGTTTCAATTGCTCAAAGCAGCTAGCTTTCCTACCGCAGAGGAGTGCAATAATCGCGACTTGGAACAATTTCATGTTGTGCTGCAGTACTACTTTCTCAATTGCAACGCATCTACATCTACAAAATGGCGCGACTTCTTGATAGAATCGATGGGCAAAACGTTTCAGAGCATGGAAGTAGCCAAAACAGCTATGGTGTATTTTGGGTTGGAGCAACAAAAGAACGAGTCTATTTTAAATTTCGTTAACTTCATGAGTTACAACGAAAACTACAAAGAGTTGAACGATGGTCGCTGGCTGGATACCGTTTCGATTCTAGAAAGCTATAGATTCGTCGCTGAACAAGCTGGGCATGTTGAAATACCGAACATTTTTAATTTTTACGATTTCTTGACCAAATTCAAGGCCATTCTACGTGAGTTTTATGCCAAGATTTCTTTGCCACTCATAGAGAAAGAGCAATCTTTGGATATAGCCTCGAATGGGGCCATGATCTTCATACCTCAAAAGCTTCGGAGAGTCCTGGCACAATCGTGGAACTCGCTATACGAATACGAACGTGACGATTTGAGCAGCGTTCTTCAGTCCTCTCACACACACTATCTCGCTAACGCGCACACAGCTGATCCAAACAGTGATGCTCTTAACTTTAGTTATGCTTACGCCTTGGCTCAGAAACGCGAGATCGCGCAAGCTATCAAGTTTATCAAAAATGCTATTCTGGAGAAAGAGCCGGAGAATTACCGGGCATGGCATTTGCTCGCCTTGTGTGAGTCAACGAACGAAGATAAGACTATTTCATTTAGAATCGTTTGTTCGGTATTACAAGCTTTACAGCAAGCCCTTCACGACGGCACCTCTTTATCTGTCTCTGAACGGTGGCAGATGATCCACCTGAAGGTCACACAGCTTAAAATAACGGCCGACATGTTTGGTGTTGAAGACGCGCTGGAACTTCTGCCAGAGCTTATGGAACTGCTCGATCTCGCTCTTCCTTCCGATTTGAAAGATTGTAGCTTGGGCCCAGAGTTTAACAAGAGCAAAGAGTATCTGCAGCAGAGTGTGTGGCTATTTGCTGTTCAGCTGTATATGAGCAGATCTGTCGAAGACGCCAGAGAAGCCCTCGCAGAATCCAAAATTCAAACCACGAAATTTCACAATCTCAATAATGATCTTGCTGAGGGATACATGTCTCTTGCAGGCGACAAAGGACGGGCTCTTGAATCGTTTGAAAAGGTTTTGTTTTATGACCCTATGAACATCGATGCAATTGTAGGATTCGCGAAATGTTTGATGCCCGGTACTGATGAGGAAGAGCTTCACAAGATGACACCACCCAAGACTTATGAACCGAGCGAGGACGCGTTTTTAAGTGAAAAGGATAGATCGGCTGCGTTCGCAAGGCTCAAACTACTGCTTGAAGAAATCATCGAAAAGTCTATCGAAGGATACTATTCACCGGAAATTTGGTGGTATTTGGCGCAAGTTTACGAAAATTACGGGGACCAAGAACGAATGGAATTGTCCTTATGGAACTGTGTCAAGTTCCAGGAACTGCGACCCATTCGGGATTTCAAAATATGTAACATATAGTAACGTCTCATTCTTACCCACTGACGACTTCCAATTCAAAAGGGTTTGACTGGGGTAGAATCTCATCGAATGGTGCATAAGCTAACTAGGCCAGCGCTGATATAACGATATCAAACATCATTTTGTAGACGTCCAAATTTCTTATACTTTTCTTCGAAACTCATTCACCTTATTTTAACGACTTGTTGTTTCATTAGAACAAAAGAAGCACCAGAAAGCCTTAAAGAGGGTCTGATCCGCTTAATCTTGCGTTTATACAGGCATGACAAGTACGGGGTTTCTACCAAAGACCTCAGAGCTGAAACTTCGAGACAGAAGTAAGAATTTTGATGACAACTTGGCCAATGAAGTAGCAGAAGAGTCTGAACTTGACTTGAACGAAAAAGAATCACAAGTGCATCACTCTTGGAAGAAGGGCTGCTCAATTGTGGAGTATTTTGCACTACTAATTATAACACTGTTGGCCTTTTATGTGAGGTTTTCGAAGATCGACGCAAATGGCTCTGTGGTGTGGGACGAAGCGCATTTCGGGAAGTTTGGTTCCTACTATATCAAGAACGAATTTTACCACGACGTACACCCACCTTTGGGTAAAATGCTAATTGCGCTTAGTGAATATTTGACTGGTTTTGACGGAGACTTCACGTTTGACTCAGCAGCAGAATATCCTGAGGGTTTGAACTACAAATTTATGCGTCAATTCAATGCCTCGTTCGGAGCTTTATGTGCACCAATCATGATTTTATCCGCACGCAACATGGGATTCAGTTTAATTTGCTCGAATTTGCTCGGCCTTATGGTGGCTCTGGAACTATCCTACATTGTACTGTCCAAATTTATTCTTTTGGACTCCATCCTACTGTTCTTCACGGCCACGACCTACTACTGTATCACCAAACTTTACACATTGCGCAATAAACAATTTACGAGAAAATGGTCACTATGGATGCTCCTCTTGGGCTTGAACGTTGGATGTGTTTGCTCCGTGAAATGGGTGGGACTTTTCGTCACGCTTGTAGCTGGTGTTTACACTATCATAGACCTGTTTGCTAGCCACCACAACAAAAATCTGGGAAGAGTTAAATACTTCAAGCATTGGGTGATTCGTGTCATTAATCTGATCATAATCCCGTTCATGGTTTACCTCTTTTGCTTCAAAATTCATTTTACCATCTTGCACAAGTCAGGCACCGGCGACGCATCTACAAACACTTTATTCCAAGTAAACCTAGACGGGAACAAGATAAAATTGGGACCCCGGAATGTGGCATTTGGATCGAAAGTTAGCATTAGATCGCATGGTCTCAGCCCCAATCTCCTTCACTCACACGTTCAATTGTATCCTTCAGGTTCGGGACAGCATCAGGTTACAGGCTATGGTCATTCCGATACTAACAACCACTGGGTGATAAACTTCTCTAGAGAGTCTGGACAGGAAGTCGATGAAAACGGCCTATTCGAGGGTGGATCGTTAAATGTTGGTCACAACTCTGAAATACGTTTGGTTCACAAGAATACGAAAGCCAACCTGCATTCTCACGACGTCCCGGCCCACGTCTCTAGAAACTGCTTTGAGGTTTCAGGTTACGGGGATGAGATAATTGGCGACACAAAGGACGACTGGGTGGTGGAGATTGTGGAGCAGCTTGATTCTTCCAATGCTTCATTTCCCAAGGAAGACTCAACTTTGTTGCACCCTATCTCCACGAGCTTCCGATTGAGACACAAGGAGTTAGGATGCTACCTTGCATCTACAGGGTTAGCATATCCTGCCTGGGGCTTCAAACAGGCTGAGATTGTCTGCAAAAACTCATGGACTAGCCGCGACAAATCCACATGGTGGAACATTGAGGATCATTGGAACACCAACCAAAACGAGGCAGAGGGATACGTTCCTCCCAAGTCGAAATTTTGGGCTGACTTCGTCCTGATCAACTTTGCAATGGCTTCTTCAAATAACGCTTTGGTACCTGACGAAGACAAACATGATCACCTGGCTACGAAGGCGTGGGAATGGCCAACTCTTCATACCGGCCTTAGAATGTGCGAATGGAATGCTAAGATTGTAAGATACTATCTACTGGGCTCTCCTTTCCAAACCTGGCTTTCCACTGCTGCGCTGGCGTTATTCGCAGGTTACATCGCACAGCTCATTGTGAGGTGGAAAAGGCAGTCCGCTAACATAACAAACAGTGATCTTTGCGAGATAGGAATGCAGGGCGTGCTACCTTTCTTGGCTTGGCTATTTCATTACTTACCTTTTGTCCTCATGGAAAGAGTCACCTACGTCCACCATTATGTTCCAGCCTTGTATTTTGCCATAATGATACTTGGTTTCATGTTAGAGAGATGCGTTCCAAAGAGTAGCTACGTTAAAGTTCCTCTGTATGGAGGCTTGTATGTCGGCTGCATCTATATCTACATTCTCTTTTCGCCAATCGCACAAGGAATGGAGAAACCTATGGGGGAATACAAACATCTGGAGTGGCTAAGTTCCTGGGACATTTCATAAAAGCCTCTGTACGTTATTATACTATATTACTGCTCAAACGTTTCCTCTATCAACTCTAGCTTAACAGAATAGACACGAGCCGAATGATCTGCACTGGCTGCTGCTAAGGTGCACAAACCGTCACCGTGGAAAGAAGACCACCTTAACCTGTTGATTCTATCAGCAGCCGTGATTTCATCATCGAGTTCGACGATTTTGCTGAATTCTTCGCTGTAAACATATAGATGAATCGAACCATTTTCCAACCCTATAGCCAACAGAAGCTTACCGCCAACGAGCTCAGGGTATATCGCAAGGGCCGTTACGGGCTCAGAAAACTTGATTGAAGATATCTGAACGTAGTCTTTCACATCAGGTGAGAAGCGCCAGGCTTTGACACTTTTATCTCTTGAAGCTGTGACGAAAAGCTCACCAAACTCCACTGGTGCCCATTCACAGTCCCAAATGATCCTTGTGTGCGCCTTTTCATTTTTATAGACCAAACTGAATTCATTTGTAGCCAGATTCCTTTCCCAAACGGCCCATTGTCTGTCACGGCTAACACTCAGCAAATGTGTATTGTTCTTCGAGAATCGCAGTCTGGTAATAGTCAAATTGTGAAAGAGCTCTGCTGGCTTCAGTTGCAACCATGTTTCGACATCGAAAAACCGAATCACAGCGTGTTGTGTAGTATTGGACTTACAAGCGGAGGCTATTATTCTTGAATCTGAGCTTACATCCAGACTAGACATCTCGTAACCGTGTCCGTAAAGTTTTTCGATCTCGGGCCATAAGGTATGCCTTTGCAGTTGATCCTCAATCGGTGGCTCTGTTGAAGATACGATGAGGTCAAAGGAAATGTTTTTCGTTTCGCTAGACTCCCTCACGTCTGGGTCATCTCCTTCATCAAAGTCAGCATCCGCAGTAGCCTTACTCGATAAACCGAGAGCTGGCAATGATGCTGATTCTGGCATGCTGCTTTCGTTTTCAACTTGGATGCCAGAGAATCTTTGCAAAATTTGAGCAACACCTTTAGGTTCCTCGAACGATCTCAAGATCTTTTCATCAGCACCACTCACAAAGCGGCTGTTTGAAAGCGGTTCCACACACATCATATCATATCCATGGATCTGCGGCCTTGAAAACTCAAACCAAGAGCCTGAACTTTTTGCTTGTTTAGCAGTGCATTTCGAAACCAGTCTTGTTGTCTGATCGAGAGATGTTAGCAACAGGTAACGACCGTTAGGAGCCCAGGCAACATCTGTGACTGATTTCACAGGTCCAGTGGGAGCCAAATGTTGATCCCATATGCCTGATTCGCCGGATTCCCACATTCTCCATGACCCGGTCTTACCATTGGTCAAGACACGGTCTCTACCATCTTTGATTAGCCAGTTGCAAGACCAAAAGCCCCCTGCGGAGCCAGTCGCAGTTGACGCACCCTTGGACGATAGTTCACCCAACCTGGAAGTACAAACCCAGACTCCAGAGTCTTCATCTGGTTCCCAAACCATAACTGCTGTGTCTGCGGTTGATGCTAGAAGACGAAGTTCATCTTGATGCCACTGCAAACTTGAAATCCAGTCATCGTGGCCAATTATCAAGGCCTCGAAGCTGATGGCAACTCTAAAATCCGAGCCAATCGAGAACTTGCTCTGTTTGTTGCTTAGAAGTTTTAGTTGGTGTTCGTCCTCGTCTGTGTTGTCAATTAGTTCGTTGACTCGTATCCTCCACAGCCTGATATAGCGATCTTGAGAGCCTGTAGCCAAAATAAGATTGCCTGGAGATTCCTGGTGAAAATCCATGGCTTTGATCCAGTCTTCATGGCCTTCCAAGACAGCTGCCTGTTGGAAGGCAGATAATTCTAGCGTTGTTTTATCCCACACAAACGAGAAAACAAAGACATTTGGATTTGTCCCACCAATTGCCAGCATGATCTTGTTTTCGTGGACTTCTTTCAAAGCCAAACACAACGGAAATGTGTTTTTTTTGGGCTCGAAAGCATGCATCAATTGGGCCTGTTCATCGACCAGACTCCATATTGAAACAGAGCCGTCGGCACAGCCCACAACAAACATGCTCTCTAGCACTGAAATGGCAGTGATTGTGTGTTTATGGTGGTCCAATGTCTGGATGCACTTGAAAGTGATGCTGACGTTGTCCTGAGTGCTAATGCACAGCTGCCAGATCTTTATTTGAAAATCCTCGGACGCAGAAATCAACAAGTTTGTAGAGGGAACAAATCTGACACAAGTGACCTCTGCATTGTGGCCCTTCAGTGTCCTGTGGACGCCATGATTGCTTGAATCCAAAGGTTTCCAAAGAGCAACGGTTTTTCCAGCTCCAAAAGCCAGAATTTCGTGCTTGGAAGAGTAATCACTAACCTGGGTCTGTCTGTTACTCCCGATGAATATACCCTCGGGCACAATCATCCTCTCTGGTTGTTCCTCTGGTGAGAAAGTGGAACAGATTTGGTGAAATGCGACGAGATGAGATGTATATTCTTGAAAAACTTGTTAGTACAAAGTGATAAAGATGAACTCTCTGAACACTCATAGCCATAGTGCGATGAACACTTCTGATGTTGGCTCTCTAGAAGCTAGTAAACCGTCCATTCAATGGACAGGATTAAATTACTTGGATGCTACGTTATTGGGAGAAATTGTTATAAATATCGAGGCAACTCTTAGATTTCATTCTATGAGTTCCATTCGTGAAATTGGAAGGGAAAATTGAGAGGCTGGATGCTTGAAGCTTATGCGTCAGTGACACAGCCAAGAGAGGCGTTGGAGACCAACTTGTGGTACTTTGCCAGCGTACCCTTGGTGTAACGAGGAGGAGGAGCAACCCATTGAGCCCTACGCTGAGCCATTTCCTGCTCGGAAACGTCGACGTCGATCTTGTTGTCATTGGCATCGATGGTGACGACATCACCGTCCTTGACCAAAGCAATTGGACCACCCTCAGCGGCCTCTGGAACAACGTGGCCGATCAAAAAACCGTGGGAACCTCCGGAGAATCTACCATCGGTCAACAAAGCGACATCTTGGCCCAAACCATAACCCATCAAGGCCGAAGAAGGCTTCAACATCTCAGGCATACCTGGACCACCTTTAGGACCCTGGTAGCGGATAAGCACAACGGTCTTTTCACCCTTCTTGATTTCCCCGTTCTCTAATGCGCGAATGAAGCCTGCTTCGTCATCGAAAACACGGGCTTTGCCCTTAAAGTAAGTACCTTCCTTACCGGTGATCTTGGCGACAGAACCACCTGGAGCCAAAGAACCATACAGAATTTGTAGATGGCCTTGAGGCTTGATGGGCTGGGACAATGGTCTGATAATGTCCTGACCCTCAGGTAGAGGGGCAGCTTTTTCAGCACGCTCTCCAAGGGTTTCACCGGTGACGGTGATGGTATTACCGTTCAACAAACCTTGTTCAAATAGCAATTTGATGACGGCCTGGGTACCTCCAAGTGGGTATAGGTCCGACATCATGTATTTTCCGGAAGGCTTGAAGTCACCCAACAATGGAGTCTTGTCACTGATGCGTTGGAAGTCATCGGGTGTGATCTTCACACCGGCGGCGTCAGCAACGGCCACCATGTGGAGCACAGCGTTGGTGGAACCACCAGTAGCGACCACATATGTGATGGCGTTCAAAAAGGACTCTCTGGTCATGACATCACGAGGCAAGATTCCCAAGTCCATGGTCTTCTTGATGGCTTCACCGATGTTGTCCAACTCAGCACGCTTCGCTTCGGAAACGGCAGGGTGGGAAGAAGAGTTTGGCAAAGTCAAACCAAGCACTTCGGCGACGGAGGCCATGGTGTTGGCAGTGTACATACCACCACAAGAGCCGGGACCTGGGCAGGAGTGCTGCACAACGTCGACACGCTCCTCTTCAGTGAGGTCCTTCGACAAGTACTGACCGTACGACTGGAAAGCGGACACGACATCGATTTTCTTTGGGATTTTCTGCGAGCCGCAGGTTGGATTTCCAGGCATAATGGTACCACCATACACCATGATCGAGGGTCTGTTGTGTCTGCCGAAAGCCATCATGACACCTGGCATGTTCTTGTCGCACGAGGGAATCGCGATATTGGCGTCGTAGTGCTGGGCCATCATAATGGTCTCGAACGAGTCAGCAATAACTTCTCTGCTTTGCAATGAGTAACGCATACCGTCGGTACCCATCGAGATACCGTCAGAAACACCAATTGTGTTAAATTGCATACCTTTCAAACCAGCTTTGTTCACAGATTCCGTGATACGGTTGTTGAAGTCCATCAAATGCATGTTGCAAGGGTTTCCGCTCCACCAGCACGAACCCACACCCACTTGGGCCTTCCCGAAATCAGCCTGCTTGAAGCCAGTAGCGTAAAGCATGGCCTGGGATGCACCTTGGCCCTTAGGCTCGGTGATGATGTGCGAGTATTTGTTCAACTTCTTGCACACATTTTGAGTGCTAGAGAAATGCCTTCTGGTTGCCGAGTTCGACAATCTGCTGAGGAAAACCATCCCGATGTCGATAAACTGGAGTGTGTCGTTGAAAGCGGGTTCTTGGACTTCGTTAGAGTTCCTCTGGAGAATGATGGATCATCTCATCGCTCATATATATCATGATGCTCAGTCATAGTTAAAATTTTTTCAGTCACCTGACCAGAGAGGTGAGGCCGGTACCGGCCTTTTATCGATGAGCGAGCAGCGAATAGCAGAGAGCAGGGCGGTAGAGGAGCAGGTGATGGGACAGGGGACGTGTTTAGGCGGAACTTGACTCTTCAGAGGTTCTTTCGTGAGTCTGACTTTCTTTCCCGACACTTTCGCTGTCATTTTCGTCGTTCTGGTGGTGCTGATGGTGCTGGTCATTTTGGTCATTCTGGTCGTCGTTTTCGATGTTTTTGTAGCTGTGTTGGTCGCCATAGGTGCGTGCAAACTCAGAGGCTGGCGATGATCCTCGGATGGTCTTCTGGGCCATGTTCTGGCCCGCCAGCTTGGAGTAGACTTTCTTGCCCAAGGTCTTACGCAGGAGCATCTCGCGCACCTCTACGTACAGGTCCTTGGAAGCGTGGTTGATGGAGTCGTGGCTCTTTTTGAAATAGGAGCGGAACTCCTGGACGTGCTTCTTGAAGTCAAGCTCGTTCTTCTTGAGCCACGACACGTTGAGCTCCCGTCTGGTCGCACCGCGTGCAAAGTTGCGCATCAGGTACTTGTCGTAGTCACGAATAATGCGAGTGATGATGTCGCTGGTGGAAATGCCGTCTGTGCGTTGCGTGGCAACAAACTTGCCCATTTCCTTGATGGGACGGTAGATATCGTCGCTTCCGGACGCTGCGTAGGGCAGATCGTCGTGGGCAACGTAGTCGATGCGGTGCTGCTCGAGAAACTCGGGCGTGACACACCAGGGTGCGTCTTCCACCACTTCGTCGACCCATTTGCAGTGTCGCAACGTCTCGTACCGCTGCTGGTCCGTGAGCACCGTCAGACCCTTGAGTTTGTGGGTAATGCGATCCGACGGCACACCACAGATGAGTGTTACGTTGGGCATGCACTTCTTACACTGTTCCAGCTGCTTCATGTGGCCCAGATGGAACAGATCAAACACACCGTCTGCGTAAACGCGCACAGACCGGTTTTGCGGCGGCAGATTGAGCTGGAATCCGCGTGGCCGGTACTTGCGAAGCTCCTCCGGCAGCTGCTCGTCCAATTTGCGCTCCTGAGCCTCCAGTGCCTCTGCTTCCGCCGTCGAAAGCGTACGTCTTTTTTTCTTGGCCATTTCCTCCAATTGCTCGTCGCTGTCGCTGGAGTTTTCTCCCGTTCCAGATACGTCCGAGTGCGAGTGCGACTGCGCTGCCGAGTCGGCTTCTTCGATCTCTTCCACACGACGTTTGCGATTCAGCTTGAATAGGTTTGTGAGCGATCCACTGCTCAAACCCGACTTTGAGGGACCCTCATTTAAGTGCTTTGCCATTGTTTCCGCAGCCAAAAACTATGTTTCCGACCAAAGCAAACCCGCTGAAGACGATAAAATACCTTAGAGCTGCTCAAAACCACGTCTTGGGCTCTCAATTGATTGTTTTTGATCCTGTTTCGATGTGTTGGGTTCTTCTCTGCTCGTACAGTTCGAACTGTTAATTATTGTAAATCTTGGGTAAATTGGACACCTATAATCATCACTCCGCACGGGTTAATTTATTTTTACGATCAATTTACCAAATCACTATCGACGAAAATATTCAGAAAATCTTGGAAATATAAAGAGAAGCTCAACCCATCGCTCTCTCCAGTTCATGTCTCCAAATACCAACCACAATTGCAGCGATTAGCCCGTGTTGAACTGCTTCAAGAGCATGGAATCACGGTCTATCACGGCTATCAAGTATATAGACGCTTCAGAGCTTTTCAAATGGCTCAAATTGGGTCATTCTACGTCGAATGAGCCGTTCCAGATCATCGACGTGCGAGGCAGCGATTATATAGGCGGCCACATCAAGGGCGGGTGGAACTACCCGTACCGACAGTTGCGGGACAACGTAGACAAGTGTCGCGAGCTGCGAGCACGCTTGGAAGCCGTGGGCTCAGCCACAGGCCCAGCAGTGGTCAACTGTGTGTTCCACTGTGCCCTTTCGCAGCAGAGGGGTCCCTCTGCTGCCATGAAGTTTCTGCGTACCCTTGAGGACAGCGAGCTTGCTCGTTTTAGGATATACGTTCTGCGTGGCGGGTTCAACCACTGGCAGAGCCTGTACGGGGACGACCAGGCCGTGACGGAATCCTACGAAAAAGACCTGTGGATGTAAGCTAAAAGACGCACGAAACAACGTATATGTATTGTAAAGGCATCGAGCGTTATACGTAGCTGTAGGTGTACGAATGAAAATGCAGCGTGATGACGCTTCAGGTCACTCTTTTGATGATGTGGACACCGCTAGCGGTTTCCACGGGACCCGAAACCTGGCCCACTTTCAAGGCAAACGCGGCCTTCTCGAAGGGCGGCTGCATTTCACCGCTTGCGAAATACCCAAGATCGCCGCCACGCTTGAACGACGAGCAATCACTGCGAAACTTGGCTAATTCCTCGAATTTTTCGCCTTGCTCGATCTTACGTTGGTAGACGGACAATTCCTCTAACGCCTCGTCCTTAGACAGCGTGATGGGGTCGCACCGGTGCGACGCAGGCCGTTTGGAATCCTTGTGTTTGATCAAAAGGTGCAAACACCGCACCCGGAGTGGATGGTTTGTCAGATGCTGTTTGAGGGCCGCATGGTCTGTTCCCTCAGGCTCTTCCCATTGCGACTGTTTGGTGACTGAGTTGAAAAAGTACTGTCTGCTTTTGGATTTGCTAAAACGAACCGTCCAGGGTTCGGGCAAGCCAGTAACGGTCATGGTGTGTAGAATTAGGAGTGGAAAGACCGAGAAAGGGCGCTGTGGTGGTGTGAAGGTGTGGTTGGTTAGGTAGATACTACGCTGTATTTCACTTAATAATTATGGTTAAAGATGGGAGCACATTATACGAGGTGAGAAATGCTTTAATTGAGAAACAGCGAAAATCGCTGAGAATCACGACCACTAGAGGTCTCAGAATTTGTTGATGGTGTTGATGGAGACATGGAGAAAGTCGGGGCGTTTTTGTGCTTCTTTTAGCGTTTCAAAAGGACGAAAACTCGATCGATCGTTTGGAAATTGTGGTGGAAAGCGTTGATATGAAGCGAGTTTCTGGGGCCGGTTCGAGCGATTGAGGTTTAAGAAATACACACAAGTGCTGGAATAGCATGCGCGAGTTGCACGGAGCAATAAGGAAGTTTGTTTAATCGTTAGAGCACGTGATCAAATGACACACTAGTACAAAGTGACACGAATTTCGAGTGACAGATTAGGACAAAGTGATCTGCACTTCAATTGCCCAACTTGTGGACGTTTGGTGGAGGTGGAACCCATCAGAGGACACCATTGATTAGTTTAACACTGTGATATACGTCTGGTACACTTTTCACCCGCTTTGCCAAACACACACGAAAACTAAAATTATACTCTTACAAGTACAGGGAAAAACTACACCATAAAGCAAGAAACTGGGTGTTCCAAAACGGCTAAAACATACAAACCTACACTAATCGCCTAATTGCCCAATTTCCGCGGTTTGAAATTCCTTGGTTGCGATAAATCGACGCTTTCTTTCTCTCTCATTACGTACACAATGACCAAATAAACTATTAATCAAAGATCACATACAAGATAATTAACTCTTCCCTTTTAATACCACTTTTAATCATACATAAATCAACAAGAATCCCGCGTAAATCGCTTCAATTGGCCCCCGAAATGGCCAATTGACTCCCCGCAATTCACCTCACGTCCACAAAACTACTCTTAACCGCTTAGAAAACCCTTAACTTTTCATTCTTTTACTTACCCACTTTTCATCTTCATTCTTCTGTATATACAAAGGTCTGTAGCAGCAGACCCATTATCCGTACATACACGCTCGCACTTCCACAGAATTCAGCTCTCGGCTCTGTTTTCACGCGTAGCGCGTTATCCAAACTGTTTAGCACCGAACCCGTTCACATGGGCCCGATGACTGTGGCATAAAGTTCCGTCGTATTTTTATACCCGAGTCAGGAAAATAATCATAAGTTCATCACCCTACGGTTACTGTGACGTTAGAGTATTTAAAGCGAGAGCTGTTGACAAGACGAGTTGATCAGCGAGCAAGTCCTTCATTTTTCGTTGCGTCGTGCGTTTATCATACAAAACTTGGCTTTATTCACCAATATGGTTGCGTCCTTGATCGATGGCAAGGCCATTGCCAAAAGTATCCGCGATGAGATCTCACAGCAGATCAAGACCTTGCAAGCGCAAGCTGGCACTTTCAGACCCACTTTGGCCATTTTCCAGGTCGGAAATCGTCCCGACTCCGCTACGTACGTGAAAATGAAGCGTAAAGCCGCAAGCGAAGCTGGAATTGACGTGCTATTCGTGCATTTGAACGAGTCTGTCGCGGAATCCGAGCTTTTGGCCCTGATCCAGGAGAAAAACGCCAACAGTAAAGTCCACGGCATCCTAGTGCAATTGCCTTTGCCAGCCCACATTGACGAGGACAAAATCACATCTGCCGTTGTTGCCCAGAAGGACGTGGACGGATTTGGACCTCACAACATCGGCGAATTGAACAAGAGGAACGGTAAGCCTTTCTTCCATCCTTGTACTCCACAGGGTATCATAGAGCTTTTGGAAAGATCTGCCGTCACTATTGCTGGTTCCAAGGCCATCGTGCTCGGAAGATCCGACATTGTCGGAGCTCCCGTCGCCGAATTGTTAAAGGCCAAGAACGCAACCGTGACTGTTTTGCATTCCAGATCTAAAGACATTGCCTCTTATATGACCACTGCCGACATTGTTGTGGTAGCTATCGGTCAACCTGAATTTGTGAAAGGTGAATGGTTCAACGGCAACAACAGCTGTGTGATCATCGATGTGGGTACCAACTATGTGGACGACTCTTCCAAAAAGAGCGGCTACAGATGTGTTGGTGATGTAGAATTCGAAGCAGCTCGCCAAAACGTCAAGTTGATCACCCCAGTCCCAGGTGGTGTGGGCCCCATGACCGTTGCTATGCTAATGAGCAACGTTTTCACCGCTGCCAAGCGCTCCATCGACTCCAGTGACAAACCCGCTTTCACTCCACTTTCTTTGAATTTGCAAAATCCCGTTCCTTCGGACTTCGAAATTTCAAGAGCTCAAAGGCCTAAGGAAATTACTGACGTAGCTGCTGAGGCCGGTATTTTGCCAATTGAGTTGGAACCATACGGATCTACCAAGGCTAAAGTCAAGCTCGACATTTTGGATCGTTTGGCCTCTAGAGAAAATGGTAAGTATGTTCTCGTTGCCGGTATCACTCCAACTCCGCTGGGTGAGGGTAAATCCACCACCACCGTCGGTTTGGCTCAAGCACTTGGCGCTCACTTGAACAAGACTGTTTTCGCCAACGTTCGTCAACCTTCGATGGGTCCAACTTTTGGTATCAAAGGTGGTGCTGCTGGTGGTGGTTACTCGCAGGTTATTCCCATGGATGAATTCAATTTGCATGTCACTGGTGACATACACGCTATTTCCATGGCAAACAACCTTCTAGCGGCTGCCATTGACACTCGTATTTTCCATGAGCAAACCCAAAAGGATGCTGCCTTGTACAAAAGATTGGTACCCACTAAGCGTGGTACCAGAAAATTTACACCAACTATGCTCAAAAGACTAAAGAAGCTCGGAATTGACAAGCATGATCCAAATGCCTTGACTCCCGAGGAAATTACGCAATTCTCTCGTCTAGACATCGATCCAGAGACGATTACCTGGAGGAGAGTGGTGGACTGTAACGATAGATTTTTGAGAGGTATTACCATTGGTGAAGCTCCAACTGAGCGTGGTTTTAAGAGAAGCACCGGGTTCGATATTTCTGTTGCTTCCGAGTGTATGGCTGTGCTTGCCCTTGCTAACTCTTTGTCGGATATGAGAGAGAGACTAGGTAACATCGTGATTGGTACTTCCAGAGCCGGTGTCCCTATCACATGTGAAGACATCGGTTGCGCTGGTGCCATGACCGCCCTTTTGAAAGACGCTATCAAACCAAACATCATGCAAACCTTGGAAGGCACTCCAGTTTTTGTCCACGCTGGTCCTTTTGCCAACATCTCGATTGGTGCTAACTCTGCTATCGCTGACAAGATTGCTCTAAAGCTGGCCGGTGTCGAAGCCGGTGCCAGTGAAGAATTTAAAAAGGAGAAGCAAGGTTACGTTGTGACCGAGGCTGGTTTCGATTTCACAATGGGTGGTGAGAGATTCTTGAACATCAAGTGTAGATCATCGGGCCTAGTGCCTGATGCTGTGGTCATCGTTGCCACTATCAGAGCTTTGAAAGTTCACGGTGGCGGGCCTGAGGTGAAAGCAGGTGCACCATTGCCTACTGAATACCTCAATGAAAACATTGACCTGCTAAGAAAGGGTTGTGCTAACTTGGCTAAACACATTGCCAATGTGAAGTCCTACAACCTTCCAGTTGTCGTTGCCATCAACAAGATGTCTTCCGACACAGACCATGAACACGAAATCGTCAAGGAAGAATCCTTGAAGGCCGGAGCATTTGATGCTATTGTTTCCAACCACTGGGAAGAAGGTGGTAAAGGTGCTACTGGTTTGGCCGAAGGTGTCATCAAGGCTTGCGAAGAGCCAAACCAGGACTTCGAGTTCCTTTACGAGACTGAAGGTTTGTCTATTGAAGACAAAATTGGTGCCATTGCCAAGAAAATGTACGGAGCTGGTTCAGTTGAGTTCCTACCGGAGGCTCAGAAGAAGATTGACTTGTACACCAAGCAGGGCTTCGGCAACTTGCCAATTTGCATAGCCAAGACGCAGTACTCTTTGTCTCACGACGCGAACCTGAAAGGTGTTCCAACTGGATTCACTTTCCCAATCCGTGACGTCCGTGCGTCCGTTGGTGCTGGATACCTGTACGCGCTTGCTGCTGAGATTCAGACAATTCCAGGTTTGCCTACTCATTGCGGTTTCATGAATATTGAAGTTAACGAAGAAGGAGAAATCGAAGGCATGTTCTAAGAAGGTATGTATATTAGATATAGTCGTAAATTCAAAGCTAGTTTAATCGACCTGCTTAAGTTTGTGAAGCTTGGCTAACAATTCTACAAGAAAGCCAGTTTCTTAGAAGCGAGCCCTGATGTTGGATGGACTCTCATAGACAACGAGTCCCTCTTGCGTAACAGAAGCCACTGGCTCCCGGTTGTTGTCGAAATACTCGCCCCGGACTAGATGCCTGCTCTTGTCCGATCTAGGGTTTGTGACTCTCAATGCCATCCATTCGTTAACACTGGGACGTTTATGGAAATGGATAGTATGGTCTAACGACACACTGAATTTATGGCAGTATAGCGGGAGTAGATGAAAGTATGGCAAACATAGTAGTAAGTATGCATCCGTCAGATAGGCGAACTCCACATATTGGAATCGGGGGTCACTAATTTCTTCGTCACTTTTACGACTTGTAGACAAAGGACGCCTTACACGCTGGTAATAGTCTAAATGCGACAGGTGTGGTTGTTGGTTTTTGTCATGGTACTCCCCAGAATTGAAGAGGTCTTTTGGAAATCGATATTCAACCGCACCGGACTCAAATCGCTCAATAAATGGGTCAAGCACTTTGATACCGTTCCATGACTTATGCAAATTACGGTATCTGTTCAAATTTTCAACAACGTCTGATCGGAACAGTTGCGCGGCTGGGACCATTTGCTTCAGATCCGGGAAATCTGGCACATTGCTCAGATGCCGCACGGAATCAGTACTTGGGGCAGAGTTGGACGCTTCTGCATTGTACAACATGATTGTTGCTACATATATGACCTTCTTGAACTGGTACGCCCGCACTTGGCGATGAGCGAAGTTTCGACCATCTCTAAGCAGATCGACCTCGTAGACAATGCGTTCCTTCGGATCACCTCCAACCAGGAAGTAGCACTGCAGCGATGCGGGCTCAAACGCGGACGCGGTGGTCTTTATGGCTGCCCACAGCGATTGTGCTACTATCGTTCCACCAAACGTAGCTCTGGCCCCAGGTGGTGCTTGTCCGGGTACTGCAGATACGAACTTCGTTTCGGATACTCGAACCAATGCAAGCAATCGTGGTAACATTTTTTAAACTTTGCCTAGCTGGTATTGTTGATAAAAGCGGGACAATTCAGCAAAACGCAAATTTCGAAAGTTTTCGAGACTTTTGATACGCAACTTGGACGTCTTTCTCGAGCACCTTTTTCGTTTATTTCGAGTAAATTTAGTTCTCAATTGAGCTTCATAAGAACTCATCCCCGTTTTTTTCCCATTGATTTTGCTCTGTAACAATGCCGGCACTCATCGTCGCGCAAGAGGCGACCGACTTTGTTCTAAAATCTTACGAACGTCATGTTGATGATCCAAAAGCGAATGCTCATGGGGTCAGAAAGCCTTTAATTGTCTTCATTTCAGGCCCGCAAGGCTCGGGGAAAACTTTCTCTTCTAAAGGTGTAAAACGCCTTCTTCAAAATGCCAAGCCAGAATTGAAGGTAGTCGTTGTTTCGATCGATGATTTCTATCTCACGCACGAGGATCAACAGGCTATAGCCAAAAGTTTCCCTGACAATGCCATGTTGCAAGGTCGAGGATTGCCAGGTACCCACGATATGGTGCTTCTTCAGGATTTCATGCACCAATTGCGTGAGAACGCTGGCTCCACACATGTCCCCGCGTATGATAAATCTCGCTTTGGCGGTGAAGGCGATAGAGTCGATTTGAGCCAAGAAGTGAATTTACCCGTTGACATTGTTATAATGGAGGGCTGGTTTCTCGGATTTGAAAGTGTGCCCACAGAAAAGCTTGCAGTAATGAGGAATGATGCGTTCAGTCGACGTGGACAGATTCTTCAAGCACATCCTCTAGAGGATTATGCGGGAATCAATGCATCTTTGAAAAAATATGCTGATTTGCTTTGGGATAATGCTAATATCTGTTCCGTGGGGGTCGTCATTGCAGCAGATGTCGAAAACATCTACACCTGGCGACAGGAACAGGAGACCGAGTTGATCGAGAAAACAGGACAAGGAATGAGCAATGAACAGGTCAGGGCGTTCATTTTGCGATACATGCCCTGCTATGAAATCTTTTATACAACGTTAAAGGCATCAGGTCAACTGGGCAACCGTGGAACGCTCGTTGTAAGCATTGATAAACAGAGAGCTGTCGTAGGTATTGAACAGAGGTGAAATACCCTGCAATGTGGTCTAGCGCAAAAATGCTGCAATATTCTTGCGACTGTGCGAATCCTCACGCACTGTGACAAGCGACGACCCCAGCCGTTGCTCTAATTGTGATATAGTCCTTAAATTTGCACTGTGAAAAACAACAACCCGAACCGTTGATGCAATTGAGCTGTAGTCTTGAATTTGCACTGTGACCCTGTACGCTTGTTGCGTAAAACGTTCAGGACCCTCAACGAGTCAGTTTCCACGTATTTCAATCACAATTCAGACGACATCAAAGTTGCAGAATCGACGTCTGAAATTTCATCCCAGGGTATGATCCAGCGCGTTCCTGCTGTGTTCTGCGTTCTTTTGCGGCGCTGCTGCTCCCGGGAAGATGTAGATGCGGAAGGCACTGGCTTGCTGACCTTGTCGCGAGACTGTATCGGCACCATGGGTTGCTGTAAGTTCAGTTCTTTTTCGCGCAACGCAGATATAACCAGCTCTTGAAGTGCACTCATTCCTGTCTTTAAATCATGCAGGCCACCCACTTCCGATTTCAAATCTCGCAACTCCTCGATCTGAGTTTTCAAATGTGACAAAGCGCCCAAACCCATTTCTGGATCGCGAAGCGCGACCATTTCCGTTTTTAGATCCTTGAGTATTGTCATTTCCGCTCTCAGCTCCTGAAGTGCTGCGATTTCTGTCTTTAAATCACACAGTGCACTCACATCACTTCTCAAACCTTGCAATTCGCTTACTTCTGCTCTCAGCTCGCGAACCTGATTTTCTAGAAACACCAAATGCTCTGAAAGTCGTGATGTTTCGCTGGAAATAGACGTAAGGACCTGTGAAGCTGTCACTGCTTGACCCAAAAGATTGGAAAACGCCTTTTCAGCGCCTGAAACGACCTTGATGTACTGCTCTGACTGCTCAGAACGGTAGGACTGTAGCTGCTTGCCAAAAGTCTCTTGGATCTGGTCAAGACCGCTCTGGGTGGTACGTGCAAGACTTTGAATCTCTGTGGTGCGTGTGACAGCATGTTTGACCAGTAACTCTGTCAGCTGCTTTTGGGACGACTCCGAACTTGCACGATCCGCCATTTGAGCTTTTTCGAATCGCTCGAGGAAGTCCAAGGCGCTTGTGAGCTGTTTTTGCGCATCTGCGTGCTTCTTTGTTAGAATATGGTGAGAGCTTAAAGAAATGCTGGTGTTTTGCGCTCTACAAACCTTTAATGTCGCTGAACCCAGCCGCTGCTAGCCCCACCTTCTCGTGTGAGCGTTTCAACAGCTCCGAGTTAGCCTCCAGGACCTGGAACAGCTTGGAAGACTTGTCTCGCAGGTCTATCGTCTCCAATTCCAGTTTTCCGGCCCATTTGAGGATCTGCCGGTCCGTGTCTTCCTGGACATACCTTCTAGGAGTTGAGCACTCGGTAGGGACGTCGCTATCGGCCATTTTGGACGCGAAATAACTGCTGTTATACCTGCTCGAAAGACCTCGGCGGCTATTTCATTTCTGTAAAAGATGTACTCATGAGTATAAGTGTATTACCTAATCGGCGAGTTTCTTATATACCCAACAAGGTCACTATATACGGATATATCATGTGACCAGAAATCACATAAAATCGTTATGTACGTAAACGTCTTTTGATATTTTAGCTATAATACAATATGGAGACACCATCACCGTAAATCCTTCGACCTCAGCTGCCACCAGAACTCAACTTTAACAACTCAGAGAGCGTCTTTTATGTCGCCGTTGCTGAAGGACTTCCTTAACAAGCGCATTGTAGTGATCACAACCGAGGGACAATGCGTTTGCGCGACGCTGGAGGGCTTTGACAATAGCACGAACTTGTTGATCTCGCAGGTCAAAAACCGGGTTTCTGGCGAGAAGATAGCGAGCTCTTACGTGCTGCGAGGCAACCAGGTCGTTTGTTGCGGACTTTTGGAAGATTCTGCAAATCCAGAGCTCGATTTGGCTTCTCTAGGCGTCGCACCTCTCAAAGATACCCGAAATTACGTTCCTAACGAGCATGTTGTGTGGCAGCACGTCTGGGCCAAAAAGCAGCAACAGACGTTGCACACGTCTTCAGACACAAACACATAGAATGCATTTCCGCAGCGTAGCCGTTAGAGTTTATAATATATGTACATTAGAAGAAGAAGAATAAGGTACTATTTGGGATACAACCAAGACAGAAGAAAAATAAATAGCACGCTCAAGGAGCTCCAACAGAAACCATCGCCGTGGGGCACGCCCGTGGCTTATGTCAAGTACTTCTTTTCCTCGCCAATACCGCAGTCCGAAGGGATTCCCAGCTGGCGCATCTTGCAAGCGACTTCCAGCAAATAGTCGATGGCTTCGTTGTACACCTTGGCCTTGTCCACGGTGGGGCCCCACACGTAGATGCCGTGTCTCCTCACAATGACAGCAGTGGCACCAGGGTACTTTTGTAGCGCTTCTTGCAGCCCGTCGGTCAAATCTTCTTCATGTGCGGTGTTGTCGATGATAGGAATTACCAGGGTGTCGAAAAACGACAGATTGATGTCTTTGCCCGTGGCTGGGTCTTTTTGGCCGCTGGGAATGGCTTTGATCTGCTCGATGTTGGCAATACGGAACTCGTTCTCGAAGATCAAAGAGCACATGACCGCGTGTTGCGAGTGTGTGTGAATCACCGCGCCCGCCCCACGCTGCGTGTAGCAAGACATAAACAAAGGAGTGCATGCACTGGGCTTGTAGAGCTCTGGCGTGCGCAGATAGCCCTTCGAAACCGGATCCATCACGAACATGTGCTCAGGCTTTAATTGCTCCTTTTGGACGCCCGAGGGCGCAATGTAAATGTGACCAGTTTCCGGGTGCTTGATCGAGATACCACCACCGGTCCCGGTCACCCAGTTGTTGTAGTAAAATAGCTTGCAGAGCGAGCAGATGAGATTGGCAGGATGGCGAGGGTCTGACGACGCTATCAGCGCATCTTTGGAGCCCTGAGCAGCTGCAGGGGCTTTGCACACGTCCACAGTGTCCCCACAGAAACAAGAAGCCATTTTGGAGCCTATCTTTGGTATGTTTTCCGCGATTTTGACGATTTTCACAGCTTTCAAGAATTTTTCACTTTAGAGATGGTAATATAATCCCAGGTTTAACAATGTCAGCGTCACTCGACAAAGAAAAAAGGCTTCAATTTACTCAGTATCGGTCCAAACAGCGTACAATTCGTAGTTTTTGAAGCGTTCTATCGACACCACGGTTAAAACATTCACCATAAAATGTCCATTTATTGAAATCAGTTTTCATCTCTCTAGTAAAATTTCCCTTGACCAGACTAACGACTCTTTTGGCCCTTTTTCTTTCATCTATTGAGGCTTGGAATAGTTCTCGGTTCCACAGCTGGGACAGATTCTGTGCTTCAAATCACTGTCGAACGTCAAAATACCCTCTTTCACCTGCGTACCCAAATCTCGCATCTGGAAGTCAAACTGACACACCACGGATTGGCACTTGGAGCAGTACCATCTCAGCATGTCGTGCTGGCCCTCGGGCCGATCTTGTTCCACGACAATTCCCACTGTGTTAGCGTACCGGACCGGGTTGTGTGGCACATTTGCGGGCAACAGGAACGAATCGCCCTCTTGGATCGTCACGTCTTTGAAACGAGCAGAACCTTCCAAGGTGTCGTCCACGACACGTAAGGTCATATGGCCCTTTTTTTGGTGGAACCACTCCGGTGTTGGATTGATGTGATAGTCGGTCCGTTCGTTGGGACCTCCCACGATCATCACCGTGAATCCACCTCTGTGCAAGCAGTAATTGTTGACAGGAGGCTGCAACAAGTGGCCATTGTCCTGGAGCCACTGATCAATATTTATGGGGGAAGTATTTAGCATTATAAATGAGAAGCTAAAGCTATATCGGCGCTGAACCGGTGTGTTGAAAGGTCAGTGAATGGTGATGGTATTAATCGTATTATGCAGCTTTCATATACGATATAGACAATGGCAGAAAGCTGGCGATGGGATCACTCTGAACGGTGAGACCTTTGATTGGTAAAAGGCAGAGAAGACAGGCATTTTGAGCATCAATTGTAGGATTTGGGGTAGGGCTAGTGAGAGAATCAAGATGGGCTAATAACTCAGTAGTCACCGTTGGTACCTTGTTGCGCGTTTTGGAATGTTTTGAAGACCTTTTGCAAAAATTAAAAAAACTCACAAGAAGCACTTTCTTGTGGGGATCGCCTTGCTGGTGGGAGAATTGCTTGCAGAGATGAGTTACCGAATTCTAAAAAACCGGCTGTAGAGTTAATATGTGAAAAGGATTGCTGATAATTATTTGATAAAGATTCTGGATTTGATGCGGTCAGCTCTGGAATTTGCTGGCCAAGCTATTCGAAAAGATTCCTATTTGTGCACAGACTTTTCATACCGATTCGGGTAGTTAGTTTAAAAGCTGAATAACCACCCATTTTTTCTTCAACAGACAGCGAAGCAGCGTAAAGTTTCATTCAAGATACCTTTAAAAGTGACAAGCTTTTGAAAACGTTCTCAGCACCACGAAAATAACACATTTGGTTTATTTGACACTCGCCGCTCGCAACCTTCATCCGACCATGAGACATCGTCTAGATTTGAGAGCCAGTTGTTGACGTGCCAGTTGTCACATTATCACTTTGTACTATTTCGTCGTCTGTTGCAATTTCGCTGTCATGTAAGCATAATACATCGTCAAGAGTAGTACATCGATCCAGTTGCGCGCTTCCAAACTATCGGAAAGACATTTGTCAAGCCATTGGAATATAAATCTGAACATCATTTACGAGACTACCTAACGAAGAAAACACCCCCGTTCTTTTGGTTGATATTTAATTTATTCACTCGATGCTTTCAAAAACAGGCTCCTGTGTAATATTATATCCCTCTGCTCGCTTAGTTCAAAATTTTGTGCTGCCTAGATGCTGATTGTACTCAGACTTACGTTATGAAAAGCCCTCCAGTATCTAGAAATTAATTGAACTCTGGCCATGTTAATGGACTACCCTGTCAAACGTGCAGCAATTAATAGTTAGAATGACAGAGGTTAATACCCGATAAGACAATGCTGACTACCCATTTCAAATTGGATGCAATATGCCGTCAGCATGAACCCAAAATTATACGCCAAAGTTTTGCGGACTTCGCCTTAATTCTTTCACCATGTCGTCGGATGTCCGCCTCACGGGTCAAGCCCTCTCGGTACTTGAGCGCATGATATTTTCTGCAGCAATTCAGACGAGAATCCTGGTCTATCAAAATAGTCTGTCACCGAGCTTTCAGAAGTTTACCGAGCTTTCAGAAGTTTACCGAGCTTTATTTACGTTAATGCTAATGTGTCGGCGTATTCCCACCTTGATCTGAACCATCCATCATTTTTTTACAAGGTTTTGAGACTACTATCGTAGACCTAAACCACCACATATTCCCTGTCATTGAAGCCCTTTCGCAATTCAAAGATTGAGGACAATAAAAAGTCCGCTCCTCAATATTCAAAAATGAAACCATACTTCACGAACTTTCCTCACCCTGTTATGTGGTCCAACGACACAGCTCATTTCATCTCGCTATCCAGAACGTTATCTCAGCTTGACTAGCCAGATACCATTATTTTGAAAAGTGCTTGTACTCGTCAAGGTCTTTCGGAGTCTAGAAAGTACTCGTGAAACAGAACTTTTGGCCATCAAGTCGTATTTCGAGAACATCACCTCCGAGAACCTGTTAGATGCCCGAAAAAGACATATACACACGACAAAGATAAAATGGCTGACGATACGAAGACAAAGGAAGCCTCCACTTGTGACCTGCGACTTCCACGAGATATTTTCCAAAATAGGTTTTATTATCAGGTCTTATACCACAAGTTTCTTCTCATAGCGATACTCTCCTATTCTGGAGGATGGTTGATGGCTAGATTCAGTGGAACGGCTTTTGACGTTATGCTGATTATTACGATTGCGGGCTGTTTGGTTCCACTAGCTGTTATTTCAATTTTAGTTCAAGTTGTTCTGGACTTGTGGTATGTTTTCGTTGTAGGCATTGCCGTAGCCTATGTGAAGCGCGAGGTACTAAGGTACTACTTCATAAGGAAATTTGGTTGGGATGCCACAGTCGTTCGTTCATTTATGCTTCTAATAAGTGAAATGGATTCTGGACAAGACTTGGCAAAATGGGACATCATTGCGGCAAAAATGAACTCAATTTTAAACACTCAAAGCTGGTGGGCCACACCTTACTACTTCTACGACGGCCAAAGTTGCCACTCTTTGTTCAGTGCTAACTTTTATGGGCCACATGTCAACAACGCAAAGTATTTCCCTCCCGAGACCAGGTCGTTTATAGACAGTGCGGTAAAAGTCTACATGCAGGCGCTCAACAAGCAGCAGCCTGGGGTTTTTGAAGAAAGCTCTACAGAGAAGGCCGAAGTTGAGAGTGATAAGTCATTTGAAGTGGTCACACCGCCTGAGATCCGAGTTAGTACACCCGTAGAAACATAGGGGTCTGGAGTGGGAAGAGGTTGACAATTCTTTTGTTCTGGACCTTGACCGAAATTTAAACTTTACCGAGAACATTTTATTCATCAGGAATGATCGGGACATATTATTACTGGAGGGCAGCTGTTTTTAGTACAAGCTCTACCATTTGAGCTCAGAGCCTTAGAGCTAATTGTCGTCTGGAGCATTTTGTATCCACGACCGAAGATTACACACTTACTATTATATAGCTTCAAACAGATGATTGAAAAACCGACCATTCATGATTTTTCCCGTCAACATGAAGGCATTCGTGGGTTTGGAACAAAGCTCTTTGAAGAGTTCAGCAGAGGGCCGTGCTGCACCAACCCTCTTCTGCCGTGCGCTAACCTGATTTTAATTCCTGTACTTGTATCGCAGAATCGTAAGCTCAAAAAAGCATGAATCAATCTCAAATAAAGTCTAGCTGCAAAACTTGGTGACAATTTAAGAAACCAATGTCACTCACTATCCGCTGTTCTTTGGCCCATCTTGTCCCTCTTCTCTGTTCATTGTAAGGTTCATGCTTATTTCGCGAGTACATGTACTCGCGGGGATTAAAGAACATGAAAGTACTCATGAAAGGATTCGTGAAAGCGCCTCCTTCAATTTATTACAGCTATTGTCAACAGTATAACTCAACTCCGGAACGTTTCGTTTCTCCATCCAAGTGTCAACCATGGACTCAAAAGATGCAGAAGAGCAGCTAATTGAATCGACAGATCTGTCGAATCGGTTACATATTACCAATACGCCTCTCCCAAGGGACATTTTCAAAAATAAAATCTTGTATGACCTGCAATTCCGGAAACGTTTCTACTGCGGCACTCTGCTGGTTCTGGCACTATGGCTTGGAATTACATCATGGATTGCTTCGATTGATGTACCTGGCGCAATAGTTTTTGGCTTCTTTTCCGGCATTTTTTTGCCTTTTCTGATTCCCATTTATATGCAAACCACAAACATGGGTTGGGATGATAGGAGTGTGCGCAGCTTTATGATAGAGATCATTAAAGTCAGTCCTGGGGACAACATGGCTAAATGGGATGCGATCGCTGCCGAAATGAATCCGGTTTTCCACGCGAACAGTCGGTGGGCTACGCCATATTTTTTTTACGATGGTCAATGCTGCCAGTCACGGTTTACTAACCGCTTTGTGCTGCCCTACTTGAAAGAACAGAAAAATTTCTCTCCGGTAGTTGTGCCATTTGTCAAGGCCGCTGTGGACAAGTACATGGAGCACTTCAACGCACAATTGCAGCAAATGACTATGGGCAGCTCTACCGACTAGGCCCAAGCTGTGAACGAAACTTGAGTAGTGTTGCAGCATTTTCAAAGACGCGAAAAGTTTAATTCAGCCTACACCATGAAACGTAGAGCCAGACCTTTTCGGCATGATCAAATGGTGAACAAATTGGCAGTCATCAAATTTCTCAAAAGCTGATTCGAAGGTTAGTACAAGTTCTTATAAAAATTAACAGCACTTATACACAGAAACCATACGGCAACGCCATCACTTGTCCCCCAGTTGTGTCACACCGTCACCAAGTGTTAAAATAGGTGTCACTGTGTGACGTACAACGTAGAACAACTGTAAACATGTACTCATGTACTCATGACTCGTTCTTGGCAAATAGACTGTAATATTATATAGTGGCGTCTAACACTTTATCGTGAACTCCGGCGACTGTAGACTGAGTTAGTTTGGTTGAATGCAAGCATACAATGGACTCGAAATAACTTGAGACTTCGTTGATCGCACCTTCCCATCCGCCCAACAGCCACGAATCCATCAAACAGCCTCTTCCGAGAGACATTTTTAGATTCAAGATTACTTACGAGATATCATCTCGAAGATACTTCTACGGTTTCTTCTTCTCGTTGTTCGCCGTCGAGCTCTGTATTTTCAGATGGGGACTTATATTTGATCTGACAATTGCTCTTTTCTGGTGTGCTCTTATCGGTATTCTCACCTTTACTTCTTTCTGTATTGGACGTTTTGAAAATGATAAAGGATGGGAAGCCCAGGGTGTGCGCTGTTTGATGACTGATATAATTGAATTGGACCCCGATGATGATGTTGCAAAATGGGACCTTACCGCAGCTAGAATGAACCCCATTTTTGATGCTTGTAGCTGGTGTGCTACCCCATATTTTTTTTACGATGGCAGTCACTTACAGTCGACTTTCAGAGCCCGCTATCTCGTGCCACATCTAACCGGCTTCAAACGGCTTGCTGACCTGCAACCCTATGTTGAGGCTGTAGTGAACAAGTACTTGGAGAATCTCAATGCTCGATTGCAACAAATCACAGTGGGTAATTCTCCTGGGGATAGCAAAGTGGGGAGCAAGCCTGTCATTGTTGCGACTGCTGCTGAAGATGAGACCAAATAATGGACACGAAATCAGAGTATTTTAAGACCTTTCAATCGTGACCAGTGGCTTCTGGCAGAGAAAGGCGCATTTTGCGTCTGATGGCCAGACATCAAGTTCAAGTGGCAATCAAACCGCAACTCTACAAAACTAGACTTGCTTGCCGTACGATACAGTTGTCTCTAAAATAACAATGTGCAAACATTAGAGCGATTGACATCACAACTACGACAGTCGACGTATAAATGTCAACCTATATTGGTGACATAACTCAAAGCTAAAGAACTACACAGCGTTGCAGAAAGCTAAGCACTCATGCCCCATATCCTTCGCTTTGGCTCTTCAAAACCCACTCCTGGTATCACAGACCTGGATCCATGTACTTGAGTACCACTCATCGCGAGAAAGGCTCGAATCATCGACAGTTAACTAACCGAAATGAACTCGTATTCGTACTCGTACTCGTACTCGCGGATGTACTCACCCCAACTATCCGATTATGTAATCCTAATTTAATCAACGATCAGATTTCCATCTTGATTACGTGACTTATCTTGACCCATAACCTGACGATATTCATCATATCCACTCCAACACGTCCGGCGATCTTCCACCTCCTGTTACCCATCTTTCGACCCATTAGATCGAGCTCTCTCGCCATCATGAATCATATGGCCGAAGACCTGCTTCGCCAAGTGCCCTACCACAATGCACATCGCTCGCTTCTCCCGCAAGCGGTACCCAAATTAAAACTTATGTCCATAGATATACCACAACCAACTCCCGTAAAACAACATTTACAGGCTTGGATCAATGAATGCGACCAGCTCCAGGAGACTGTCGAATTAAGACGCCAGAAAACTGCAAAATTCGACGCTTGGTACGCAGAAACTTGTTTGTCAAAACGACCACCAGGGATGACCACAGGAGGGGTGCTTTCGCCATCACGACGGGGACAAAAAGACACTCAACAGTGAAAGCTGGGGAGCTCGATGTCTAGAATACAAAAAGTAGCATCGCGGGGGCGGAACACAGGCCCTCGTACATAGGTTTATAGGAAATATTATGGGGACCACCCAAAATTGAGTTTTGTTGATATACCTGGAATATACATCTAGATGGCCTTCACGGCCTTGAGCTTTTCAATGAGTTCGTCAACAGTAGCCACTTTTTCGCCCGCAGATCTGGTGGGGGGTTCTTCGAGCTTGAGGACTTCAAGTCTGGGCTCAGTGGACACGTCTGCGAAGTCTGCCAGCGTCAGTTTCTCCATCGGCTTTTTCTTGGCCTTCATCAGGTTGGGTAGCGTGGCGTAGCGAGGTTGGTTGAGACGCAGATCGGTGGTGATCACGAGCGGGAGCGGCGCGCTCACGGTTTCCTCACCGCCGTCGATTTCTCGTGTGACTTTCGCGGTCATTGACGATTCGTCGACCTCGACTTTGGCCGCATTGGTCGCCTGCGGCCAGTTCAGCATCCCAGCCAGCATCTGACCCGTGTTATTACAGTCATCGTCAATGCTCTGTTTGCCCAAAATGACCAGATTTGCGTTTTGTTTGGTCACCACCTGTTTGAGGAGTTTTGCCACGGCCAGAGGCTCGAGTTCTGCTTCCTTGGCGTCGATCAACGTGCAAGTGTCTGCGCCCTTTGCCAAGGCAGTTCTTAGGATATCTTGGGCTTTGGCAGGCCCGATCGACACCGCATGAATATTTTCCACCAATTTTTTGTGCGATTCCCGGATACGCACTGCCTCCTCTACGGCTATGTCATCAAATGGATTCATACTGAACTTGACGCCCGTTTTTTCGACACCTGTGCCGGCTTTATTAATTCTAGGCTTGATGGCATAGTCAATGACCCTTTTAACGGGCACCAAGATACGCAATGCTTTTGACATGGGTTGTGGCTATCGTGATTGATTGTGAGCAAGAATAAAACTGCTAGGTTTGTTGGCGACTTCTGATCTCAACTGAGTTCGAACGGTGTGCACTTGGTTTTGACCGCTATCTTTGGAAAAGGTCGCAAATTGACAGGAAAAAACAGGTGGATAATCTCCAAGACTACGCAAAGCTGATAGGCTTACCTGGAGTCCCTTATTGACTCTATATTCGTCGACTACAGCCTTTGAACGCTCTTGAAATTCACTACTTCACACTGTCAATAACAGTTATAGTGGTTTTTTTTCAATTCCTAGGCTATTTGCTTATGTAAGCCCATACTTAAGGGCCAGAGAGAAAAATCGACAATGTCGACGATAATGAACAATCGACTATGGTATAAAATAAACAAAGAACAACGAATTAATCACACAGAATGACAAGCCAAATCGTAGTAACTGTTATTGGGCATGGTGTGCGCTTGAGCGAGGAATTAAAGCAAAAAATTACCACTTTTTTAAGTGGTCTGGAAGATGTAAAAATCGACTCTGAAGCGGTTCTTTCAGCTCGCGCTCAAGATTATTTTCTAAGCACCTCCAGAAGCGTTGCCAGTTTGCGTGAACTGGTAGGCTCGCTAGATGCTGGCGACGTGGACATTGTGGTGCAAGAAAACTCGAAATTCCGTAAGGAAAAAGGTCTAGTGGTGTTCGATATGGACTCCACGCTGATCTACCAGGAAGTGATCGAATTGATCGCTGCTTATGCGCAGGTCGAGGAAAAGGTCGCTGAAATCACGGAGCGTGCCATGAATAACGAACTGGATTTCACACAGTCGCTTGCAGAGCGTGTTGGGCTGCTCAAGGGCATCAAGACAGCGACGTTGTACGACGAGATTAAACAGAAGCTGCGGGTCACCCAGGGCGTGCCTGAGCTGTGTCGCGGGCTGAAAAAAACCGGATGCAAGCTGGCGGTTCTGAGTGGCGGGTTCACGCCTTTTGCCAACCACATGAAGGAAGCTTTGGAGCTAGATTTCGCCAGGGCCAATGTGTTGGCCACGGAAAACGACCCTGCACAGGCAGGTGTTGAGGTTCTGAGCGGATACACTGTGGGCGATGTGGTAGACGGTGAGTGCAAGGCAGAAACCTTGCTACAACTGGCACGCGAGTACTCGGTACCCGTGGAGGCGACCGTGATGGTTGGCGACGGGGGCAACGATCTGCCTGCAATGGGCGTTGCCGGTTTTGGGATCGCGTGGAACGCGAAGGCCAAGGTCCAGCAGGCAGCGCCTGCGAAGCTGAACACGAAGTCATTGCAGGATGCGTTCTACATGTTTGGGTACACGGACGCTGAAATCTCAGAGCTGCTGGCTTGAGCCCTTTGCAAATGAACAAAACGAACAAACAAACGATAAAAGCAGGTTCTGACGTTATAGATTGAGTAAAAACGATACATAGACCTTCGACATACGTGAGTAGCAGATATAGATTAGATACAAAGCATGGATTGTCATATTTCCTTCAGCAGTGGCAGCTGTAGCTCCTTTCCAAACCCAATCTCGACTCCTTTGGAGTTATTCACTTAGGCATTGGCAGCGATCTTTTGCTTGATTAAAGCTGGGTTGGCACCCACGACCTTGTCGACGACTTGGCCGCTCTTGAACAACACGATGGTAGGCATGGCAGAGACTTCAGTTTTCTGAGCAGCTTCTGGCACCTCGTCCACGTCCAGCTTGTAGAAGTCAGCAGAAGAGTACTCAGCAGCGAATTTCTCTATCATTGGGGCAATCATCTTGCAAGGACCACACCAGGTAGCGAAAAAGTCCACCACGACCAATTTGTCGGCTTGGATGACCTTTTCGAATTCAGCAACGTTAGCAATTTGGTTAACCATTGTAGTGATGTGTGTGTGGGGCTATAAAAGTAGTTATTTAGAGTTGATAAACTGGGAGTTTGAAATGTTTTAAGTTCGTCTCTTGGAGGGTACTTTTTTCATGGCCCTTTTATAGTGAAAACGTAAAATTGAAGAAGAGCCAGAACCTCGACTTTACTAATCTAATGACAGACAACGATAATTGTGGTTTATAATGGTGAGTTTTAGAGTATTTAAGAGTGTATAGATGTGTGGTGATGGTAGTAGTAGCTGAATAATTGAAGTAGGCGAAAAAAGCGCGAGAAATGAGCTGGTTATGGGAGCGTAAGAGCTTCGAGAACAATCGGGAATGAATGTTTGATGAGGTGTGAATAGCTGAGTTTTAGAGGATGGGTGAGTAGTTTTAGGTAGATTTGTGAAGAGTAATTACATGTGTGGATATCGCAAATGCAGAAAGTACGCTTTTTCTGGGTTAAAAGGTGTAACTAAGAATCTTGGTAGTTATTGCAAGGGCGAGACTTGAACTGTGGCTATATTATTTGTCCTTTTCAAGTGCTGTTCTTGGTCTGAAAGTAGTCTCAATGGCTTTCGTTTTGGGTGAATTGATACTGGCTGACGTTAATAAAGTGACAGCTACGGCGAGCATTGGTCACACATAAGAATTTGACCTATAATGCATTTTAGTAGCCTTTCGAATGACGGCTACATGTTCTGAAGCGTTTCGTCCTCAGCTTGTACACGCTGCACACCTCTAAACATCGTTTTCACGATTAAGCGACGTCAAGCATTGTAAATTACTTGTCCTGTCAATAACATAGAAAAACGTCTAAACAAAAAGCGTCTACGAAGCCGTGGGATTGTAAGCCAAAAAGATGGCCAGGGTGGAGTCTTACAATGCGTGCGTGAATGGTGTCTCACAACTGGCAAAAAGGAAATAACGACAACTGCAGGATTCGAACCTGCGCGGGCAGAGCCCAAAAGATTTCTAATCTTACGCCTTAACCACTCGGCCAAATTGCCCTATTTCGAGTTATTAAAAAAATAAGTGTCTCTTATTCTTTAGTTTAGCTGTCGTGATACCATGGAGTCATTTCCACCTGTTCTTTTCAATGCTTTTTTGGTCTTAGTTTGCCTGTCCACTGAATTCGACCGTCTACGAGATTGGCCCCTGTAATTTCATCGCTCTCTCTATTGATATGCCCCTGGTATGCACGAAGTTCGATATTCGTTGCACTTTTCTCGCAAATTGATATTGGCGTCTTAATTCCACATCGCACCTTCTCTGCCCTTGGCAAGTCAGCTAGGTTTGGACTGCCCAGCATTTGTCGAACACTAACGGTGACGCAAGCTGCCGATGTTATCACCATGTACTATGGCGTCATCTGGAGCTTGGGCAAGACATTTCCAGCTTTTTCTGTTCACCGATCGACAAACACAGACGCCAAAAACCATTTTCAGCTCATGCACTTTTCATGCTCTCCTCTCTAGCTGTCCAGTTGACTAAATCGGCTTATTATTGCATGCTTCGCAGTTACGTGATGTGGTTGTACTAAAATACAAAACACGAACATCCAGCCATACAGATTCCCCTGCACATTCAAACCCAGCTTTTAAGCAGTTGTCTGCACTTCGATTCCCCACTCCCCTCCCCCCAGCGGTCCCTTGTCTTGAATTTCTAATTGTCACCTTTTCTCCTCCTGTCATTGAGCCCAAGAAATGAAATAAACTCGCGTCCCACACGAAAACCGACCTACACTTAAACCTTTTCACAATTATCCCACTTCAATACAGCCTGTTCTCCACGTCATCCCCGTCTTTTTACTAGTTTTCAGAATAAAATCGTAAATCGAATAAACATAATTTTGACGCAACATCGGTCCACCAGAAAAAGGCTACAAGCTGGGCAGTTTGTATTCAATCTCACTTTTAGTCAACATGAGAGTCTATGAAATACCCAAACGATATTCATGTCCTGTCGTTGTGTTTTTGCCGTACTTTTGTCGCGCTGTCGTCGCGGTGACACACCCGTATACAATGACCCTAAATCCACGAAATATCAACACTGAACAATTCTAAACTCATCTCTTCTGTCAAGGTAAACACTCTCGATTGTAAACATCTCGTTGTCTCTGTCTAGTTGAGCCTCTTCTACTTCAATTGAGCCGCCCATCACCAAACTCGCCATGGCAGAATCAGAAGATGGCGATTTTACAGCTTTGCCGTTGTCAGAACGGCTGAATCACAAATTATGGAAAGCACGCATGCACGGTTACCAAGAGCTGAATAACACGTACAAAAAAGCCTCTATCAGAGCTGTGCCGCGTGAAATCTCTCAGTACTGGACGAATCCGGATCATTTCGCTCAGTACATTGTGGACTCGAACGTTGTGGCACAGGAACAGGCAATTGCAGCACTTTTGAGTCTTCTCGAATATTTGTGTCAACTTCCAGAAACTCCTTCATCAGCCTCTATGCGTGCTTGCTGGCTTCCCTCGCTAGCCGAAAAAGGCCTGGGCTCTTCCAGGGCTGCTACAAAGCAAAAGGCTCAAGAATGTATCTTGGCATTGGTTTCGTTGGATGAGTCGATTGCAGCTTCGATCGAGCTTTTGGAACCCTTGCTGAAAAATAAACTGCCGCGTCTCGTTGCAAGCTGTGTGGAGTGCATGGCTCGAATAGTCGAATTTTTCGGGCTGCAACAAATTTCTAACATAACGGCTTTCCTTCCACTGCTTTTGGAGCCCATACCGCGTCTTTCCAGTCATGCCGACAAAACCGTCCGTTCGCAAACCATGGATTTAGTCTTGCAACTGTACAAATGGCTAGGCCGCGATCTCCTGCAGGAGCTTCTTCTGGAGAGACTGAAACCCATCCAACAACGCGATCTGGACAAGACATTTCAAAAATATCAAGGCGAAATCCCTCCATCGTCACAACCACGAATGTTTCAATGGCAAAAACAACAAGCATCCGACGAACTGGAGACCGATAAAGATGGTGACACTCTGATGGGTGGTGCATTCCAAACAAATGACAGTCACCACAGTGGTAGAATGGGAGCACAGGGCCCACAGGGGCCCAAGATCAACCCGTTCGATCTCTTACCGTCAAGTATCGTTCTGGACAAATTTCCAAACGATTTTCAAGAGCGAGTCACCTCTTCGAAATGGAAAGACAGAGTTGAAGTTCTGGACGAGATTCTTAATCAAATCTTAATGCCCGCCAAAAAACTAGAGGCCAAAAACCAGGACTACAGCGATTTTCTCAGATCCCTGGCGCATGTTATAGAAAAGGACGCAAACGTGCAGGCCGTGACATTAGCTGCTCAGTGTGTGCAGCAGTTGTGCTCGAAGCTGCTAGCTAATTTCAACAGGAATTATGGCTCGCTAGTGGTCACTGCACTTTTGGAGAGATCGAAAGAGAAAAAGTCTTCTGTCAACGAAGCTATATGCGAAGCTCTTCACCAAATTTCCGAATGCTGCGGGGTCGACTCTTGTTTAGAGGAGACTTTACGCTACATGGCCCATAAAACTCCTCAGGTTCGAATGGAAAGCACAAAGTTTTTGACACATCTTCTCAAAATATGGAAGCCTGAGTCGCGTAACCTAAATGATGAATTGCTTTTAAAATTGGTTCCTGATATTTCTCAATCGTCGCTTAAAATCGTCAACGACACACAACCTGCGATACGTGATAGTGGTTACGAATGTTTGGCGACTTTGATGAAACTTGTTGGTGAAAGAGAAGTTTCGGATGTTGTTGACAAACTTGACAACTTGAAAAAGAAGAAGGTCTACGAGCATTTTGAAAAGGTAGAGGTGGCGGGTGAATTACGCACACAGCGCCCACAAGATCAGACTGGTTCAATTGCCATGTCTAGGGAAACTAATCATTTATCATCCCGCACACAGGACGCCAATCGCGGCAAAGCTCCGATTAAATCGGGTGCGAATCCTTCTTCTCTTTTAGAAGGTGCCTCGACCTCTCTTCGCAAGCCACTTTCTACGCTTCCTTCTAAAAGAGGGCCTTCTTCACCTCTCAAGACAGGAAATAAGGTTGAACCTTATCAAAACGGGTTACCGTCCATGAAATCAAGACTCACCACGCGTGCGTTGACGACCGATTCACCAATCGGCTCTAACAAAGCAAAGATCGTGAGTGTAGAGCTAGAGGACCTGCGCAATCAAAAGCAGAAATGGCTTAAAGAGCGCCAAGAGTTCTTAAACACCATAACGGAGTTTCAGAGCCGATCTTCTCGAGTAAACTCTGAGAAACTGTCACTTCAGCAGCAGCTGGGTACCGTTCAAGCAACTCTTCACGAACGCAACTTGGAGCTGCGTTCGAAGGAAATGCAAATCACGCGTCTTCAGGATCGTGTGTCCGTTCTAGAAGCCGAACTGGAGTCTAAGACCACATTGCCCTCTTCCACTTATGGTGTGAGATCTGTATCATCGTTTGATCCGCCCTCCGCACCTATTTTACAGGTACCGCCTAGAACGCCACCACCTAGAAGATTACTATCGTCGTCGTCCAATGGTCTCAGCTCTCCTTCGATCGAGAACAATCGCGAAAGGGGTTTAAACAGTCGGATTTCGAGCTTGAATAGCAGAGCGAGATCACCCAGTGAATCGAGTGATGATCTTCCTCACAGAGTCAACTCCTTACAGCTAAGAAACGAAGCTCGGTCGGCAGAGCGACAACCAGACTCCTCGGGTGTGGACCGATCATCGAGCTCCAACAGCAATTTCTTTAATGACGAAAGTTGGAAGCGAGCGGCAGAGGTTACATCCCAGCTAAAGGCACGAATCGAACGAATGCGTGCCAAAACGCGTGACATGGGGAATTCGTAAATGCGTGAGTACAGTGACGAGGTTCTTATCACTATCAAAATGGGATTGTGCTAATTAGCGATGGCACGTATGAGCCATCAGTTTGTAACTTGTTTAGTTTAATGGGAATAACAGGGCGTGATATCATAATCTATCTTTTCCGCCGCATTTTTTTCCGCAACACGGTTGACTTCTTAGCTCGCTTCTTCTTTCCTGCTGCTGCGCGAGCATCTTTCATTTCGAGCTCGTTAGGATGGTCCATATTGAGCTTTCGCAGTTTGATATTAACCATGGCCTCAGGTGTAATGCTTAATTTATCCATGCTGGTCTGAAGCTCTTCGAACTCCAAAGCCAATTGCTCGACAGTTGTGCCTGTGTCATCTGGAGGTAAATCTAGAGTTTTTCGTCGCAGATTTTGAAGAAGAGACTGGTGAGCTCGCAGAAGTTTCTCTTTGGAGCTGAATAGTTCATTGAAATTCTTCTTGAAGCTTTCATTCGACCGCTGGTTGTTCTCGAAGATGGCCTGTTGAACGCCTTGTACTTGTTGTATGCGCTTGCTGAAGTCGTTTCCCTCTGGAGATGACACTAATGGAGTAGGTGGCGAAGGCGACTGGGGGATCTGGAAACTTTTCTGAGGTTCTGTGGATATTAGTGTTGCGCCTTCGAAGTCTTCCAAAATCCCATGGAAAAACTCGGCCTTCACAAACCTGTTCTGGAAGAATACAGTAGCTGCCTTAGTGCATCTTATAGCACAAGATTCGTTTTTGTACTGTATAACAGCTTGACGTTCAAGCATGTTCACTTTGCAGTGTTCGATCGCACCAAAAGCGCGAAACTGAGCTTTGATCTGCTCTTTTTTCAGAAATCGAATAGGAATGTGCATAATTTTGACGGACGATGTAGGACGAGAGGCCTTTTCCTCATTTTCCAGTGCCAACATTCTTGAAGGATACTGTTCGACCATAGTCTCCGGATTCCTTACAATTCCTTTCAGTTGCAGTTTTACCAAATCTTCGGCATCAAACCCACTCTCTTTCTTGTCACTGACACTTGGTAAGCCTCTGAGTATTTCTAGCACATAGTCAATCAATTCGCTCGCGATGTCCGGGTCTTTTTCGATCAATTCGTGACCTATCCAATCCTTAAGCTGATCGCATGTTTCTGGATCAGTTTCCAAGACCATTGGACGGGTATTGAGATCTAACTAGTAATAGCTTTTGTTGATGAGCCAGCTTACTTTATATTAATTCATGGTATATACAAATTTTATTTATGACAGGAAAATCCGAACTTCGAAGACTTGAAAGCAAACAATCAATATGGGCTTCTGAGCCGTCAATTGATTGATTAAAAAGGGTTGGATTCCGTCTTCGGTTGATTATAGGTAGTTTGGATGTACTTGAAGCGGTGCCAAATTGATGTCAGAATAGTACAAAGTGATCTAAAAACGACTTATATTGTTAAGGTGAGCTGCCAACCGAGCTGCGACAGTTTCAAGACTCCATTTCCAGTGTCTACTGTAATTTTGGGGTCTGCTTTTGTTCTGGAAGTTTGAACTTTACCTGCCCCATGGCTAGCCTTATTGTCAGCGATGTCAAAGTGTCACACGTATATTAATTTCGAAATTACAAAGAAACCCTTGGCATTGTTTGAGCCTCCTGGTAAGCATTTAAAGACGGCCAGGGGCATTAAAATTTATGTCACGGGGCTTGAAAGGAAGCTAGGATTTTGACTGAAAAATATCGGTAATTTTCCATCATGGAAGGGTCGCAGCGCAGTAACATGGTATAAATATTATTTCTGCATATATGGGAGACTCCACAAATCATTGTTTGGTAATTGCAATACTGTTCAGGGATAATTCATGAGTTTTTTGGTAGTTGCAATCAATTCGTCTGTCCCGGTATCCAAGACTTTTAGAAGATGACACAATTTAAAAGAAAGTAAAATGAACGATAGTAATTGATCATAGATTAACTTCTGAGCTTTTCCAAAATAGCGAAATCCAGCATCCCAGATATAGCCAAATTGGTTCAGCGTCAGCGATTTTATATTATGCAACTTCATTGCAGGCGACTTGCCACGTCGATGACATACTGGTATAAAGTAATAACAAAATGATTAAGCTGATGCGGGAACAACAGAGAATTTGAAGCACAGGAGCCAGTGTCGGTGATTCCAAAAATTCATATCGACTGCCAATTATCAACTTTATGTAGAATGAGCTTTGTGGCGATAAAACGCTCTTTTGTTTTCAAGTTTACTCTTACAGAGCATACTTAGATTAAGACACATAAGAAAACAGCTTACACTCGAAATCTACGAGCATAGTGCTAAACAGTGTTCAGCTCTGGCTTTACTGTCCTTGGCAGTCTCTGGACTTTGGCCGTTACTGCAGGATGAAAATACCATGAACAAACGTTTGGACCACGGATGTCAGTTTGGTGCGAAATGACAAATATAATGATCTGGACGAGATAGACCATAAACTGGCCTGGGATGAGAAGTGCATTCAAGACACCCTGATAACAATTGGGCCGTATTATTGATCTAAATGTCTTGAGTAATTCACTGCCTCAATGCTGCGAATTTTTGTTTTATTATTTTAATCAAAGTCCCATGCGGTGATACCAACAAGCATCATTTAAAGCATGCAGTGTTGACATCGACAAGACTGTAAGGCAAATCTATCATAGTGCGCCCGGTATAATGAAATGAATTAGGTACTTGGATTTTATAAGAGTTCAATTAGAAGATATAGACAAATGTTAGTTACATTTGCATGTAATCTGCTCCCGAATTAATCATAAAATTCATTGCACCACCGTCCATTCATTGATGCCCCCAATGACACCGAATACAAAACATTTGAAAATCGTCATTTGAAAACCCAGCCTGCTCAGCCTCATTGCTCACAATTCTTTGTCTTACCCAGTCAGAAATCAGCTCGATAGAAGGACCGTGAACTTCACTATAAGAGAATTTGGACGCCACAGATTTATCTCAAATTCAAGATCTCTGAACTTATCCTTCCGGATGTCGCATCAACATTTCCACTAAAGTTACTCATAAACAAGCCATAAAGATGGACTCACTAGGTTAAGCGTGTAATCAGATATCGTATGATCTATCAAAGCCGTACGTATTGGCTACTTATCTTAGAACTGGAAAAATCCGTTGTCTTCCAAAAACAATACCACTTTTTGCACAATATGCAATATGGACTCGTCGTCGCTGTCAAGTTTGATCTTGGCGCCGTCGTCGGCTCCAACTAGGTAGGCGTTTTCACCGGTTTTGGCACCATCAAATTCCGTGAAAATCAAACCAGATCCACTTTTGATGAAGTCTGGAATCAATTCCAATACGTTGACATCGTTCTTGTGCTCTAGAACCTTGTAGTGTCTGCCGCCACCAAATTGTAGAAATGTAGATAACAGAGCGATGGATAGCTGACTGTTGTTGGCCAAAGACTTGGACAAGACGATGGCAAAACCTTGCTTTGGTCTTGGGGGACTAGACTCTCTTAGAATCTTGACTACTTCTGGGTAGGAAAACCATTCTGGGATGGGACCGCCCGCTTTCAAACGGTTTCTCAATTCGGTACCACTAATGTTCAAGGTAGCCGTTTTGGAAAGATCGATTTGGTCAATTGGCGCGTAGCGGTTTTCTTCTGGCAAATAAGTCACCATTCTGAAAGGGACAACTTCGATATCCAATTCGTTCTTGTAGGATTCGACAAGCTCCTGGGCATCGTATGGCCCGTAGAAGTCCACATTTGCAGAGTTTTTACCAGGGCCAGCATGGTCTCTACCTACAATGAAATGAGTGGCACCGTAGTTCTTTCTGATGATTGCGTGCCAGACGGCTTCACGGTCACCGCCCATACGCATAGCCAAAGGCAGCAACGAAAGCTGGGCCATTCCGTTAGGGTATCTTTTGATGATTTCTTGGTACACACGCACACGAGTGTGGTGGTCAATGTCCCCAGGTTTGGTCAAACCCACGACTGGGTGGATCAACACTTTGGCATTTTGTTCTCTGGCGGCCCTCACCGTGAGCTCTCTGTGAGCTCTGTGCATGGGGTTACGGGTCTGGAAAGCCACGATACGGTCCCAGTTTTTAGATTCGAATTCCAGTCTCAATTGTGCTGGGGTTTTGCGAAGACCTGGGTAGTCGTAGTGGACTGGACTCTGGATAGCTTGAATTTCACCACCAACGTAAAACTCCCCAGCACTTTCGTTCAAGTATTTCACGGCAGGATGCTCTGGGTCGCCTCTGAAAACCTGTTTGGCTTCAACTTTTTTGTCTGGCTTGTAAACATCAGTGACAGTGAGAATCGCGACAGGAATCTCGCCGTCTTGCAGCAGAGTAACTCTGGTATCGGGTTTTAATTTTGCTGCGAATTTTTCGTCAACATCCAAGGTGATTGGGATCGTCCACACCAGTCCACTGGTCAATCTCGAGTTGTGAACGACGCTTTCATAGTCTTTCTGGTTCAAGAATCCAGACAGCGGTGAAAACCCACCGTTTTGGATCAATTCTAGATCACAGATCTGTCTGCCGGTCAAGTTCCATTTCAAAGAAGCTTCTGACGCTTCTTGGAGCAATTGGCTCTTGATGGGAGCATCGCGAGCGAGTAGGTCTTTCAATTCACCACCGTGTGGAGCTGGCATTGTTGTAGTATTGATTTATTTTGGTCTCTAGAGGGCCTTAACGAGCAAAAAAAGTGAGTGAAGAAATCATTAGAATTGGACAGAATTTGTAAAATAGCTCTCGAATATATACTGGTAACAAGTAGGCAGAATACGATGTTCTTCTTGGACGTTGTGGCTGGAGTCTATAAAATCATGTGCTCTTACAGAGTTGTATAATGTGTTGATGTCACGAACGACGGACGGTGACGAATAAATTCGAATTCGCAGCATTTTAAGAGGACTTTGAGGGCATTGTGTGGATGCTGGGTGGCTTGGAATGGGTATTGTTTAGTGTTTGGGACCTTTCTCCAGTTTTTTTACAATGTCTCGTTGACTTCGTGGTTTTTTTGCCAGTTTTGAAGATTTTTGAAGTTTTGGACAGTTTTGAAAAGCTGTTAACGCTGGAAATTCGGGACGATATTGGGTGCTTGTGGGTGCGGTGGCGTAGTTTTAATTGTGTTTTGGGTTTAGGTTGGGTCATATTTAGAGGCTATTTCATTCGAACGAGCGTGTGTCGCTTTATCACTTTTTCTCTTCGTGTCGTATTTTGTATATTTTCAGCGTCAGTTATGGAAAAGAGTACAATTACAGCAGATGATGGGATACTACAATGGCAATAAAACTGTAGAGAGTTTGTATATAAGCGCATCGGTTCGTGAGACCATTAAAATGGCGAGTTGCTTGAGCCTTTTTCTTTGTAAAATACTGGCTTTATTCCGTCCTGACATTTAGCTGTGTCACTAATCCCGGTCTATTTAACACCAGTCAAATGGGAATCCAGCACATCATACATTTGTTGAAAATCTTCTCTCATTTCATTCCTGCTTCAATGGCTTTTATGATAATCAGTCGCGTGCTATACTTCTTTTTGAAATTCCTCGGGCTCAGAAGAATGTATGATCGAATAAATCGACCTGCTTGCGGCCAGACAAGCCTTTCTGGGACTAAAGCAGAGCCCCAAATTCACTTTCTATGGAAATTCATTTAGTAATTTCTATTTTCTAGGGTTTCAACTAGCACCCCGATGCAGCACGCTCCTGAGGTGAACAAGAAATGGGCGTGAAATGGCAAAGACGCGTTACTGACATCAGAGCATTAGAACCTGTTTTTAAAATTAATGTGATATGAAGTGAAAACTGTTCCAAAAACAATCGTCTAAGGCGTCACCTCACCTCCTTAACAGCTTATCGTAATTTAATTTCACAATCCCAATATATAACAATCCAGGCGTACATTTTCGGAGGTCTTCAAATTGAATTTGACATGGCGCCACGCATTTTAGCTGCCACCATTGTGGTCAATTCTACAATGGACAAACGATTTTTTCATCAATTGTGTGTTTCGCGATACGCTCGAACTCTTGCGTTTAGCATTCAGAAATAGGTAACTGCGCTGGGTGACTAACACTGTCATCTGCATTTACAGCCGTTTTGGGATTCCTGGAGGTACGAACATTCATAAATTACCTATACCCTTGACGCTTGTCCCATCTAAAAATCTACCTTGGCTTTCAATTGTGCCACGACTTTCGCTAACGCTCTCATTATTCATGTCAACTATTTCATAATTTATATTTTGGCATTTGAGGAAATTCTATCTGAGTATTTCGGAGCTTACAGTGACTAGTTGGGATATTTCAGAGATCCTGGCGGACGCACTTGTATATTCTACTGCTTGTCAACGGGTTATGTTCATGTTATACTTGATCCAAGTCACTGCTGTTGTCACTTTCTACCACACAGACATCAAGAATAGATAGTAAATTATACTTTCGGCCCACGGAGTATTCTATAGCGACACAAGATGACACAGTTTTATCTCAAGGCATATCCGATCAGAGCACCATATATAGTCAATTGGGCTAGCTGCTGCTACTCAGGGGTCTCCACAGGATATATTCAGCAATCGATCTCGCTATAAGCTTGCATTTCCGTCATTGTAAAACGTTTTCTGGAGCGTCAACTTCACTTTATGGTCAAGCGTGGGAATGATCTCAAAAAGAGTCAGTGCTCTTTCTTCTCGTTTTCTTAGGGTATTTCCTCAGCTCAGACCTTTCGCTGCTGGGCGACAAAATGACCGTCGATCGTGCAGATGACATTACTAAATCGGATCAATTGGCTGCTCTCCTGAAATCGATGTTCAACGCACATCCTACTTCTTTTACGCAAGTGAATGCTCTCAGTCGCTGTTTGAGAAGGAGAGCTTTTGTTTACACATTTAAAAGGTGCAGGGAAATCGTCTTAAGGAACGTTAATCGCACGGCAATTTTACAATTAAGTGTAACTACGCGTACCCGGGGGAATCCAAATAATACCATCCCTCACTATTTAAGACATTTTGCATAACAAGATCTAATCCAGTACTGGCAGTACTGTCAATGCACGATTTCAGGCAATTTGGTAAATCAAGATGCGTTAATTGTCAGTTCTCTGAAAAATGCAACGAATGATCGATTTAAAATAGTTCTAAATTCAGGTTCTATCAACAGACACCAAGTGGTGAGCGATCGGTGTCATTGGAATCGCCACGCCCTCAGAAGTTTCTTGCCGATGGGCAGCTCTACTAGACAGACCCACGAGTACTCGTACTCGAGCAAAGACTTTGAAAACAATCAGTCACTATCGACGTAAGTGCGTGAGTACGTGTACTCATGTACTCGTGTACTCATGCACTCATGAATACTCTTCGAGTTCAATACAATGACATAGAAAACCTAGATTCAACTCCGGACATCTCATCTCGACAGTTCAAAAGTGCACATCATTTCACTCAAAAATGGATTATTAGGATGTCCAGGAGCATTTGATTGAGCCCACGGAGTTGTCGCAGAGAAATTACATTACTCAAGAGCCACTTCCTCGAGACATTTTAAAATATCGGTTTGTTTATGAGCTTGTATTTCGCAAATATCTCTACGGCCCTATCTTGTTTACTCTGGTGGTATGGCTCTGGCTGGTGATCTTGAATTTGCCACGAAATTAAGACGCTACCATTGGATTTAGTGTGCTTTTTTGGGTGGTTTATTTATTGATTCTTTTTCTGTTCACATTCTTTACCCCTCAGGACTCAGGGTTGGATTCGAGCTGTGTACGTTGCTGGATGATTGAAGTTATAAAAATGAATCCTGGTGATGATCTGGCAAAATGGGATATCATAGCTGCAAGAATAAACCCCGTTTTCCACGCCAACAGTCGATGGGCCACACCCTACTTCTTTTATGATGGCCAAGACTGTCATTCACTTTTCAGAGACCACTTCGTCGCGACTCAGTTGAATAAAAGGAAAATTGATAACTCTGATGTTTCGCTTTTTGTAAGAGCTTTATTGAACAAGCACTCCGATGTCAATTCTTTCATGAACGCTGTGGTAGATAAGTATTTGGACAATTTCAACTTGCAGTTGCAACAATTGACTATGGGAAGCTCATCGGAGAGAGATGATGCTGCTGATGAGGACGAAGATAATGCCGTTCCACCTGAAAGTATAGAGAGCACTTGAACAGTGTTGCCGTTTGCACGTAAAAAATGTGGTTGAAGATTCATTCTAAGGCATTCATCACTGCTTCTTCTTTGCCTAGAGTTTTGTCAAAAGGTCCGGGCTAGTTCCATTGTACATAAGCGATGTGTTTCTTGACGGTAAGAACAATAGACTTGCTGTTTTGCTCAGGAATCTCTAAAATCGACACTGTGCGGCCACTTCGCTTCTCCGTCAGCTACAAATCTTTCTCAGCTGTCATTTGGCTTCGCAACCTCAAGGTCTTCCATAGCTTCAGACTGAACACAGGGCCGTAAAAGACCATACACCAATATCCAAGCTTTTGATCAAGACTATTCAGTTAGACACGACCTTTCACTTGAGGAAGACCCCTCTTGTTAAAGCTCGTTGCAACGGATCAGCTACGTGCTACTGAACATTGTCCTGCGAATGCAGCAGCATTGCAAGAAGTGCTAGAGACTGCGGGTATCAGAAGACAAAACCAAGATTCCACAAGCTAACCTTCAAATTCCCGGTTACATTCTTAACGTGAATGTTTTCAATCTGCCTGCAACAATGATTGATGCGCACAATTCACAGCTTACCATCCACAGCTAATCATATGCGTAGAATGGCAATCATCCTGCCCGTCACCATATCTACCAAAACCTTCAACTTGGTCTCATATGTATTGCAGGTAAAATAACCGGTACTAGCTTCCATCCTCATAGTCGACTTGAGCGTCAAGTTAAACAAGAAACACTCCTATGACAAGACCTGGATCTGGTTTAATCAGAATTATAGACCCGAAAACACATCATCAAGAACTTAGCCCGAAAAACTGTTTGCGAAATTGCATCTTGCCTGTCTCATTCATATTTGTCTTGCGCATATGTAGACTACACCTGTAAGTCTTTCCCGTTAAACTCGGCAGTACCCCGCCCCGTAGCTGACGCTCGAGTCCATAACGCTACTCACCTGGCTCGATTGCGAATAGCCCGCCCACTCGAACTGAACCTTCTTGCCCTGCTGCTGGCTCAGCGCGCACAGCATCACGCTGATCGGCTTTTCGCCGCAGATGGTGTTGCCCGTTACCTCTAAGTAGTGTTTCCACAGCTCGTACTTGTCCTGGGGCTCCTCCTGTGCCAAAATGGCCATTGCGTACCGATCCAAAATCTCAATGCTCTTCCAGATGGGCACCTGGTGATGCGACAGCTTGCTACGAGCCGTGAGCGACTCGATTTCCGTGTCCTCTACGAGTGCTTCCTGCACAGAGTTCGAGTCGCCCACGTAGCCCGTGAAGTTGAAACGACGGCCCCAGTGGCAGAAGTCTGAGCTCACGATAAACGCATTGGCCGGGTCCTTGACAAACTCGCCCAAAACTTTACCCAGCCGGTGGTCGACTGCCGTAGAGTTGTGCGACACCAGAATGGGCACCACTGTGATGCTCTTGGGGTCGATTTTGCGCATTTGGAGCGTTGCGTGCAGCATTGGGAATTGCATTTCCAGCGAGTGTTCGTCACAGTCGGTCTCGGGTTCCATCAGGTCGAACGTTTCCTGTTGCACCAGTGCTGCTGCCGTCTCAGTGTCCACCGCCAGAGGCCCCAGAGGCGTTGCCAGCTTGCTAAACCCGCTCACCAGACCCTTATTTTTGAAATATATGTGATGCGATGGCCCTAAGACGAACACTCGTCTGACGCCTGACAAGTCCAACGCCCCGTACGCCTTGCCCATCGTTCCCCCACAGTACGTGTACCCTGCGTGGGGCGAAACCACTACTCTGGCACCGTTCACTACGCTGTTGGTGCCCAAGAACTGGGTCAACTGCGAAGATAGCTTCTCCGGGTTGGAACTGTACCAGGAACCACTATGGGTCGCTGGACGGATACTCATGGCAAACAAAAATCAGCCAAGAGTGTTGATTTGCGTTTAAATGTTAGTTATCGAGGCTATACTCCTGCTTCTGTTGTTCTTTAAACTTGGTCAATGGTGCAAGTAGCCATTTTACATTCTATATACAATTTCACATAGCACCATAGGATTAAAAGGGCACAACTGAAATCAACGCTAACGGACAGAGAACAGCGTGTTGAGAGCTTGCAACAGGCGCAATACAGACGCCGGGTTGTAGAGCGTCTGTGATGTGACGGAGAGCATGAGAGCTAGCCTGTAGAGTGAGTTAGGATGCAATTAATAAAAGTTGGATTTCGACGAGACGAAACGAGACGAAAAGGGCCTACTCGCGGTCGGAGTCGTCGTCCTCGGAGTCGGAGTTGTCCTCAAGAGCCTTGTTCTCCAATAGGGCCTGCAACTCGGCGTCCTCGGTCGCGGTGACGGCCTTGGGGGCCATGGTGGTGTTGCAGAAACCGTCGTTGGTGGAAATGACCTCGGAAATCTTGGCAATCGCACGCTCGAGCAGCTCGATACCCTGCTGCTTCTCTAGCGCCTGCGTGGTCAGCACGTACAGCGGAGCAGCGACCAGCTTGACGCGAATCTGCATCTGTTCCGTGGACAAGTCCTCGGCCGCGCGGAGCGCGGCCTTGATGGCGTCGATACCCTCGTAGCTGAAGCACGACACCTCGATGTCGGCACGGATCTTCACGGCCTGTGGGGTCAGTCTGCGCGAGATGTACAGACGTAGCTCCTGGAAGATCTCCGGGCTGGGAGCCTCAAGTCCCTCGAACACGGTGTCGTCGACGATCGAGAGCTTGAAAGCGTCGTACGCGTGGCCGTACTTTCGACTCAAAGGCCACGCCACGGTCTGGTACAACTGTTCCAAGGGGAAATTGAACTTCTCCGCGCAGTGTCTGACAATGGAGTGCACGGCCTTGGACTTCTGGTAACGCTCTTCGCACTTGATGATGTCCTCGGACGAAACACGACGTTTGGACAAATCGATGTAGCCCTTCTCTTTGTCCACACGCAGAACGACCACCACTTCGTTTCTGCCCACACGGATCAGTTTCTGAATCGATCTGATACGTCTTCTGGAAAGCTCGCTCAGCAGCACCATACCTTCAATGTTGTCGTATTCCAGCAGTTTGACATACGCACCCATCTCAGCGATCTGCTGCACGTTGACCATCACCACATCGTCCACCTCGGGGTATTTGTTCTCGTAGAAACGGCAATTTGACGTCGACATCTTGTACAGTTTGAATCTTCAATTCTTGGACTAAAATTCCACTTGTTTGGGCTTATTCGACAGCTAAAAGTTTTTACTTTTTGGCAGTTTCAATGCTGTTTAAATTCCACGAATGTTGAGATTAAAACCACGTTGCAAAGGGCTCTTAAATGCTTTGATTATCCCACAATTCACTGCTGAAATATAGCTCTTCCATCTCACATTAACGAAAATTTTTTACTTTCTTGAAATTTCACTACTACAAGCAGTGAGAGTATCCATAGCTGATATTTGACGGCGCCAGGGTCACATGCACGGGCATTTGGACGATGAGATCGACATTTTGACAGCATTTCTGGAGTAGCCGGGCTATCTTTTGAGAGTGTGGATCGTGTAGTATCAAATTGGCAAATATTTGTGGGCGAACAGAATCGGTTTGGGATTTATGAGTCGACAATGATGGTCTTGGTGGTCTGGCGGTGGAAAATACCATTGGTGAAGTGTGTGAGGCGTAGAGATGATGTAGTTAGTTCGGGAAGTGAAAGCTGTGTTTCTGATGCTTAACGATGAAGTCCGAAGGATTTTGAATAAAATGTTTTGAAAGGTTGAGTTGGAACATATAGTACTGTAGATGGGAAGCCAGAAAGATGGGTGCTCGTGTAGAGATGTGGGATTGTCTTTGGCTGGCTGACTTGGGTATTTCGAAATTGGGAATTGAAACTGACACCGAGTTTTTATCAATTTTCGTTGCTCATCGTACTGGGGTCTGGACGGTTATTTCGCGCAGTAATGAAGGCCAGAGGCGAAAGGTGGGATACGCAGTGTTGTGGAAAACCGGCAAGCTCAATCTTGGGTGTCTCCATAACCTCAGAGACGTGAACATTTGCGTTTCAAAATCCTGTATTGCGACAGAAAATGGACTCGAAACGAAGACTTCCTTGAATTGAACGGGAGATTTGACTGGTTGCTGCAGTGTGTCTTCTCACTTCGGCACACTGCAGCTCAGCAGTTATTTAGCGGGCAAACCAGTTCCCAAAACTGCTTACCTCAGAGTATTGGGCGTTCTAAGATCTCAACCGGAACTCTCACAAATCCCAAAATCAACAATCAATTCAAAAGCACAGTCCCCCTTGCACAGTGACATGTAACGGTTTTCAAACAAAATTTCAGCCAGAGAGAGTTGTCAACTTACCGAAGTTCTCCTTTACAAACCCAAACTTGTCCGTAAATCACCTTCCAGCACCCGCAATTTGCGCGTAGTGGGCTCCCTTAAAACGTTCATTTTATGAGCTTGTTGAAGAGCTACATACTCGTCAAAAAGAGCTCAGTTTTGGTGATCTTCATTCCAAATACTCCTAACTATCTGGACACCGCAAAAGTGCATCAATTTTGGCTCTGAGAAGAGGTTTTTCAAACGCTGAAACGCCAGCTTTTAGGAATTGCTGGTCTAGTAATTTAATAAGTTTTCGATGAAAACTCTCGCAGTCTCAGGCATTCAGTCTTGACAATTTGTATTCATCAGATCTAGAAGTAGCCGCTGAGGAGTGACATTATATCCTAAAATCAGGCTATCTATTCCGTGGATAGTGATCTATATTTATATTGAAAGCGTAACACGTGATGAAATGTCAGGGCCGGTTTCGATCGCAACAACGACACTTTCTGAACTTCGCGCGCTATGTAACCACTCCAGATATCGATTCTGGTCTGCAGAATTATTTCAGTCCCATTTGAAGCTTTGTGTGGTCGAAAACCCGATCTTTTGATGTTATTTCTCCCTTCTCAGCCCAACTTTACGTAAAAATGGAACTATGCGCGTTCCACGTCACTTCGCTGCTTAAGGGCTTTAAATGTAGCTGGTAAAATCAAGCGAATTTCTCACCATTTCTTTCTGTTCCCCTTGCTGGCTTAATTTTTCATTAATCACTTTCAGATGCTTTTCTCTGCGGGCCCAAGTTGTGCAAAGCTCTGGGGCACTTGTCGCGAACCAATTTGATGCAAATGTATCGGCTATTATTGAAACCTGACGCACGTATTTTGCCAGATTCCCAGCAGTCATGATCTTGAAATGGGATGTGGAAAAAAATGCCGGAACGCCGGCCTTTCTGTACATGCGAACCTTGAAAAGACCACTATCTCCTGCTCCTAGCGGATTTATTACGATGTTTATGAAGTTGAACTGACTCTTGATCAGATTAAAATCGAATCCCGGACGGCCCGACTCATCATAAAAAATGCTGACAAAATCGTTGCCAACATGTCGCTTCTTCGAAGAAAACTGTGAATCTTTCGGGCAGTTGGGCATCAATGTGATGGTATGAAAAATGACCTGCGTTATTTCGTCACCCCATACCAAGGCGTAGTCGCCGTCCGTTCTAGGTTCCAAACCTCCCGTGTAAAGATTGCTTGAGGCATCGAGCCTAATGACTTGGCCAAGCCGTGATAAAAATGTGTTATATTGCAACGACCCTGAAGTGTTTGACAGTATTTCTGCTTCACCCCGCTGCCGGGCTCCCACGTATAGTAAGCCAATTTTGTGGAAATCGGTAAAGGGAATCTTATCAAAAAGTTGAATAGACCTCGCAATCGAATCACCATCTGGCACTTTCAAAGGAGACTGAGTAAATGAACCCAGTCGCATTAATGTGTAGGCAGCAGTGTAAAAAGACGTTTTGTCCTCCATATTGGTGGATTCCGCAGGTCCTTCCTGGTTTATGGAAAAAATGTCGTACGTTGCTGGCATTTCCGGGCGTCTTTCTTGCAACTTAAAGGTCTCTGCGCCAGAACTGCTTCTGATCGTTACAGTAGAGTCCCCAGTCAATTTATGAGTTTCTATGCTTATTATTTTTTTAGGAAGGACCCAAGTGCCATGACTATAATTGTCGTCACCTCCATGCGGTCTCTCGTCCAGCGTTTTAGAGTAAAGTGCAGCGTCATTGCGTGATGTGGCAAATCGCGATACCAGATCAAGATAAGCGTGTGCATCGTAGTCGTATCGGTTTGTCTCAGATGTAATTGAAATGAGATTTTTCACTACAAATGGAGCCAGTTCCATCCGATTGGCAAAACTCATTCTCAAGAACCAGCTTGATATTACCGTGTAAGACAGAGTAAGGAAAAAGTGCGCAATGGACGGGCTTATAGTGAACGACAAAGTTGATGGCGAAAAGTCTGCGTCTTGTTCAGTATAAGATATATGCTGCTCGACATTGTTTGTTTGAGCCCTTTCTTTAAGATCTTTTGAGCTTTGAATCAGCTTGAACGCGATTGCAAAAACCCGCTTGAATTCTTCTAGTGTTAAGTGCGAGATAATGGCGGGGGAGTCCGACAATGCGAGCAGAAATTCCAATATTGCAGGTGTGCTGAAAGGACTTGTAATTCTTGTTTGTAATTGTACAAGAATGGGAGCCAAGAAGCGCTTCAAAGAAAAGGGAATTTCTTGTGAGCAAATGGTTAATAGATTCAAAGATAGAGTCAGAGTTTTTTCAGTCGCTTGCATCCCATAGAGCAAAGAACCCATAATTTCATCGGCAAACCCTTTTGGTGCATATTTATGGTACCCTAACATTGGCGATAAGCTCCTAATATAAGCCATGTGCAGATCATCGGTGTTGATACATTTGGGTACTTTGAGCTTTTTGTAAGCACCATGCTTCAAGTGACTGCAGATCACTTCCTGATACCGTAATACCATGTCGTCAATTGACCTCAAAGGCGTCAGGCTAGCAAACTGAGGACACATATACGTCAACACGTATGAGTAAACTTCCCAGTCAAAGGGCTTCTCAAGAGTCAAAATAGCAATGGATATCCACAGCCTTATATCGATTTTAGATGAGTTCAAACTCGCCTCTTTTTCTTCAAATAATGGGAGCGCAGCGTCTCCGGCGAAGCACATCTGCTGAGCTTCCTTGAGAAAATGAATGTTTTCAGGAAAAGACCACTTGGAATCTTCGCAAGCGGTGCCGAATCTCGAATTTCTATTCAAAGCTGTAGAGATGCCCTCGACTTCGTTAACCTCGAGCATCACGACCTGATTGGCACCCCGACAATGAAGTTTTGATAAGACCTTGGCGGACATTAAATACAAATCGACATCTTCTAATTGGTAGGCATACTCAGCCGTCCGTATTAAAATGCGGTAAAAAGTAGCAAACAAATCCGTTGGTCTGTAAGCCATGCTCCATGCAAACAGCGTTGATGAAGCTTCCGCAAGCAACAGCTGCTTTTTTCGAGACCATTTCGAGCCAGTAGGAGGACCAAGGGAAAGGCGGATTATGCTTGAGCGTCTTCTTCCAGGAGTCATGGTAAAGGCAGGATTTAACAACTCGTTGTTCAAGTTTTCAACGATGTTCACAGGTAAATACTTGCATGCACTTGAGTAGAGGTCCACCAGATTCACAGTAACATTTTCGTCGTTTTCGGTCTCCAATGAAGATAATAATCGCCGTATAGCTTGGATTGTGAGAGTCCTGATTTGATCATCTTGTTTGAATGCTTTTTTCGCAGCTTTTTCTACAAGGACAAGGACCTGGCATCTAATGCTCGAGGACTTGTCTGCTTCGTAAAAGTTGGTGATGATTTGAGGGAAAAACGGGGTCCATTTCACTGTCTCCTCTAAGTTTTGATTTAACAGATCGAGGAACTGGACAATTAAGGTGGGGTCCAGTAAGTTGCAGTATCCAAACAAATATGACAGTGCCCTGGGGATATCTTGAAATCCCAACTGACGCTCTTTTTTAGCAAGCAGTAGTTTAAAGAGTCGGCCAAGAAATGCCTGGATGCGCCTCTTGCTCGGATTGCTTAAATTGGTGGTAGATAAAATGGACCTTACTAAGTTGAGAGCTCCGCCATGCGAAGCTGGCAAATCGCTTGAGATCCAGAACGACGGGAAGTCGAGCATATAGGTGAGAAAAGTATCAGAATTAATCAGCCTTGTGAGTGAGTCCACAAGGAAATACTGCATATTCTCAGAGCTAGTTTCTTGCTCATTCATTTCGGCCAGAAGCTTGTACAGAAGATTGCCCACGTATTCGGCGGGGAGTTCACGGTGCTGCCATGAAGGCACGAACTTTCCCTCGACCAAAATGCTTATAAGTAAGACAAGATAACCAATCCGGCTTTTATCGTCGACTTTCCATTTGAACAAGGTTTCCACAAGCTTCGGGGCATCGCGCCCTAGAAAGAGGAGGTCTAAAAGTGGTTCTAGCGACTCGCCGAGGTGGTCGCCACGGTTCTGCAGCTGAATCAGTAACGAGACTTCTTCCGACAGTATGCTCGGGAACGGTGCTGGAATGTTGTGAGTAGCGGTAGCCAGGGTTTTCAACGAGACCCGTCGTACTTCTTCTTGCGGGGAGTTGTGAGCAATGGCTATTATCTGGTCAAGGGAAGCTTTGCTCAAAGACAGACCGTTTTCGACACAGTTTGATATGAATTGCAGCGTTTTCGTGGTAGCTGCGACGTTGTCCTGATGCTCGTTTGCCAGGTGGGTTAGTGTGATTTCCAAGAATTCATCCAGCCCGGAAATGTTCGCCTGCGGTCTGAGAAGCAGCTGGAACTTGCTTCCCTCAGTGGTTAGAGAAGAAAGGCAGTCTATGAAAATGTCTAATTCGGATTCCAACTCGTCTGACTTGGGAAAGTCCGATCCTATCAGACTGTAGTAGAACGCCAAAACCAGATTTTCGTTCATGGTGGGAGCAAGTCGTCCCAAACATGCATGCAGTAGGATCAATGCTGTTCTTCGGATATTGCGAGGCACGCTTCTATCGACAAGGTCATTTGCTCCGTTCCAGACGTTCAACACAGACTCTGCAGGAAAGTCGCTGATGAGGCCCAAAAGCTCACAAGCAGCCTTTACACGAACATCATAGTTATTTTGCCGGTTGGAGAGTCTACTGATAAGGTTTGGAGCGGTCGAAGGTTCGATTTTACCGTCTTCCTGCTCTTCGATGGTAATATTCGTGGTTGGTCCAAATGTGATGGCCAAGTTCCGCAAAAGCCCTTCTTTCAGCGCTCTTGAACCGGACTTGTAGAGCAGAGGCGGTGCCATGCGTTTGGGGCAGCTTTGAGGGGTGGTGCGGGAGTTAAAAACGGTGGGAAACGGTAGTTTTCTTGGGCGTTTATGAAATCAAAGTTGAAGATGATGATTGATTTTTTGAGTATGACAATGACGTCTTAGCTGAAATATATAGTGAGTAGCTTTAATAAAATGAAGGCGACGAGAGGAGAGAAGCGGATACGCTGGTGCATCGAGTGATTCGGGGACTCCGCTCAGGAGTCGGTTTGGGAGTGTTATTGGCGAATTTCGAAACGGAGCTCAGTTGAAGTTTTAGGTAAAAAATCAAGTAGTGAGGGAAAAAATGGTGACAGACGAACCTTTGAAAGTGAGTTCTCAGCCGATGCAGTGCGTGTGTTCTTGTTTTCTCTGTAGAACGTTTACACGCTTTCCTATAGTCTCGGTACTTTTGTTCAAAGGTTGAGTCGTCTACGATGTGCCATCTAGTCAATTCTCTACTCGACGACTAGTGGATCGACTGCATGACTACAAAAAATACATACATCACATGACACACATGGGAAAAAATATATACTTCCCTCCGGGGGATCAAACGCTCATATTGAATGATCTGGAAACAGGCCGGGTCTGGAAACATCCTGGAAACAGACTGGAAACAATGTCAAAAACGTGGAAATAACACCGCAAAACCTCACTTTTAGCATCTTCCATTTACAAACACTCTCGAACACCATTCAGATAGCCTCTAGATGCTCATGAACGCTCTCCTCTCCTCCCCCATCTGACCCCGATCTTACCACTAGATCCTTTTTATCTCCTCGTTCATTCAGAAATGAAGCGGTGGCTCAATGGTAGAGCTTTCGACTCCAGTTAAATCCTGGTTTATTAGGAAACAATTGCAATCGAAGGGTTGCAGGTTCAATTCCTGTCCGTTTCATTTTTTACATAAATTATCCAAAAACCAGCCTTTTCTACGTCATATAGACCAGCTACCAAATTGTATTACTCTTTTAGGCAATTCCACTTCCAGATCGGGTTTTCGTGCTGGTTAGCCATATCTCATCTCAACCGTAGAAACACATTCCAAACTCGTCGCCACGGTTCTTGAGGCTTAAGATTCTCATCAAAAGAGGCACGAAATGTTTCTAAATTTATTCGAATTGTAGGCGCGCACGCCGCGTAAGTCCGTCACGAATTTGGTGTTTTAACGGTAGAGCGATGCCTCCCCCCCGGAGCGAAAAATTCGCGATGCTGGTTTGGCAAATGGTTTTGCAAATTGGTTCAGCCTTGTATATAATGGGCCACAGCATTTGACACACTCTTTTGGAAGATTCGAGTCAAGACTGTCCTCTCTTCTTTCCTGTCAGTTTTTTTTATAGCTTCGTTGAACCACTGCATTTTCCAATATTTCATCAATAATACATCATTGGAATTAAAATGGCATTTTTGAAAAACGTTCTAGTGGCTCTTTCTGCTGCTTCTGTGCTTGCAGAATCCACCGGTAGTGCATCGGCTTCGGCATCGGAATCGACCTCGACTTCTGGCTCTAGCTGCAACCCGCTAAAGACCACTGGATGCTCGCCAAACCCAGCTCTAGCGTCGTCTTTCGCTGAGTCGTTCACCTCTGAGTCAGACCATTTCCACATGTTGCAAGATGCCACAGGCCAAATCAACTACACCGACAATGGCATGGCCATGACCATCAACAAACGTTTCGACAACCCGGCTCTGAAATCGGACTTCTACCTCATGTACGGTAAAGTCGAGGTGGAATTTAAAGCCGCAGCAGGCCAGGGTATCGTCTCGTCGTTCTACCTCCAAAGCGACGATCTGGACGAAATCGACCTCGAGTGGGTCGGTGGCGACACCACGGAGTTCCAGTCCAACTTCTTCTCCAAGGGCAACACCACGACCTGGGACAGAGGCGCTTTCCACGGCGTCGATGCTCCCCAGGAAAAATTCCACAACTACACCGTCGACTGGGCCATGGACAAGACCGTGTGGTCGCTAGACGGGTCTCCTGTGAGAACTTTGACCAACACCTCCAGCGAGGGCTACCCTCAATCGCCAATGTACATCATGATGGGCTGCTGGGCCGGTGGTGATCCCGACAACCAGCCAGGCACCATCGAGTGGGCTGGCGGTCTCACCGACTACACCAAGGCTCCATTCACCATGTACATCAAGCGTGTGATCGTCACCGACTACTCCTCTGGTGAAGAGTACTCGTACAACGGACAATCCGGCACCTGGGAGTCCATCGAGGCCAAGAACGGTGAAGTTAACGGTAGATACGAGAAGGCCCAGTCTGAGTTTTCCGCATTGGCCGCTGGCCAGACTGTGAGCACCAGCTCGAGTGCTTCTTCCTCTGCTTCTTCCTCTGCTTCTTCCTCTGCTTCTTCCTCTGCTTCTTCCTCTGCTTCTTCCTCTGCTTCTTCCACCGTCTCCTCCTCCAGCGCTTTCAACACCTCATCTTCTGCTCCTCACACCAGCTCTGTGCTGTCGAGTGCTTCTCTGAGCTCCATTTCCTCAAACTCTATCGTGTCGAGCGCCCACTCCTCGTCCTCCCAGTTTTTGACTTCTATCACCACATCGGCTCATGCGCTAAACTCTACAACAACCGGCAACGCCGGTGCCGTCACTTCCTCCGCTGCTACCACCAAATCATCAGGTGCCTCTACTTTGATCACCTCGACTACATCTTCTGCCACCAGCTCTCATGCTGTTAGCATTAACACCAGCAACGGAGCTCTCTCCTTGCAAGCGAGTCTATCGGCTCTCGTCGCAGCTGTGGCCTTCCTCATCTAATCCCTCCGCATCTAAATAGTAGTATACTTAACCAATATAGCATTTGAATAATATTGTCTGAACAACGACAGAACTGTGTACATAAAACGGCCAAGACAAGTGTCTAGCCAATTGTCTACGTTGTAATATTTCCAGCTTCGAGCAGTCCATCCTGAGCTGTAGAAGTAGGCATTATGAACTTACGTTCATGTTTGTAGTCTCAGTGTTGACTTTTGACATTAATACATACAATATAAATCGTATGTTGAATTTCCAAAAAATAAAGCCCTGTAGGGGGCTCGAACCCCTAACCTTATGATTAAGAGTCATACGCGCTACCGATTGCGCCAACAAGGCTCTTATTTGATGAAACTTTGGGAACAAAATAAGAACCATAGCTCATGAGCACAACCACCTGAACGATTATTTTCCTGAAAAATTTCGATAATCTTGGCTATATTCAATAATGGGCATCGCGATACTGGTTTGACCCCGGTGAAGTCGACTTGACCAAGTTCTACTCGTTATGAAAATCGATACAGTACGAGACGCTTTCTTGAGTGATTATGAAGTTCTGCAGTTTCTGTTGCACCTGGAACGCAGACACGAGTGGACTCCCGAAGAAGATGTGGACATGATCAACAAAAAACGCAAGAGGAGACCTTACAACCATCCAGAACTACAAGCCATTACGCGAGACACCATACGATACCTATCCGAACCAAAGGGTGCTGCTGATGGCGAGGACGCGGAAACGGGAGCCAAAATAGACGCCAAGTCTCCACTGACGAAGCTCAACAACACCAAGTTTTCTACACTGATGGCCAAGTTGAATGAGTTTTCGCTTTTCAAAGCCGAGAAACTGCAGATCGTGAACCAGATGCCCACAAATCTGGTGCATCTGTATTCTATAGTCGAGGAGTGCGATTCGCGGTTCACGCCGGAGCAGGCCGACGAGATCATCGGTGCAGTGCAGGTGCTCTACTAAAAACTGGTGGTGGTGGTTAAAAAAAAGAAGCATACATGCCAGACTTTCTATTCACTCCCCGACGCCTTAGAAAAACAGACAGAGTACGACTTATGCACGTCTGATATTTGAATTACTGTTCACCCATATAACAGAGCGAGAACGTCGCTCATTCACAATTTCGTACAGTTCATATGCGACAGCCGTCGCATTTTGGAAATTCAACCCTAATTCTGCGAATTTTCATTTTCAAACAGTTTACTTCAGCAATCAATTCCATCCCAGAAGTTTGCTAAGACACGCACCACAATCATCAGTGCGATTCCAATCCGCCAAGAGCACTCGCCATGCTATTCACCGCGACGGACGTTTGCCGTCGGAAAAAACTCGAATTTACCCATTTTTTGAACCAAAAAAAAGAGAAACCCACCAAGCAAGCACACGAATATCCTCAGTTCGTCACCACGCATCCACCAAACTGTCACTGGTCCTATCCGCTATTCTGTCGCTGTCGTTGACATGTGTCACCGTGATCTGTCGTCGCACTTCCAACTCGTACAAAGCGATACACGTGCAAATGCCATATATATTAAATACCAATTTTTCAGGCCTTCTAAAATGACCTTTAAAAACCGTATAAATATAAAGCTCAATGTTCAACGTTTTACCATTATTTTAACCCCGTCCTATCCCAACTTCGGATCCTTTGGTTAACTCTGACACTCTATCGGCTATCCTATTGCTAAAAATCGTAGTTGTGCTTTATTCTGCTGGTTTTGGTGTGGTTTTTTGTTGTTTTTCAAGCACATTTTGGGTTAAGGTTCGGAGATCGATTCCGGGACAACTTTCGGAATGAAGTTCGGTGAACAACTCAACAGGTCTCTCATTAGAGAGTACAGCTACTACTATCTGAGCTACGATGACTTGAAGACCGATTTGGAAGAAAATTTGGAGTCAAACGGAGGTACATGGAGCGAAACATTGGAAACGCAGTTTCTGGAATCGCTAGAACTGGAGCTGGACAAAGTCTACACCTTCTGCAAAGTCAAACACAACGAGGTCTTCAGACGTGTCAAAGAGGCACAGGAACAGGTACACTCTACGGTGCGAGCTCTAGACTCCAACGTTCCACCATCGGAGCTGGACTTCGAGATTCTGGAGGAAGAGCTCTCCGATATCATTGCAGATGTCCACGATCTTGCCAAGTTTTCCAGACTGAACTACACAGGGTTCCAGAAAATCATCAAAAAGCACGACAAGAAAACCAAGTTCATCTTGAGACCCGTGTTCCAGGTGCGTTTGGACTCCAAACCCTTTTTCAAAGATAACTACGACGACCTCGTAGTCAAAATTTCGCAGCTTTACGACTTGGTGAGAACCCGTGGTAATCCCATCAAGGGCGACTCTTCGTCCGGGGGCAAGCAGCAGAATTTCGTGAGACAAACTACCAAATACTGGGTTCATCCCGACAATATTACCGAGCTCAAGCTTATCATCTTGAAGCATTTGCCCGTCCTGGTGTTCAACAGCAACAAGGAATTCGAAAAAGAAGACTCCGCCATCACCTCCATCTATTACGATAACGAAAACCTCGATCTATACTACGGTCGTCTCAGAAAGGATGAAGGAGCCGAAGCCCACCGTTTGAGATGGTACGGAGGCATGAGTTCCGACACGATTTTCGTCGAGCGGAAGACTCACAGAGAGGACTGGACAGGTGAAAAGTCGGTCAAAGCGAGATTCGCGTTGAAAGAACGCTATATCAACGAATTTTTGCGTGGTAAATACACCGTGGAACAAGCGTTTTCCAAAATGCGCAAAGATGGTAAGAAAAGCTTGACGGAAATCGAAAACCTGGAAGCGCTGGCCACAGAGGTGCAATACACCATGTTGAAGAAAAAATTGAGACCCGTGGTGCGTTCGTTCTATAACAGAACTGCATTCCAGCTGCCGGGTGACGCCCGTGTCCGTATTTCGTTGGACACGGAACTGACCATGGTAAGGGAGGACAATTTCGACGGTCGCGACAGAACCAACAACAACTGGAGACGGATGGATATCGGTGTCGACTGGCCCTTCTCGCAATTGCCCGAAAACGACGTTTGTAGGTTTCCTTACGCGGTCTTGGAGGTCAAACTACAAACGCAACTTGGCCAGGAACCACCGGCTTGGGTCCGGGAACTTGTAGGCTCCCATTTGGTGGAGCCTGTCCCTAAGTTCTCTAAGTTCATCCACGGTGTTGCCTCACTTTTGGGTGACAAGACCGAGTCGATTCCCTTCTGGTTACCGCAAATGGATGTGGACATCAGAAAGCCTGCTATCCCTACTCAAATCAACATCAGCAGACCGGGCCGAGACGAGAACGACAGCGACGACGACATATACACAAACCAATCGCATCCGAACGGAAACTTGCTGGACGTGGAGGAGAGTGTGGGCTATGGTGCCATCGAGGCCAGCGGCGATTCTGGTCCCGACGCGGCCAGAACTGCCGGCCTAGCTCGCCGCCGCACTGGTAGAGTTTCCTCAAATCCAATCATCAAGCTATATCAACAAGCTCTCGCCGCTGTAGACCACTACCTACACGGTGACCAGATCACCAAGGTCCCCGAGGGCACCGTTTTCGACACCCAGGTGCGTGCGCCTCCGGGCAAAACGATCTGTGTGCCGGTCCGGGTGGAACCGAAGGTATATTTCGCCACTGAAAGAACCTTTTTGTCGTGGTTATCGATCGGGCTGACTTTGAACGCCGTGGCTATCTCTATGCTCAACTATGGCACTGACGCCACGATGGTCGCCTCTGTTGGGTTTTTCTGCACGGCTCTGGTCACTATTTTTTACAATGCCTACGTGTATTGCAACAGGGTGGTCAATATCCGCATGAAGCATGCAGTCGACTACCAGGACAAGATCGGTCCGCCATTGGTGTGTGGTTTCCTAATTCTTTCGACACTTTTCAGTTTTTACTGTAAATGGGCCTACTGAAATCCACCGACCCAACTAAAACTAACTACAAGTTGATCATCGACTAAAACCAAAGCTCCGCAACACAACAACTAATGAAATCAAGCCGGATTAATCCTGAGGAAGTTGGTAAAGCTTGGTGACACACATTTCTTGTTGTGCTTTAATAGACTGTCTATACGTATACAATGACCCAATCTGATATTTACAACTTAAGTTCAACTAAACAAAACCATCGATCTCATCGAAACGTGTCAAAACTTCAATCGCGAGCATAGGAGCGTGTTTTGCTCATCCAGGTCGTGTTTAATCCGAATTGTGCTAGCTGCAAAACGGATATGCCTGTTTTGGGCGAAATCCCGGTCGATTTTGATGTCATAGAGAGAGAAAAGGAAAATATCATGCCTCTGCGATCTGGCAGATCAGCACTGACACTTTCCAAGAGCATTGGCGGGAAAGCGTTCAATTCGGATGCCCCGAACGTGGATTTGATAGCAGAGCAGAGATTGGAGTTTGAAAAACGGCTGCTTCAGGAGCTGGAAGATCTAGACGATCCTTTGGAGCTCTTTTTACAGTATATTACGTGGATCAACAATGCATATCCACAAGGCGGGCAATCCAAACAAAGTGGGATGTTGGAGGTGCTAGAACGATGTCTCATGTATTTTCGCGATTTTGGAACCTACAAAAATGACCCTCGATACGTGAAGATGTGGATGTGGTACCTGGAACTTTTCGCGGGCTCCGCTGCAGAAAGACAGAGCTTGTACGTGTACATGAAACGGAAACAGATTGGTTCATCTCTGTCACTTTTCTACGAGAGTTTGGCCTCGTTTCTAGAGCAGCAGAAACAGTATTCGCAAGCCAGAGACATTCTCCAGAGGGGTATCGAAACTAACGCTAGACCGCTGGCAAGACTGCGAAAAACGCTGCAAAAATTTGACGAAGTAATGAAAGACTCGAACATCAAGATCCAGGAGGTTGCCAGCGGAGAAAGCATCTTGGACCTTAACCTCACAAGCATTTTGGGAAGGAACAGGGTCCAAATTCAACACGCGGGTCAAGACACACCCGTAGTCCGCCCTTCCTCGTTCAAGCACGCTATATTCAAGGACATGAATGAAGCTAATCCAGATGACAATCTGCGAACAGAAGGGTGGGATTTCCTAGATTCCAAACATCAGCGAAATAAAGAAAATGAGATGAATAAACAACTGCTTGTCTCGGGCTCCAACGTCGGAGTACTCAAACAGACCGACCCTACCAAAACATCTACAAACAGACTAGCGATTTTCAATGACGCCACAGGCAGAAGTGGGCCTATTTACAAGATCTTGGAGATTCCAGGTCGGAAACCCGAACAAGTAGATTGCAACTTTGACTTGATATACCCCGGCAACAATGAGGAGTATTGCATTGAAGAGCGGCTCGCAATGGCTCGAAGTGTTTATCATAAGATGAAGAGCCCGAAAAGGCCGTTGAGTGCGGAAAGTAATAACCCACAAGAAAGGAAAAGGGAATTGAAGAAACTAAAGCTGCCGCTTCGCGAAAAAACGGCGCCTATAGTACACTCTTTACCAGATGGTCGCGAAGTCGAGGGTTCACCGGAGGAGATGAATGTACAGAAATACCAAAAAATCGAAAGGACGTCCATCCTTCCACTTAAAGACGAGTCAAACGAAAAACACGTACCTTCCAAAAAAACTGCCCCAAACTCCCCTACAATGACTCTTTACTCTAAGGATGCCATCAATGAAGTTTATTCGATGTTCAACCAGAACTTCTCCATACCCCAGCCTGCCATTGATAACGACGATACTACCAGCAAATTTGCAATGTTCGAAAACTTCACTCAGGAATTCACTCGCAAACATATGGACGACCTCACAGAGACGAAACAGGAGCTTCAGCAAGAGCACGGCGAGAAAACGCCTCATAAAGATCAAAATCCCGAGGCCGATGCAATCACCGGCAAGGAAAATACCACCCCTTCGTACAAAAGCAAGCTTCAAGAATATATGACTCCAATTCAGGAGAGGACTGAAGGTAATTTCAATGTGAATCTCGCCCTTCACCAATTAAATGATGTCACAACAATAGGAAAGAAGAATGATACCATGGCTGTGTATACAGCCGAAAGTTCACCTTTTCTAACGCAGCCGCGAAGCTTGGGCGATGCGCTCACACCCACTCCGCTGATCATTACCAACCCTTTGAGCGATGAAATCAGACATGCACAGCTGCAAAACATCAATCCACCCCTCTCTGCCTACGAGACTTTCTACCAGTACAACCAGTCGCTAAAAATGAGTGCTCTATTACGCAAAATTCACACTGTCTCTAAGAATGCCAACAAAAATCCAATTGTCGACTTCAAAAAGACAAATGACTTGTATTGCATCAGGTCACAGCTGGGGGAAGGTGGCTACGCAACAGTGTATCTGGCAGAGTCGAGCACAGGGTCATTAAAGGCACTCAAAGTCGAAAAGCCTGCAAGCATATGGGAGTTTTACATTCTAAAACAAGTGCAACAGAGGCTTGATGGGCAGCCTGTTTTGGACTCTATTATAAACGTTGACTCTTTGCATTGCTTTGAAGACGAGAGCTATCTGGTCTTGAACTATGCGAGCCAGGGTACGATACTAGACCTAATCAATCTAGAAAAAGAGCGAAATGGTGGACCCTTGGACGAAACTTTATGCATGTATTTCGCTGTGGAGCTAATGAAGGTTTTAGAATGTATCCACGATGTTGGAATAATTCATGGCGACTTGAAACCTGATAATTGCATGGTCAGATTCGAAGAAAGCTCACAGTCACTCTCAGACTATAAACAAGGAGTTGGTTGGGACAAAAAGGGTGTTTACCTGATCGATTTCGGCAGATCCTTCGACCTCACATTGGTGCCTGTTGGGGCTAAATTCAAAGCAAACTGGAAAACTGACCAACAAGACTGTCCCGAGATGCGAGAGGGGCGTGCATGGACTTACGAAGCAGATTACTACGGTCTGGCCGGGATAATTCACGCGATGTTATTCGGAAGATTTATCGAGACGCGGGCGTTACCAGATCAGCAATATGCTTTGACCCATAGCTTCAAGAGGTATTGGAGACAGGATATTTGGCGTCCTCTTTTTGACGTGCTTTTGAACAGTAGTACACAAGAACGATTGCCCATCACGACGAAAATGAGAGAACACCGAGTAAGCCTAGAGAATGCCTTGGAGGAAAACGGACATCGTCTTAGAGCCCATGTTCTAAGCCTACAGTCAGACTTGTTGAAATTCAAGAAGTAAATTGTATCTTGACATATGCGGAGAACTCTGTAATTAATCCGAACGTCGCATATTGAGGATACGGACTGATATATACATATACATACAGTGTAATTGAGTTAGGCGTTTGCATACATTCGCATCGCAGCACCATTGTACCACGACATCGTCATGTCATCACTCCTGTTTTCTTACACCGCTTACAATATCATCAACTCTCAGAAGCAGACATGCACTTTCGATAGCAGTTTTGATGCTCTGTTGTTTGATGACTTCAGGCTCCCAAACACCATATTCAACCATGTCAGTGACTTTGCCGGTATCACCATCGATACCGGCGGTGGAGTTGCCTTGTGCGTGTTTGGACCTGAGCTGCGAAAGCACTCTTATAGGATTTCCACCCGCGTTCTGAATTAATGTACGTGGGATACACTCCATTGCGTCCGCCACGGCCTGGTATGGCCATTGTTGGATACCCTCGAGTTGTTTAGCCTTTTCCGCCAGTTTTACGGAAACTGCCATCTCGGTTGCACCTCCACCTGGCGATAGCGAAGGTGAAAGCATAACGTTACGAGCCACAGCCATGGCGTCATGTAGATTTCTTTCAATCTCGTTCAGAATATCCTTGGAAGCACCACGCAAGATTATAGTGCAAGCCTTTGGATCCTTGCAATCGTCCAAGAAAGTGAAATATTCATCACCAATCAACTCCACTTTGAAAGTGCCACACTGCGTGCCCACGTCGGATTCTTTGATATCTTCAACACGGTTTACGATCGTGGCACCGGTCACACGGGCGATACGGTTGTTGTCAGACTTCTTAGTACGTCTCAAAACGCTGCATCCACCTTTCAACAGATAGTGTTGGGCAAGGTCTGAAACACCCTTTTCTGTAATTACCACGGTAGGGTTCACGGACAGAATCTGCTCGCATAACAGACGTACCTGCTCTTCTTCGATTTGCAAAATACGGTTCCAGTCTTCCTCACGGGTGATTTCAATGTTAGTTTGGGATTCGCCCTTCTTGTACTCTAGAGGACAGTCCAGAAGCACCACCCTTGGGTTTTCGATAAATCTAGCCATTTTTGGATGCACCACGTCTTTGTTGAGCATAACACCTTTTAGGACGCGCGAGTCGGTCACGTCGCCACCTGGGATCTTCTCAATGCGCACGTAGCGCTTGGTGTCAATTTCCACGGGGGCAGAAACGTCGCCTGGGACGCCCACGCGCACAGCACGGACGGCGTCGACGGCCAGTTGGCACATCAGATCACTCCATTGCGCAACGTACTTGGTTCCGATGGCCGCAGCGACCAGTTTCATCATTGCAGAGGTGTTTTCCACGTCCACGGGCCTTGAAACCCGTTCCACCTCAGCCAAAGCGTCGCTGAGCGCCAATTTCAGCGCCTGAATGATCACTACCGGATGGATATTCTTCTCGATGATGTAAGGTGCGCATTGCGCCAAAATCTCGCCTGCCAAGATGATCACTGTGGTCGTCCCGTCACCCACTTCTTCGTCCTGTGTCCGCGACAATTCCAACATGGATTTTGCCGCTGGATGTGCCACGTCAATCTCTCGCAGGATAGCGTGTCCGTCATTAGTCAAGACCAGCCCGCCCATGGGGTCTAAGAGCATCTTCAACATGGCTTTTGGTCCCAAACAAGTACGAATCACGTCCGCAACGGCCTTCGCAGCGGTGATATTCGAAATTTGGGCCTCACGGCCCGTCGTGCGCTCTTGCGACGTGTTCATAAACACTACGGGAGCTTGCATTGGGTGGGATAGGAGGCGTTAGTTGACTGGAGAAGTGAAGTTTGGGAGGAGAGATGAAGTTGGAAAAGTGGCAATTTTTCAAATCTTTAACATTTGGGCAGATGGCGAGTACGAGTACGAGTACAGCAGGACGTGTGCGAGTACGAAAGAACTCGAGGATATGTGGATGAATGCGACAGCTCTTATAACAAGTCAGCCGGATTGTTATATGGCATTGGGTGACGTTGTTCGGCTTCTGTTATTTGGCAAAGTGTACGTTTTATGGTGCTTGATGGAGGGGACGAAACATCGCGGAAGCCAAGGACTCGTTTGTTTCGAGACTTTGAAAAAAAAACCCTAGACATAGATTTTGGAATTGGCGCGATGCATGTTGTGATGAGATTGTAGTGAATTTTAAACAGCTTTTTGGGATTTCGTTTTACTCAAACGGGCTTCCAAACATGTTTTTAGTGCATAGAATGTTGTCATTTGACACTGTCGCAGTGATAATGCACGAAAAATGACGACGGTGCGAAAGCTCTTCAAATTTGAAGCTAGGGCAGGGAACATGATACAGTGGGAGTGCGGATATTCTATACTTATATCGAACGGCTCAACGCAAGTGAAAATGTGGTGTCGATTGGATCGAATATGCCATCTGTCACTTGGTCACGTGATTTGTTAACTGGAACTGGACGACCATCTCGCCCCACACCCCATGCTCGAGGTCAGTTTTACTCATAACAGTACTAAGTCTCTTCCAGAGAGTCAAGACGTCCCGAATACGTCTATCAAGCCACCTGGAATCGTTCTTACGCTGTTAGCCATTTTTTTCTGCAACACGAAATACAAATAATCAAGGGAACTTGGAAGATCACAATTCAACCAGCATGAGACAACAACAACCCAATTACTTGATCCCGGCTTCAAGACACACAAACTGTGCCGTTTCTGAATGGTTGAGCATTTCTTGCATTTTTGACATCATTGTATACCAGGTTGTTATTCCGTCACATGGGTAAGACGTCTAACATCCATGCCATACAATCATGAGCGTACATCACCCAGCTTTCAGCGTTGTTGCAGTCAAGGCTGAACTTAATTGGCTTGGTCGTACAACTTATTTAAATCCACTGAGTTTGCTGTCTTGAGAATATCAATTATTGCAAGCTCTCCCATCACGGCCTCGATATTCAAACAGAGAACTTTGAATGATATGGAAGGGTGCACGGACTAGAGCTTCATTTTTCGCCAAGCAACGGATTCAAAATTACGAGTAGGATTGTTGTTGATGAAAAACATGCATTTTTTATTTCAGTCTTGATAAGTGAGTTCAGCAACGGTTGACTGCACATTTTTGTCACGACCATGAGAGGGATGCTCTCATCAGTTTTCGAAGCCTAATTCACGAATCCTCAACGTCAGCGCACAAAAATGCGATGTAACAGATCATAAATGATTTTAATCTGCTCCATGGTTGCTCGCCAGAGCTGTTCTCTATTTCATCTGTTGTCAGAGGGCATGGTCAAATAAGACCAAACCCAAATCAAAGTAAAAATGTCAGTGCTAAGCAAAACCTAGTAATTTCTTGGAAAACTCTGGTGGTAGCAACCCTTCAAAAAGGTATAGCCATCAATAAAAAAAATCAATACTCTGCTCTGCTGCATTCGAACTGCTGCTTATGACTTTTCTTCTTGTATTTCACTTGTGCGACGAATACAACTACTCTCTTGATAGTAAGACCTTTTATTGGGTAGATCTAGAAGGTTTTATTTACTACAAATTCCGTTTCGTAACATCATTCCAAAATTTATCTGAAATATGATGTTGATCTTATCTTTACTTGAGCTACAAGTGCACCATTAGATGTTATTTCAGCCAAAAATTTCTGCTTTAAGATCAACAGTGGTGCTGCGATAGTGAGTTAATAATGCTCTGGTCAAAACTCTTCAAGTTCTCTCAGTAAACGCAAAAATGTTGAGGGTGTGGCATTAGTTTGGTGGTCTTTCAATTAAAATATGAATACTAGCCTTCCTCCTCTGGTCAATCATCATTGATCCTCTACTAAGTATAAAAGACATGTTTCGGATTTTATAGACCAGGTGTTGCCTACTTATTTCGCTAAGATTGCATAGCCGAGTTAAGTGCTTCACACACAATGGTCCATTCGTTACGGTTCATCTTACCATTTGACGCATAATGCTCCAAAAGTTGTAATGTTAAATATTCACATTGATAGTAGTTCCAATTGCTTGCTACATAATCCATGATTAGATTCTGCCGTGCGTGCGACGTCTTAGCGAGCATGACAAAATATGAACCCATAATATCCTTTCTAGCACGATTTTCCTGAATTGTGCCAGTATGCTTTAAAACTTTACGGAGGCTACCCTCTCAACATCGATTCACTGTAAATTTTTAGCTCACCATTGGGTTTGACGACTCTTTGAAATCGTCCTGTCGTCTAAGACTAAGGCATTAAACGTCACGAAAATATATGAAATCGTCTGTTGTAAGTTTTCGGGTCCACTTCCAGCTATATTTGTGGTTTTTGGACCATCGGCAGCGCTGGACAAGCCATTTCAATGAAGCATTTTGTTCAGCAGGAGAGTTAGCGGACGGGAAACAGTGCTTTGCATTGATATAATCCTAAAGTACCAAACGTTGTCAATAATGTCGCATGCGCATGAATTAGTCAATGTTTTGATATCTGCACGTCTTCAAGTGATTCACTTTGAATGTCAAAGATTTCTGCGTATAGTTAAAAGTGAACATTAAGACTGATCAGTGCAAACTTACACGAACCTCAGGGCCATTTGGACAAAATAGTAGGAACAAACTGGCTATTCAGCACAGATACTTCATCTCAATACTCAAATTGGCTTGACTGGACGCGGATGGATCTCCGCAGTTTGCTACTCAAAAGACGAAATCTAAGTCATTTCTATAGTCATACATATGAGCACCCTCCTATGCAAAATACAAGCGGCTGTCACCAAAAGCACACATCTTCTGCCATAATAACAATTAGTTCACGTTACGTTTGATCTAAGTTACAGTATCTTACAACCGCTTGCTGGGAGCTTTTGAGCGCATTTGTTATATCAAAGGTGAGTTGCTCACTGAACCGGACGAATCTGTGAATATCGAGAAATCAGACCCCGTGCGGACCATGTCCGCAAGCGTTGTGAAGTCTCTGGTGCCACGATGGGGATTCGCAAGTTGTTGCGAGAGAAACAACTTGTAAGCAGCCAGAGTCTTGTTCAGCGAGACTGAATCCCCAGCGGTCGAAGCGACGTACTCGAACAACGGCTGGATTTCTTGCACTGCAAAAAAATCTACAACTGGAAGTCGAGGGAGACCAAACAGCAGCGAATTTGGGTCCTCGCGTGAATTAATGAATTGTACGGGCCTGCCGTACAAGCTTAAACACGCCATCATGGGAAGTGCACAACGAATGAGCGACTCCAAATGATGAACACCGCTGTGTGGGATAGGCTTTATCACGATTTCGGATGTTTTAGTGTCATAATCACTAACCTGAGGATGATGCACGGACGAACTCATGGACACGGAAGATATTGACCGTTTGTGTTGCGTATAACTACCGGTAGATGGGTCTGGAATGGACGAAATTGTGTTACGGCGAACCTTTTTTGGTGACAAAGAACCTCCCCCCAAAATTGAGGTTTTACCACCGCTCGAATCCGCTCCTTCACTTGGCCAATACACGTCCCCTATAACGCGAAGCGTGGTCAGCCTCGACAGAAGCGCTTCCAATGAACTTTCGAAGGAGTCAGAATCATTACGCACCCCCTTGACATGGGTTTGAAAATGGAGGTCTCCGAATCCATCGATGGGAGCACTCTTGGACACATTAGGATTCTGGTCTTCTACGAAAAATAGATCCTCGACCTCGCCACAATCTGGAATAAAACACAAAAGGTTTTTGGCAGTCAGAGACTTATCGTCGCGGTAAAACTTGATTTGATGGCGCCCATCGCGAGAGCCTGGGCGCTTGGGGCTACGGTCGACATGGCACCACGCCTTGACCCATTCTCCGTCAATGCTGATGTAGCACCAATCTTTGTAGCTATGTTGCGCAAGCAACACGGCTGAAATGTCGGAAATCCGGCTGCCATGTGTCGAGATGACCGTGGCAGTCAAAGCTTTGTACAGCGAAATGTACTCGAACCTCGCGAGCATACACATGCCGTACAGCACACGCAGTTGTGCCTGAGCCTCCAGAGACCTGCACCATAGCGTCAACGCACCCCCATTCAAGACCAGCGACGTCTGCTCCAATCTCCAGCTCATGGGAGAAACTCCGTTAGCCACATCTAGCACTACGCAATTGTCGTATTCGTTGGCATCTGGTTCCACCACCACTTGTAGCTCTGTACCACGAAGTGCAACACTTGTGACCGGGAGCACTTCCGACTGGCTTCCAACCTGCAGTAGCAGGTTTTTGCCGTCAGTCCATGAAAGATAAGACTTGCGTCTTTGACAATCTAGCAAAATTAGCAAAGGCTTCAGTGGCTCGCAAAATTCACCCTCTGCATCTGCGTTGCTGATACTTGACCCGACCTTTTTGAAAGCTTTCTCTGACTTCGTTTCCGAGGCGAAACTTGGCAATTTTAGGCCCAAAACAGATTTCATCTTTTACCTTACCACAGTTCGCAATTATTTTAGCAAATTAACGTAACGTTTCTCTCGTATATCGCTCACGATTATTTTTTCCCTCTTATAATGATTCCAACCGGATGCAACACTTCTTTGACTCAATGCCCGTTGCTTCTTCGTTCTAGCTCTTTTTAATATCTCACAATATTCTTAAAAGCCAGTTCACGTCAACGCGAAGCCCACGGCGGCATCGACGTTCCCCTGATAAAGTAATCTCTGCTGACACTTTTTTTTTCAGTATTTTCGCATTGCTCCCATGATAGTGATGATAGAGCTACCAGAAGCAGAAAAGGTTATTATTTCCTGTGATAATGGCAAAAACTTAGGGAATAGCATAGCATAGTTCGCACCCTCGTAAAAAGGATGCCATACAAGCCTCGGAAAGCACCCATATATTGTGCTGTTTGGGTGTGTATTATTTTTTTTCCGAGAACTAGTTGTCGTCGAATTCATCTTGCCCAAATGAAGGAACATTATTGTTAAGATCAGAGGATAAGGGATTGTTGCGAAGCTGCCAGGTTGCGACCTGAGATGCTCGCAGTTTAGCAGAGTCTTCAATAGGCGACGCGTATTCTGGGATTTCAAATTGGTGCGGCTGCACGTAGGTAGAGCTTAAGTGTAGGTCTTGAACAGTAACAGCATTTACGACGAACTTGCGAAGCGCTGTGTAGTGGGCGTTGCCGTAGTTGGAACGCACAAGCAACGCCAGAGCGCGAATCTGGGGCTTAGATTGTATGAACCACGGTGGCAGAGGGAAACTCTGACGGATGTGGGGGTCGCTGTTGTCGTAATTCCACGATCCTATCTCAATAAACGATTTGTCCCTCGTCCAGGTGGAACCGTGGCCGTTCTGAGTCGCAGTACGTTTGAACTCTGCATTATTAGACGACTGCAACTTGACGTAAATCGAAATAGTGCTTGGTGCTGAGTTCATCAAATGTAGGTTGTTGGTGAAACGACCGTGCACGTAGGATACGCGCGTCAAATACAGTGGCTGTGCAAATCGCACAGCCCAGGAACACTGTTTCGAATTCTTTTCGCTGCACAGCCAGTATGTAGAAGGAGCGGGCTGAGTGTCTGCCAGCAGGTCCAGCGGAGACACCCCATTGGGCGGAATGCCTGGAAGACCTTCAAACGTTTTGGAGCACAGATGATTAATTAGACGGGTACCCTGTGCAGCAGTGGCGAAGTCGACGTCGTCCTGCCACTGGTGTTGATTGGCATTGTAGATCTTGTGGATGAGCTTACGTTGCAGAACGTTGGAATACTGCTGCGGCACGTTCTCCAAAGTCGAAATGCGCGACTCCATTTCGCGCAGAATGCCTTCCTTATTGGATTTCAGTGCCTGGTCCAATTCGTGCAAGAAAAACGTCTTGTCGACGTAATGATACTCATCCCGAAGGATTTCGCGCACGTACTGGCCCGCGTCGTAGCTGAAGGGCTGAGTGGACTCCACAGAAGCGGTTTTGTTTACGATCCGAGGTATCAATTGAGCCAGGTATCGGTGTAGCTCCGGAACAACCATTAGCGCGCTTGTGGAGTTGTTTAGCACAACAGGAATTTGTTCGGGCAGTAGCTGCTCCAGCTCGGAAACCAGCAGGTCCTGCCATTCGGACACGTTGGTCAAGCTGACGCTGCGGGACATGTCCTGGACCTGGCTGTCAAGTCGCTGCAATTGCGATTGTACAGAGGAAATATCCTTTGGCAGTAGTTTCTTGATGTTTTTTTCCACTTGTAAAACAACCAATCGAATCGCGTTTTCCAGCTCTCTTTTGGCATTCTTACGGTCTTCTTGAAGCTCGCGGTACAGACTGTTTAGTTGAGCACGCAGCTGAGCGTTATTGGACGTCTGAGGCACGTCAATGCCAGAATTTTGAGATCCATGAGTGGAAAATCTCGGTTTCCAGATCAGCGTCAATGCTAAAACCAGCAACACGAGCGCTAGCGCGCTCAATCCTCGAGCTCTCGGTACAGGAACCTGCCACTTTGTACGGCTATCGCTGTCCCACGAGTCCGTGCCGGGTTCGTCACTTTCCAGTATGAAACTGCGATCTGCTTCCTCTGTGTAGTCCTTATCCTCGTAGTCATCGTCTTCTTCGGGCTCCAGCCACTTGTCGTGCATCAAGGACGTCTTGAACTGTTCGTAGTAATCGTCAAGATCCGATTTTCCATGGCTGGACCGATCGCTGAGCTCCAAAATGTCATTGGAGAAGTCCTCGCTGATTTGGTCGCTGAAGTTGTCGTCGTCGTCATCTTCGTCACTTCCAGATACGTTAAATTGAACTGCGCGGTCCTCGTTTCTCTCAGAGATCAATTGGTTATAAGCGTCTTGCATACTGGCGTTGTACAAATTCTGGGAACGCATATCTGTCTCCATTGCGTCGGGAGGAGACGTAGTAGGATGAGGATCTGAGCGTTGCGATACGATGAGGTGAGAAGACGATGAGTCGGGATGAGATCAGATGAGATGAAACGCGTCTAAAATCATTATTTTGGTGTTTTCGTTGATAGTGATGATGGTGGTAATTTAATTTCAGCGAAATGACGAAACACCAGCGTAAAACCGGGATTTATTTGATGGGAATGTTCAAGAAGGGTGTATATGATTTTAACGAATGCTACTGGTGCATTTGGCTGGTTTCTTTCTATGGTTAGGAGGGGTGTTATATTTGGGTTATTGTGTCACGTGACCTGGGTGACAGACGACGGACCCGCCTTGCGATGCGGCAGTTTGTTGTAGGTTTGTGTAAGGGGATTGTGATCTTATTATGTTTGGCTAGCGTGTTTGTGTGTACTTCTATACAGTTTTCGTGTTTATTTTGATGACTTTGATTTGCGCAGAAAATGACATGATTCAAGGACTCCAAAACGGTTTTAGATGCAGTGTTAGCAGTTTATAAGTGTTCCAAGCATCGTTCACAATATGCTATGTGTCTTGGTGATAGCCTGACGTCAAAACTTCGGAAATACTGTGGTGACGCTACTAGCGACATAATAGTACGAAGTGATAAGATTTAGCACTCTGTATAGAGAGAAAGAGAGAGAAAGAGAAAGAGAGAGAGAGAGAGAGAGAGAGAGAGAGAGAGAGAGAGAGAGAGAGAGAGAGAGAGAGAGAGAGAGAGAGAGAGAGAG